CAGCTACTTTTTGCATAATATCGGAGATGAAAGGGAGAGGGAAATTATCCTCTGGTAAATGTACATTGAGAGCACGAGGGTCAAGACACACTCGCCACAATGACTTTTTCCCATCCAAATCCTTTTTAGCTGCAAGTGTGAGGGTGTTGTTATGTGGGTTGCCAGCAGGTGCTAGCTCGATCACATCATCCTCTAGCCAGCGTGCGACCGTTTCATCCAATATGGGTCTCTGGGAGTGAGCAAATTGTCTAGGTCGTCGATATACAATGGTACCTTTTGGAACAGGTAGATACACCATCATCTCAGGAACGGGGCAATGACTTGTCTTTGAGATATTTTCATTGTCTTTGAGTGCTTTGCTGATGGCATCTAGGAATCTTCCTTTCATGCGCTTAAACTCAGCGGTGAGTTCCTCTTCAGGGGTGGTAATCGGACGCAAAGATGGTTTCTCGTCTTCAACGGGAACATCATGTGCAGGTGACATCTCTTTTATTTCTGGGAGACCGCAGAGAGCGAAGCCCATATGATAAAAAAGATCCATTCCGATTGTAAGAGCAAACTCTTGATCTTCGATTATTTCAAAAGGGGCAGAGAGAAACCGACCATTGAATTCGAATTCAACTTGATCAGTTACACCAATGCGTTCGACAATAGTCTTGTTTGCTAGTGTAAAATTACCAAGGATCTTAGTGAAAGGAATGTTATGTTCCTTGACTATGTCCTGTCTGATAAAAGAATGTGTAGCACCAGTATCTATTAACGCATGGTGTGTCCTCTTGAATGCACGGATTTCGATTCGAAATCTATTGTCGTGTTCTACTGCATCCTTAATAGCAGCATAGTGTCTGATAGTTAATTTGTCAGATGCGAAAGTGTCGAGTTCCTCAGTCGTCATACCAAAGCTACTGTCATCGTCACTGTGGTAGTCCATGTTAGCCTGACTTTGAGAAGCAAGGTTAGACAGGCTAGCAAAAGACGGTTCTTTTGTTTCAAAGTATGGCACAGAGACAAAGGCAGATTGTTTTGTTGGCAATGAGCGAAACGCGTATTGGGGTCGTGCACTCGTAGGTGCAGGTACATCCTTATCAGTTGTAACTGATTGTTCGCTATCCGGTAAAGGGGTTACAGACAAATCATTTTCTGTAGTCACAGACACATTATTTTCTTCTGCTGAAGAAGTATGGACAGCAAGTGAAGGAGACAGAATTGGACCAATAGGGATAGTGTTAGAACCAGTCAGTGGTAATTTTTTATTACTAAGTTCTGTTATGACAGGAGAGGGAAGTGTCATGTCGTTCGTCTCTACGAGGTCCTCAGGTTCACTTGTCTGTAGAGAAATAGTAGCATGAGTGAGCAAGGTTTGATCAGACACAGAGAAAAATTCAGATTCAGAAAAAGGAGGTATAGACAATTTACCTTCTTTCTTGTTCTTGTAGCTCTTGCCGCCCTTGCTGTCAGAGTTCTTCTTGCGATCACTGTTGCAGTAGGGGGCAGTGTGGCCATTCTTGTTGCACTTGGTGCAGTGCCTGCAGTTCTTGGTATCATGCGAGCGATTTTCACCGTGATTGTCACAGTGGAAAGTCTTCTTGCCAGAGTTAGACGAAGATGGGAACGACGACGAATCAGCAGTCGGTTTGCCTTTGCCACTGCGGTCGTTCTTGCGGTGACGTTGTCGCTTGTGACCATGGTTATTACCGGTCTTGGACGAGGAGGCATCCTTGTCATCTTCATCATCGTCGACGAGACTGTGGGGTCTCTTGAGAGAGTCGTCTGGTCCTTCCATTACACTGAGGTTGGTAAGGATCTCACAAATAGAGTCCAGCTTGACCTCAGATAAGGAGGTGCCAGTCTTTTGAATCGATGTCTTGATCAGGTTGAGCTCCACCGATGGGATTGAACTCATGATGCCAGACAGTACAGTGGCGTTGTTATCATCAATTCGATACACGCGCACTGATCGTTGGAGACGAAGAGCGAAGTTTCGGTACGACTCCTTGTGACGACGGCCAATTTCGGCGACACGAGCAACGGTTTTGAAGCGTTCCGTCGGAGTCAAAACACTGTCGACGAAGGCAACTTCACATTCCTCCCAAGTTAGGGAAGAACTGCCGTGACGAGACAGCTCATCAGTGAACTGCTGTCGTGTCTGATCGTCCAGAATCGCCATACAGAGCAGGCGTTGGGCACTGGCGAGGAAAGGAGTCTCGCCGTAACTGTTCTCACAGTAAGTCTTGAATCCATCGAGGAACAAGTGAGGGTCGCGGATGACTTGATACGATTGTCCCTTGCCGTGCTTGATGTCACCAAATCGGGGAGTGCCCGAGTCGAGTGTCAATTTGTTGCTGTCAACCCTGATAGCGGTGGCAATAGTCGCCGTGGGATCGGTCACGATCGGTGCCATCGGTTGGTCGAGAGCCAGTGCTGCTGACAGACGCGCACAATCCGCGGTCTTTTGGCGCACGACTTCTAAGAGTTGGATGGCTTCCTTCTGCCACATCTGGTAATTGACATCGAGAGGGTTCTTGTGCATCTTGAGCAGGGTGCGACGGTATAGCTTGGACCAATTAGAAAGATCGTGTTTCTTGGTGGTGATGGCTTCCTCAAGACCGCTGGTGAGCTCGGAGTCACTCACGTCGTCAGCATCCGTCATGGCAGAAAAAGTGTTCGGGTCGAAGACTGGAGAGGGCTGCATGTGCTGGTTTGCCGACAAGATGGACGAGGCCTGTTCGTTGTCATCGCTCATAATGATGTCCTCTCGGAATACAGGGACGGGGGATGGAGCGACAACAAAGGTGCCGGTGGCATCGATAGCCAAGTCTTGGAGAGTGGGTAACTCGTTGTTGTCAGAGTTGTCAGACATAGGAGTGATGATTTGTGATTTAGAGTGAGAGTGTCGGACAAAAGTTCAGAAGTTCTTGAGTGGATCGAAAAGTTGCCTTTCTTGTTAGGGAAGAGGTTTCTTTTAAATACTCATTACCGACACGTGTCATAGCAGCGTAGATTTTTAATCCGTATGCAACGTTTGCAGTGTTATAGCAAGGATGTTGTTTGTACCTAGTAATGGTGTAAAGGGAGCATTTATTTTCCTTTATTTTCCTTTATTTTCCAATTAGCAAGCAAAAATAACAAAGATAAAAGAGTGAGGCTCTTTGCTGTTGTTTCTGTCAGCATTTATTATTTTGATTTCGCTGCTATTCGCATAGGTGTCACAGATCGCTACTTATGTATGCTAATTGCTCTTCGGTCATATCCGAGGGTGACATAGGTTCGAGGTTGCGTCTGACAGTCTCCGGTGATGGAGGTGCGAAGGAAAGAAACAAATGCAATCGCTCGATTAGGAACTCAACATCGACGAAAATACTAGAGATAGTGTTTATTTCTATTGAAGCATCATACACAACCTAAGGATTAGACTGCGCATGGGAGTTAAGGTACGTCAGGCGCTGCTCGTATGTACGGGCGAAAGATTCCCAGGCTTGTCGTGCTTCCAACATGTATCGAAGCTCCTTTTCTTTCTGATCTAGGTGTTGCCTCACCAACGTCAGCTGATCGTATTCCTGCTGCGAGGTGCAGGAGAGAAGCCTCTCGTACACCCGCCCGGCCTGAGCAAAGAGCTCTTGCTGTTGCTGAGTGTAGGCCACTAGCTGTTCTTGTTGGAGAGAGGTCCACCAAGCCTGAGGAATGTTCTCCGAAGATGGTGCCGGTGCAGACAACAGTACAGGTACAGGTGAAGAGACGGGTATAGGCGAGGAGACTGGTGGAGGCGATCGGTCTTCCGCGACTTGCGAGAGCGGGTCCTGTGAGAGACAAACCGTCTCATCGGCCTCATGATCGATACAGTCTTCATGCTCAATACTGTCCTCCTGCTCGACGCTGTCCTCCTTGGACCAGTTGTTAGACGCAGACAGTTGCTGTTGTGACGACTCCAGCTCGTGTGCAAAGCGAGTGTTCTTGACTGGCCTTTTGGTGCCATGGGTGGAGCGGGTTGAGGTCATTGTGAAAGTTGGTAGTGAAGGGTGTTTGTGTGAATGGGATGGAAAGCGAAGAATGTGGAAAGAAGTTGTTTCTTTCATCCTCTCTCTCTTTTCTCATTCTTTTTATGTCTCTTCCTTTTCTTTTCCTGAATGCCAATTGGATCAAGGAAATCAGGACGTGGTGCATGGTGATTGGTCGAGACACTCATGCAAAGATGGCGTGCTTGTAAAAGCGAAAAGAAAAACAACTCATTCTCATGCATACATGTCTTGTGCCAACAGCGCTTGCATCATCCGCGGAGAAGATAAATAAAAAATATAACACGATGCATGATGACATCGATTTTTCTACATCATCTACTGATGAGGGTGATGACATCGTCTTTCATTGTGCATCCTGTGATCTGCAGGTGAAGACTCACCTTCGATGACGCGCAGGAGCAAACATGCTATTGTGCGGGAGTATATTTTATCCTTGTGATTAGGCTTGAGTCATGAGGGAGAGAGAAGTACAACGATTCAAGAGAGAAAACAAAACTGTATTAGTCAGTTCTTTTTATTTAGAGTTGTGTTTGAGATCTTGTTACTACTGATCCTGCCGTGGCGACACAACTTGCTGATGTTGTTCTTCCGTCTCCTCGTGCGTGGAGTGTTGTTCAGCGTCAGGTCTGTTTGTTTGTACAGCCGAACTCCTTTTTGTGACGTATGGCCGATGAAAGTAGTTGTGCGTGTCGAGGCGTCGAGAGGGAGGAAATGCGACTCTCCTCTGCCAATAATCATCGAAATGGGATAGGGTGCGCTTGACAACCTGTATTTTTGTCTCCAATCCTTCCATCATATGATTGTATTTCCAGTACTCCTGGTCCTGGAGGTCGATGGTGGTACCGATGTCAATGGGTGGCTCGGTTTCCGAGTCGAACATGCCGTGCATATCGCACAGTCGGTGGATGGTTTGGGCGGCAGCGTATGTCTTCGAGGATTGAAGGTGTACAAGAAGGGATTGGGCGTTTCGTATCGCTACAGTGCCTATCCTGCCTTCATCGGGTTGAACCGCCCAGAAGTGCGGTGGAGCAACGTCATGAAGATAGTTGTGAGTCGGTCGCTGGGGCGTTGTAGTGCTGTTCCTTCTGTCAGCGTATGGGTGCGCGCGTGTGGGCGACGTCCTTCGTGGCGGTGTTCTGCCGCTGTCGCTAGTAGAGCGAGGAGGGGACGGGGTATTGTCTCCTTGGGGACCAGATGAGGGAGCGTTGTCATCGTTCATGATGCGTGTGTTTTGTTGCGCTGTCGAGAAGGAGAGTTGTTGGGAGATGGTAAAGGTGTGTTGACAAAGTGTTTTACTTTTTCATTCCTCCTCCATCCTTCTCACTTGTGATCTTGTGCAAAGTTCTCACAAAGCGCATTCATCGCTACCTGATGGTCATCTGCCATTGGTTCATGCTTGAATCACGCCATCCCATAGAAAATCTTGAGAATCAACAAACGATGACATCGTCTTTTATTTTCAACATCATGTGACACTAATCGTCAGTGGAGATCTTACCTGCGGTGAGGTTTTGTCTCTGCTCAAGCATCACAATCGATGCGAGGTCGTGCTTTTGATACCCTTGAGTATAAGCGGTAGTGGTTCCAGTGTTTTCAGACTGGAGTGGTGCCAGTAGTGAGACGGTGCTCTGTCAGCTGCATGGCTGACCTTCCATACGGTGATGGGTGTGCATTCATTCCTTTCGTGTCTTTTTTTTTTTTTTTTTTTTTTAGAAAAGTGAATGCGTGTAGGGGTGTGTGAAGTGGGGAAGATCCCTATTGTGAATTCGTTAAGAAAAATGGAGAATAATAACCGGGGTTGTGATAGTAAAGGTTATGATGGGAATAGGAATAACGAAACAAAGAGAGGGATCTGTTTAATTCAGGGACGAAGAGTCCTTATGTACTCTTCGTCCTAATGATACACGTGATTATAGCACAGGAAATAAGGTTGGGGTAGAGACAAAAATGTAATCGATGCGTGTTTGCACAATCTCACTTTTGTCTGCCCCTATTTTTCTGTGTTTGGTTCGACAGGTGAACCGACCGGCTTTTGTAGGGCCTCCCTCTTCCACTGGTGGCATAGTTTCTCTCAAGTCGAGACGAGTGAGAATATTCTCAAGGTGGTGCCAGTGGGAGCGGTTGCGTTGCCCCGCCTGCAGGGCGGGCAAGCGATCGTTCTGTATGTCTTTGTATGTGTTGAAGTCACCTCCAATAACCAGTCGTTGATGTTGGAGTACATCGACTGGGAATCGAAGGAAAAATGCTCTTCTTTGGTTGTGGTCAGAGGGGGCGTACACACTTGCGAAGCGGTATTCTACCCCGTCTACTAAAAAGTCAAAGTAGACGATACGACCGTTCTCCAGCGTGTGGCACTTGTCTGCATCCATCTTGATGTGTTTTGATTTGATCAGAATGGCCGTATGCTGGGAAAAATAGCTCTCTCGAGCCCATTCTCTCCTCCATTCGGGAATCTGGTTGTCTTTAGGGTTACACTCTTGTAGCGCAATAATGTCAAACGGTTGTGTTTTGAGCCAGCGGAACAAGTTCTGCCGTTTTCTCGTATCCACAACACGATTGCAATTAAACGATGCAAATGATAGACTGGTCATTAGAAAAAAATATATCAATGAAAAACAAAGATCTAAATAAAGATAGACAGAAAAAACGGATGATAAAGAAAAGGGTAAACTTCTTTTTATTGATCCATATCTCCACCACCTCCATTCTGTTCTAGTTCTCTTTGGGCTTCTTCTCTCTCTGCCGCGGTCCAGAGACGATCGAGACTATCGCCCATGTCGTCGTCCTCATCGTCATCGGTCTGTAAGTGGTTGTGCTGTTGTTTGTTCGTAGTATCATGGGCGTCGCATTCAACACCTGAGGGTGGTACGCTAGCCTTCTGATGGGGTGATGCTGGCGTGCTGCTGCTGCTGCCGGAGCTGCTGCTGCTGCTACCATCACTAGAAGTAGCTGGGGGGCCAGAAGTGCCTTGAGCATTAAAGACAAAGGCCTCTGCATGTATGGACGCCACACCAAGCCACCCCTGGGTTTGAGCCTGGGGTGTAGGTGGGTCCACAACTTGCATTGGTGAAGCCTGTTGTTCTCTGTTGCTTGCGGGCGCGACCTGCTGATGGGGTACGGGATTGAAGCTCAGAGCGGGCTTCGTCCCATTCAACCCTTCAGCTTGGACAGGAGGCCTCTGTTGGGGTACGGATGCATTGGTCACGGGGACCTTGCTTCCATTCAACCCAGCAGCCTGCGGTGCAGGAGTGGTGGCCTGTCCAGCGGTCTTTGTCTTCTTCTTCCTTGGCTTCTTCTTCTTGGGGGCGCCATCCAGAGACCTAAGTCTCTTGTGGTCCTGGTGTGGTGATGTAGATGGGGATCTGCTTTTCGAGTGATATTTTGGTGGCGTTCTTGTGACCACCATATGTAGTGTAGAAAATGAGAATAAATAATTCTGAACCGAGCTATTGGCTCGGGATGCTTCTTTTCTCTTACTCTTTTTGATCCATTCTTTTGTTGTGTTTCCTTTGAACAAACGCCAGTGAAAGCAGGATCAGCGCTCCCTTTATTCTCGACCTCCTTTATGTTGCGACCAATACCCAGGCGTTAGAAAACGTACGGGCGATCGAACAGTCGGGACGCGCGATGAAAGCATCATATTCCAGGGTCTACTTCATTGTCAGTACTCTTTTCACCATCTTTTCACCCCTTCCTTCCCCTGTTTGTTATAAAGATCTCATATATGCGAACTCCTTGGGACTACCCCAGTCGTTTCTTAAAAGAACTCAGTCCTTTTTGCTCTTGGTGTCCGTTTGACTAAACTAGATCCCCTCCTATCTTCTTTTGTAACAAGCAACCACATCACGACACTGGGGGTCCTGGCCGGAGGGCCCCGGGTCCTTGATGGTGGGTTTTGGCGCATGGCGGGTCTGAAATCCATTCTGGTCCGGCGCCGAGATTCTCTTTGATCCCTGCTCCTTGTTGTTGTTGTTGTTGTTGTTGTTGTTGCTGTTGCTGTTGCTGTTGCTCTTGCTGTTGTTGTTGTTGTTGCTTTTGTTGGGTTGTTGTCTGTTGCTGTTGTTACCTCTGCTACTACTACCGAGTTGGTTGACTGTAGGCGTTCCCTCCATGTAGCGGTACGACATGATGGTTTTAGTCAGCAGGGGTGTGTTGCTCAGGGCTAGTGTCGTGATGTGGTTGCTTGTTACAAAAGAAGATAGGAGGGGATCTAGTTTAGTCAAACGGACACCAAGAGCAAAAAGGACTGAGTTCTTTTAAGAAACGACTGGGGTAGTCCCAAGGAGTTCGCATATATGAGATCTTTATAACAAACAGGGGAAGGAAGGGGTGAAAAGATGGTGAAAAGAGTACTGACAATGAAGTAGACCCTGGAATATGATGCTTTCATCGCGCGTCCCGACTGTTCGATCGCCCGTACGTTTTCTAACGCCTGGGTATTGGTCGCAATATAAAGGAGGTCGAGAATAAAGGGAGCGCTGATCCTGCTTTCACTGGTGTTTGTTCAAAGGAAACACAACAAAAGAATGGATCAAAAAGAGTAAGAGAAAAGAAGCATGCCGAGTCAATAGCTCAGTTCAGAATTGTTTATTCTCATTTTCTACACTACAAATGGTGGTCACAAGAACGCCACCAAAATATCACTAGAAAAGCAGATCCCCATCTACATCACCACACCAGGCTTGCTGTTGCCTTGCTGCAGCTTCTAGAGTCGTGTCCAGTAATGCCGCATCCCACGAAGAAGGCCGGGGCGTTTCTCCTGAAAAAGTACGTGTTCCAGCGAAGAAAGTTGGCGATCCTGGGCAGCTGTGGGTTGGACGGGATGTTCTCGTGGAACGTGAGTCGGAAGGATATGTTACCATCCTTGATTGTGTGTGTTGGGTGTCGAATGTACCCAAAGCTGATGTTGTCAACGGTCCCGTGGTTACCGAAGATAGCCGTCAGTTCGGTCTGGATCTGTTCCAGATTGTCGGTGCAGGCGATGTTGTTGGCGAAGATCGTCTCCTCCACTCCCGAGGTGTACACCGTCTTGGATGGCTGAATCCAGAAGGTGGTTGTAATCTCCAGGGGGATGTTAAGGGCAAAGTCAAACTCAGCCTTATCCTTGAAAATCGCTGCCATATATTTATGGACTTGGTCGAATCGCAGCTCCGTCACGCCCCTGACTTGGTCTGCGATGGCATTCATCACCTGGGTGTATGTGATGCCTTGGGGCGTGTCCTTCTTGCCGGGAAGGGTGGAGGCCAGGACATAGTCGTTCCTGAACACGGTCGCGGGGAGCGTGTCTGCTACTGGGCGATACTTGCCCGCTGCAGCCTTTTTCGCCCATGTTGCTGTTGACTCCAGGGGTGGGCGAAACACAACCGGTTGTTGCTGTTGTTGTTGTAGTTGTCGTTGTTGTTGTTGTTGTTGATGCTGTTGCTGCTGTGGTGGGTTCGAGGTGTCGGGGGTTGAATTCGACTTTTGATGGATGGGTGGATGGGTCCCAGATCCATCCATCGCCAACCTGGGCGCTGCAGATGCCGATCTGGTTCCAGTTTCTGGATTCGGGTCGGTACCTGGCGGAACTGTTTCTGCCGCCAGGGCCATGTCGTGATTGACCGACATGGGTAGGTGGGAGATAAAAAGGAAAAAAGAGAGGTGGTAGTGTTACTCAGGGGAGAGGGTTGACGGCCAGAGTTGTAGGACCGCTGTTAAGTCCTCAATTGGTACGAGGGGGAGGGGAGGTTGTAGGTTGGAGGGGGGGGGGGAAGTGATAGCGTCCTAAACGAATCACACGAAACGATACACTGTAGCGCGACAGCGAAACTCTTGTTAATACTGCTCTCGTCCAAGAAGTGATGTGTAAAAGGACCTTGAATTCATATTATCAAAGAGGGGGTTGTTACCTGCAGCGCGCCAGCGAAACTCTTGTTAATACTGCTCTCGTCCAAGAAGTGATGTGTAAAAGGACAAAGAGGGCTCGGCGCACTACTAATACTATGTCTACTAAGGAATATGACTGCTAACCTAAGGCATCGCCGCCACTGCCTAGCCACCACAACTTTTTGTAACAGTAGAAAGGGGAAGAAAGAGTTGCTCTACCATTTGAGCTAGATCCCCGGAGGCAGATGTTTTCCACTTTTCTCACTCAATACAGGACGTGGGAAGTTGCATCACGTGACTAACCACGTGACTAGACCTGGCAGCGCTTTCAGCTTTGCTAACCCTGAAGTGATCAAGGACCCAACGCATTGCTGACGAGCGGCCGTTGGAAGGAGGAGGTTATCAGTGATGAAGAAGTGAAGAATCCCCTTTATTCGCATCTGACATTTGCCTTCCGTTTAAGCTGTTAAGAGCAGCGATAATTGTTGTGCAGAGTAAGGTTCTGGACTGGACTGTCACTAGTGGATGGTACACAATGGGTTTGGTCTGTTACCCCCTAAACCTCCAAATGCTTCCTTTATGTTGTTTGTCAGAGAAATAAAAAAAATAAATCACTTCAACCCTTAGCTTCACATTCTTTTTTTCTCAATGGTGACGTCCGACACATCAACTCCCGACACTACATTGCGTCGACGAGCAGGCAATGCCGACACTGCTCCTACTGCGCCCTCTTCTTCTTCTTCTTCTTCTTCAGCGATAACAACAGGAGCGACGAATGAAGGAACAGGAACTTCAACAGCAACTTCAACTACTCGAGCTGGCCCTCCCTCGTCCTCAACTTCAGCAGTGGACGAAACCACCTCAATAACAACACAGCAGGACGAGAAACCGGTCTACGAGGGCAAGGTCTACTACAACGGACAGCTGTACGAGGGAACAGGACGGTTACCCCGAGACGCGCCCTTCACCCCATCCTATGTCAATACCTACACAGTCAATTCCGCCATCGCTTTTGTATCGCTCGTGGTTACCATAACCTTCTTCTATTTCAAGATTGTGGCTGGACTACTCGAGTCCCCGCAAGTCGGACCCGACCGCGAGTTCCTGGCATCGATGGTGATGGATCATCATGGACCCATTGACGGTAGTGAGCCTCGACCGTTCCTGAAGCCGATCTGCCCCTCGCCTGAAGCGTTGTTGGATCAGCAGCGGCAGAGAAGTGGTAGTAGTGGACAGGGAGGAGTGGGGAATGACGATTGTGTGTTGTTTGGGAAGATTGTTGTGCTAGCGGATTCGATCTCAAAGTACGGATACACTCATGCGACTCATGGCTGGCTTGGGTTCTTGGCGGACGAGTGGGCGGGTCGTGCTGACGTTGTTCTTCGAGGATTTCCAGGTGCAGTTCTGAAAATAGTTTTGCTTGGTTTCTCGGCTTTCCTTGCATGGGTCTCTGAAACTCACTCCCTTGCACTAAAAAATGTCCAATGATGCATAGAGTACAACACCCATTGGGTCAAATCGATCTTTCCTGAAATCCTCCACCAAGAGTCCCCCTCTGTCGTCCTTGCAGGCAGCAACGGAGCTTCTACAGGCACCACCATAGGAGCCATCAAACTGGTGGTCATTGCTCTGGGCACCGACGACGCGTCGTTCCCCAACACGCGTCATCACGTCTCCCTGTCGGCCTACAAGGACAACCTCCGCACACTCATCAACACCATCCGCTTTCCCGACTCTCCCAACTACTCGCCCGATACCCAAATCATCCTGGTCACCCCCGCACCTGTCGACACCGAGATGTGGGCCGCATCCCTTGCAGCCATCAACTTGCCACTAGACCGGTCCAATAATATCACAGAGGAGTACGCACATGCCTGTGTCGAGGTTGGAGAAGAGCTCCATGTCCCTGTGGTCGATCTGTGGTCCGATATCGATTGTCAAGTCCAGGGGACGTGTGATCTTCACGAGTCTAACCGTCTGCCAGATTTCCTGATGGATGGCTTGCACCTGAAGCGACTTGGGAATGAGGTCCTGTACAAGGGGATCTTGAACGCGGTCGCGCATCATTATCCGCATCTCCATCCAACCTGCTGGCCTAGTGTTTATCCTGGCTACACCGAGTCCTCGAGTCCCAACGAGTATGCGCTCAAGCGACCATGTGTTAGCAGGCACTGAAGATATAGCACAAAACGCGCTGGCTGTTTGGAATAAAACTCTAAGAAATAATTATATTGACAGCACTTATTCTATGATCTATGATGGAGCTTGATCTAATACACTTACTCGATCAAGAACAAACGCGCCTCTTCGTTCTTCTGACTGGCCTCAATAACGACTGGATGGACCTTTGATGCGTCATGAAGAAGCTCCGCCGAGTACGAGCCCTTCTCCTCTCCAGCTGCTCTCAAAAGACTGCTTCCACTAGCAAGACGCCAAAGGACCTCAAAGACCGGTTTCCGACCACTGATTCCCCAAGGCGACCGATCCTTCCTTCCTCCTCCTCTTCCTGCTGTCACTCCTGTCCCTGTTTGTCCTTCTTCAACAGAATGACTCCATTCCTCAACAGCCTTTTGAACCCGCGTCGCCTGCTGGATGGATTCTTGTTGGTATGCTTGAAGAGCGGCCAGTGCGGATGCGAGAAGGTTGGGTCGGTTTTGGATCTGTTCCAGGGCGCGTTGGGTCAATTGCATCGAGATGAGGGGTTCACGGTACAAGTTGGGGGATTCCTTGTCGAAGAGGGTCTTGCTTGGCTGCAGAGACTCTGACACAATACGCGCTATTAACATTGCAAAAAGGTAAATTGAGGCAGAGGTTGATGTTAGTATCGATCTTTTTTTGTGTTCGTGACTGAAAAAAACAACAAGAGATAACGATGGGTAACAAAACAATAACAAAAAAAAAAAAAAGACTTACCTGGGTCTTCAGTTCCCAATAATCCAAAAACAAGCGCCTGAATCAACAACCGGATCTGCTCTTCGTTCGCGTCCGGTCCCGCAAAGAGTACAACCTGGTGGTCGTAGACGAGCGTCAATGCCTTCTCGGACGAGACGGCATATGGAAGCTGGATTCCTCTAGAAACAATCAGCGTAGCTTCTTCACGGACTTCTGCTTCATCGTCCTGAAGTTGCCAGGTCAAGGTTTCAAGAAGTCGAAGGTAGGCTGGTGTTTTGGTGGTGGATGGGTGTGGTTGGTGCGGGTCCATGAGCTGGGATGTGAAGAAGGAAATTGATTCCAGGGCTGCCTCTCGGAGCTGCAAGGTCTATTTGTTTTTTTAAAAAAAAGAGATACGTTTTGGGTTGAGTATGTGTGGTCATATGAGTTATTTCATAACTGAAAAGAACGCAAACAAAGGGTATGGTGCGTACTTGATATTCGTTGGCGTATTTGTGGATGGAGGTTGACCAGCGGTTCAAGCAGTCAATCCGCAGGGACTCTTCAACCTTGGAATCGTTCCAGATCTATCAATGTAAATCAACCATAAAAATGAACACGTTTAGAAGGTCAATTCTTGCATCGAAATATGAAAAAAAATCGCATTCACATCAAAAGAAACCTTACTTGAGCAAAGACGTTTCCAGTGGCAGGCAGGATGGCTTCGACAACAGCAATACCGCCCATGGTCTCATCATCAATATGCGTGCAGAGACGGTTCCAGAACTCGACAATGTCAATATGGGATCCCTCGGGGAAGGGCTTGTTGCCTCCAAACTTGGACATCAACGCAACCTCGAGGCGGAGACACTCCAGATTCTCCTCGCCCTTGAACAGTGTGTTGATGAGCGTGTTGTGAATGACAGACGCATCCAAGTAGGTCTGAACACCCTCCCGGTTCGACTCGAGCCACATCTGCAGGGTCTCCAGTGTCTCCAAGCGGACTTCATAGTCGGCGTCATTCAAGAGGGATGTCACAATGCCGGTGATCTGGTCCCTGGTCATGGCGGCGTTCACTCCAAGAACAGTTGCTGAAATGACCGTTCTGGCCATAAGGCGGCGAACAAGGTGGCCTCCGATGTGTTGACGATAAGTCTTCTTCTCCTCCAAGAGACCGACCACAGCATAGTCGATAATAAAATCGCGGATGCTCTTGAAGTGGATAGTACTCAGACGCTTCATCTCCTCCCTCTCACTCTCCATCTCCATCTCTGCACCTTCCTCCTCCTGCACAGAGTTACGACCCATCCAGGTCTCCCCGAGGACAAACTCGGCATAGATCGAAAGCACCATCCACCGGTTCAGCTGGCATCCAGTCTTGAGAACACGCTCCGTCACGGGCCCAAACACGTCTGCGAAACGCGTCACGAATGACTTTCGAACTACGCGATCGGCAACGCCCTCTCCCAGGAGATGGCCACGCAGAAGGAACTGAACCTGGACCAAAAGACCGTGGACTTCGTTCTGGGAAATCTTGTCCTTGGCGCAGCCCTGCAAAATATCGACGATCCAATCCATCAAATCGTGAGAGGCAATCAGAGGGATCAACGCACGGGCCGCCATCTCGCGGGTTTTCCAAATGGCACTTGCAGCACACCGACGGACGAGGGTGACAAAGGCAGACATGCCGCCGTCGACCGCATCGGCTGGGTCGGCATGAAGACTGGGCTGCAAACGAGAAAGGAGTGTCAAAACGGGGTAGAGGCCAGGATGGACACGATCTTGAGCTGATTCGGCATCCAACAGCTGCCTAACCGCCACCTCGAGCTGACTCTGCAAGAAATCGCACAGTCCTTCAAGACGAGCAAAGAGCTCGCGACTGGTGATACCGTTAATCGCCAAATGCTCATCACGGACCCTCTTGGCTCCAAAGACACGGTGCAATAGGGTCGAGAACAACATGACACCGCAGTTACGGACAGCCCATGATGGCGACGAGAATGCGCGGATAGAGAGCTCAAGTCCTTGACCGACATAGGGGAGGACCGAGGTGCTAAGCTTGGCGTCCATAAAGAGGCGACGCAAAACATTCATGGCGTGGATCTGAGGCAAGTCGACCTGATGGTTGGCATCGGGGCTGACGGGCTTTTCTGCGATCGCCATGACACGACGCATGACCATGGGAAGCAGGGTGCGGCGGTTGTCGGACAACTCGGCGTTGACAATGGCCAGGATGCAGAGAGGCAATCCGGCAGATCGACGGGTGACCGAGATAGAGTCACTGAGAATAGAGTCCAGGTTCTCTTCGAGCCAGACCCTTGGGAGAGCGGCTAACGCCGAATCCTCCGAGTTGAGCAGTCTTGTGCAGAGCGAGATGTAAGCTGGGAAGACGGACGAGAAGGCACCTGGATGACGTATAGTCGTCAACAATCGTCTGAACAAACTTCCAGCGCGGTCGAGAGCGTTGGGCTCCAGAATACCATCAGTCTTAAGTGCGCTGCCGCCCAGGGTGGCCTTGGAAAGGACCAACTCCATAAGTGAAGACGACTCCTTAATAGCGCGCCAGCAGTAACTCAGGATAACCTGATGGTTGGGCCCACCGCTCTGCTCAAACTCGTCTCCGCCTGAAGAACTGATAACAGCATCGATCGACTCTTCCATCTCAGTGAATGTGGCTGGGATGTTGCCCTCGGGCGAGGGGTTTGAAAGAACGCCCATGACTACGCCGCAGACGCTCTCGACCAGATCCATCATGTCCGCGTGGACTGCCTGCCAAAGAGGGCGGTGATTGGTGACAAGTGGGGAGGCATAGTCGATGGACGAGAAGAGGTAGCGAAGGCCGATCAGGGTTCCGTGAACTGGGTGATGGTATGCCGCGTCCAGTTGGTTCTGACGAGCCCTCTCCAATTGAACGCGAAGCAAGTTCTGCAAGCGGATTGTGAAGTCAACTATAGTGACAGGTGGAATGACGAAAGTATTAGAGTGGAATAGATATAAAGTGAAAAAAGGCAAATGATAAAGTAAAGGATTATACCTGCGGGGTTTCCCGTGTAGGCTGCAAACTTGACGTCCTTGAACTCCTCAGAACCATCGTATGGCAGATCAATGTCCCATCCGAGCTCGATGGCGTACTTGACAAATATGATCTTGAGAACCAATCCGCCCGAATCACTCTCACCGGCTCTGGTGCTCTTGAGCCAGTCAAGTCCCCAACGGACCAACCCATCAACAGACTCTTTGGTGCCGTAGCCTTCAAAAGGCGCGTCAAAGTTCATCAGAATCTCCAAGGCTTGCTCACGACAGTGGTCGAAGGGGTTCAAGAGGCAGCCCAAAAGAATCTTGGTGTGCTCCTTGCTGGCAATGGGGAGCTGGAATGGGAAGCGAGAGATGTCGTTGGGCTTTGAGCCAGGAGGCAAGGGGGTGGTCTTGATTCCAAAGGTCTTGATCATGACTCCAAGTAAACGCAAACTTGTCGAGACACGCTGGAAGGATGATCCTGGGTAGATCGAAGAAAAAATATGGTCCAGAAGCCACTCCAGGAACGCCTTTGTCTCGGCAACCTTGGCCTCACGCTCCTGAATCATCTCGTTCGCATCTGCCTCGCTCAAGTTCTTCTTGCCAACTGGTGTGTGGAGTCGAGAAATCTCACGCGCCAACACATAACAGTTGCCTCGCACACGGAACAGGAACTTGGCCAGGTGCGAGTACAGCTTCTGACGGAAATCGGGTACGACGGCGTTGAGGTTGAGGGGGAGGAACTTCTTCAGCAGATCGTATTCCATCAATGCCACGGGTGTAGTCGATTTTCGGGACTCGCAGAGGATACCCAGGACGTCGATGCGGATATCTGCTGAAGCATGATGCATAGCCGAGTGAAGAACAGAGATGTCGATCTTGGGCTTGCCAGAGTCGTTTGTGGCGGTTGTTGACGAGAAATCAACATAGTTGCTGGCATCGACCAGATCCAGCGAGCGAGCAATCTTGATCGAGAGCACAATGGCGTTGAAACGATACTGCTCGTCCGAAATGTATCCTGGGTAGGTGACATTGGTGGTGTCGTTCAGAACGTCGAGCAAAGTCCAGAATGCCTCGGGGCAAGTCGAAAAGAGTGGCGAGAAGATAAAGTGTCCCAGATGCTTGCGGATCAAATCGTTGTCGGTCGTCAGAGCCTGGGTCACCGATTTCATCCAAAAGTCCACCCATGGTTGGATGGCAGCCTTGCGTGCTGAGCGGGTAGCAGTCGCATCCATTGCTGAGTCCTCTATCGCCTTTCCAGTGTTCTTGTCAGACTTCTTTGCTGCGACCGCGAGGACGTTAGCGTTCTTGACATCCAGTTCGAGGCACTCTTTCCATGACTTTTCGATCATCGCGTTAATCGCAACGGCTGCACCGGGCGCAGTGGCGAGCTGTTCCAGAGCGAGAATGGCCTGAGAAAGAGCGTCCTGTCGAAGGTGAATGACCTCTGCCATAGGGACTCGTTCCACCAAGATGGCTAGAATAGGGTGCTTGGACTTTCTGTGACCATCCGCCATAAGGATGCGCTGAAGGAGATCCGTGACGAATGCTGGGGTGGTGTGCTCATTGCTGAGTTGAGCCTTGAGGTAGACAATGTCCAGAAGCAGCTCCAGAATGTTCTTGACCTTGTGTTGAACGGCGTCGACAGGATCCTCCCAGTAGTCGAGAACGTAGGTCGCGAGTTTCTCCTGCGCCTGCTCGTTGATACAGTTCGCCAGCGCTTGCTTCATCTCTGTTGATGCTGTCGATTTGTCACCCAAGTGCAGCTTTGTCTGTTGAAGCCAGTGTCCCATCGTCTCAAAGGCGCTGGTCTTGCTCGACATGTCCTTGGAAGTGGCACAGAGATAAGCGATCGCATGGAAGAGGACCTGGTGCAAAACCAAGTTGCCCTTGTTGAGATCGTCAAAGACAGCAGGGGCGTACCAATGAGAAATGTGCTCGACAGTCATCACCAGGGCCTCCGGACGGATGTTGGTTAAAAGTCCACGTACGACGCCCAACATGTACATTCCTGCATCCTCCTCTCCTGGACCGCACTTTTCTCCCAAGTAGGTGTTCCATCCGAAGTCCATCTCGACCATGACCTGTGGAATCTTGGGGAGGTATGCAAGATCCTGTCCATTGGCGCCAAAGACAAGCCCGACTATCCTGCGGGTTGCTTCCTGAACGTTGGGCGAGGTCAGATCGACCAAGTTGGCAAAGATCATTCCTGAGATCGAAGACACGTCGCGGTGGTATGCTGGAGAAGAAGATACTGTGATGGCGTCCTCGAGGATCCGGAGAATGTACGGTTGTGTGGTGTGTGTTGATGAAATCTCGAATTGGTGTGTGGATGAAGTTGATAGCTCTGACTGTCGGTTGTCGTTGTTACTGACGATTAGGCGAGAGATAATGGCGAGGATGAGTTTGAGAATGAACTCAAGATCCATCATAGCTTCCGTGTATGCGCTTGGGATGTGGTCCCTGCCCACCTATTTCAGATTTAATTGAGCGATAGTTCAGTTAAGTATATTTTCATGCCAATGAACATGGTCCATAGAATGACTAAAGAAGAGATCGACTTACATCGACGTTAGTGGTTTCGACTCTGGTATGAAGCAGTAATGAGAGTTGGTCGAGGATGGCATCCATGTCTGCGTGAATCGCAGCTCGTCCCATGGCGTAGTCGAGGGTGGTATAGAGGGTGAGAGCGCGCTGGTGCCATGCCATATCGATCTCGATGCAGGGTTGTCCTTTGACGGAAAAGATGTCGTTCATGATAACAGATCGCATAGCAGAGACAATGGGTCCGTTCTGATCGGCCTCGTCGAATTGTAATTGAGACTGGAGGGATTGGATGAGAGCAAAGATCTGTTTCCTGGACGACAGCTTGGCGGAGGCAAAGTAATAGAGTGCCATGAAGCGAGAGAATGCCACCTGGAAGTCAGGTCGCTCCAGATATGATCCATGCTTCTCCCTCTGTGTCCTTGCAGCTTGCTCTATTATTTTTATCAGCGATTAGAAAAAAGACGTGAGTGATGAGGAGATCCGAATTGGTATCGATTGTAAATTGGGTTGATACGTTCTTCCCAGGAGTAATTGAGCTTTCTATCATCGATTGATCTGCGTACATACCGAGCTTCTTGAAGGCAGCGGCCTGTTGCTGGGTTGTTGTGCGACCGTACTTCTCCTGCTCCTGGCGGGACTCGTTGATAAAGTGGAACCAGGCAGCAACGAGAGGCTGGTCTGCAGTGTCAGCCTTGAATGGCTCGATGAGGTCGGACCAGCAGCTCGCGTAGGCTACGGAGAGGTCCTTTGACTGGAAGGCCTGCTTTGTCTTCTGATGCAGCACCATCGTGCTTGGTCAATGAATGTCCTTGAGTACAGAAAAAAGAATGCTGAGCTGGGCTGGTCATTTTTTTTTCTTTGTTGGCAACATGAAAGTGACTGCTCATGCACGACAAATCAGCCACTCATCGAAAGACCAGCCGAGCAACACTTCTACAAAGTCGCGTGCAAAAGAGACCTTTCCTTTTTCTCTTTTCTCTTTCCATTCAACAACAACCACAATGAAGCTTGTCATCACCCCAAGGTCTGCAAAGTCGCGCAAGTTCCCTATCACCCTTGACCTCGTCGGCTCGCCTGCCGATGTCCGTGTCGAGGACGTCCAGAACGCCATTGCCACAAAGTACCCTCAGTTGTACGTCGACCGTCAACGTTTGACTGTTGAGAAAACTGCTCTGGAGGCCGGTAAGACTCTTTCTGACTATGGCCTCAAGGATGGCGATTCTGTCACGTTCAAGGATCTCGGTAAGTACGCGGAGATGATACTTTCTTGCTTTTTTGTTCAGGTTTGGAAGTAGTTGCTACATAAGGCATTTTCAGTAATACTCACACCCTTACTTCGTCGTTCATTTTTCAGGTCCACAAATAAGCTGGCGCACCGTCTTCTTGATTGAATATGGTGGTCCATTGGTCATCCATCCCTTGGTCTACTATCTCCCCAAGTTGTTCTACGGAGAGTCCTTTGAGCACAGCTGGATGCAAACGTATGTCGATGTTTCTTTCATTGACATATTACAGGACACATGGATATGTCATAGAAGCCTAACGCGTGCTATTGTTTTTATAACGTGTAAATAGCGTCGCTTATTGGATGGTTATGCTTCATTTCTTGAAGCGCGAGTACGAAACCGTTTTCGTTCACCGCTTCTCTCACGGTACCATGCCCTTCCGCAATGTCTTCAAGAACAGCGCCCACTATCACTTGTTGTCTGGAGTCAACCTCGCCTACTGGGTGTATGGTCCCTGGAACGCTGAGGGAGCCAAGCTGGCTGAGAGGAGTGATGCTCTCGTTTATGGATGCATTGCCCTTTACATTTTTGCGGAGCTGTCCAACTTCCACACTCACGTCACTTTACGTAACCTCCGCCCTCCAGGCACCAAGATCCGCAAGATCCCTCGTGGCTATGGTTTCCAATGGGTTTCATGCCCCAACTACTTCTTCGAGACTCTGTCCTGGTTGGCTGTCAGTGTTTTGACTATGTCATGGTCCGCCCACTTGTTCTTTATCGTTGCCGTTGGTCAGATGTACATCTGGGCTGTCAAGAAGCACAAGGGCTACCGCAAGGAATTCTCTGACTACCCTCGCGGTCGCAAGGCCATGTTCCCCCTGGTCGCTTAACGCTTTCATCTATGTTTTTTTTCCCCACTCGTTTCAGTTTAGGTGTATGGTATATTCAAATAAAAGCAATCGCGTCTTTCAATCGCTTTCGGGGTTTTATTTTTGCGAAAGAGATTCGAGGCCAGTGACCTCGCAGCTCCAGTTCCACCACAGCTTCTGCTTGGCAGGATCTCTGCTCTCCTCGCTCGACTCGTTCTCGACACCGTCCATGAAATAGATGCCGTTCTTGAGTCTGTTCTCTCCAGTGGCGGTCTTGAAGACACGGAGTCCACCTTCTTCCACGGACGTGGCGAAGCTGGCCTTGGCGAGGACATTGTTCATCAGCACTCGGGTGGCAAAACCAGACTCGCGCTTCAAGTCTGTAGTGGGAACGAACCCTGGGCAGACCTGGATGTTCATCACGAGTAAAGAGATAGTATGGCCAGGTGTCGTTAATACTTGCGCGGTTTCATATTGAGGCGCAAAGCAATTTTCAGTTATGGAAAATACTTACAGCGTTTACAGTAATAACTTTGCTGTCGACAGAGGCAGCCAAGACATACGTGCAGAGGGCTTGGTTCAACTTGGAGTTGCGGTAGGCAACCATGCCATCAAAGTCTTTGTCGCCATCGACGGTCTCCATGGTCAGGATAGGACCCTTGCCCTTGCCGACGCCAGGCTTGTGCAGCGACGACGAGACGAACACAATGGTAGAGGGTTCTTCTGGTCTGGCAGCATGTCCTGCCGTCAAAGAAGGCAAAAGAAGTTGGGCTAACAGGAATTGGGACAGGTGGTTGACCTGCATGTTGGTCTCGCGCTTGTCCTCTGTGAGGCGAAGCGAGGTAGCCATGACACCAGCGTTCAGGATGAGAGCGTGGATACCATTAGGGAAGGATGCCTTGATGTCCTCAGCAAAGGCACGGGTGGACTTGAAGGAGGCGAGGTCGAGTGGTTTCGACTCGACAGTGTTATCGCCAGTAGCTAGGGCGGTCAGATTCTTGACGCCAACGGCGGCACGAGCACTGTCCCTGCAACCAAGGACAATATGGACGTTGGCCTGAGAGGAGATCAGGTTCTTTGCGCATTCGAAACCGATGCCGACATTTCCACCAGTGATGACGAAGATTTGTTTGGTCATGATTGTGTCGTGTTGGAGGCGAATGTGAAAAGTGGAGTGCGTGTGAAAGGAGCGTGGTATTGTAAAGAGAAAGAGATAAAAAATGAAAAGACAAGGAGGATAAAATAAAGGAGATGAAAACGCGGGTGGCCCTTTTTGGGGCGGTTCTTGCGGGCTTGACCGGTTGCGGTTTGTGGCACCTCCCCCATCCCCCGCCTTCTTGTTATGAAGAGAGGTCTAGGCTGTGATAGGCCACGGAACATGGACAATGGACTTTGAAAAAGTCATCTTTTTGCTGTTCAAGGCGGTCCAACAGAGACTGCAACAGCTGCACTCTTCAAGATGATATTTTCCATCTGATAAGAGATTTGGCTTTTTTTTTTTTTTTTTTTTTTTTCATCTTCCCCAAAGTCGCATCAGACACGCGTGTCACAGCAAAGGAATTGGGTGGCTTGGTTTTTTTTACCTTCGGTCAAAATGAAGCGCGATCAACTTTGCCACCTTTGGTGTGTCTCAACTCCACACCTCTCTCTCTCTCCTTCCATTGTACCCCTTCTGACTGTGTAGATTGACGCACACACCCATCAAGGACACGTCGCATATCACTCACACACTCGCCATGGCGGAACCCAAGATCGAGGAGGTTGATGTCGACTTTACTCTCTGCACTGTACGTCAAACCACCGGCAGACATTCTTTCTCTGTGCGCGTTGTAGGAATGTTTTCTTGTAAAATCACAGAATTATGAACACACGCACGCAAACAGAATGACTTACATTCCAACTGCAACACGTTACATAGGACATCGCCTTCAAACAACTCAAGAACTCTGTCGAGCTCACTCTCAGTGACCGATTGCCTGACGAGATTGCCGCCAACGGCAGCATTTTTGTCGTCTCCAACACATACGGATATTTTATCGCCGGACAGAATGAGGGTACAGTTGGAACAAAAGGAGCTACTCTCGACAATGGAGGCGTATTTTGAAATCAGAGCATTGACTAATACTGAATTGTGATTATCTATTGCAGGATTTCTTATTGATAAGCTGTCATCTCTGAGATCGGCCTTTGAGAATGGCGAAGTGAGCGCCTCCAACGACTACAACGAGGCAGCCAGAGTAGAAATCTCAGGAGAAACTATCAGTCATATCAGACTTTCGGCAGATGAACTGACGGTCATCGTTGGATTGAGAGGTGGCCTGATTCATTTGTACAGCGTCACCAAGCTTCTCGCCAAGGTATGATGCATTGTGGATACCCCAGGATATTATATGCATTCCGGTGCATCTTATTCCTATTACTCACGAAGCCTTTTTTAACATCTATAGGCCAAAGGAGCCAAGCCCGTCGCCCTTCTGGATCTTGGCAGCGAGATTCTGGACATCCGCCCTAATCCAGCAATAGACCAAAACAGACTGATTGCAGTATTGCTTGACAACAGGACCATCAGGATGATAAATATGGAGGACGGCTCTACTACTGTAATACTCGACAAGCACAAGTACACGGCAATGGCATGGTCAAGCAAAGGAAAGCAGATCATGTGCGGAACCGAGAATGGACGTCTTTACCAGATTGACCCTGAAGGAGCACTCAAGAAGGAGCATCTGCCCAATCCAGACAACAATGGCCACCAAGGCAAGTATTCTTGATGACTATGCCATTCTGCCGATACATCTTTTCGACATTGTTGAGGCTAACCAGACTCTTCGTGCACTTTTGAAATATCCCGTTACTAGTTACTACTATTGCGTGGCTCGAAACAGCAGTGTTCATTGTCGTCTACACCGAACAGCCAGAGGACGATGGCACACCCTCCTTCATATCCGACTTTTGTGTGATCTCGAAAGTGGACAAGACAAAACCAACAAAGTTTACCAGATACAGAGAACTTTGCTACCCGATGCCCAACGATATCTGCGGAGTCAACTACTACGTATCCTCCTCGTTGAAAAATCTGTAAGTTTCTTTACTGGGTTACACTTGTCAAATCTCTCTACCGCCCCATTCCATCTAACCAACGAGAACGTTGATTATATCCTTGTAACAGGAGCAAGAACTACAAGGAGTTCATGGTGGCGGGATATTCAGCCTCGACAGATATTGCAACTATTGCGAGAGGTCAAGATGGCGAATGGATGTTACTCGATTTACCAGAGGTTGATAGACCTATGGTTACCGGCTCGGATCCGTGCATGTTGGGAATGGCAATTGATTTGACTGCGACCAAGCCCTTGGAACCTCTCGAAGAAGAGGGACCTGAGGTGCCCGCTGCCCCAATTTTATACGTCTACAACAACCATGGCCAGCTTTCAGCATACAACATATTGGAGCTCCCTATTGCCAAGCAGGGTCTCCCTAATGGAGCGATGGTGCAGCCAAAGGCTCTTCCACAAACATCCTCGTCAACCAAGGCGACACCGGCTGCCAAGGCAAACCCAGTACCCAAGACAGCGCCAAAGGCGGCTTCGGCAACGCCTTCAGTGGCAAGAGTCGCTGCACCGACGCCCAAGGTTTCGTTTGGCGCACCAGCGTCTGCATTCGGCTCGTCACCTTCGTCCCCAAGTGCAACGTTCAGATCTTTCGCTCCCAACCCCGTTGTCAACCCCAACCCAGCCTTCCAACAAAATACAGCTGCTCCCCCAAAGCCACTCGGCACTATGCAGAAGATTCTTCAAGAGAACGACCCACCACTTCGAATCGTCCGCAAGAAGAGTGTTGCAGACGCACCCTCTGCTCCTGCGCCCAAAGTGAGCCCCGCTATGGATGCACTATCAAGGCAGCTCGAGAACACCTACCTTGCGATGACAGAGGAGCTCAAAACATTGCATAGCCACGTCAGGGACACCGAGGAGCTCGTCAAGGCTCGAGAGCATGTATTTGGAGAGCTGGATCAGTTCATGTTGGTCACCGAAAAGCGCATCAAGGCTGCAGAAAAAACAAAGGTCCTGGCAGAGAGTGTCTCGAAGGACTTTGCCAGCCTTCAGACGGATCTCGTCAAAGGTAATCTACTGCAACACGCGTCATTCCTTTGATCACTGGTGACATTTGGATTTTTACTGACAACTCACTCTTCCTTTACTGTAATGTAGTAACAACCAAGCGAGAGGAGATTGGGAAACTGCTCAAAGCTCGGGAAGATCCTAGTTTGCTGGAGAAGGTATTGACAAGCGAGCTGAATCCTGTTCAAGCTGCGATGCAAGACCAAATGACACGGACTATTGAGGTAACCATGCAGACCGTACCGTGCTTTATATATGCTAAATTTTGAAGTCAGTATACTACACATGTCAGCTCACATATGCTTCGCCCGCCGCTTACTATTCTAGACGATCGACAGTCGCCTTCGTGACTTGGAGAAACATGTGGAGGATATGAACACCGAGGCAAACAAACTCCGTCAGGGTCAATACACCGAGTACCATAAACTGGACTCTATCCGTCGCACCATCCGTCACATTAGCACTGTTCTCATTTCTCGACAGAGTGATTTGGACCAGCTCTCAAATGATCTCGACAACCTCGCCATCACAGAGCCCATCAGCCCTCGGCATGGCTCGACTTCGAATGTTTCTGCTAAGGGATCCGTGACGACACAGAACAAGGACGCTTTCCACCTGAAATCCTTCTCATCTATCTCTGGAAATCGATCTACAGAGCAGTCCAAGGCCGCCTTGGCTCGTGAGCTGCGGCGCGTATTCGCTGCGGACTCTAAATCCACGGCCATTTTGAATGCGCCCAGCTCAACTGCTGCAGGTACTCCCCTTTCTGTGTTGCCAAAGTTGAAGGAGGTAGAGTTCGTCCCTGTCTTTGAGCCACGTCGATCCGAAAGGAAGAAGCGCCTCGCAGCCACAGTTACTCCACAGCCAGAGGTTCCAGCGACAGCAACTCCTCCACCATCCGTGCCAGCGTCTGTGCCAGCTTCTGCCACCCCTGTCCAATCGTTTGGCCAGTCTGGACCTGCATTGGGATCACCGACTGCGTCAGCAACCGCCACTGTGGTCTCGACCCTCTCACCAGCGTTTGGGTTCAAAGCAGCCAGCAGTCCTGTTCCTGCGCCAGCTTTCGGAATCCCTCAAACATCGTCCCCGTTCGGCTCCACTCCTATGCCTGCAAAGGCAGCCCCCGGATTTGACACTCCTTCCTTGCCTAACTTTGGCGCTACACCACCCGCTGCAGCACCCATGTCCTTCGGAGCTCCAAAGACTCCTACGTTTCCCGGATTTCAAGTACCCAAGTCTGGGTCAAGCGCTGCTCCCGCGTTCCCCGGGTTCATTCCTAAGTCCGAACTAAGTGCCGCACCGGTCTTTTCTTCAGCCCCATCTTTCTCAGCTGCTCCCACAAGTCAGCCAGCATGGAGCCTTGGCAAGACAAGCACATCACTTCAATCTACTGGATTCGCAGGATTTCAAGCGCCTTCTTCTGTGGGCACAGCTGCCAAGGTGACCCCAGCTCCAGCTTCTAGCTTTGCCGGACCTGTTCAGCAGGAGGAAGAGGAGGAGGAATATGAAGGTGAAGAGGAGCAGGATGAGCCTCAGGAAGACGACGAGGGAGAGTACGAGGATGAAGAAGACCGTCATTACAATCAAGCACGTTACGAGCACGATGGACAGGTTTATGATCTTGAGGACGATGGTTCTGAACCCGAGACGTGGGGATCGGACACCGACCAGCGCGATTTCGACCAGGGTGAGGAGGATGAAGAGAACGAAGAAGAGGAAGGTCCGTACGAAGAAGAGGATGGCGATGAGAGTGAAGGTGAAGCTACACCCGCGCCAGTGTCGTCTGAAAAGAAGGACCCCACCGCCAAGAGTGCTTGGACAGCTCCAGGTTTCTCCTTCCCAGCCACGGCCCCTGCCACATCTGCCCCAGCCGCGGACTCTTCCAAGCCCGCCTTCTCATTCTTCACTGCTGCCGCCAAACAACCCAAGGATTCTGAGGTGAAGGCTGCCCATGTGGCGCAGTCACCATTTGGTACCACAGGCGCCAATACATTTGGATCCACGACGACGTTTGCTTTTGGCGCCCCACAGGCTGCTGCATCTACACCTGCCCCCGTTTCAGCCTTCGGACAGAAGCATTCGGCACCATCTACAGCAGTTCCCAAATCGACGCCAACTGCAAGGGAGCCAGTGAAGACTCAGGAGAGCGATGACGAAGAGGAGGACCTGCCAGATGAGGAACAGGAGGACTCGGACGTAGAGGGTGAGCAGGATGACGAGCAGGAGGAGTTGGGAAGCGAAGCTGAAGAGGATGGCGACTTTGATGAGGATGGAAGTGAAGTCGAGGAAGAGGAGGATGCTGAGGACGATAGCGACAAGGAGTCGGCCCTGACTGCTGTTCAGAGGGAAGGCTCATTTGCTCCGTCTACGGCATCTGGTGCCAAGTCTTCGAACTTGGAGTCTTCTGGTCTTGACTTTTCCAAGGCTGGCTTTGGTGGGTCTGTACAGAAGGGAGGCGACACTGCCTCGCCTTTTGCCAAGACCGCCTCATCAGCATCCAGCCAGCCCCTCTTTGGCGCAACACCCGCGTTCGGTTCCGCTTCAGATGCCAAGGCCACACCTGAAAAGAGTCTCGACATGCCATTCGTGAAGTTGCCTCGCACAAGGAAGGCGTCCCGTGATTCATTGGACTCGAACACGACTGATGATGAGGATCAGGCTGTGCCCGACAGTGAACCTTCTTCGCCCGTCCTGGGTTTCGGAAAGACCTCCAAGGGAACCTCAGGAGGTCTGGACTCTTTCAACCTGTCGTTGGGCAGCGAGCAGGCTAAGACTGACAAGAAGCCAGCTGCGGCTTGGGGCGAGAGCTCCTTTTCGTCTTGGGGATCTGCCAGTCAAACGTCTGTAGCTCCTCCAACAGGGGCTTGGGGCTCTAGCAGTCTCCATGGATCAAGTCAGCCTGCTTCATCGGCATCTCCCTTTGCTGCAGTCTCTACCTCTGGCCCTGGTGCCTCGGCCTCGCCGTTTGCAGCTGCAGCTGCAGCTCCTTCGGCGTTGACATCGACTCCTGCTTCGTCGGCCACTACCACCACCTCTGCCTGGGGCACAGGCGGAGGCTTTGGTCAGACATCCACTTTGGGAAGTGGGTTCGGAGGCAACACGACAGGATTCGGTCAGACCTCGCAGGCACCCGCGACCACTGTCTCAGGGTTCGGTCAGGCATCTCAACCCGGATCTACAACTGGCTTTGGGCAGGGCTCAACGCTTGGAGCAGGCACAGGATTTGGACAGACATCAACCGCTGGATCGGGCTTCGGACAAACTTCTACTCATGGAGCTGGTAGTGCTTTCGGACAAGCCTCAACGCTCGGTGCAGGTACAGGATTCGGACAGGCCTCAACGCTTGGAGCCGGCACTGGATTCGGACAGACCTCCCAACTCGGCAGTGGCTCTGCTTTCGGCCAAGCCTCTCAAGTGGGTGGTGGTACGGCATTCGGTCAAAAATCGCAGATGGGAGGCGGTTTCGGTCAGACGGCGTTTGGTCAGCCTTCTCAGATCGCTGCTGGAGCGTTCGGCACACCTGCAGCTTCAGGAATCGCATCCGCTTCGACTCAGTCCAACTTTGGATCGTTTGCTAGCTCTGGTACGAACGCATTTGCTGCTGCTTCTCAATCAAAGGTGAACGCGCTTGATCAGCAGGCAGGAGGAAGCGTTTTTGGATCTGGGTAAGGATTTTACGTATTGGTTAACATGTGAGGTCCACGAATGATGGCAAACCATCGCTACATATTAACTGAAACTATCTGTGCGCATCAATTCTTTAGTGGTGGATTTGGTGACAGTAGCACCTCTACATTCGGATCTGGAGGTGGAGGAGGAGGATTCGGCGGCGGCAACACTGGTTTTGGAGACGCAAGCACTGGATTCGGAGGATCCACAAACAATGCTTTTGGAGGAGCCAACAATGCATTTGGGGGAGCCAGCAATAACACTGGCGGGTTCAACTCGTTTGGTGGGGCTGCCACAGGAGGTGGAGGAGGATTCGGAGCATCGACTGGCCAGTCTGCTTTTGGCGCTGCGGCTGGACAAGGCGGCAGCGTCTTTGGACAAGGTCAGGCCAACACTGGCTTTGGTTCCAATCAGACCAACACCGGTTTTGGCACTAGCCAGGCCAACATCAACCCCAACAAGCCCGCGTTCTCCAGCTTCCGCTAAGATAGCAGATTCTTACGACACAATGAACACAAATACTTTCGTTTTTCGTTTTTAGTGCTGATGTTTTTGAGGTCTTTAATGTACAAGTCGTTTTCTATGAAAAATAATGCAAATGCGAGAAAAAAAAGATGGACAGGGCGCAAGAAGAAGGCCACTGAGGAAGTGCAAAGGTGACACAAAGTCGATTTCTCGCCCCCTTTGCCCTTTCCGTGCCAAAATCCTTTGCTTGTTCCTTATTGTGTCCATGTTTTACAACTGAGTTCGCTTCTTGGCGGTGTTCTGGTAGGGGCGCAACACCCATTCCGTGTCGGCGTCTGTCAAATCCACTGTTCCCGACTTGATCTGGAAGACTATTATCCACATTGAAGCCAATGTAAAAATGCGATGTTAGTGCGGTTCCTTGGATAATAAAGAACTAACAATCGTTCACATGAGTACAAACGCCAAAATACGCCCATGAAAAAAACACTTACGCTTCATTTCGAAACGAGGGCCGACCTCGGCGAGCTGAACGTCCTTATGACTCGTCTTGATGAAGACATGGTGTCTGAAGGAGATGAAATCATTGTCGTTGGAAAAGGTCATGACGCGTTTGCTGTCTTCCTTGGGGACGGGGAAGAGGTATTTCAGAATGTCGGCGGTACGTTGTCCGAGTTTGGAGGTGAAGTTATTGAGGATGAGGTGGGGGAATGCTTCCGAGACGGTGCCGTGATCCTTAATGTCGTGACGCAAAACCACGTTGTTGAGTGTGAAAAATGCTGTTGGTCCGTGAGGGAAGTGAGAAATAATCATGCCGTCTATGGGTTTATCAATGAAATAAGAAGTTAGTAACATATTCACCAACTATATACACTATATTCTGCTTTCCCTTGAGTTTTGGATGTTTCCCGTTACCTGGTTCACCACGGTGCTCGTGCAAAATGATCAAGTCTGTAACATCGTTAGCTTTGCAGGCGTCGACAATCTCCTTCATGACGTGTCCTCCACGGTTGATACGCTGAGAGTTGGGGAAAACAAGGCGCATCTCCTTGGCAAACTGTTGAAGACGACTGCTGGGGTCACGGGAGGTTGTGAGCAAGACCTTAGGGTCGTACACTCCAGCGCGGGCATATTCATCATCAATGTGAGTAGTAGGGGCTAATTTTTCAAGGATGACAGGGTGGTATTGTCAGCGATCGGTTTGTCTGGTGTTTGTGGAAGAGAGCATTCCTACACATGTTGCAGCCCTGTTAAGTTTTGTCGGTCACTTACCCTCCTGAGCCTCGTCGTACTGAAGATCCTTTGTGAACTGAGCGCCCTCGTTCTTCAGTTCATTGGCGACAGGTTTTCCCGCTATTGCGTACAGTGTTGTAACCATGTAAACAGTAATTAGTAAAGGATAATATTTACATGTCCTCTCACAGATCAAACGAGCAAAAAATCGACAGAGAGATACATACAGGCAATGGCCTCCTTGACAGCCTGCTTGCGCTCAAAGATTTGTCTATCCTTGCCCTCGAGCGACTTTTTGTAGAGGTATTCACGGCGGAGGCGGGTCTGTCTGCGAATCTATTGTCCATGAAGGGAAAGAGCGAAAAGTTTAGGGAAATGTGTTCGGGCTGAGTGCTGCATTGCGTCCATGGTGAATAGCGCTGGGCTGGAGGATTGCTGTTTGTTGTTATACCATATTAGAGTATAGGGTTGATGGTGGTGATGGTTGAAGAGTGAACCAAGGAGGGCGATGCTGAAGGCACAAAAAAAAAGAAAAAAGTACAAAACACAACACAGTGACTGCTAAAACCCTTAATTGATCGCAGCAAAGGTAAAAAATGTCTAACCGTTCCCTGCAACTCCTAACCTTTATTCATTCATTCACTTCTTCAACACCTTTCAGACAAACCAAACCATGGGCAAGAATGACAAACGAGGAGGAGGCGGCGGAGGAGGCGGGAGCACACGCGGACATGGAGGAGGGCGAGGCAGGGGCCGCGGCGGTAGCAGAGGTGGACGTGGTGGAAAGTCTCATACCAACCACCACAAGGATAGGTATGCATTTCACTTAGACGACTGACTATCTACCTATCGGTTGATAGGACTTTTGAGTGGGCCCATTTTCGATCTGAATATTAACATACTAGACGATTATCTTTCGATGTTCGACAGGGAGGTTGGTGCTGAAAGTGCACACGACATTGCCCGCGGTGGAGATGACGGCGAGTCAGGTAAGACCAAATGCTTCTAGTTACTAGCGACATTTATCGACATGACCAATCTTTTTTTCCGATACAGTTGTTGCACACCAATAACTAATACGTCGCATTATTCAAACGGTTTTGCTTATAGAGCGTGTCAAGAGCAACATCCCAATGCCACTTGGAATGTGGGATTTCGAGCATTGCGATCCCAAGCGCTGTTCAGGAAAGAAGCTGGTCCGCTTGGGCATGGTCGAGACTCTCAAAATCAGTCAACGATTCCGTGGAGTCTGCATGACGTGAGTTACTAGGCTTACATCAAACAAGACTTTTATGCTCCTGGTATCTACGCCAAAACCTCACTAAGACTGAACGTGCGTTTTTTTTTTCTTTGTGAAATCTTTAGACCTAATGGAGAGCAGGCAGTATCACCTGCGGACAGAGAAGTTGTCAGGGAGCACGGATTGGCTGTTGTCGACTGTTCTTGGGCAAAGCTTGGAGATGTGCCCTTCAAGAAGCTGCGCGCTGGACATGATCGTCTCTGTAAGTAGGGATTCTTCTGGATGGAGGCACCTTTTTTTTTTGTTGTTCCTGCCTCTCGTTTTTGTTGCGTGAATTTTGACATTTGATGAAAATTGCTTAACCGACGAAACAATTTTCAATTTTGTGAACAATAGTACCTTACTTGGTTGCGACCAACCCTGTCAACTATGGAAAGCCCTGGAAGTTGAACTGTGTCGAGGCATTGGCTGCCTGTTTTTTTATCACTGGATTCGACGAGTATGGCGATGAGTTGCTCTCAAAGTTCAAGTGGGGTCACGCCTTCAGAAAAGTTAACGCGTAAGTGAGGAAAAATCCAGGTCTGCAATGACCGACTTAAGCGGGACTAAAGCCATTATGATGATGCTGCAAGAGAAACTGACACTTTTTTTCTATTTGGGTTGATATTATTTAGGGAGCTGCTGTCGATATATTCCAAGTGCACGGACTCGGCTTCGGTTATTGCCGCTCAAAACAAATACTTGGCCATGATCGAAAAGGAGCACAATGAAAGGCATGATGGTGAGGGCAGTGACGATGATCTGATGGTCGCCAACACGAATCATAGCATGGTTGCTTTTGGCGAGGGCGGAAGCGACGAGGGTAGTGACGAGGAGGATAGCGAGGAGGAATCCGAAGAGAGCGAAGAAGAGAGTGAAGAAGAAGAGACGGAGGAGGAATCCGAAGAGGAGAGCGAAGAAGAAAGTGAAGAGGAAAGTGATGAGGAAGAGTCATCTGAGGAGGAGAGCGAAGAAGTGGTCATCTCTCAGTCCATGAAGAAAACTCAAATCAAATAAACATCACATATAGGCATCTTCTTAATACCATGTACAAACATCTACAGAGACAATCCTCCAAGCGCCTGTTCATGTGCCTTCTCCTCCTGCTCTAAAGTATACAAGACTTTCCGAATGAATTGAACCACAGTGTCACAGAATATGGTCTGTGAAGCCAAGTCCGAGATCGCATGGTCCGCATCTGGCAGAACAACTGCGCCCAGAGATGATGGCGAGGCCTTGGTCAGGTTCGAAGCTAGACTTTCCTTGTTGATGTGAGGTGGGATGTACTCGTCCTTGCCAGAGTGCACCATGATCAGCGGTGTCTTAACCTGTCTAAAGAGTGCCTGCAAGGATTCGAATGGGATATCTGAGCTGAACATGTCGTCGTCACCCCTAGATTGAGCATAACGATAAAGATTTTGGTTATTTTGTCTGGCTAACGAGGTCAAGAGGACAGTGGTGATCATTACGACAAGGCATTTAATTACCCTATTGAGGCCAATGAGTTGAAGCGGTAGGCGGTAACAGGCGCTATGTCCACCTCTCTGACCATGAGTTCCTGGCCCTAATTAAAAACAATTACAGAGACACGGATGAGTTAGCGTTTGCTAAGTAGCATCTGGGTTATAGGGCAATCCCGCATGATTAACAAAGAGCGTGTCATCGGTACCTTGCCATCGTTAATCATCCTCTGAGCCAGCCGCACATATTTCCCATACATCTCTTTAAGAGAGAACATCATGAACTCCCTATCAGACACAGGTCCTTGAAGTACTATCCCCTGAACAGCAGCGCGATTCCGTCCATGACTCGCAAACGAGATCGCGTCCTGACATCCTGTCGAATGTCCGATAAAGAACAACCGTGTTTTTGCCCTTTCTTCCCTCAAGAATGTAAGCAGAATATCCAGCTCCCGAACATCTTCCAGTAAGGACGAAACGCCATAACCCATATGGCTGCTCGTGAGCATGACTTGGATAAGTGAGAACCCGAGTTGTTCCTCAAGGTACTTTCCCAGGAGGGGGAGGTACGGTAAGGCATTATATCCGTCCATGAGCCCTGCGACAAAAACGACTGAACCCCGGGAGTTTTGGGGCCCTGATTCGAACATTGTCAGTCGTGTTTGAGGGTTGTAGGTTGACAGGGTTCCTGAGAGTTGCATGGCGAAAACGACGATTGAATGCTGCTTGGTTAAGAGAGAAGCTGTTGAATGATAAAGAAAGTGGAACGACAGCAAGGGCAGAAAAAAGACGGTTAAACTGCACGTGACGTTTGAAGGGCAAAGTGCGCCCCGTGCATACGCCCTTACACAAGGGCACTAGATGGGCACCCATGGGGTATTCTCCTTCTTTCTCATTGTCACTCCTTCCTTCCTTCACCTTTACCATTCTTTCCCCACTCCTCCATATTCATCCCGCGTTCCTCTTGTCATACCTTTGTCTCCGCCGTTTATTGTCACAAAGCCCCTTGTTCACTTGCTTCACAATTTTTTGAGAAACACCAACATAACTTTTAATTCCCCTCTTCTGTTCCTGAACTGCCGCTATGTTTCCTGCTCGCCCTGGAGGCGTCGACAAGAAGGCTGCCCTCCTCGCCCAAGCAAGAGCAGACCGAGAAGCCCGCAGCGGGCAGAAAAAAGTCGAACAGGAGAATGCGCGTCTCGACAGCGCCGTCCGACGGATACAAAAGTTCCTGGTCAGACAACACGCCAAACGCATGACCAAGGACAAGCAACGAGCCGACTGGGATGCATTGACAGCACAATTACCCGCAACACCTGCGCTGGGCCTCGTCCGCAACTTGAAGTTGGTATTCTTGTTGCTACGGTTTCATGATACCACCGAGTGCCCCATGGACAGCCGGCGACTGGCGAGCCTTTGCAAGCTGCTTCTCTCCAAGACCACCATTACTCTGGAGGAATGCACTTTTGTGAGAACGGAAGGTGTTTCTGTATCTTCGCCACAGGTCTCGTCGCCAAGCCCAGATGCAGCAAGTTCAGTGGCTCAGCCCGAAGAGCAGCAGCGAAAGTCGATGATGCAGGTCCCGTTCCAGATGATATTGCTTCATTCTCGGTATGCCGACCTTGCCTCTGCGACCCTCTTGCGCCTTTTACGACTGTGCATCACAACCATTACTGGCAATCAAATCGACTCCAATGCCCCAACAAAGCGCCTCACACTGCTCAAGACAACCTCGAAGAGCCAAGTGTCCTCACCCACCAGCGCCACTTCAAAACTTATAGCTCAGGAACTGTACCTCTCCGGAGCCGAGCTTCGATTCCTAATGGCCTACGTAGATGCCAACACCTACAAGTTGCCAGAGACGGTTGCGGGGGCTATTAGGACACAGATGCAGAACCGAGGAGCAGCACTTATTGTTAAAACCCTCGACAGTGGCCGATTCTACAAGGATATCAGGACAGGAATCCAACTCCGGTCTGAGGCGCTGATACAGTTGCAGGACAGGGCGAAGAAGACGTCCATTACCCCAGCTGAGGCGACGACACAGAAAGCACTGAGTCTTTGGATCACGGCCATTTGGAGGTGCTGCTTCCTGCTGCAGTCTGTCGACAAGGAGATGACAGAGAAAGCTGCCGGCAAGGTCCCTGGCCGACAGCAGAAGGACGACCTCATCAACATGCACAGCGATGACTCGACCGTCGTTGGAATCACCTGCCGCATCCTCACCATCGCCCTGTTTGTGGAGTGTCTTGACGACCTCTGTCTGCAGCTGACCCTACAGAGTCACCTCCTGGGTGAGGCGCTGGACGTGATCTTGGATCTCCGCCACCGACAATACATCCTCTCGTCCATGAGCCTCAACGAGACACTTTACCTACTCGGAAACCTTACGCAGCTTTACAGGATCCACATCGCCAGGAATGCGACCACAAACAACACAGCACTCAAGAACAAATTGGTCGAAGTGATTGTTGTCTTGCTGTCGCACTGCGGGAAATACGTCTCGGGAACACAGACGACAGAGTTTCGACAGTACCACCCCATCTTCTCCTGGACGAACCTTTCCCAGAAGGACCAGCAGCTATCGACCGCACAAGTCAAGCATCTGTTTTCGCAGCTCGAGTACCTTTGGAGTCGAGACTTTGCTCTAGAGGCTTTCCATGGACTGTTGAACCTTTCGCTTCCTCCAGCCAGCTCTTCGTCATCTTCGACTGATACGGCAATCAACGTCTCAAAGACAGGAGGCACGGAGCTACATTCAGCAAGCCCCGTGGCAACTCCTCCAAGCCATCACACACGAGTATCGTCTCAGAGCGACTCCAAATCAGGATCCCATGCCAGGAGCATCACATCCGATCCCCAAGGAGCCTTACTCGCGATCGAGGTCCAGCAAGCGTGTCAGCTATACATGACACTCATGCGCTCCTTCGAGTCGCAGCGGACCAAAATATTGGTGATACTGATGTACCTGCCGTCGTTCCTGACACAACTCTGGAGGTTCATGAACACACTCGGACCCAAGGGCGAGATGCACATCTACTTGGAAGCCGCTTCTGGGTTCAGTCGTCATGGTCTGGAGCATGAGCCTTTGATTGCTATCCTGCAAGTCTTTTGCGAGTGCAGCGCTCGCTTTCTCATGTAAGTCTCATTTCTTTATTCGTGAGATCAGTCGGCTTCTTTGGTTATGTAAAAAAAGTCCCCTCATCTCACTCAGCATGCTGTTTGGCACCCTTTGTTGTAGTACGCTTGATGACGATGATATGTACGAGCAACAAAAGTACTGGTGTCTCTCGGAGCTGGTCTTTATGTCTGGATTCCTGAACCAGTTCTGCTTTGCGGTGTTGAGCCAACAGGAAGACGCCAAGGTGGAGACGGACGATCCAAGAGTCTCAACTGGAACGACTTCCCCAGCAACAACGACAACTCTCGCAGCACCACTTCCACCAATCTTTTACCACGCGCGCCAGGTGCTCATGCAACTCTACGAACGAGACTGTCGACGCGCGTTTTGTCCTCCCAACCACTGGCTGTTGATGCACCCTACCAAGAGTGTCTTCCAGTCACCCTTGCAGCTCTTGGCCTCACTCACCCTCTCAACCAGCAACAAGTCCAAGAGCAATGGGATGAGCAACACGGGAAACAAAAAGAGCGGTGGTGGCTTCTCGCTTTTCTCATCGTCCAAATCGCCACCCCAGTATGCAACACCCAAGGAGTTTATTGCCAAGGTCTGCCAGAAGGACAGGACGGCGCTTCAGATCCTTGAGACCATGCCACATGTCATCCCCTTCAGCGCGCGGTTGGAAATTTTCAGAGAGTTTATCAAGGAGGAGCGGGCGCAGCGGGCTCAGAGTTTGGCGCTTGTGCGTCCTGATCTTCATCAGTCAGTCATGGTGAAGGTTCGGCGAGGGTATATTCTCGAGGATGGGTACCAGAGCCTGGGTCAGTTGTCGGCTAACGGATGGAAGAACACGATCAGGGTCAAGTTTACGAACGAGGTGGGGGCTGCAGAGGCCGGAATTGATCAGGGTGGGCCCTTCAAGGAGTTTATGGAGAGCTTTCTTGAGGCAGGATTCTCGCCCAACTTGAACCTGTTCACCACCTCGACCGAATCGATGAACATGATGTACCCGTCCCCGACCTCACATTACACGCACCCTCACAACGGACTGGAGCTCTTCCGATTGTTTGGCAAGATGTTGGGGAAAGCCATGTATGAAGGTCTGTTGATCGAGGTCAAGTTTGCAAACTTTTTCTTGAGCAAGATTTTGGGACGGACAGTCTTCCTGGACGAGATGCGGTCGTATGATGAGGAGGTCTTCCGAAACTTGATGTTCCTGAAGAAGTACGAGGGCGATGTGGAAGATCTGGGATTGACCTTCTCGCTGGACGAGGACATCTTTGGGACCCACCGGACGATCGAGTTGATGAGGGGTGGGAGGGACCTTGAGGTGACCAAGGATAACAGAATCAATTATATCTTCCAGGTCTCGGACTACCGCCTGAACAAGCAGATTCAGGACCAGTCTCGAGCATTTATTGAAGGATTCAGGTCTATTATCCCATTGCCGTGGATTTCCATCTTTTCTCCGCAGGAGCTGCACCGCGTCATGGCTGGTGACGACGTTGACTTTGGTATGTTGGCCATTTTCTATTTGCAATGCCCTCCTTTTTCACGTGTTTTCTTATTGAACTAACGTTGTCTTTTCTTTCAATTCTGATAGATGTGCAAGATCTCCGCTCATACACAGAATACCAGAACGGATACTTTGACCAACATCCCGTCATTAGAAACTTGTGGGCGGTCCTGAACGAATTCAACTCTGAAGAAAAGCGGGCGTTCTTGAAATTTGTCACCAGCTGTTCCAAGGTAAAGTAACAATACCTTATGCCCAAACTATCTCGGAGAAAGGATTTATCCCATAGCTTTGTCTTTCACCGCTCTCTTCCAATTTCTTACTTTTGTTTTCGTTTTCGTTTTATTTTTGTGCCTGGTTATAATATTAGCCGCCTTTGGGAGGGTTCAAGCACTTACAACCCCCATTCTCGATCCGACTGGTTGTCAGTCCTACGACCTCTGACTCGAACTACGACTCTACACCTACACCCGCCCCACGTCAGTTCGGAAGCGGCGCCCCTACCCCTGGCACCAACTCAAGCAACTCGGGTCGACACCAACGAAGCACCACAACAGGATCCAGCACCGGCGGAAATAGTGGTAATGGGTTCGGGTCAAGGTTACGATCTGCCTTTGGAGGCAACAACAACAACTCCAATTCTAGTAGATCGTCAACCATGTCGACATCTTCCTCCGCATCAACGCCGTCTTCAGCTTCGTCGCCACCCCCGCAGCGGCCTACACCGAGACCCGTGCTGCCTGGGGACGAAACCCCAGCGGCGATGGGGGTTGTCAAGTCCTTCTTTGGTGGCGTCCTTGGAGGTGTTGGGTCCAGCGAGAGTTCTGGCAAGAAAGCGCGTCTGCCAACTAGGTAAGAAAAAAAAGTTACTTCCCCCTCCTCCTCTCTCGGCTATTTGAAGGGAGAAAAACGCGATGCACTGACCGGCTCTAACTTCTTCCTTCCCCTGTTGTTGTTTTTTCTATAAACGAATAATTTATAGTTCGACATGTTTCAACTTGCTAAAGTTGCCGCCCTTTAGCTCAAAGTCGGTCCTGAAGGAAAAGTTGCGTTATGCGATCACATCCAACACAGGATTCGAGTTGTCATAAAAGTGTTCTTGCAGAAATAATTGTATGTATATTTTTTAATATATGCAGCGAATAAGAGGAACATGAAGTAGGGTAAATGGTTTGTTTTGATGAGACCCCAAGATCTTGAAGGGGAGAAGGCGAATCTTAGTACTGATAGTCGGCAGGCCTTGAAGCATATTGTTGCTGTTGCTGTTGTTGCAACATCTGCTGATGTTGTTGTTGCTGGAGTTGCTGCATCTGAATCTGCTGTTGCTGCTGTTGCTGTGTTTGTTCTGGTGGTTGTGGGTGTGAGAGACTAGAGTTAGAGTTCTGGCCGTTGTTGTCCGAACGGCGACTGGTGGCCGACATTTCGTAGGATTCATGACCCGTACCAGGAGAGGCAAAAGGATAAGGATTCCTACCATCGACATGACTCAGCAAAGGTGCCTGAACAGCGGTGTCTTGAGGTGTCGCAGGGAGGAACTTTCCGCCAGCCTCCAATGTCGACTCGTCAACCTTCAGCATCGAAGAGTCCACAGTGCCGGGCGAAGAGCCCTTACGGCTCTTGAAGAAGAGGCGGTTCTTTTGACGACGAGTGTTGGCGCGCTTGAGCGTTCCGCTGAGATGGCCCTCACGTGTGGGCAGAGGTTGTCCGCGAATGAGGAAATAAATGTCCTGGCATGCCCAGCCAACTTCGCGGAAGAGGTCAATAGGGTTGAATCCGTCCCGAAGAGACTTGCGGACTGGGGTCGAGACGCCCTCGACCATGTACTCGACATAGGAGAACGAGTACATGTGCAGGATCGCAAAGATCACCATCTCAAAGCAGACCAACAGCGCCGAGATTCCGAGCTCAATGTTCTCCACAGACCAGTACTCTGTCTCCTTAAAAACATCTAAATAATGTACATCGAAGGAAGCATCGATTAGTGTCCAGTTCGATCCGCATGTAGTATAGACAGGTAACGAGCAGCAAATCTTCAATCCTGAATGCATACTAAATGTGCCAAGCAAACTCAACAAGCAATACTGCCAGAAGACAAAGAAAATAACCATCTTGACGCAGAGGAACTTCAAGAATGGTTCTATTAGAAACGTTCGAAAAAGAAGATAAGAATAAGTAACTGCGTAATGCCTAGTTTCAACTGCCTGTAAATAAAACACATAGAGCGAGCAAAGGGCGGATACGTACTGCGATCGGCGATTTCGGTCTTGATGTTGATGTAGAGCAAAACGAGGCAGTACATGGCGACGGTGACAGAAGCAAAGCCGATGATGGTGATATAGACGCGTCCAAAGGCAAAGCTGTAGCTGGTGGTGCAGTAAATGCCCTTGTACTCGAGAACGACGGCGGCAATGGTGGTAATAGGCTTGATAACGACGTACTGGAGGATGCCATACTTCATGTAGTGCAAGAACATGTCGCTTGAAGGGTTGTAGTAGAAGCAGTTAAGGGGGAACACGAGCTTTTGACGCTCGAGGCCGGTGATTCTGGCGCGGCGGGCGTCGTTGTCGTCGCCGAGGTAGGTGAGGAGGAGCATGAAGAAGGAGTGGATGACGAATGCCTCGTAACAGTCGCGGACGGTCTCGTAGTAGATGGCCTCCTTGTAGAAACGGTAAGAGAGCCCGGAGATGATGGCGTAGATAGGGATCATGAGGATGATTCTCATAATCTGGCGCTGCTCAGCAGGCTAAGTCGATCGACAATAGGTTCGTATATATTACAAGGAATTTGTTAGCACCAAGCACAAGGAGACGAGGTATATTGCGTAAATTGACGATGTTGCTTTGAGCAATTGAAGGAAGCTATTTGGTTGCTGGGTACCTTAGTATAGTTTTTAGCATGTTTGTACAAGAGTCTGAAGGAGAGGACGGTGGCGATGAAGGCAAAGATTCCACACAATCCCCATCCGATATAGTGGCCTATTAGGTTGAAGCAGATGTAACGGTGAGTCGCATTGTGCCTGTGACACCTCCCAAAACAGGGCAAAGTGAGGGCGTGGGTGTGGGTGTTTGCACCAAAATGAGACAGGGCAGCTGGATAACCTGGAGAGAGAGAGACTTACGCTTCCAGACGATGCTATGTCCGTCAAAGAACTGACTGGGATCTGTCAATTCGCTGTCGATATCAGGGCAGACAGCCATTATTATATTTCTCTAGTTGCTGTTGTTGAGAGGTAGAGTATGAAGAAGGGTGATGGAATGAGTTCCTTGGAGTAATGGAGGGAAGGAAACGATGATGGGAGGAGGGTATTGTCGAGGGTGCCGGAGGAGAGGAGAGGAGAGGAAGTCGAGTGTGTGTGGGGTGAGACTGAGGAAGTAAAGAAGAAGGGGAAGAGGAAAAGAGGAAGAACAAAAAGAAGAGAAGGAATAGACGACAGGAGAGAAGAAGGATGTGGCCATACTATACTAAGAGTATTTATGGAGACAGAGTTGCCGCTTCGCTACTACCTCTTTCCGGCGCATTTTTCTTCCCGCTGGGAAGAAAAGAAGAACAGCCTGCTGGTGTTGAATTGTCCACCTGCCCAAGCCCACTCTCTTTGCGATTCTGGGCTTTTGGATTCCCCTTTTTTTCATTGTTTTGTCGCTCACTTTCACTCTTAGCAGGATTAGTAGCAACAGCAACAAGCGGTTAGTTCGCATATGCTAGTATCATCTTCAACTCAGCTCAGCTCTCATCAAGGAGTGCAAAGCAAGAGAAGAAGGAGAAAGGAACAGGCTATCAGGAAGATGAATACTCCTGTTTCCAGGGGGAATCCTACCCGGTCGAGTGGAAGCGGTGAGTGATAAAAGAACGAGCAAATCCGTAGGCACGAACGAGGCCCAATTGACCGAACAAAGTAAACAAAGAAGGAAGAAAGAAGGTCACATAGATGGACGGATGTGAATTGTGAACAAGAACAAGAGGAAATAGGAGTCCACTGCTTTATGTTTTTCCACTTTTGAGCATGAGGCGTTGCAATATTTTTCACGAAGCAGGCTTACCGACAACGATGCGAGTCCGCGGGACTGGACTCTTTGTTTGAGCATGGATCGAAAAGCCAAAGCGAAACGACCCGCAAGAACCTATTCAGCCCCTTTTTTCTACTTGCCTTTTTTCATGTCCAGAATTGGCAAAGTTGAGGGTCGTTTTAGGCACCAATCCTTGTCCATCCGTCACTTTCAACCACAGCCCAACAGTGTTTTGCTTAGGGTATCAAGCATGAGTGAACTGAGCTGCTTGCCTTCTCATTATTATTATTATTATTATTATTATTATTATTATTAACAGCAGCATGCACACTGCACAGAACAGTTAGAGGACATGCCAATGAAATGTCTTTGCTTTCGGAAGATTCGTTCCAACAAGTAATCTCGTGTGGAAAACAAGGTATAGTAAAATATATACCGTAGCCCGTACCTGCAGTCTGAAGTGCGTTTTTTTACCTTTGAGTTTTGGGAGTGGGCGGTGCTTGCATTCCACATGCCGACAAGTAACTAGTTAACTCTGGGCTTTTCATTCTTTTTCCACTGCTTGGATAAAGAAGAAAAGCACCCTAATTAGATGTAGAAAGGAGTGTGGATAAACGCGACTTTGAAGTGTTGGTTCCTGCGGTAGTCTTCTGGCACTGCAGCCTTGCGTGCGCCTCAGTCACAGATGGTCTCCAAGTAACACTAAAAGAACTAAACGGCGATGTAGAATGGCCACAGGAGGCACACTATTCCTTTCCTTCTTTTGAGTCTAAGGCACTCGCCCGATAGGGATACCCTGATGATCAGTTCGGGAACGATGATTTGGTGAACGCGGCGAGTCCATAACGCGTCCATCAATTGATCCATTGTGGATCAGCTTCGCCATGGGCTTAAACATGGCCAAGGTAATAATAATGCGAACGGTGCATAAGTGTGTAACAATTGAAGGAAACAAGAACAGGTTTTATTATTGTGTGTGTGTGCTCCTAGGTACATCACACATGGCTTGCAAGTTGCAGCATACAATAACACGGAACCATGGCATTGAACCTTCTTTCCCATTTCATTTGTTGTTTGTGCTCTCCACTTTTTTCATTTCATCGTTCTTAATTCGTTCCCCGTTCTGGTTGCCATAATTTCCTTCGCTTCCATACTTTTCTTTCTCTTCTTCCTTCCTTTTGTCCCCTTCACTTCTCCATCCTTCGTTACTCCTCCTCATCCTTCCATTCTCATCTCCTTTTCCTTTCTCCTCGTTTCTCCTCTTCTCTCGTCTCTTCTCATTCCCTTCTCTCCTTTCTCATACCTCTCCCCCACTCCCTTCATCTCCTTTCTCCTCATTCCTTCACTCCCAACCACAATGGCATCAACTCAAGCAGGCGCCGGCATCGGCATCGCCAACCTTCCCAACCAGTATGTCCTTGCACTCTTTTGACAGTAGCTTCTACAACTTCCATCTTCAGTTCAGACACCACTGGAGAACATTATCATATTCCAAAATGAACAACATAGTATCAGACCTTCACCCGCTCACCTTTCTTTCCTTTTGTCCGACCACTTCTCTAGGCGCCATGCTATTGCTTCCAAGAAGGGAAGCGCCTTGACCATGATGATCGCAGGCAAGCAAGCAACTCCTCGCCCATTGATTGGTACCTCGACTTCAAGTCACCTATTCCTGTATGCTGACCTATACGATTCAATTGACATCTGCACAAACTGCATCTAGGCGAGTCTGGTCTCGGAAAGACTACCTTCATCAACACCCTCTTCACCACCACCATCAAGGCTCCCAAGAACCACAAGCGCCGTTACAACAAGACGACCGAGAAGACCGTCGAGATTGAGATCATCCGCGCTGGTATGTTTATATTTTCCTGTTACCAACGGCCAAAAGTGTCCGTGCCAGACGATAATTAACCTTGCAAAAAAAGCAAGATGGCATTCATAGCAAGCTCAACTGCACCAATCAAAGGCAATGCGCAACAGGAGACGACACCGGATTAAAGTCAGCAACAGAGGCAGAGATGACCACCCTCCACCAGCTACAGGAGCAGCCAGCAGCAAAAAAACACCACTGCAAATTGCAAACACTTTTGCCGGGAAACGGAGTCCTTTATCCCCAAGTTTCCTTTTTTTTTCTCTCTTTGCGTCTCTGTCTCTCGTACTTTATTATTCCCTTGGCTCCAAAAATGCCGGCTCTCTCCTACTCTGTGTCTTCTCTCTCTCTCTTCTGAGCATTCGAGCCCCTTCCTTGCAGACCTTTTCTTTCCCCTTGTCCTATTTTTTATTTCGTTCATTCGGATGGACCTGCCTGTTTTAACCTGAGTCAACTTGGAATTTTCAAGCCGAATTGATTTCATGGGCGACAGACAGGAAGAGCTACCTGTTGAACCGTCACCGGTTTGGGGCCACCCCTCACTTTTCAGTTCAGCAGTACTCCTTTAAGGGCAAAGAGGTCAACTGAAGATAAGAATGAGAGAAAAGGGGGAAAGGGAACAGAAAAGGATGCTTCCATCTCTTTTTTTTTGCTGGCCGCATTAATGTTATTTTTGTGTCAAGTTGAGCCATTTCTTCTCTAATTATGGTCCTACACAGAGCGCTCTCAAAAAAAACTTTCAACAAACAACAAACGCAACTCAGTCTCAATGCATATTGGCTACATCCAGAAGCCCTTCATACTTTCTTACAGCCGGGACAACGACACTGACCTTGTTGGTTCTTCTTGTGTTCACCCTTTATGCTAATTCTACAATAGAGCTCGAAGAGAAGCAGTTCAGCGTCAAGTTGTCTGTGATTGACACTCCTGGATTTGGAGATTATACCAACAATCGCGACAGCTGGATGCCCATTATTGACTTTATCGACGATCAGCACGAGTCGTACATGCGTCAGGACCAGCAACCAAAGCGTCAGGAGTTGAGCGACATGCGTGTTCACTGCTGCTTGTATTTCATTCGCCCCACCGGCCACACCTTGAAGCCTCTTGATATTGAGGTCATGAAGCGTTTGGGAACTCGCGTCAACTTGATCCCTGTTATTGCCAAGGCCGATACCATGACCCCCACCGACTTGCACAAGTTCAAGAAGCGCGTATGTGGCTTTCTGATATTTTTTGTCGATGGAAAGAATATTATGATATTGGAACGAATGGTCGAAACCTAACACGTATACGTTATCTTCTCTCAATGTAGATCTTGGAGGTCATTGCTGCCCAGAACATCCAGTGCTACACCTTCTCTCTTGAGAGTGACGATGAGGCTAGCACCAAGCGCAACATGAGCATCATGGTAAGAAAAGACATACGCTGCACGCAGGCATGTTATTAATATATGTTTCCGATGGCCAATGTTTCACAGCTTCAGAGGTACTCACTATTTTTTTTTGATATTGAATTGGTTTGAATTGAACGCTTAGGATGCCATGCCCTTCTCCATCATTGGAAGCACAGACGATGTTCAAACCAGCGACGGTCGCACTGTTAAGGGACGTCAGTACTCCTGGGGAGTTGCCGAAGGTAAAGCAAGCAACGCAGGATATGACGAGTCAGAACAGGACAACAGTACTAGAGCGAAAGGGATATTAACGATTTCGCTTTGCATCATGCTCACTGTGAACAATAGTCGAGAATGAGGACCACTGCGACTTTAAGAAGCTTCGCCAGTTGTTGATCCGCACGCACATGTTGGACTTGATCCACTCTACCGAAGAGACCCACTACGAGAACTACCGTCGCGCCCAGATGGAGACCCGCAAGATTGGCGAGCCAAAGGTCAAGACTGTGACCAACCCCAAGTGGAAGGAGGAGGAGGAGGCCCTTCGCAAGCGCTTCACTGAGCAAGTCAGACTTGAGGAGAACCGCTTCAGGTCATGGGAGCAGCAGGTACGTCTTGCCCCCCCCCCCCCCCCCCTTTTTTTTTGTCGTTGCATTGTGTGTGTGTTTGATACGGAACCCTAAGCTGACAGCGGTTACTTACACATTTGTTATTATGCTTTCTTTTTGTAGTTGATTGCTGAGCGTGACAGATTGAACAAGGACTTGGAAGCCGAGCACTCTCACATCAAGGCTCTGGAAGCCGAGTTGGAGTCCATGCAGGTCGGCCTCTCCCCCAAGCGCAAGTAAAGAAAGAACTCTCGAACACTACCAGTTTTTTTTTTTTTTTCTTCTTACGAAACGCAAGGGGGCAATCACTCTAGACTCTCTTTTACTCTCGCCAGGATTACCTTTATTGGAGGTAGTTAGCAAGACTTTTGTTCTCTCCATTGTTGTTCTTCCTGGCACATTACCATCTACTTCATTTTTTATGCCTTTTCATACCTAATAAACCTTTTGCAAAGAAAACTCAAAAAAAAAGAAGATGCGTGTAGAAATGAAGCCACAAAGGATGTGAAGGACGTACTAACAGTGGGGCGGGCGAAAAGGATGGAAAGAGCGCATTGGTTGGTCGAGAAGGTTGCACAAAAAAATACACATTCCTCAGCCTGACCACATTCCAGAACTTTTTCGTCTCTTCTGTTCCAGTTTCTTGTTATGCCGTCCACATGGGCTAATCAAAATGACAAAGCAACAGCAAACCACCAGGGCAACTGATAAAGCCAATGTTTTTCGTTTTTGACGTTTATTTCGCAAATCTGGATACTTGGGGGACTGAGGAAGCTATCTTCATCTGGGTTGTTCCTACCCTCCGAATGCCCGCCCTCACAGGAGGCTGCAGCTGACGAGGGACAAAGTAGAGGAGGGGGTAGATAGGAGTGGGTGGATAGGTCTGCTGAAGGGTTTCGCTCGGGTTGGGATGGGTAACTGAAAAGTGTCATGCTAGAATGGGGAGGGTTGTTTCTGTCTCGTTGTCTCTTTCTCTTCCTCTTCCTCTTGCTGCGTCTTTAGATGTCCATTTCTTGGTTATCCTCCTCGTAATCGCCTTCATCCTCCTCGACGGTAGCCTCCTGGTACTGCTGGTACTCGGAGACCAAGTCGTTCATGTTGGATTCTATAGTTGAATGTCAGACAAGAGAAAGTCGTTAGAGTCACAACAAAGACCGAGATACAAGTAGAGCATAATGACAAATTCAAGTAAAAAACTCACCAGCCTCAGTGAACTCCATCTCGTCCATGCCCTCGCCAGTGTACCAATGCAAGAAAGCCTTGCGACGGAACATAGCAGTGAACTGCTCAGAGATACGCTTGAACAACTCCTGGATAGCGGTCGAGTTACCAATGAAGGTAACCGACATCTTGAGACCACGGGGAGGGATATCACAGACGGCGGTCTTGACGTTGTTGGGGATCCACTCGACAAAGTACGAGCTGTTCTTGGACTGGACGTTGAGCATTTGCTCGTCAACCTCCTTGGTCGACATGCGACCACGGAACATGGCAGCAACGGTCAAGTAACGTCCGTGGCGGGGGTCAGAGGCAGCCATCATGTTCTTGGCATCGAACATCTGCTGGGTCAACTCGGGAACGGTCACAGCACGGAAGCTCTGGGAGTTGTTGGCGGTCAAGGGAGCGAAACCGACCATAAAGAAGTGAAGACGAGGGAAAGGAACTAAATATTGGAGAAGTGAAACAAAATACGTTTGTTAGATACCGCATTGCATGCATCATCCATCACCGCAACTGCACGAATGAAAAAAAAAAGCGGACATGGCCCCTCATTCAAGGTGCGATAGCATTTGCAGAACCCATTTGCTTACCCAAGTTGACAGCCAACTTTCTCAAATCAGCGTTAAGCTGACCAGGGAAACGGAGGGAGGTGGTGATTCCAGACATGACGACAGAGACCAAGTGGTTCAAGTCACCGTAGCTGGGAGCGGTGAGCTTCAAGGTACGGAAACAGATATCGTACAAAGCCTCATTGTCGATACAGAAGGTCTCGTCCGAGTTCTCGACCAATTGGTGGACGGAGAGGGTGGCGTTGTAGGGCTCGACAACGGTATCAGAGACCTATTTCAGGGAGAGGGTAGAGGATGGGACAAGAATTAAAAACGAGACTTGAGAGTATTTTTTTGACCATGCCGAAAGAATGCTTCCCGACGGGAGCTATTAAGGAAAGGGCGCCCTTGTTTTTGATAACAGAGTTGATGCATCTGTCTCCCCTAATCGAGGAGACCAATGTAAGTGAGCACAGGAGACACCACCTGATGTTGTCAACGAGATGCTCTGGTATCCTTTTCTATGCAAGAACTACCACAACGAAACAGCTAGCCGCTGTTTTCCTTTTTTCTGCGTTGTCTTCCATCACCCTCTTTTTTTCCACATCGTCATGGATGGTAACAAGAATCGGAGCGCAGATAGACAGAAAAACGAAGGGGATGCCAATCAGCCCTTGAAGAACAGCTGAGAGGGAAACAAAAAGAGTTCTACCGTCGTTGTTGTCCTCCCCTTATTCCCTCTTTTGTTTTTTTTTGCACCCAACAACTGTAATGTCAACAGAAGGGCCGCGCGATCCAATCAGCAAATACTACAAACTTAAAGGGACAATGTCCAGATGTGATCTCTTCCGCAATACTACTGCTTCCTGCAGGTCTTGATGGATAGGATGGGCAAGGGGAGATGATGTGGCATGAGGGAATGACATCGTACAGGCAACACAACAGTGAGGGACATACGAGATATAAAAAGACAGGGAGAAAGAGAGCAAGTGAAAGTGATAAAGAGAGAGAGAGAGAAACAGGGAGAGTGGAGTAGACCTGGCCCTTCTCCTTTCGTTCTCCACGAGCGGTTCTGTTGATGCTGGTGGAAGAGAAGGAGGAAAAGACGGCATGCGCGGGACAGGAAAAAGCCAGGACCCCAAGGGGATGTCCCATCCCCTTAGCACAAAGAGAAAAGAATGTATTGGCCAAACAACAGAAAAAAAACACAACAGAAAAACAACAACACCTTCTCTCCCAGCTGAGAATGACTCAACTAAACATCACACCACACATACACATACATACACACACACACTTGCAAAGAAAAGGAAAGGTTCAAGGGGTGGAAACAAGTGCTTTTTCTTCAAGGGAGCATAGCAGGGTCAACAAGAAGGGGGAAGGAAAAGAAAAATGAAAAAAAAAGAAAAAGAAAAGAAAAGAAAAAGCAAGGAGTAGCTGGAACAAAGGACACTTGTCGGTTCGAGGGAGCCCTTTTCCCACACAACCCACTGCGACATCACGCCATACTCGATCCTGACTCCATGTGTGCGCTTTCATCTCCAGTGACAAATGGTTTCATGGTTCATGATGGCCTTACCTTGGGAGAAGGCATGACGGAGAATGTGCACATCATGCGATCGGGGTACTCCTCGCGAATCTTGGAGATCAAAAGAGTTCCCATACCGGCACCGGTACCACCGCCGAGCGAGTGGGTGATTTGGAAACCCTGGAGGCAGTCGCAGGACTCGGCTTCCTTGCGGACGACGTCGAGGACCGAATCAACGAGCTCGGCACCCTCGGTGTAATGGCCCTTGGCCCAGTTGTTACCGGCACCGGACTGACCAAAGATGTAGTTGTCGGGGCGGAAGAGCTCACCATAGGGACCGGTACGGACGGCGTCAATGGTGCCGGGCTCGAGGTCGACGAGGACGGCACGGGGGACGTACTTGCCGCCATTGGCCTCGTTGTAGTAGACGTTGATACGCTCGAGCTGGAGGTCCGAGTCGCCACGGTAGACACCGGCGTTGTCGATGCCGTGCTCGTCCGAGATGACTTCCCAGAACTTGCCACCGATCTGGTTACCACACTGACCCGTTTGCAAATGAACAATCTCGCGCATCGTTGATGATTTTGTTGTTGGTGGTTGGTGGAGGAAGAGGAGTTTGGGGGGGAAGGAAGGATGAAGAAGAAGGTTAGGTGATGGCGGTGTGGAGGAAGAAGAGAGGACTAAGGAAAGGGAAAGTAAAGAGCCAAAAATGGGAAAAGGGACGAGTGCGAGCACTTTTATTTGTTTTATTTGCATGAAGAAATAACGCGCCTGGTTCAATTTGGCTCAACGGTGTGTGTGTGTGGCTTGCTTGGTTGGTTCTCTCTCTCTCTCCATTGGTATGGGCTGCGCGAAATGGGAAAGGGGCAGAGACGAAGGGAGATAAGCTCTTTTTCTGCTAAAGGTCTTCAAATGATTCAGGTACTACACATGCACACACATACACACATGCACACATCCACTCATACACCCATACACTCATACAAACAGCTCAGACGAACAGATGAAAGTGGCTCCTGAGTTCCTACAGTGGGGGCGTGACTCGAAGGCGAGAGCGGTAGTGGTCACTGGTCAGGGCTCAGTGTTCAGACAACGATCCAAAAGGTCAAGCCGAGAATAAACAACCTCAACTTGTTACAGTCGTACAACCACTGACATTCGTCCATGGTCAACAAAGGCAATTCAGCTCACGGTGTTTTACTACCTAGTCTTGCTTGGTGCATGCCATTGGAGTGAAACATATCATCGATAATGATGCCCACCACCACTCACTCACATTCCTTTATGTATCCATCCCACACCTAGTTCATCAACGTAGCCTTTGGAAGGAAGAAGCCGCTCTTATAATATTGCCGCCAAATGCTAACAACCAGCTACACAAGGCTATCTCAAGAATGCTCAAGCAGCTACAACTCTCTGGAGGATGGTAACCAGACTTGGAGTCACCATACAGCAGATACTTGGCGTGGATAGCTTCAAACACCATAACGTACGCCTTAAGAGGACATTCCTGATCCCTGACCCCACTCCTTTGTCCTGCGCAAAATGCAATAATCACCCACACCATGAATTCACAGAGATCCGCCTCCTCAAAATTGCCGTGAACGTCTTTTTCTTTTTTTCTCTTAGCAAAGCCGTTTCGAAACATGACTGAGAAGGTAGACTTTGACCCAGTCAAATAAAAAAAGTTCTAGGAGTCGCGTTGGCGAGGAACAACGCATGCCCCCTTAATCCTGTTGATGGTAGGACACATAGAGTTGACTCGGATTGAAAAGAGATCTGCACATTGTGGCGGTGTGGTGTCGTTTACTCTGTGCGCCTTTTTTTTTTTTTTTTTTTTTTTTGCTCCGCCAACCTTTTGTTTGTCATTCTTTTCGAATGCGTGAACTCAAGTGGTCTGGTGTGCAACAATGAAGGATGCTCTTGGATAAAGTCAGAATTGACCAATAGCAGGTATGGCTGAAGGAACAGGCAAAGGTTCCATCTCTCTCTCACTCTTTTACTTTTTCAGCTTCTGTTTTTTTTCCCCGCACAACTTTTTTTTTTTGTTGTTGTTGTTGATGCTGTTGAAAACCCAGCCTTGTACTTTTGAGGGCGACAACATTCCAGCTCAACTTGCACAGGTGCAGAGCTGTTCCTTTCCCCCCACGGCTTCGTCTATATACGGATGTATTAGGGTTCAACGACTCTCCACGTGAAGACAAATATACTTTGAGGAGTGAGTTATTGTAAACGAGGAAAAAAAGAGCCAAGAATGGGTGATATGAGTGTTCTATTGCCTCATGAGCTTTGTTCTCCAAGCTGCAAGGTTGCAAAAACGCACCACCATGTCCATTTGACTCTGCCCTGTTGTGCTTTGACTTTGCAGTGAAAAATGCAAGGGACTAGGCACAGGCACGAAGGATCTACATCCAAGCACTTGTGCACCTTTTGTTTGCCCTTTTCCAGTCCCTGGCTGCTAATAGGTGAGAAGCAGGACAGTGAAAAGAAAAAAGAAATGCAAGGCAAGTGGAGGGAAGAGAGAGAGGAAAGGAATGGGAGTTGGGAGTTCAGGCGTTGTCCGTGGGACCGGTAGAGCACGTTGTTAGTGCACAACGCCATTGGTCTGCCCAGTCTGGGGACCCTGAGCCGCTTTGCTCCGACTTTCTCCTACTTTTTTTTTTTTTTCTTTTGCCTTGCTCATTTTTTATTGTCTTCAATGTATTTCATACCATTCTCTCGACATCTCTTTTTTTTTTTTGCGATATTTTTTTCACTCCGCCTTTCGCCCTTTGGACGGCACCCGATGCAGCAATGTTAATGGTGAATTGTTTTGTATACATGCACTGGCAAAACCTATGGGCTTGTCAATTGAAACCAAGGAGGAGTTCAGATTGAGAGGAGAGATATTGGTTTCTGTGTATATGTGTTGATGGTTGCGAGATTGTGAATAGGAAAGCGAATGAGAGTGAAAAGATGAAAAAGAAAACTCTTTTTCCATGTTTTTTATGTATTCTTTACGCGGACAAAATAACAGCCTGTTCCGGCGGAAAAGGCTCTGGCTTTGATGCTCAGGAGTAACAACAGCAGTCGTAGTCTGAGGCAAGAAAGAAGAGGAAAGGAAAGGGTGAGTGCGAAGAGTGAAGGGAACAAATCCATGGTCAATGATGAATGAGGAGGAAATGTATGTCCACCACCAGAGAACAATTCGAGAATCAAGAGAAAGAACAAAGAAGGCTGACCCCGCATTATTTTCATCGGCGATGAACCGAAAATAGAAGAAAGCACATGTAGTCAACCCGTTGCTGGTGGTCCAGCCAGCCAGGCAGTCAGGCACAAACAGCAACAGCAGCAGACCGTTTTAATAATTTGAGCAGCCATGTGGATCAAATGGAAAGAAGTCGAGCCTGCCCTTTCTTCACCTGAGTGAGTAATAGTCCCTGTTCGATCGCACATCTCATCCTTCTCTCTTCTCTTCTCTTTTCTCTTCCTTCCTTCCTTCCTTCCTTCCCTCTCTTCCTCCTCTTCCTCTTTCTTTTTCTTCTTTCTTTCCCTCTCCTCTCTTCTACCCTTCCATCCTCACCTTGTCTCTCTTCCTCTCTTCTCTAATCCCACCTCCTTCCTCCTTCCTCCCTCCCTCCTCTCCCAGTCTCTGCCCTGGATCCCCTCCCTCGCTGTTAGACTCTTGGTAAGAAGCAGAAACGGTCTCCTTTTCAAAAAGGATCATACATTAGCCATCAACGCGCGCCACCACCACACACGCAGCGTTGATGCGCCCTCGGGAGACAGCGCAACGGTCGGCTCAGGAACGAAACCCCTCAAAAATGAATCACGATCACGAACGCGGGATCAGATCAGGATGACCGGACCGATCACCGAGGAAGAAGCAACTTCCGCTTCGAAACACATGCGCCCCAGGAAAAAAAGAAAGAACAGGGACGAGGCAGGCTGCCATGTGTCTGTGTGCATGCTCATTTGGGGTAAAAGGGCTGCTTCCGATCGACCAGCCTGACCTCGATGGGCAACCGCTTGTTCATCCCTTTCCGTCTCACAGTGACCCGACCTGACCTAACTGTTTTATCACATTTCGATCCCTTTTTACTTACTGCCAGTTACCAATCATACCATCTAGATCTTCCTTCGCTTCCCTTCTACATACATAATAATCCACATCGTCATGTCACAACAATCCCTCTCAAGTCCCTCCAACGAGGTCTCCAGTGAGCGTTACAAGCGCATTTTCCAAAAGTTTGCCTCTGTCGAGAAGAACGGCGAAAAGTTTATGACCAAGGACGACTTTGTCAATGCGATTGCACCCGGCGAGGACTACTCAAAGCTCCAGAAGGCCCAGTACGGCATCCTTTTCAGTGTTGCCGATCAGTCGAAGAGCGGCGTTCTGTCCATGTCTGACTTGTAAGTTGCCCAGTGACTAATTTTTTTTTTTTTTCATCTTCGTCGGCTCTCTTATTTTATTTTACCCCGCCTTTACTTTTTTGATTTCTTGATGGTTGAACACAAAAAGACTTTGTGGGTGGATATATGGATATGGACGGGTGCAATTGAGCAACTCCAGAGAGGTCCTAACCGGTTGTTGTCTCTTGCGATAAATTAGCACTGTCTTTGAGAACCTCCTCACCCGTCCCGATGCCGACTACGAGATCGCCTTCAGACTTTTTGATACCGCTGGATCAGGCAAGATCACCCGGGAACAGTTCAAGCAGATCCTCTCAGCCAACATTGGAAAGGACGCCATCCCCTTCGACTTTGAGTGCGAGTGGCTCAAGCTCTACACCGGAGGAAAGACCGCTGCTCACGAGATGCCCTACAAGGAGTTCACCCAGCTCCTCAAGGGCCTCCAGGCTGAACGCCTTCGCCAGGCATTCAAGTACTATGATACCCAGACCAGCGGCTACATTACCCCCGACGAGTTCAAGAAGATCATGGTCGATATCGCCGGCCACAAGCTCTCCGACCACGTCCTCGATAACTTGCCTACCCTCAGCAATGTTTATGCCGGCAACAAGATTTCCTTCGCCAACGTCATGGCCTTCTACAACGTCATCCGCGAAATGGACATGGTCGAGCGTGTCGTCCGTTCCGCCGTCACCACCAGCAAGGACGGCACCATCACCAAAGCCGATTTCTTGCACACTGCCGCCAAGGAGACCCGCTTCTCTCTCTTCACCCCCATGGAGGCCGATATCATCTTCCACTTTGCTGGCCTTGAGAACGCCTCAGGCAAGTTGACCCTCCGCGATTTCTTCCGCCTCCTCGAGTCCAAGTGGGAGCACGCCGCCCCCGTCGCTGCCCCCGCCCAGCAGCCCGAGATCAAGCACGGCGTCATGCACGACTTGTTGAAGGGATCATGTAAGTTTCACATACCAATATTTTCCCGCGGATCCCTATTATTGCTACCTTATTCTTCTCGACCTAATCAGATACCACTCCTTGACATTCAATAGACGGTTTCTTGCTGGGATCCATCAGTGGAGCTGTTGGTGCAACTGTTGTCTACCCTATCGATCTTGTCAAGACCCGCATGCAGAACCAGCGTTCCAAGGTCGTTGGTGAGCTCTTGTACAAGAACTCCATCGACTGCTTCAGGAAGGTCATCAAGAACGAGGGCGCCTTGGGCTTGTACCGCGGTCTTGGCCCTCAGTTGGTTGTAAGTCTCCTTTTCTTTTTCCATGATACTGATAAAAATGAATATGTAGTGATTGCCTGACTGGCACATGAGATTGACACTTGCCGATGTTATTTCTAATTACTGAACTGTAGGGTGTTGCTCCAGAGAAGGCTATCAAGTTGACCATGAACGACTTTGTCAGAAGAAACCTTACCGACAAGAACGGAGACATCACGTTCACCGCCGAGTTGATTGCTGGAGGTGTTGCTGGAGGTTCGCAGGTCGTCTTCACCAACCCCCTGGAAATTGTCAAGATTCGTCTTCAGGTCGCCGGTGAGGCCGCAAAGTCCTTGGAAGCTCCTCGCCCCGGTGCCATCGCCATTGTCCGCAACCTCGGAATCATTGGTCTTTACAAGGGAGCTAGCGCTTGCTTGCTCCGTGATATCCCCTTCTCTGCCATCTACTTCCCTGTCTACGCTCACTTGAAGAAGGATCTCTTCCACGAGGGTCCCGACCACCGCCTGGCCATCAGCGAGTTGTTGATCGCCGGTGCCGTTGCCGGTATGCCCGCCGCCTACTTCACTACCCCTGCTGATGTCATCAAGACCCGTCTCCAGGTCGAGGCCAAGAAGGGCCAGAGCAGTTACAACGGTATCAGAGATGCCGCACGGAAAATCTACGCTGAGGAGGGTTTCCGCGCCTTCTTCAAGGGAGGTCCCGCCCGTATCTTCCGTTCATCACCCCAGTTTGGTACCACCTTGATGGTTTACGAGGTTCTCCAGCGTGCCTTCCCCTTCGATGGCCCTGCTGCCTCTACATTGACTCATGTCGCTGCCCCTGCTGAGGACTTGAGCTACCTCCAGTCCAAGAACGCGCTCAAGATCCTTTTGGACGTCCACTACAAGTTTGGCATTGTCCCCTCCAATGTCAGCATTCCTGGTGTTGCCCGCGCATAGTTCATCTAGATTTTATGACTATTTCCCATTTTCATTTTCATTTTCATTTTTTTTTCTTAGTGTAGAGTAGAACGACTTTCATGAACATACAAAACATAGACGCCATGCTGGCAAAAAGACAATTGGGCAAGTGAATGGTGTGTATGTGAACACACGTTTAGGCGGCGCGAACTGGGCACAAGCAATGGTATGGTGATCGTAGGAGCACGACACCTAGCCAATCATGATTTATGGCGCATCTACAACTGGTCGTACCTGAAAAATGGTTTTGCTGTTCCTGCAGGCACCAGCACCACCGTGATGCCATTGTTCCTGGATACAGGAATCAATGAAAGAGTAGTAAGAGGTTACCAAGTTACCCGTTTTCAGCCCCTATTTCGCCTTTTCTTTTTGTGTGTCCTCATGGACCCCTTTTTGTTACTTGCTTGGTCCTCTCCGTCACCCCCCTCTTCCCTTTGGACGCAGCAGCAGGGCAGATGATCCTCGATGATGCACAACGACCGCACATCACCCCTTTTTTTTTCTATCAAAGCTATTCTCGCTCCCTCGTGCCTTGTTTTTGCTCCTGCTCGAGTCATCGCTCCACTTCCCTTTGAAGTGGCCGATGAGGAATCAGATTGCACCTCAAGCACATCTTGTCTTCTCACTCCTTCTCTTCATTAATTCATTCATTCATTCATTCATTCGTTCACTACCCCTCTTCTTCCATTCATTCATTGCTCCCTCTACTTCACCGAACTAGCAGACAAAGTATATACCCTAAAACTCCCTCACACTTTCTCACCTACTTCTCGCCCTCTCCACACCACCTGCTTACCACATTCACTCACTCACTCACTCACTCGCTATCAACACCCTACTCCCACAGTTTGTTAGCCGCTATTTTGCCCTTGATGTGGACATTTGTCTGGTTCCTGATCGGACTCCTCACCGGTCTGGCCTTTGCCTTCCATTCTTCCTCCTCCTCAGCACTTCAACAACGACTTGCTTCTCTCACAACGTAAGAAACAAGAAATAATCCTGAGTTGGAATTTTTATCAGAGCAAAGCAGGGTGCACGTTTGCTGACACAGACATGACTTTTCTTTTATTTCTCCACCTTTTTTTTGTTTGTGGACCCGACTCAGCCAAGGTGTGACAACACAAGACAGGAAAGCAAACGGTTCTGATCGCGACAAGACATCAGATACCACTTCAAAAACTACAACCGCAACATCATCTTCAACGACAGCAGCACAACAAACGATTGCAGACCCTCTTACCGACAAAAGGTTTCCAGGAACAACCACAACTGGACCACAACAGGGTCGGCGCCAACGAGTCGTGGTGGAATCGGACCCACTACATGCCTCGGACCTGATCACGGCCGCTGCTGTAACAAAGAAGCCCCTAAAGTCGACAGGGGCTAACGGCAGGAACGGGAAAACTGGTCGAGGTAGTCTTCGGAGGAGAGTTGGTCTCGGAGCAGGAGTGCCAGGCGGGTCCTTGTTGTCATCGTCATCCAAAGGAGAAAGAGACGACCACGACATAGCACTACAGAACGGAGGACGAGCGTCAAATTCTCATTGCACAACTCTAGCAATCAGTACTACTATTCCAGGCGCTCTTCCTCCAACGTTTACAACGACCACAACAACAACGTCAAGGAACCAGGTCTCGTCCAGGATAAAAACATCATCTGCAACGGCTACTGCTGTTATTGCCCCTGCTGTGCCAGAGACACCAACGGCCATGGACTCGATACCGATGGATGCAGAGTCACGGTGGAGGGATCATCATATGAAACGACAATGGGCGCAGTCATTGCTCGTGGAATCGATGGAGCCCGTTCTTTCGCGGCACTTGCGACATGCTATCAAGTCGGTCCTTCATTTCACCAACGTCGGGCCAGAGATCATGGACTTAAAGGGGTCGGCCCCAGGGTTGAGTCATCACTGGCGAGATTCATTTGCGGCGCCCATGGTCTTCCCACCAAGAGTTATTCCTCAGTCTTCCTCTCTGAGTAGCTCTATCCAAATCAACCATCAGGCCAGCACTCCTGTCACAGCAACACCTACACAGGCAACACATCAACTGCCCTTCGTGTCATCATCTCACGCTACCTCTACAAGGACGACAACGACGGAGCATATTCGGATACCAACCTCCCAGCAGCGGACGAGGTCCGCCAGTATCAACTCGCTGTCACAGTTATTGGAGGCGCAACTGACAGGACAAGCTCAACGTCGCTCAAGGGATCTTTCAATATCTTCAAGAGCATCGGAGGTGGCGACGACGGCGCCTTCAGCCATCTCGACACAAAAGAGCAGAGATGCTTCGTCTTCTTCGGTCGCCTCGGCTACTATTGTGGTTCGTGGGTTCACGTCGACGGCTTCGACTCATCATACCCAGACCGCCACGGCGGAGGAGGCAAAGTCGAAGAGTACTATGATGGTGGAGGCAGATGACATCTCGGAGATCGACCTTGGACTGAGCGAGAGTTTATTGCAGCATTCCACGGGGTCGTCTTTGCTGAACGGTGCTGCCACTATCGCCACAGTCGCCACTCTCTCCACCACTGCTATTGATACTCCTGACAGCCAACCAGCGACTTTGCAATCTTCCAACGAGCATGAAGTCGACTCACACCAGACTGGAAGAACACAGGAGTACGCTCACGAATCAAATTTCGGATCTAACCCCAACGGCAACAGCATCGATAACTCAGCGGAGAAAGGCATCATGCCTTCAAAACCTCGTCATTCTCGGTTATGGAGCAAGATGCGAAAGACTTTCTACGGAGATTCGAAGCAGGAGCAGCAGCAGGAGAGCCCCCGAAACACCATTTACCTCACTTCAGGAGCAGTAGCAGCAGGAGGATTCACAGCCCGTTCCATGTCCGACAACCACCTATTAGCCTCCTCATCCAGACCCGTCTCAACCTCATCCACATCTTCCTCCAACAACGCCGCCATGCTGCCGTCCTTCAGCAGCAGCGTCCTCAGTGTCCTGAGTGAAGACCAGATGTCACTCCAGAAGGAACTCCAAAGAACGCCGATGACGTCCAAAGCCTCTGTGGGCGCGTTCGAAACACCCCCCGAGACGGCGCCCAACTCACCTAATCAAACCCCGACATCCCCAACGACACGCTCCAGATTTGGGTTCCATCACAACTTGCCGGGTCTGGCGAGACGGTCGTCAATCAAGAGCCCTGCAGCAGCGGCAGAAGTCACGACCGCAGAGTCAAGGGTCAGCCAGTTCATGTATGCCGGTCAAATGGCACCCCCCGATTCATCAATAACCACTCCTCGCTCTCGCGTCCAGTCAGCTTCGTTCTCTGGAGGAGTATCTATCATCAACACGGCAGATGGTCTGGGAGGAGGACAAGGAATGCCCTTGATGGATCTCAGTCTCCACGGCGACCACTTTTCGACACCCAACGCTGTCGAGCGTTCGAATTTCAAATCCGCCCTGCTCAAACCTTCAGCAGAGATCTCGGACCCGGACTCGACACCCAAGCAACTTGGACGGTCAAAGTCGTCATCGGCTGCGCACCGGCGTGAGATGAGGCAACAGCCCATGAGTCCTACAGGGTCGGGATCAAAGGAGTCAGAGTCGTCATATCAGGACGGGGAGCAATTCTTGACAGCCCATCGTCGATTCCGAGAGTTTGGAGTACTGTCTCCACCACAAGAGAGTCCGCTCCAGGATGGTATCTCTCTAGACTTGCCATTGAGAAAAAATGAAGAGTCCATCGTTCCTTCCTCACCACCTACCAGTATTGCATGGAGCGGGAACCGCACTCGGCACTCAACTGCAACATCTCCATATCAACCATCAGCATTGTCACCAGACGGACGACCTCTCTCGCCCTCTCAGATGCTCAGTGGCTCGAGCGACGTTCTCCCAGAGCAGTCGAAGCAGGACCGACGCAAGTCTGCGATAAGCTTTGGGGGTTACTTCTCTAACCCTTCGGCGGTTGCCAACAGACGAACGAGAGATTTGACGGGGCACTCGATCTCGGGATTGGAGACTGACGCTCAAGGAGAGATTATTCATCTCCGACGGACTTCCTTTTTTGACAAGGCTTCGCCACCGACTTTGTCTTCGCTCGCCTCGATGATACAAACGAACTTGCCTTCGCTGTCGCAGAGTCTTGGGAGTGGTGGTGGTGGTGGCACGGACTCGCCCTCGATTTCTCGATCGCCTAGTAAATCTTCAGGACTCCCGCAGGACCAGAGACCTCTCCTTCAAGGACGCCCTTCACTCACAAAGAAGGGCACTACTACTACCGCGACCACAGCCACATCAGAGATCGACAGTTCAAAGGCGATAAAAATCACCCCGCGCGACCTTACCAAGAGAAAAATGACACCTCTCAAGATCACCACCCCTTTACACCTCTCAGGCGTCCAAAGCCTTCCCTCCCCCATATTCCTCCCTCCACTCAGTGCAACCATCCCACGACCTCTTGGCTCTTCAACATTCGCATTCGCGCCCCTAGACCGATACTTCTTCAACGTCGAACAAGTTCATGAATGGAACATCCCAAGCTACGGACGCGTAAAGTTCACCGACCATGCGCCCCTCGTCTTTCACGCCATCCGGGAACGGTTCCGGTACACACAAGCGGATATGGATGAGGCGTTGTCGTTGCCCATGACGGTGATGAGGACCCCCGGGAAATCGGATGCCATTTTCTTTGCGTCGCATAATCATGGGCGGTTCTTGCTCAAGACGCTTCGGGGCGCGGAGCCGGATAACTTGAAGGGGTTCTTGGGAGATTATTTGGCGCATATTCAAAAGTATCCTAATACGCTGTTACCGAGATACCTGGGGATGTATACTTTTGAGAAGGTGGCGGGGGCCAAGCTGGGAGCTGGAACGGGAGCGAGTGGAGGTGACGGAACTGGACTTTCTGGTGCCGGAGTGGGTTTTGGTGGCGACAGGGAGGGTACCGGACTAGGAGGACTAGGAGCAGGAGCAGGATCAGCGAGGAACAAAAGCGACGCGACTGCGGCTCAGCACCTCCACATGAACGGGACACTCCTCTCTGCTGGAAGAGACGACGGTCTGCCGTCCAAGGTTGTCGTCGTAGTCCTGGCCAACGTCTTTGACACTCCCGAGGTTGTCCATGAGCGATACGATTTCAAAGGTTCCAATGTCGGTCGGAGGACCCTTCCTGTCGACGGAGTCCCTTCTGTCCGTGACAGTCGGTTGATGAACCCTATCGCACCGGACTTGCAATCGCCACCACGTGCATCGATGGAGAAGGATTCAGGATGGAGTGATTTTGCGCATCGTCATGCTCACTTGCGGAACCACCACCTCGGCACGAGTGAGAGCAGATCTTCATCCATGTACTATGAGCCGAGGAGTGATCCAATTTACCCTCACGTGCAGTCTGGAGGACTTGCTGGGGGTGGCGGCGATGGTACAGCAGGGGCGACGACGGATATCAGCCATTTGACGTTGAAGGAAGTCGATTTCCAAAACAGAATCTTTACAGGCGAGACACAGCTCATCCATCTCGGATCTACTCGCAAGGCCCAGGTTCTTGCCCAGCTTGAGGAAGATACAACGCTTCTCCGCAAACATGGTTTCATGGACTACAGGTAACCCCCCCCCCCCCCCCAAAAAAAAAAAAAAAAGACGTTGACAAGTTATTATTGTTTGCATGGTCAGCATTGTTCATTTCATGATTACTAATACTGGTGGTCCACCTTTTCTTTGCAATCATATTTTCTTAGTATGCTGGTGGGTATCCGGATCATCCCAAAGCGTCCCGTCGAGCAAGAAGAGGAGGAGGAGGACGAAGAGCCACAGATCTATTCGTCACCAGATTCCAGCCGCAGAGGATCTCTTTCCTCACGAGGATCAGATGCCGACGACAGCAACCTGGATTCGGATAACGAGGGTGACCATCGCAGTGACTCCCTTCACGGCTCCTTGAACGGCAGTGAGGCCAACAACAGCAACATCAGCAGGAAATCAGAGCCCCAACGCGAGATTGAAGAAGCTCTAGACAGGATCTGGAGGTTTATTAGTTTTTCGGAGGAGCGGTTGGTGTTCTTGAAGGGGCTAGGCGAGAAGGCTCAGGAGGCTTTCCGAGACGTGTATTCGTTTGGGGAGGTTATTGTTTCTGGTGGTCAAGTAGCTTCGCCGTCTTCTGCGGCCGCCAAGTCAGATGGTATTGACGCGTCGACAGCGAATCGTGCGGCGGGTAAGTCTGGATCCAGGAAAGATTCAAAGAAGGAGAGCAAGAGCCGTGCGCCGCCACCAGAGGTCGAGCTCACAGCCGTAAAGTCGTCAAAGCACCATCACCATTCGCGGAAGCACAAGGATCGTCAGCAGCAGCAGGAGGTGAAAGAAGCCAAGCCCCGTCGGCCCTTGTTCGACGACGACGACGACAATAACGATAACGACAATCTAAACCCAGATTCGTTCCAAACAGTCCGGTACAAGCCCAGGACCGACAGCCATTCGTCCACCCGACCAAAGCTCTCCATCTTGATCGACCCTTCAGCAACAGGAACTGGAGCACCAAGAAGCAAGAGGCCTTCCTTGGATACGCCTCGACACCAGAGTATGCCAGGAGGGCTTCCGAACTTACCAAATTCTGCGCCTCTACCACCAGTTGGAGCGGCTGCAGCCTCACGGCTGTATTCTTCGCCGCCTTACCAACAAACCCAGTTCCCGCATCACCAAACCGGCACCACTTCAGACACCCACCCAGCAGGCAACATGCAGGACCCGACAATCTGGTCCCATGGAGTCCCCAGTCTGGGTCTGCCTGACGGGTATGAGGTCGTCTACTACTTTGGCCTCATTGACGTCCTCCAAAAGTACAACCTCGTCAAGTGGCTCGAGCGCAACATCAAAGGCGCCAATGTTCGTCTCCTCGGATCTGGAAACAATAACGGAGGTGGATCTTCGCCCATGACGCCAGGGCCCCCGACACCGTTGCCGTTGCCGCAGACGGTGATCCATCCTGGGCGATCGAACCCTTCGACTAGTTCTACTTCGTTCGCTTCTTCGGCGTTTTATCAGCTCTTGCCGCATGCGACTGCTTCTGAGCCATCACTGTCCTCCGTCATGGATCCAACTTCTGCTGCTGCTGCTGCTGCGCAAAGCACCGCCACCAATCCAGCACTCTCAGTCCTGCTCGAAGACCCCAGTTCAAGCCACGGATCCTCATCCTCTACCTCAACCACATCATCCTCACAAGACAACTCACGCAGCAACCGTGGCTCCTTCCTCCTGGACCCAACCTCCTCCTCCTCCTATTCCCACTCTACCATCTCAACCCCTCTCTCATCCGCTCGAGTCAGCCAAGAAGAAAGCACCCTCACATCATCCATCACCTCTCCCATTCTGATCGAAGATCCCTCAAAAGTCGCCCCACCTTTTGCCTCTCACTCCTCCTCCCCTTCTTCAGCCTCCATTCTCAACACCAGCAAGCCCAGACTCAGCACCTCAGCACCATACACAAAATCGATCGCTAACGCCGCGGCGCGGTTGAGTCAATACAGCCAGTACAGCCATTCAAGCCAACAGAGCCAACATAGCCATCAAAGCGGTCGCAGCCGCGACTCGCGTCTTTCCTTTGACATCCGTGCCTCCAACGCCTCCGAATCCATGATGCTCCCTCCAAACCATCATCTGTACTCATCCTCATCCTCTTCCCTACCATCTTCTGACGGCGGCGGAGGCAGTGGCAGCGGCGGCGGCGTTCAGATTCATATCCCGCCTGGTCAAGCTACTCAGGCAGCCCACCAGACGCAGACTCAGGCGCAACAGTCAAGACCAGCAAATTACCCTCATCAGTATCAAGCCCCACAACATGCTGAAGTCTCGGTAGAGGAACCTGGTCGGTACGCTGAGCGCCTCATCGACTTTATGCGAGGAGTACTAGTTTAGCTGTAGATATTCTTAATAACAGTAGTAATCATAATTCTTTTTTACACACATTTTTTCGTTTTCAGGAGAAGACAGAAAACTGGTGCATCGTTTAGGAAAATGATTGAACAAAAAAAAAAAGTTCGCGCTCTTGCCTTCTCAAACCTGATTCGTGCATGCTGCAACGCGTGAAGCGAAGGTGAAGGAAGAAGAAAAAAAAAAAAAAAAAAAGATCGCTCGTGGTGACTGACATGCACGGTGCTTTAGAGAGGTAATATTAAAAGCGCGCAGTGTGTGCTTGCGCGGGAAAGAAAAGGTCAAGCACGCTGCGCCCCATAAGCAGGGGGAAAAGCTAACACACTTGGGGTCCTCACAAAATCAATAATTAAAGTCTCCGGCATGGAAAAAATTCCCCTGTTCCTGAATCAGATCACATTTGATTTGCACTTTTTTGCATACCATGAGATCTTTGGTAGGTGTTTCTTTTGATTCTCTCTTTTGCTTTTTTATTATTTCTTAGTTACTAATATTTATGGTACACTTTTTTTTTTTTTTTTTTTTTTTTGGGCGTTGAGCATAGCAAAGAGGACTCGCTCCTTCCTCGGCGTCTTCTCCATCTCCCTTTCTCTCTCACTTCTACTTCTGGGCCCGCCAGATCCAGTACGACAGCGTTCGGATAATGTCTCCAACATGCTTAGATTCAATCGCGTTGTAGCCACTCTTGGGTTCTCGGCTGACAGAGTAAACCCCGACATGCGCTCCCAATGTCTCATCCTCACCATGCTCACCGCTACCATCTCCGTTCTCATCCTCGCTATCATCGCTCTCGCCGTCGTCAGCATAATCGCCGTCTGATCTGCTATCGCTTCGGCTACCGCTCTCATCCGAGTCATCATCATCGTCCGAATCCAAAGAACCTTCAATGCTGTAGACACCGTCATCAGCGTCAGACCCAGCAGACGATCGACCGTTCCTACTTCCCTTCCTCCTGCTGTTACCCTCCACCTTTCCAGGCGCCCTTCCAAGGCCACTACCGCCGCTGGTTCGTCGGGACCGACCCGGGGGCGGAGGACTCAACATCGACGACGATGCAGTGGCTCCTGCTTCTGCAACTGCGGGAGGCGTGGCTTTGATAGAACTCCAACCTGCTGCCGAGATCGAGTCGTCCTCGACGATGGTGCTCTCAGGACGAGAAGTTGTTCCGCTTACAGGGTTGAAGGTCGTCGCTGTCGAACCTTCACGGCTGCGGCTCGACTGAAGGCGGCTGGCCACCTTGCTCACTGCCAATGTTGCTGCACGGGCAATGGAGGTCATAGACGACACTCTGCTGGACGCCTCAGAGAACGAGGGGCGCACAGGCTGTGGTGCATCCTGTTGATGTTGTTGTTGCTGGTGCTGTTGGTGCTGCTGAGGCCGAGGCGATGGTGGTAGAGATGGTGAGAGCAAAAGCGCTTGTAGGTGAGAATGCGACTGCGAGTGCATCTTGGGTCTTACCGACGACGCTACAGAATCCCGTCGGCTGAATTGCGAAGAAAGATCTCCTGTCGAAGTACGCATCATGCGCTGATGACCGTCGCTGACAGACAGCTTCGAATCCGATACCGAGGCCGTCTCCGTAGTGCCCAGTGGAGCTGCCCCTGCTGTCACAGTGTTATTGACGTTGATCACAAAGTGAACGAGCAAGTCGCGGTTTTTTGGGTTGAAGATCACCAAATGGCGACGCGCCTTTCCAGATCCGACAGACCCCAGGTCATGTCTGTGACGACGCGCCTCTTGGTCCAGACCCGGTCTCAAACATGCAACCGCAGGGCCAGGCGATCCAGTCTCATCGTACTCCATGAACTCTCGTGCCAATCGCTCGTAGTAGCGTCCCAGGAATGTGAGCACATGACCCCAATCGATCCCTGGGGCAGTGACAATGGCGCGGAACTCTGGTTCCATTTCTTCCAGAGGGGTGCTGTGGAATCGCTGGCCAAGCGCCAAAAAGTCTGCAAATCCAAGCTCCGAGTTGTTATTGTTGTGGGCTGTGTTCTCGTTGCGGGTTGCCGGGCGGTGAGAGACGTAGTCGGGGGCGTCTGTTGAAAGGATAGTAGCAGGGCTGTTGATGATATGAGAGGCGCTGATGAGAGGTGTCTGAGGACCTGTCAACACCACTCCAGAACTGCCAATCTTGCCCTGCACCAACATCTCCCAGAGCGAATCTCGGTCAAAGAACTGTGCCGCCTGTTTCAACATCATGTCTAGTCGCACCTCAGCAGCACGGACAACATCCCCGAGGACTGCTCGCTCCGTGATCCGCTCCTGCAGTTCAGTGGCATCCATGAGTCGCTCGCCGCCGCTAAAGTGGTCCTGCGAGAACGTCAGGTCGGCCTGGTCAGAGTTTCGGCGCAATGATCGGATCAGCGACTGGCGTTGCGGTTCCAACGGTGGTTTGTCCTCGTCACTAACAGGTTGAGCGGGTTGAAGGTGACTGGTGCCCATTGTGTTTGGCGAGCCCTCAGGGCCATGATTCATCACGTTGGTGTTATCGTTGTCCCTCATCACCAGTAAACTACGGCTTGCGGCCAAGAGTCGGTCCCTTGCTCCAACAAGTGGTCCATGGGCATCCTCGAGCTTCTTGACCACCTCCTCCTCACGCAGAATAAGAAGGTAGTAGTGCACCGTCAGACCCATGCTATCCTGATCGCCCTCTGATATCACCAAGACATACTCCACGCCCTCATCCTCCAGAATTGTGTTCTCCTTCAAGTTGTAGCTCGACCGACTTGTAGTCATACGGCGAGACATACGCTTGGTGTTCAGGCTACTCTCATGGCTGGCATGTCGTGTATGGGGCCCAAAGGATTTCTGAGACGTTGTTGGTGCACTTGGGGACAAACCACCTCGACTGGCACCGACGCCAAAGCCCTTCAAACCCTGTTTAGGGGCCTCAGATGCTCGCTTGTGATGCTCGGGTTTCGTGCCAACACCGCCTTGACTCACAGCGCCACCAAATCCTGAGAGAAGATCGCGACCAGAGACGAAGCACGCCTTAGGACGATTCTGGTGTTGGATCGCCTGGAATCCATATCTCTGCGGATTCTTGATCACATAGTCGAACAGATGGCCAGGAAGCTCAGTCTCGCCTGGGGCAACATTAGTTCGGTAGACTCCACGGTAGACCCGGTTCCTGGCATACGCGGCTGGACGTGAGTGGTACTGAAGGAACTGGTGCAGGACATCCATCAGATCGAATGAATACGGCAGAGAAGTCACCGGCGCAGACGAAAAGCCCATACCGTCGCTTGTGGGTGTAAGCACGGCGAGCTTGGACGACTCCATGAGGATCCTGTGGATATATCGCAGATGGAAGTCGTACACGAAGCTGTTGACGTGAATGCGATCTTTGAACCGCGCACACTGCTCCGTGAAGACCCGAAGACTCTGCTTGTTGGCCTCCGCCGTGGCAAATCCAGGTGCGGCAACCTTCACGCGACCGTAGCGTCTGTTCAGAGTGTAGAGCGTCACACACACAAACATGCCCTGAAGTCTGACCTCACACATGATTGATCCTCCTTGCAGCGACTTGAAGAGGAAGGCGGCCGGACTGGGAACCGACAACGTTTGCGAAACTGTGAACTGCGACATGAACGACAGTTCTCCTGACTGCGACGCTTCCACGGGTTTATCGAACTTGGAGTTGCCGTACATCAGCAACTGCATCCCAACCGTTGCCAGATACTTGCTATACTCCTGCATGAACGTCTCCGCCAGAGCACTGTACCACTGGGCAATCGGGTCAGTCACCGGCACATCCTTGGCTCCATCTCCTGCTCGAGGATCGATCTTTCCGGTCAATCCAGCACCTGCAAGAGTGCAGGGGTCAGCTTGAGGGAACAAAGAGGACGAAAACTCTGTAAACAAGAGCGGCGTCCTGCAAAAGTGAAGGAGTCTCGAGGAGCGCAGCATGATGGCCAGATCAGTCGTATTCATGTTCTCGTGCAGCGCGTTTGGTGATCCCTTCCTATCGCGGTATCGCCTCGACCACTTCTGGTAGACATTGTACGCATTCTGTTGGTCCTCTGCATTCTTGGTGTGGAAGGCGAACGTGTCCAAGAAGGGCTTTCCATGTCGCTGGACCTCGTCCTGGATTTGATCCTCGTCGCGGGGCGTTTCGAGGGGCTCCAGGCAGTAGTCGCGCAAGATCTGATCGACATCGAGTCCGGTCGCGACGATGCTGCCTCCTGTTGGCGAGTTCTGCTCCGATTGGGCTTGACTCTGGACCTGAACGTGAGACTGCGGCGACAATGCAGGAGGCGGGTTAGGTCGAGCTACTAGGGACAGTGTGCTCGAAGAAGCCTTGGGAAGCTCTGCTCGTCCATCGTCGTTGCCGTAGAGGCTTGTTCCGATAAGGAGGTTACGCATTCGGTTAGGGAACTGGTCTTCCACGAGGCTGGCCAAATTGACGGTATCTGATAGAACTGTTGCGGCAGACAGCGACTTTGGCGAGGTCGAAGTCTTTGCCAAGTTGGGTGTGCTTGTGTTTGATTCCGTATGTCCGGTTCGCAAGTTCGAGCTCAGATGAGGAGAGCCCTGTGGAACTGTTCGAGGCATGACCTGAATTAGGTTCGACGAGGTTGTGGAGCTGCTCTGAGCTGTTGCAGGGGCTGTGGATGGCGCTGCTGAGGTCGAGAGGATCGAAGGCACATGGTGAAACAGACCCATCTTTTGGAGCAGCACGTTGTCCAGTAGTCGCATCCTGTCCTTGTGCCACTTGACGACCTTCTCGATGCCAGAGAACATGAACTCGTGGTAGGTCTTGCCCCAATTGTAGGTGTATACTTGGAGTCCAAAGCCGTTGGCCGTAATCATGACGAAACAGTTTCGAGTGAGCATAGTCTCTTCTTGACCGCTCGTCGTGATGGCGTTGGGATACATCTTGATGTCCTCGAGCTGGCGCTTCGGGAGTTGTTGCGAAGAGTGGGTCGATGTCTTGTGGGAGTGGTGCAGACTCTGGCCTTCAGCAAGGGAGCTCCGTCGGGAGTGGGTGCGGTCGCTTCCCATACTTGTCCGTCGTCCGTAGTAGTTGGAGCTCGAGCCGTCGTTAAGGTCCTGAATACCGCCGATAATCACAAAGCGGACGTTGGTCATGTCGCCAAATGACTTTCGTGTCCCGCTCGAAGCACGGTACTCCTTGTATCTATTCGTCTCTGCCATGGACCGGATCAACAACGGCGAGAAATGAACACTCACATCTGTAAGGATCTCATCCAGCTCAAGCAAGAACGAGTCCATGATCCAAGGCGGCATGGAGTACTTCAGTGCAAGAGATTGGACAGCAGGGTTCTTCCACTGGTACGCGTTCTCCAGGACAAGGAACGAAGGGTCGATGAAGTTCTTTTGAATACGTTCTCCAATGAGCGGTTCGCCGTCAATGTCGTAGACATCGCTCCTCCTATCGCGGGCGCTGGGACAGAGACCTTGGGCAATCGAGGTCTCAATGATGTCGTCGCACAAGCTTTGACGGAAGCTCTGGCAAATGGCGTCCACCAACGCTCCAGCATTGACCGATCCCTGCGCCCAAACTTCGATCACCAGGCTGTAGGTTGAGGGCTTAAGTCCGCTGGAGTTCGGGAAAGAGTCGAAGTAGTTCCTGATGTCCTCCTTGTCGTGATCGCCCTCCTGATATCCAACCTCAAAGACTGGCTTGAGATCGCGACCGAGTACAGTCAGGCAAACACCAGCAAGTCCAATTCCCACTTGAGCCTCAATAGGGGTTTGGGAACGACCTTGGACGCTGTTGTAGAAGAACGCAAAATCCCCAATCTGCAGTTGATGGGAACGACTTCTACACGTATGAATAGTGGGTATTGAACCATGTTAATAAACGCTAATGTGAATGTGTACAGGGTCTTAATAACACATTTGATAAATGGACCCTTACCGGTCGTGGAACCTATCGCTGGATGACAGGCGTCCGTAGCGGGAATTGTAGTATCGTGTCAGAGCGTTGACTTTGTCTGCTCCAGTCAGGGGATTGAGGTACAACGACAGATTCTGCTTGAGATACATCAAGAACGCGTAAGGGGCGTTGATGAACTGCGGAATCTCAACCAGCTGCCTTGTCGGCGGGAATCGGTCCACTGGAAGAATGAAGTCAACGTCCTATATTGACAAAGGTAGAATTGCAGCTTTAGTATCTTGACCTCGTCAGCTTATTGATTTTCATACCATTCATAGCATGGAGCCTTACCGCTTGAGAGAGTTTCAGTGTCGAGTTACGGGAGAGGAACGTCGAAACGACAGAAAGTACAACCGAGTTGTAGAACTTGTTCTCGAGAAGAGAGAACAGGTCAACGGTCACTTGTTTGCCTGGCGGTTCCACTCCGTAGACCTCAATCACCAGCTCCCTAGTGTCAGTCTTGATGGCTGGAGGAGCTGGGGTTCTTGAGCCCGGCGAGGCAGTGGGCGATGGACGAGGACTGTTGACATGAGACCCGGAGTCATCGAGGGTCTGATTGGACGATGATACAATTGTCGAAGAGTCATCTACCTTGCCGACAGCCAAATGGGAGCCCTTGGACTCGTCTGCGCCAAGGCTTGCGTCCTGCTCCGGGTGTGCTTGAACCTCCACCTCATTCAGCCTCAAAAACACGACAATCTTCTTGGTGTCATCATGGTCATCTTGGCTCTCCACCACGAAAAAGTTCTTGCGGTTCTGAACTGCGAAGGGATACAGAACCAAATGCGCAACGCTCTTTGTAGCTTGGCCAGGCTTGACACGCCAATGCAGTGGCCAAGCGACACGGTAGACCAAAGGACAGGCAAATTCACCAGGGTTGAATTTCCGCGGAGAAAGTCCATCGTCTCTGGGACGCGACCCGCCTGTGACAAGCACGTCATGATCATCGTCGTCATCCTGAGACACCATATCAGAGTCGGAGCCAGACTCTGAATCTGCATTGGGGTCGGCGCTGTCGTTGGGCACGAGGTACTTGCTGCAGTTCCTGGTTTCATTCAATGACTGAAGCAATGTCAGCTGGTTGACCTTGACACAAAGCTCGTCGACTGCCTTTCGGACCCGGCTCAGGATTGTGTTGCACGCTTCCTCCGAGAGAGACTTGGAGAAGAAGTAGACCTGGACATAGGTATCATTGGGCACCAAAATCAACCAAAACTCGCGCTTCCTACTCGACGCGCCTCCGTTGCCATGGCTCTTTCGGTTAGATGATGACTCGTGAGCCGGCTTGGGTGTCGGTAGTATCACGATCCCTAGGCCATGGCACAGGTCGTCCGATGCTGGAAGGGTAGAGTCTTTCTTTAAGCTGCTAGAAAGCGAAGGCAAATCCTCAATTTGTCCATCCTGATTGACCTCAGAGTCAGGATCCTCCGATTGAACCACCCCCTGACCCTCAGAACCGTCAGAACCAGTCATCTCATCGGCGCCCTCCGTCAAGTAAAAGTACGACCCGACTTGATAGAGCTCGTATGGGTGCATGTCGGCTCTCGCAAGTTCCTGCATGAAAATCTCGTGTCCGCGTCTCTTCTTGACGAACGTCAGCGGCAGGGTCATCGCTGTAGGGAATGTCACAAAGTTGCTCTTGGTCTTCAACTGCGTCTCAACAAGATCCAGCATGTCGACTGTGACAGGGGTCATGTTCAGCAAGCCATGCATGATCTCCTCCTTGACCAGCCACTCCAACCTCGCCTCTGCATCCGCGATAGCCTCCACCTGCGTGGCGTCCAGAGACGGGAAAATGTGTTGGAGAGCCCGAGGTCCGGTAACCGGGTTGTTGTCGATGCTGATCTTGGATTCCGAGTCGATAGTTTTCAGAGTAGGTCCAGCGTAATCCTCCGCCATTGGCAAGGTCGAAATGACAAGGTGAAGAATTGCCACAGTGCCGTCAGCAGAGTCGACAGGCCGCGAGTCAAAGCCGATGCTTGAGGGAGCATAGTCGCTTGGGCGGGCGCCATTGTCCTGGTAGACGTACGACACCGGAATGTCCGAGACTGGGAAAGTCACCGATGACTTCAGGTTGGCGTACTCCAAGTCAGCAGGCTGCGTCAGAGGTTTTTGGAAAGAACACTCCAGATGCAGGAACATGGGCCGCTCAGCATACTCAATGACTTCTCCAAGAGCGTCCTCCATATCAGCGTCGATCGATCCAGCTCTTGAGACACTGGGGGATCTCTTCCTGGTCTTGGGCTTGACCAGTTTGGGTCCGGCCCTCCTCACTGCAGGTCGGTAGAAATACATCCTGTCGGATCCTGTTCCTGGTGCCAGTTCGAAGGAGTGCTTGAGGACATCCAAAAAGCGTGCCTTCAGCTCTGGAGAGTCATCCCTAGTGTTACAGGTGTCATGATAGTATTAGTATACAAGCTCAGCCAGTAACAATCGTTAATATGACTAGCCATAGCCGACTCTACATATTAATATACCTCAGTACTCCGAGGCGTCGTCCTTGTTCCAGAGTGTTGATGAAACCTGTGATGTTGATGTCGACAGTGTTCTTGGTGCAAATCTGGCTGGCCTTCTTCAAGTCCGCGTGGTCGATAGGATGTCCCTCGAGCAGAGATGTGTAGATGGCTTTTGCAAAGCTGTGGGAGTAAGCCTGGCTGATGGATCGAATCAGTTGCATGGTCGACTCTTGAACTCTGGCCTTTCCTTGATCCTCATTCACCACCGGTTGAAGTAGCAGCGGCGTCTGAGAAACTAAAGGCCCTAGAGACACCGGATGGAGTTCAAAGAGGGCCTGGCTCTGGTCGAGGGTATTGGCATTGTATTCCGACACGTCTGCCAATGGCTTGCTCCGGAGACATTCAAACATGAGACAGCTCAAAAATTCACGGCGGGCATGTTCCGAACGAGCCTCATTCTCCCTAGGCGCCAAAGATCGCAGCTTCGTCAGGTGTGAAATGACGGATCCGAGTTTTGGTACGATGATGAGTCGGAAGAACTTGGCATTGACGCTCTTGACGAAGCAGCGGATATCCTGGAAAGAGTTGGCGCAGTGGAAGGTCATCAGTGCCTGCCGGACCTCAGCGTTGCGTTTTATCGACGTCTTGATGTCCAAGAAGAACTCGTTGCAAGCATCGTCCTCTCCTCCCGCCATAATCTCGCCGTCCGCCAGCTGGGAGAGTGACTTCTCCATGAACAAATGCAGAATCGCCAAGTCCCTGTCCGTGCAGCAGAGCTCCCGAAGCTGATCCTTGTACTCGAGAACCAACTCGTTCTCGCTCGATGGCGCCGACTCCGCATCCAACAGTGACTGGCTCAAACTCGTCGTACTCGCGTTCGCATTCCTCGTCAAATAGAGCTCTCGGTGTCCACTCCCTGCCACCTGTAAGGTTGTCGGGGCAATTTCAGGTCCAGTCGAAACACCAAGACCCAAGGTGTGGAGACACTTCCTATGAGAAACGCCTTCCTTCTCGTGCTCGTCTCCTGTTGTACAGCATCTCTGCGGAGCCTCAAAGGACAGAGTGACAAGTCGCTGTTGGCGTAGGAGGGTCGCGGGGTCAAAGAGCCAAGGATACATAAAGTCGCGGTCTTGTGGTTGCGGTTGCACCTCTGGCCTGAGGCGGAGCCGTCCGATAGTGTGAATGGCCTCGTAGGTTGCCAGGCGTGAAAGAATGAACCGATCGACAGCGATAATCTCTGCCTTCAACTTTTCGAATAAGCTGTAACGGTTAGCATCGACGGTAGGTTCCATCCAGAGTTCGGTAACGAGCTCTCCTGAGACGGGGCTTCTGAAGATAAGGTACTGGACTGTCCTGGTGCCGCTGATAAGAGACCCTTCCAACTGGGGCAGCTCGACCTCTTTGTAGAACACCACTCGGTTTGGAAGGCACGATGCCAGGTAGAACCCCTCGCCCATGCGCTGTGCGCACAAATACTGGAACGCTAGATCCTGACTGGCCATGTAACTGTTCTCGGCAAGGTAGACCGAGTCCCGTACTTGATCCTTCCATCCCCAGTGCTTATGGACAAGGTAGGACCGCATCACCGATTCCTTTCCAATGGGCTCGGAGACGTGGGTATGAAAGTCAGTAAGGTTGGTCTCGGGCTTGCGACTCAGTGGTGCTTCGTAAATCACATGTCGCATCAACAGTCGATACATGGGCCGTTTGCATTGAAGAACGCGGGCTTGAACGACCTCGGATTCGGTCTTGGAGCTCGTCCCGGGATTCTGCTTAGCCTGGAAGTTGTAGATGTTGGTCTTGAGATCCTTGGCTATCGTTTGTCGTTGGGAGAGCGAGACGCCAAAGAATCGAAGCTGAACTCGTAAAATGGCGACGTTGGGTTCCGTAAAGAGTCGCAGTTCGCAGAACCGAGCACTTGTCGTCGTGGTGGGTCCAGACTCCGGAGACTGGTATGTCTGGACAAAGACGTCTCCGACAATAAATGATGCCCAATTGCTCTTGATGTATTCCTGGATTCCTTGGACAGTCGTCTCGAGTCCCTCGCTGTACTTGACGAGAGAGTTCTTGGTATCCATAGATGTGGGTAGGAAGGCTGGGGGTGGGACGACCAACATGGCTTCAAACTCGTGTTCGTTGTACCAGCCTCGACTGTACTGATAATCGGCGTCCTTGGCCAACCCAGACCACTGTTCCGAGAGTCGCGATAAGTACGCCGTAAGCTCCTCCTTGTCTCGCTCCGCACCGGTAGTTCCTATCGTGTTGGTCGTCTTGGTGCGCTCTTTGATTTTCGCACGCTGCGTCCATAGTGCTTGGTTGGCGGAGGCGTGAGAGTTGTTCAGTCCTCGCAATGCCACGTCCGAATCGCTGAGGCCCACAATGTACCGATGAATCCTGAACACCTTGGCGTAGACCGAATGGCTGGCGTTGACGGGCGCATGCTGAGAGTTCAAAAAGTGGATGGCGAAGGCTTGGTAGGCGATAATGTCAATCTCGACCATGGGTGACTCAAATCGACTGAAATAGCTGTGGCTGTTGTCGCCCGACACTTGTCCCTTCAGTCGGTACTGCACGGTGACGTTTGGAAGCCAGGCAAGAGTCATTGTGATCATGTAACGCTCTGAGGAGCCCCGATCCCGATCCGGTCCTATGGAGACGCCCTTGATCCTGAAGCCTTGTCTGATTCGAGCAGCCACCAGCAGCTCGACGGGTATATTGAGATGGTAGTCTTTGCAAGCCGTCTGCATCATCTTGATTGGTTCCGGAATGCTCTTGGGGTCCCAGGGAAAATTGGCAAGGGAGTATCCTGGTGAGTCGTCCTTGTCCTCGAAATCATCGAGTCCTGGTCGAGGCTTCAGCAGACAGAGCTCCCGGATCAAAAACGCGCGGTGATACATATTCGGCGCCATTCTCCCTGTGGGCGGGTTCTGGCTAGCCTTGATTGCGTCCGTCGAGATGCAATCCTGAGAGTACATAAACTTGCCAAGTGTCGCGTCGGTCACGAATCGTAGGGCCTCTGTGTCCTGGATAAATCCCCAGTTGCAGCTTGGAATGGCGTCGTCCCGGTTTCCAAGCTGGATGATGGAGCAGGATACATCTAATTCCATCAGTCGCCGCAGAACGGTGCTCCCGTGGAGTAAGTTTGACTTTACAACACCATCTGTCACGACCACCAGTGACGGGGATGCTGACGTCGGCATCAAGCTCAGCGCAAACAGACCAGCCGTCAGCGTGTACGACAAATTGGCGCCCGACAATCCGACACCCCAAGATTTCCGTTGAGTGATGTCGTCCTCGAGATCCAGCTCTGTGTTGACATCATCGACAGCCTCCTCCACCGCCAGCGAGTATCCCAGGGTCTCTCGCGTTCGCCGAAGCTCACCTCGGAATCGAGAAAGTTTTGCCTGAAATTTGGCAAGCTGTATCCTGAGAACCTTGAGCACACTGTGAATGTTGGATTCCGTCAGAACGACATCCTGCAGCAGCACCTTCATTGTGGGAAAGTTGGCGAGAATCTCTCCTGTGTGCAAGTTACTGGCAAATTGAGAACACTCGGCAATGACCGTGATGTGGATCTCGGACTATGGAAGGACAGGATTGTTCAATTAGAATCTGAGGAATTGCATCCAATGACAATCATAATTTGGCATCTTAAGAATTGTCTTACCTGGACAAAGTCCTGCTTCATTCCCGGACACGAAAACCGCTCTGAAAGCCCCGTCAAACACTTTGTAAGTCTATAAAGTCGATGAAGGAACGGTGTTAATTGTCAGTTCCAAATATTAAAACATATCCATGCCGTTGTAGAAAGACGTTGCACCTACGTGTCCATGACTTGGCCCATGACGATCTTTGTTCCCCCGGAATCCACAGTGAGGACCGAGGAGCTGACGTCGACCATGAATACAGAGCGATACTTCTTGTTGATGTAGAAGACGCGGGTCTGAGGCACAAATCGCATCGTCTCGAGTGGGTGTTGCTGTGTCGTATCCGTCCACGGAAGATGCTTGTCCGATGAGCCATACAGTACAGAGAGATTCTACCGTGCATACCAATTGACGAATGTCAGATTAGGATCAAACATTTGAGGTGCCATTGACTCTTGCTGTGAATACGAGGAAAGACGTTGTACCTCTGAGTCTAGGGATGTGACAGAGGAGAAGAGGTTCCTCAGGAGGGCCTCTTCGAGGTCGGACCTCGACAGCATTTCCTGATCCTCAATAGCGACGGCTATGCTCCTAGCATCTTCAGTAAGCGGCGTTGGAAGTTTCACTGGCGTTTTGAGGATGGAGGTGCTTCGCTGTTGTTCTGGCGGGCCATTGGCATTTAGGGGAGGTTGGGCGCCGGGTTTCTTGGGTGAGGTTGCTTTGGCTGAGGATCCTTTGGGCGATGTTGCCCTGGGGGAGAGTGACGGTGTAGAAGATGACGACGACGAGGCGGATGAAGAGTAGGAGGTGGCGAATGATTTGAATGGGAAGTTGGGTTGGGTCGCGTTGCTCAGGCTTCGATTCGGCCTTGGGCCTGCTTCTTGAATGACATGTGTGGGTTGGGTGGGAGTAGGGGTTTGTTCCTCTATGGCGTTGGCCGAGTCGTCTGACGAGTCCTCTTGAAAGTAGTAGCTATTGCAATCACACACAAGTACAAGAAGCAAGGTTCCGTGTCAGTCCAGGCGGGAGTATTGATGAGGTTACTGTTATTATTTGCTGAGTGTCTATTCTTTGCTTGTCGTTGTCTACGTGTATTATTGACTCGTTGTCCTCACCTTGCCATGTGTGCCTTATGATCCCATAGAATGGTCTGTCGATGGTTCGGGCGAGGCGGTAGTGAGTGTGAGAAGAAGAGTGGGTGAGTAAAGGCCAGAGGGCGCGCGCCGTTGAGGTTGAGGATGGATGCTTCAGGAAACAGTCACTCGTAATTTTTTTTTTATTTTCAATGTGTGGTCTCTATGCCCTGCCGTGGGTGTCATAAGCTTTTCGCTTTTTCACTACGGTTCGTGTGAAGGAAATCGGTGGCGGGGTAGAGGACGCGCGTGTTAGTAAAACAGTAATATAACGCACAATCGAACAGCGAAACCCCCCCCCCCCCCCAATATCAATCCATTACGGAGGTTGTTTATTCCTTACCATCGCGAAGAACACTGTAGGCGGCGGTGATCTCCTGAAACTTTTTCTTGCCTTTGGCCTTATCCTCTGGAGTTGAGAATCTGTCCGGATCTATCCAATTGAAGCACAATACAAACCTATTTAGTTCGAGTAATAAGGTGGTATCGACACGCCAAGTAACAAATCTCCAAGAGTAGCTCAATTTACGCCATTTCATGGCCAGTCCTCTGAAAGCAGACTGAATCTCCTGGACGGAGGCATCCTTCGGGACACCAAGGACTGCATAGTAACCCATGGGGTCTCTAGAAGGACCTCTTTGCTCAGAAGACTGAGATGAACGCGAGCCATATGAAGATTGCTGCTGGTATTGTTGGTTCTCGCTCCAGTCCTGTCGTCGCTGCTCTTCTTCAAACCTATCATTGATGTCGACATTGAGCAACAGGTTAGTGAAACATATTGTACCTGAGCTTGATGCATTGCTGTCGAACTGGTCTTACCTGTCGTATGCCTTAGTCCAATCCGCGTCCCAAGATGTCGATGATGCTTCTGGTTCATGTCCGTCCATTTCCCTACAGGTGTGCCGAACAAGTAACCATGCTATTAAAAGGTGTGCCTGACCATGAAAAATAAGCCTTCCAAACAGAGCCATTTTTCTGAGCAATACCTTTGACGCCACCAGTCTCTGATGCGGTAATCCATTATGGGGTAGTAGAGGACAGACCATGCCACAATAAATGTAGGAGCGACCACTCCCAGCCAAAAACCGCTAGTCATTGTCATTCCAAAGCGCGAGGTTCCCAGCAGCAAAAGTCCTGTCGCAGCGGCGACGGCTGTCACGGCACTCACGCGTTGCCAAGAGTAGAACCGTAGGCCTCCGACCAGTCCTGCAGCGTCATGCGCCTGTACAAATGTTCGAAAAGTCCTGTCCAGATGGCGAATCGAGAATACATACACAGGCATGTACACAGGTGCCAGCACAAGCTGGTTATACTCAAAGTCCATTGACATAATCCTGGCACGATCGCACTTGTATGCTTCCACTAGCCACTGTTCTGCAGTTCGGACTTCGTTCTCCTCGATTGCTGTTTTGATGAATTTGAGGGCGATGATGGGTTTCATGGTGAAAGGATCCAGTCCACGGTTTCGTAGTCCTCGCTTTTGGTCCTCTAGATCCGTCGATTCCATGTCTTGTGGGGTAAGGGTCTTGGCAGAAAGAATGCTGGAACTGCTCCTAATCTGATTCACAAATCCACGGCGATACTTGTATGAGGCATAGACCTGGAGTTCGGGAAGGGTGCTTGGGTAGGTGTTTGAGAATTCGTGGCGGGTCTGGACCGATCTCCAGGTTGTCTCCCAGGACGATTCGTTCTGCTTGGTGACTTTGTTGTAGCGCGTGACAACACGATCCCACCCAACTAATTGATATGAGAAAGAAGAAGCGGAGATGAATTGACTTCTTGCATGATTCTGTGGCTGTCATTGGTGCAACAAACACACACATACACGACTCACTCACTCACCCTGGGCATTGATGATCTTGGATCGGACGGATCCACTGGCGGCCCAGAAGGGGAGATAGAGAGCCTCGATCTTGTTGACCTGATTGATCTTGGCAGAGAAGAAACTATGTCCGTGATAATTCCCAAAGACCTTTAATCGCCGATTAGAACACTTCCATCAGCAAAACCAATAACCAATAATGCGCCAATCACCTCTTTTCAAAATTCAAGATATGTTGGCTTACCTCTTCTGCCTGGGCTGCGTTCATCCTGAAGGAAACAAGCCGAAGTTTCTCCTTAGCAGGGCCTTCTGACTGGCTGCCGCTCTTCTTGTCGCGATATCCATATTCCGATGACCGCCTGCTGCTTGTGGTAAACCTCCGGGTAGGGGCAGCATTCAAGCTGTGGCTGTCAGATGGGAGCCGGGCTGGACGTAGGACTATCTGTCTTGCGGTGACTGTTAAAATAAAGTGTAGAGGAGGTGATTGATCAGTTTGGTCTGTCTCCAGAATGCGTGCCATAACTGGCCTCGATCGATCACTCTCTCACTCTCTGATATCTGTGGCTGTGGGCCCAAAGCTAGAAACACCAATGCGACTCAGAAAGGTGTCTCGTTCGCTTTCTTGAATCTATCGTTTTGCGCTCTCGTTCTTTGCTCTTTTTTTCCCATGCAACCTCCTGTACTATCGTTCTCACCAGCCTATTTGTTGATAAGAATTGGTTCGCATCGTTGAGTGGCAGAGTGCAGCTGGGGTAGTTTACATGAGAGCGACGCCCATTCGAAGACGCTCTTGATGGTCCTTGCGGTACCACAAAGAGCCATGTACGTGTGTTTGCGAAACGAGTCGACCTTGAAAAGTAGCGGAAGTGTGGTGATGTAGAAATGAAGGAATAAAAGTGCGAAAAGGGGAATGAGGAAACATAAAAAGCCATGGCACCATGACGTCACATTCTTCACAGTTCGGACACCGGAGTGACCAGCGCAAGAGGATAGATATATGAGAGCTACATACCGGCGGATTGTAGAGGCAATTGAGGGGTTGCGTAGGTCAGGATGGCTCGAGCTCGCGAAAGAGATGAAGATATGAACACCAAAAGAGACGAGATGAAAAAGATGGGGAGAAATGTTATATATGAATGGCGTGTGACAGGGAAGGAAGAAAAGATAAAAAAGAAAGTTGGGAGGAGGGTTCTTTGTATGTTTTCGATGGATATCTGAATCGAACCAACCAAATATGAGAGCATGGGATAGCATGTCGAGGACCTGCATGGGGTCGTGTGGTCGTGTGGTTGAGAGAACGACGAGATAAAGAGAAAGAGCGCATAGACGTTGGTACGGAGAGAAGAGTAACAGCATTGGTAGGAGCAAGAGACAAAAAAAAAGCAAGAGCTTACTTTAACATGGACGACTGTCGTTCTGTTCGCAGTCAGCTCAAGCCGGCAGAGAGAACAGACCGCACATAAAGCGTTGTAAGACCTCTTAAAAGAAGAGGGAAACGAGTCATTTTTTTCACGTTTTTAGGTTCTCTCTTTTCACTCACTCACTTCCTCACCTTTTTTTTTTTTTTTCTTCTTTTTCTTTTTCATTACTTCTCCTTTCTCCTTCCTTTCAGAATCCCATGCCTCGATCATCCTCACGACTTGGACGACAACACCTCGACCCGCCTTGCCTGTCGCTCATTTGAACCCGCTGCCATATATTCAACCCAAACACAACACCCTGCCTCCATACTATTTCTTTTTCTTCTTCTTGACAAGCGCTAATCAACTCGCCACCACCCCCACAACAACAACAAACAACAACAACAGGAAAAAAAAATAGTGGGATAATCAACCAAGAACAACAACATCCATCGCCATGCATCTACAGCCAGGCTCAAACCATGTCTCGCCGTCACCAGAACCAACAGTGTCTTCACAACCGGCGCAGCCTGCAGGAGTGATCCTCGTCCCGGAGTACTTTCACCAGGCCGATATGAACCATCTCACCATCATGATTGGTATGTGACAGCGGACAAAAAAGGAGTAGCAACAGCCTGCACCTTTGAAATGACTCTCCAACAGGCAAGAGGACGCCAGAGAACAAAAGCAGACGGGATCACACTTCGACTTGATGGATTGTACTAGAGATCCATACTGGATGAGAGCTGACTGAGATTCTCCGTTTTTTTTCCTTTTCTTTTCTCTCACCATGTACTTCCTTTGGTCGTGGCACCTACTTTACCCACGCTAGCGGACATGCTCTGTCGACTCACGGCCCACAATGACCAAATACCCCTCACCTCCGCCAATCTGACCCGCTTTCACTCACGGGCGCCACCACAAATATCGGTCTACGACTACCTTCGGAGAATTGTCAAATACACTTCACTGGAACGAGCCTGCCTGCTCGTCATTCTAATATACATCGACCGAGTGTGCGAAAGGGTCAGGACGTTCACCATATCTTCGCTCACAGTACACCGCTTCATCATTGCGTCAGTCACTCTCGCGGCGAAGGCCGTCTGCGACTCTTATTGCACCAACTCTCACTATGCCAAGGTTGGAGGTTTGAGCACACAGGAGCTAAACAGTCTGGAGGTCGAGTTTTTGGGATTGATCGAGTGGCGAGTCGCTGTCGAGGGAACCATGATGCAGCGATACTATGTCAACCTGGTAAGGCAGCACTCACAGTTCGAGATCGCAGAGTCAGCCCACCCTCACCACCAGCACTCTGCATCGGACTCTCAGAACGACGAGGATGAGAACATGAACAGTAGTTCAGACGGTTCAGAGAACGAGCCAGGCCAGAGCGAAGGCTCCGTTGTCGCAGAGACCGACTATGTAGAAGGACTACGAGATCAATGGGTGCCCATGGGAGAATAGAACATAGTAAAATAATAATCGTAATCTTTGAAAGATATGGTACAGATGTCGTTTTTATTATTTCCAATGCAATGTATCGCCCTTGACTTTGGGTGAACTTCTCCTTGTCTTCAACGAGCGCTTATCGCTTCAAATCCACACTGCGCTCCAAGGCTAATGACACATGATAGAAAGTCATATAGAAAAAAAAAGGCGGTCAATAAACAGATCCGTCTTGGATATTCCAGAATCCAAACAAGTCGAGTTACTCCACAACAACGGCGTTAAAGCAGAAATTCCACTTACGATTATAGTGCAACAGCTTCTCGATCAAATCAACGTGTGTCAAGACCATACGGCGGCAACAATATCTCTTGAGTCCAAGGGCGTCAAGGGCATCACTAAAAAACAATGAAAAGAAGGTAAACAAACACGGTGAGTGACTTGTCTAGAATTCAAGTCCATGCATATGTCTACCCTCCTGTGAGAAAAATGCCGCGTGGTTCCATAGGTTGAGCCCGCTGCAGTCCTGCGCCGTAGCAAGATCGTTATTCGTTTTAGCAAACGCTTGGTATGTTTTGCATTTGATTGACCGTGGTGGTGGTGGTGGTGGCGGGGCTGAATTGTCGAAGAGGAAGGTGAAATCCTGGAGGCTAAAAAACGAAAAGAAAAGGGAGACTCACCCTTCGCTGTAGTCGGACTGCAAGAGGGACAGGTAGTGGTCCCATTTGTTTCCGATGACCTTTCCGCAGGAGAAACAACGAACAGGGATGATCATTTTGTTGAGTGTATGTGTCGGTGGTTTGTTGATGGTTGTGAACAAGGAAACAAAAAAAAGCTGAGCAGCATCTGTTCACTGATAAACACAAAAAAAAAAATGGCTTGCGTGACCGCCAAGTGTACTCTCCGCCGAGCCAAGCCACTGACTCCAGCCAGACATGTCAGCTTTGGAATTGGAAACCTGCCCGCCATCTCTCTCGCCTCACCACAATTCCACTTTACTTTCCGCTCACTTTCCCGACACTCGCGACATTTCCTCATGAGCACCAAACCAGCACCTTCAAAGCGCTCAGCAAGAGCAAAGGGCCCCAGTAGGGGGCAGGCAAAGTTCAAGATTGTTGTTCGTCGGCTTCCAGCCAACCTTCCAGAACACGTCTTCATGGACTCCATCAAGGGCCTTGTGCCCGACTCAGCCCTCGACAGACCAACAACCTGGGTTGCAGGAAAAGTCAGCAAAAAGTATGTTCGCATGGGCATGAAGACAGCCATCGAGGGGTGTTTTGTTGTTATCAAGGTACCTTACTTTATACACTCACACTGGTCCACCATTGCCACTTTCATAGTCCTGTGAAAGCAAACACCTTCGCGCGTGCCTACATTTACTTCAAGAACGAGAAGCTCGCGCTCGAGTTCCAAAAGGCTTACCACGGACACACCTTTGTGGATCGACATGGAAACGAAGGCAAGGCTCATGTCGAGTTTGCTCCCTTTCAAAAGATACCCCGCGAGCAGCGCAAGGCGGACACCAAGCAAGGAACCATCGAAGAAGGTACGATATTCAAACAATGCCGCAGTCATTTCGAATCTGGCTGTGCCTTGACCCCATGTTCTAAACCCCGTACGACAATTTTTTGTGTGGTTAGATCCGGATTACATTGCATTCCTCCAGTCTTTGACGGCGGACCCAACCGATGCCGAGAAGGAAATGAAGCTTTCAGGAACCGAACAGCGTGAGTTCTGGCAGAACTTCCCATCGCCTTATCATATAATGGCAAAACTACGGAATGATGTTAATCGTTCTGTTTCACGATACTTGTATAGTGTTGAAGGAGAGCGCCATCAACCCAAAGTCAACACCTCTATTGGAAGCATTGAGGGCACAGAAGGCTGCTGCACAGGCCAAGGCTCAGGCTGCCAAGCTGGCTGCCCGTCAGGCGAGACAAGCAGGGAAAGCAGGAATATCCAATGCCGGCAAAGTCCAGATCACCATTCTCGCCAACAGGAACGCGAAAGATGCCGCAAACAAGGCAGGAACTTCTGCATCCACAAACTCGGCTGCATCGATAAACAAGTCTCAGACTCCACAGGGCAAGAAGGCAGCACAAGCACCCGAACCCGAGACTACACAGGGAGCAAAACCAAAACGGGAGAGGAAGCGCCGAGACAGAGCAAGCAAGCGGGCAGGAAATGAAGCAGCTTTGACAGGCAATGCCAGCCAACAACAAGGAGACTCCGCCCCACCCCAGATCACACTGTTGAAGCCCAAGAACGCTCAAGGGTCTCAATCCTCCAACGTGGCGACTCAGGGTTCAGGACAGCAGGAGGCGCGTCCGCAATCTGCCCAAAACCAGCCTAACCAAGGAGGATCCAACTCTGGTGGCCGTCGGGGACAGCAAAATCAAGGAAACAATAATCAAGGCAACAGCAGCAATATCACCACCAGCAATAACACCAGCACAGCACAGACTGGAAATACAGGTTCTGGGGGCAGCGCCAAGAAGGATCCTGCTCAGCCCGCCAATGCAGAGGGAGGTCAGGGTCGTTCGGGGCGCTCACGCCGGAATCGAGGCGACCGTGCGAAGCAAGATCCCAAAGCAGGTGGAGACAATGCGACCGGAGGCAACCCCAGCAGCAACGCCAACTCTAACCCCACCCCCAACACAAACAGCAATAACAATACGAATAGCGGATCCAATACTGGAAACAAACCGGAGGGTCAGAGTGGTGGAGGACGCTCGGGTCGTAATCGACGCGGCCGTGGCGGTGCTCAGGAGAACTCGACTACACCTGCTGCACAATCGTAGGCGCCAACCCTCAAATCGTCTCGATCGGGTGGTGGCATTGGCTGAAGGAGAAGTTCGCGATCCGACCATGACTTCTGCAGATATCATCTTTTGCCGCGGCGCGATTCTAATCCGCCAATTGCTGTACCTATTGCGTTGCGCTTTAATTGCGAGATGGTGTCCCCCACAACAAATAAACAGAAGAAAGGGAAAAAAAAACCGGTTGAACGCTTGATCGAGCTATGGTTTGTGAAGAAGCTCGGGAAACCTCGAAACGGCAGGATGCGCAGGCACTATTTCGTAGAAAAGAATGAGTGACTGCGTGCCTGTGACTTGAATCGCCGTTCTTCGTAAGGGAATGCTCACCTCCCTTGCTCCCCTCCCCTTGTCGCTTATTTCTTTATCTCTTTACATTCCTTCACTTCCTTTCTCTTTCTCACTTCACACATCCACTTTCACCACTCTCTTTCTCATACCCCTCACCCCTCATTCTCCTTTCGACTCACATACTCTGCGCTAACCTTCACCTCGAACCCTGCTCACTCATTGCTGTACTCAACTCTCCTCCTCCTTCGTCAACCACCAGGAGCCAGACACCAGCGAAGCGCCTAAAACGCAATGACCCTGTCTCGCCTTACGATCGCTTCATTGCGTCGAGGATCCCTCACCCCCTCCCTGCAAGCCGATTCGGTTGCAAATCGCCTCCAAAAAGCAACCATAACTCTTACCCAACAACGCCTCGGCTCAACATTCACCCAACCCTTGTTGTTATCGTCCAACGCGAAATATGCGACAACGCGTCATACCAGGCAAACTCGTCATTCCTCGGCCTTGGCACGGATATCTCCTCCACCCGGCTGGCGACACTATGTCATACCCGCTGTAGTGACACAGGGTGGTCTGGCCCTCTTTGGCCCCGGTATCCTTCTGGAGGCCAGAGACCTCCCCGTACAGCACCAACGCGCAAAGCCCGCTCACCCTATCCCCTACGTCAAGACAGAGATTATTAAGGAAGCTGCTCAGGATCCATCCTTTTGGCGTCAATTAAGGCACCAACTCGAGGATCTGTGGGAGGATTATGTTGTGCATCCTGTCCTTACTATCTGGCGATTTGGAGTCCTCGCTCTTATATTTCTGCCGCTTATCGTCACGGTCCCCGCAGTCTTTATTGGAGAGAGGAACAAGGAATTGAGTGACGAGCGGTCAGGGACTCTGTGGTGGTACAGTCTCTTGGTCAAGCACATGGAACTGGCAGGCCCTACGTTCATTAAGGTGATTTATTGTCCTCATAATGTGTCTGATTTTGGACCCCCGCCGCAAACAGTTGAACTGGGTACGACATAAATGGTCATTTCTAAACCAGATTTTCTCCAATTACATGCACAACATAGTTATCGCAATGGGCCGCGTCAAGGACCGACATCTTCCCCACGCAACTCTGCATCATGCTGTCAAAGCTGCACAATCAAGTCGATCCTCACTCGATAGAACATACCCGGCGCACGATCGAGGCGGCATTCGGGGGTCGCAAACTGGAGGAAATCTTTGACGAGTTCATCGAGACCCCTTTAGGTATTGGCGCTATTGCACAGGTGTATCGCGGACGGCTTAAGCCCGGCATCGCTCTGCATTTCGAACCCGAAGAGGACACTGAGAGCAAGGACAGTGGATCGGTCATGCATAAGCTCAGCAGTGTCACCAAAACACCAGACCCCAATAAGCCCAAAAAACTCAAGACAGAGGTCGCCATCAAAGTCCTTCACCCAAAAGTTGCGCGGACAGTAGAGAGGGACTTGGCGATCATGAGGTTCTTTGCCAATATCATCCATCATATACCAACAATGAGATGGATCGCACTCCCGGACCAGGTGGCCATGTTTGGCGAGATGATGCAGGAGCAGCTGGATCTCCGAATTGAGGCCAAGAACTTGGAGATCTTTCAGCACAACTTCCGCGAGCGGTACACGGTGACCTTCCCAACAGCGCTGAAGCAGTTTGCGACCAGGGAGATGCTGATTGAGGAATTTGTCGACGCATTGCCTCTGAAGACCATTCTTCAAAAAGGTGCTGGACCTTTCGCCTCCAAGATTGCGGATATTGGTCTCGATGGCTTCCTGGTAAGGACAATGAGCAGCTAATTTCGTTTCATGGTCATGTTAAAGAGAAGTATGTTCTGACACGCGCTTCAAAAAAACCCCCGGAATAGAGAATGTTGATTTTTGACAATTTCGTGCATGCAGACTTGCATCCAGGCAACATTTTCGTACGCTTCTACAACCCCTCGGCCAACAACTTGTTCAAGCAGATCCTGTCGAGGCTGAAGGGCGAGGAACAAAACACGATCTCCAGTACTGACGAGGCTACCATGCGACTGAGAGCAGTTCCTGAAGGCGACCTTGATGCATGGATGCGCGAGCTTGAGTGTCTCTACAACGAGGGATTTCGGCCACAAGTGGTCTTTATCGACGCAGGACTGATCTCGGAACTCTCGGACAAGAACCGACACGACTTTTTGGATCTCTTCCATGCACTTGCAGAATTTGACGGATACAGAGCAGGGAAGTTGATGATAGAGCGCTGTCGATCTCCCGAGAGTGTGCTTGACGGTGAGGTGTTTGCTCTCAGGATGCAGAAGCTGATTCTGGGTGTCAAGGAGACGGCCATGTCGCTTGGCAAGATCAAGATTGCGGATCTGTTGTCGGAGGTCATGGCGATGGTTCGTACTCACCACGTTCCGATGGAGGGCGACTTTGCCAACGTGGTGATTTCGATCTTGATTCTGGAAGGTATTGGACGGCAATTGAACCCCAACATTGATTTGTTCAAGACGGCGCTTCCTATCTTGAGACAGCTCGGTCGTCAGGATGGTGGACGGGGCGTGGTAGAGGGAGTCAAGGAGTTGCCAGGAGGTGGCGGGTGGTGGATCAAGATGTGGTTCTTGCTCGAGGCAAGGCAATGGGCGCACGAGACCCTAGAGTCGACCACCACGGTGGATCGGCACCTCGACGTCCTTCTCCACCCCGCCATTTAGAATTCGTAAATCAAAGATCGCACCACCGTCACACAAACGAACTCTTTTTTCTTTTTTACCTCAAGAAAATTGTTAGCATCATTCACACTCTTTTCATTCCCCAACGACCAACATTCAGATCTGCTTTGTTTCGACATGAAGGTCAACGAACCTGTGGTCGAACATGTGTACACGCCAACTTTTTACTTCGACCAACTCCCCAACAACAACAAACACTCTTTGTCACAGAACAGCACAACAACAAACTCGGACTCGGACTCGGTGACCAAACCAACAAGGGCGCAATGGTATCGAGCCGCAGTAGCGCCTGTTGCCTTTGACGAGGCCACCTTCTGGCAGGTCCTGGTACTGTCCTCAGACCTAAATCCTTTTTTTGTTGTTTTTTTGCCTGTCAACTGATCTCTTTGAAGATGTACAGTGTGTTTTACTAAATGTACTTGTACAATTCTGTGGAAAAAAATAATTTAGGAACGGTGGATTCTGGAAGCACCGTCGATCATCCCGCCGATCTCCAAGGTGGAAATCTTACAAACAGTAGACGCCACAGCGGCAGATCAGGATACCAAAACCTCGATGGATGAACAAGGTCATCCGACAAATCATCATGAAAGAGAACTGGCTTTGTTGGACGGACTGGTGCCGTTCAAGAGTGTCCGTCGTCAATTGATCCCCAAGCGAGCGGACAAGGATCCCGTCATGGAGGAGCAGCTTTACTACTGTTGCGATGCCCGTATTCAGGAACAGGATGAGAATGTTGACACTTCAACAGGACAAGGGGGCCCAAGGGTCACTAACCAGGCGATATTTGCACCCATCATTTCGCGTACTGCCGCAACTACCGAAGCCAAGGCTGATTTGAAACAGGAGGCAGAAGAGGATGTGATCAAGATCTTGACGGAGGCTTTGCCGTTTTACTACCCAAAAGTGCGGGGGTTTCGGTACGGGTATCGGTTTGACCCTGAGGAGGCTCCTGAGGACAAGGAGGATCATCACGACGACAGTCATAACCGTAATCAGGACGACAGTGAGAAGGATCAGGATGGTCAGGGCAAGCAAGGACAAGGGGGTGAAGAGAAACAATCGACCCCAGCACCAGTACCGGCACCGAAAAAGAAACATGCACCCAAGAACCGGATCATTAGTCGACGGACAGGGTGGCTCTCACTCGATCTGTATCTGAATGGTGACGAAGGAGAGTTCACCGACAAGATTGTAAGTGTTTTCTTTTTTTTTTTTTTTTTTTCTTGGGCGATTTATTTTGACCTACTTTTTCGTACTTCACCCCCGAAGCTTGCACAAACCACTTTTATTTATGTTTACCCCCTTTTTTTTTCCTATTTACGATGCAGCAATACGTGTTCAAGGAACTGTTTAAGAAACTTTACAAATGGGGCAACAACACCACAAAGGGGTTCACAAAGAGCAGAGTCCAACACGACGTCATGGTCCCCAAGGACCTGTATCTCAGGACCTATGCCAGGATGAAGGAGACCCATGCTCAGAAATGGGTAAAGTCCTGGCCGGAGCGGACGGACCCGACCAAGTTTGTCTTTGAGGATATTGCGATCGCAGCCTGGTTGGTCGCCCTTTGGGAGCTTGAACGGGAATCAGCTGTAGCTGATGTTGATGGGACGACTGGATCAGACAAGGCGAGCAGGAAAAAGCAAACGTTTGTGGATCTGGGGTGTGGGAATGGGTTGTTGACGCATATCTTGAACGAAGAGGGACACAAAGGCAGGGGTATTGATATTGTGTCGAGGAAAGTCTGGGATATATATGGACCCAACACCGAGCTGAAAGGTAATGTCGCGCATAGCTTTGTCATGTAAACTAAGCATTTTTTGAAGGGGGGTCAGGAAAACGACATTATACACTATGGATGTGTACAATGTTTTTTAACGCGTCTTTTTTTTTTTTTTTTTTTTTTTTTTTTGGCGACTGCCCAATCCTCCCTCTCTTAGCTGAAACCCTGATCCCGAACGAGACCATGTACGAGGACGTAGACTGGATTATCGGTAACCATGCTGATGAGTTGGCTCCTTGGGTGCCCATCATCGCTTCGCGCTCCAAACCTCTCACTAGGTAATTTCACTCAGTCGATACGGATGTCCATCAAAGGCACTATACTATGTAACTGATCAATATATTAACATCCTTCCTCTTATTCATTTTTAGGTTTGTGGTGATTCCTTGCTGCTTCTTTGACCTGAATGGCAGTCGGTACCCGTTTGCTGAAGGCGCGCCTGACGGGAAATATAAAGCCTACCAGGGCTATATTAGTCGAGTGATCGAGACGTGTGGTTATGAGCTACAGACAGAGGTCTTAAGGATACCTAGTACTAAGAATATTGCTCTTGTTGGAATGTCCAGGAAGCGGAAACATGACAGCAGCGATAATACCGTCGCGCGAGAAGAAGGGTCTGGCAAAGGCGGGGATGAGGAGGAGGACGAGATGGAAAGAACTCATAAGAGGGTCGATACTCTCGTCGCCAAGAGCGGCTTGTTTGTGGCCCGTATCTCGGACAAGGAGAAGCAGGCTTCTCAAAAGGCCAAACAAACCGCCAAAGTCGCCAAGGAGGCCACCCCACCACCACCACCACCACCACCACCACCACCATCTACCCTTATTTCTACCTCCAAGAACAACAACACCGAAGACGTCCAAAATGTACAATAATAAAAGATGATTTAGTTAAGATGTCTAGAGAAGAAGAAAAAGAGATAAGATGTATCTATCTAACCGAGTCCTCCGATCATGCCTCCAGCAGTCTCCTTGTGCTTCAAAAAGTTGATTGAGAACTTGTCGCCCTGAGCAGCCGCCAACTTGAACCAATGCATTGCTGCTGCTAGGTTCTCGGGGTTGAACTTGTCTGGCTCACCACCAGACTGGTGCTGCTGCTGATGATGTTGGTTCCGGTACTGTTGTTGATGGCTGAGGTGATGATGATAAGGATGCTGAGACATCGCGTTGCCATTGTTGTGGTGCGAAGAGCCTCCCATAAACATCATCCCCGCCGGAGTCGAATGTCGCCCAACTGCATGATGCGTGTCCATGTACTGCTGATCCACATCATGGGGATGATGGCCCTCCGCAAACTCTATCATCGGTGGCGGCTGTAGCTGTTGCTGATGATGATGCTGCTGAAGCTGGTGCTGCAACAGCGACGCCGTCGAAGAATTGTTGGGCGGTTCCGAGTTTCCAGACCCAATTGATGATGATCCCGTGAACGAGCCCAAACCAGTCATGATCCCCAACCCACTCAGGACACCGCTCCCAAAACTACTACCACTACCACTGTTGCTGTGCTGATGACGCGACCTCTGCTTGATGGGAATACTGGCGGTGCTGGATTTTCCAAAGATCGAGCCCGAGAGCGTACCCTTGGGGGATGGTGGTGGTGGAGGGGTGTTGGTTCTTCCTGTGCTCGTGCTGCTTATAGTGTTGGAGCGACCATATCTCGTCGTGCCGATGGAAATGGGTGAGGGGACGCGGCTGATCTGAGAGATGAGAGGAGAGCCATCCGATTTGGCGTATCCGATCGTTGGAGACGAGGATGACGGGAGAATCGGGAGCGACATGTACAGGATTGCGAGCTCTCTTTGAGCCACCTGATGAGACTCTTTGGCACCTATTTTCCATGAACGAAAAGTATCACTGTTTAGAAAACAGAATCGACAAAAATAAAGTACAGGTGGACGTTGTATCAATGCTATCCCACTCACCGATAGTAAAGAGGCGCACGGCTTCAGACATCCGCGTCCGTTCCTCGTCATCTTGCATGATGTTCCTGCTGCCCGACCTATCAGACTCCTGCCTCGTCCTAGAGCTCTCTTCGACATCCACATATCGCGTTCCCTTCGCAACCACATACTCGATCACATCGTTTTTCAAGATCGAGATTGCCATCGCCATGTCCCAGAAGGCCTTGCCGTCGTATCGGAGGTCCAAGATATTCCCAGGGATGAACGTCGCGATCAATTGCATATCGCGCAAGAGATGTCTTGGTCGCAGGACATCAGGATGTCGGAAGAGCCGCTCAATCTCGTCAACAATGGCGTCTGTGCCTGGAGTTAGCATACGAGGCGACACAAAGACTTCTTGCTCCATGTCCTTGGAGGGCCTTGGACGTGAATGCGATGGTCGTGTTTCCTGCTGGAGATGAGAGGTTGAGAACAACCGGGGCAAAGGACCTCCTGCACACGAGTCAGGGTACGAAAGCGATGCAACGATTAGCTGCTCCAGAGCAAAGAGATGCCCCAGCTTCTGATAGGGGGACTTTGCCAAGTTGAACTGGTCCATGGTCGCTCTATATGCTTCCGCCATGTCGTAAGGCTCCGTGGATCCTGGACCAGGCGGCTCTCTTGAAGGTCGCTTCTCAGGGAGATTCTTAACTTGAACATTGAGTAGACTTTTGCCCGAGTTCTTGGGGCGCTCAGTGGAGTCGCTCTTGGGTCGGCTGTTCAACATAACCAGCGGCTCGCTGCGGGCACTCAGTTGAGAGGATGTTCGGCTTGCTACGGGAGACGACCCTTGATCTGCAGGAAGGAGAAAAGATTCAAAGGAGGAATCCTGGGTATGTCGCGAGGCCATCGATGACCGCGAATCTGGGCGAAGGTGGTCTGGGCACGAATCAACATGCGATTTATCGCCTAGGTCCATCTGGTTCTGGTATAAATCCACTCCATCCTCGTTGCAGTCCTGCTCAGAGTGAGATTCTCCATCACAACAGTGTGCGTCGACGCCATCTCGAATCTCGCGATCCCCCATCTCTGTCAAGAACTCGATGAACCACCGATCGGCCTCCACCTCGCCAAACAGATCCAGCCACTCTGAGAGAAGGAAGCTGGTCAACTTGAGCTGCACCCTCCTCATGAACTCTGGCATATCCTTGGGAAGCTGCATCAGCTGGTGTGGCAGGATGGTCGAAGATCCTCCTCCAGGCGTTGTGGAGCTGCTGTAGGATGCTGATGTGCCATGAGAGGTGATCGGATAAGGAGTGTTGTAGAGCGCATATGTCGGTCCGGGATGCGACGCGTAAATCGAGGTCGGGTCGTCCGGCAAGATTGGGATGGTTTCCGGTGTCGACTGATGACCCCCCTGGAGTGGCTGTCGATGCACTCCCTTTGACCGCGCGCCGGTGCTACCTCCGTTGGTGCTGTAGACAGAGGACTGCGAGGACTGAGAACTGACGCTGCTGCTGCTGTTGAGGGCTGCTCCATGATTGCTGTTATTCGATGAAGCCGCCGGCGAGAAGAACTGGTTGGTACTGGGTGCAGAAGACGCCACACTCCCGTTCTTGAACGAATTGACGATGAACTCTGCCATTCCCGATGCACTGCTACTCGACTTGGTTTGGGCGGCAGTCTCAGCAGGGCCCATTCCGATAATGAACTGTCCGTTAAGCTTGGCGACTTCCTTGACGAAAAAGTCGCTTCCGCAGTTGGCTAGAAACGGCAGCAAAGGTCCACTCTGAGTCGCATGAGTTGTCTGTGTGGTGGGCATCAGGATACCGGTCCCACCAAGACCAACTCCCTTAACAACCGATTCGATCTCCATGCAAAACCGCAAAAAGTTGTCTTCGCCTGGCAAAAAGTTGTGAATCCCAGTATCCGTGACCCAGCGTTGCACAGCCTCCACCTCGCGCGCGTCCATGATGAAATCGCTTTGGGCCTCAGCAGCTTCTCCTAGAAATCCCGAAGATCCTGGTTGGCCGAGAGTGTGAGCATTCGTCCAAGGCATTCCTGGGTTGCTGGGGTTATAGCTGGACGAAAACACGGTCTGCTCCCTCTCTCGCAAGTGACCGAGGTTGCTCTCCATGGTAGAGTGGGACCCAAAAGAACGCGATGCCATGTTGTCGATGTATGCACTGAAGCTGCTCCGTCGAGGTTTGGACGGCCTCAGCACCTGAGCAGTGTGGCCAGTCTTCCCGACAGCCCTGCGCAAACCAGATTCTCCCGAGTATCCAGAGGCATCGCCGTAGACCGATTGGTATGCGTGATCCTGACACGCACCTTTGCATCCTTCCATCTCACAACCAGGTCGACGTGATCCTGCAGACCTGAGCTCAGGCTCACTCCAGCTGGGGAAAAGGCCGTGAAGACGCTCCCACTCCTCCGCGGTGAGGTACTTTCTCATCAAATTCCTGTTCAGTCGACTGAGCGTAGCCACGACCCCGAACGACTTTTCGAATGCTCTTGATGTCCGGACGCAAGTCACATAGTACATCTTGATCCTGAGAGCCGAAAGTCCCTCTCGCTTGCGTTCGATAGCAGAGACGATCCGCGTATGCCACGAGTGAGCGAATCCCTCCCAAAGCGTCCTGCTGCTCGCTCTCTTGGCCCGGTGCTCCAATCGATGCTTGATCGGCATCGCCAACAGGTAGATCAGCTTGGAGCCATCTAGCTGCCGAAGCACCTGAGAGGAGGCCAGAACCTGAAGCGAGTGGTTGAATCCGATCGCTGCCGCATGGTTGCCAGAAGCCCGCGCCTGCTCGACCCCTTGCAAGAGGAGAGACCGGATGCTCTCGTGAGTCACATCAGAAGTAGTTGAGTCGAGGCAGTGTCCATAATGTCCTCCGTATAGGTCGACAGGAAACAGATCAAACTCCCGAAGCAACTTGAAGATCGACCGGGCCACCGTCCTGATCTCCTCAGGCAGATCGGACTCTGAACGAACAGTATGTCGGATCCTGGTCTTCCAAGCTCGATCTGCCGCCAATCTCCTCGCGTTGACGACCCTGGATGTATCAAATTGAGCCTGAGAGTGGTGGCTGTCGATGAGGTCTCCTGGACGATCTCTGGCAACTGGGATCGTCTTTGTTCCTGACTGATCGACCGCCGACAACATTTGGCTACTGTTCACACGCAAGATAGACATGTCCTTGTCCTCTGATGTCAGGGGCTGTGATCTCTGAGCCAACGCACTATCCTCCGACGACATAATCGAATCCGTGTCCGATGCTTCCACATCAAGGTCAACATCCATGTTGGACTCAAAACTGTCTCCTCCTGCAGAGTCCATAACCTGGTCGACCAACATGGGTTTGGTGACGGTGATAATTCGCGATCCACCAGTCACTCCGGTCGCCTCCATCACCATCGCCATACAAGGGGGCGCCAATGCCAATCCAGCCTCGACAAGTTGACTCCGGTCCGAACCAACTCCGTTGCTCCTTGATGGTCTTTCCAAAGTCTCGCCGCTCGGCTCCTCGTACTGAACATATGCCAAGGCCCAAGGCTCCCGCAGTGGAGTGAGTCCTGGATTATAAGCAACCCCTGGAACTTCTTTGAGAGGTCCTGGATGAACTCTCTTCAACTCCTGAATCGCCGCCTTGAGATCAGGCATCAAGCTTTTATCATCCCAATTCTTCACAGACGAGGTGGTTACTGGCGCGTGGGTGGAAATGAAGGGATGGGTGGCCGGTGTTACGGTCGAGGTTGATTGGTCCTTTGGGTCCAGGATGGGGCAAGGGTTAGATGCGGCTGCGATCCCGGCAGAACTGGTGACTTCAATAGTCGCCGTACGAGGAGATGCAACTTGACCTGGCTTGATTCCTGATAACGATAGGAGAGTCAATCCATTAGACGCTTGGTCAGAGGGTGCGAGTGCGCTTGGGGATTTTTCCAGAGGTGGTGGTTGAGGTGGCTTCGCCTTGAATGGTAGGGAGGAAGAAGCTCCAGAGAAGAACGAAAAGCTGGGTGAAGCCCTTTTGTGGGTCCTGGCTACGTTTGATGAGTGAATCCCTTTAGCGGCGGGTCCTGGTCCTGCTGCAACAGTGGCTGAACTGGCGGCGGCCTTCATTGCTGCAAGATACGTTGGCGGCGTTTCCGAAGATGTCCGCAGGCGAGTGACGGGGACGTTTTTCCCATTGAAACTGCTTGACCTCGTCATGTTGATGGTCGAGGCCAGTGAGGCTGGTGTGACGTAAGTTGATTTGAGCTGAGGGCAAACAAAGTAGAATAGGGTAGTGAAATCAGCCGGACAGAGGAGCAGCATGGGTGTAATTGAGGGTCCTGTAGATCCTAGTCCTCCTCCTGGATGTTGTGGAAAAGTTGTCCGCACTGGTCCCGGAGTCGACAACTCTGTATTGGGATTAAGAGTATAATGGCGCGGTGAGTTATGTGTTGGATGTGCAGGTTCCGAGAAGAAGCTGACAAGGGACTCGATCTTTTCCCGAATCCGTGGATCAATCACAGCCGAGCGGCTCTCCCTATCAAATACAACGAGATTTCACATATGAGCATGAGTAAGCTGTATGGTGTTGGACTCGAGAGGAATTTCACGCGACAGGATTGTTTGCAAGAGGTGTCTCACCAGCCAGGCACCGGATTCAAAATACTGGTGACATATCGATACAGGCGCTGGTGAGTGTTGAACAAAACGCGCTGGCGTTGTTTCTCCGATAGAAAGGTGTCTTGAAACATGCCATAGGTCTAGAATCACACAATAGAGTTACATTAGCATTGGTTTCTCAGTCACCAGCAAACTGGTGCGAAGTAATAGTGGCTATTGTACATTACCTCCGGATAGGCGATGCATTTGTTCATGAACCGGTAAAAGAAGAACTTGACGATGATGATCAGGGAAGCGTACGCTCTCGCTCCACCATCCAGCTCAGCAAAGATCATCCGGGATATCTCGAGAAGCCAGGGCGGAGTGAAATTCTTGAGTGTACTCAGAATATCCAAGCATGCTTCCGTATAGAACTCCTCCACGACTGCCAGTCGGCCTGTTCCATCACGGTTCCCATGCGCTCTTGATCGTCCGTCACTGTCACCTGAGGAATCGCCATTGTCCTTGACCCCTGTGGCTAGGTCGTCGGACGTCACAACTTTCATGACTGGAACGCTCGGCATGCGACCTAGTGACTGATGATGTTGGTGATGTACATGATGAAGGTGCTGACTAGGTCCTTGAGCGAACGGGAGCAAGTTGGCATTGAGCTCCTCGTCCGAAAATCCTGCTAGTGCCCACTCGCCTTTGTAGATAAGGTCCAGAAGCGTCTTCTCGAATCCTGCCTTGACCCGACTCACATGCTGCCATTCCGATTGGATGACATACCGCTCCAGCATCTCTACCATCAGTCGCTCACCCTTCTTCTCCGACAGTAGCGCCACAAAGATGCTCACAACCGTCCGAGTCCGAAGGGTGTGCTCCCGCTCAAACGAGGACGGGCCAAAGAGGTTGCCGAAAATAATATGCACGACATCCTGATTATTGATAAAGTTGGGTATGGTAGATGATGTTGGTAGCTGTTGTCTTTGTTGGTTCTGCTGTTGTTGCTGTGATGTGAAAAGATGTGGTTGTGACGCTGACTGTTGATAGCCATGGCCGATCGAGCCTACTCCATACGAACGCTCCCTACCACTCCGACTTCCTGAATGCGAATGGTGCGTCGTCTGCACAGGTTTCTCGACAAGAAGAAGAGAGTCCAGCTCCTGGGATTGAAGGTTCCTGAAAGCAGTCGCAAGAATGGTGGGATCTGTCCGCAGTCGATGCAAAAAGGCTAGAATAGTCGACGAGGAAACTTGACTCATCATGTCCAGGAAGCTAGGTCTGGGCTGAGGGTGTGCAAGGCAATTCTGCAGGATCCGATCTGTTTCTTCGTACGAGTGGTTGTAAGAAGAAACGAATTCTGCTCGTCTGTCCGGTCTCTGCTTGTTCTTGAAGGCGTCGTGTGCATGATCGTACGCAAAATCGAGACCGCGGGAAACTCTTGCTGAAAGGACCAAGCCCATGAGGTGTGCGTGGAGTTGCAATGACTGGTGAAAGTCCTTTTGCTTTGAGCTTTTGTCGAGAAGGAAGACCTGGAGGAGATCCTGGAGCGTTGGATGGTCCGGGAAATGATAGTCGCCGAAAAACAGTGGCTCCATTGGTCCGACTTGTGGAACCGATCCTACCGGTGTTGATGTCGAAGATGTCCGTCCTGAGGCCGAAGATGAAGGTGACCGTGAAGCATCTTTGCTGGTATATCGCCGTCCACTTGAAGGTGCATCGATGCTTGGTTCCTTAGCTGGCGGTAGTGGTATATCAGCAGAATCCCGAGTGGGCTTGAATGGGTTGAACTCAACGGTGGTCGTGTGCTGGTGAATTGCAGTAACGGGAGCTTGCGAGGACGAAGTGGACGAGAAGACGGATGACGAGGCTGATGTGGTCGAGGAGGTTGATGATAGAGCTGATGAAGAAGGGGAAAGGCGGGCTGTCATTGAAGCAGTCGCAGTAATTGTTGAAGAGTGGAGCAACGTCGATGAGTCTTCGGAGGAGGACCGGCGCGAGAGTTTTATAGGGTCAATATCGGCGGTGTGTAGGTCAAATGTTGAGGTGGAGCAAGAAGTCCGCAAGGTCCCAATGCTTGAATATGCCGACATAGTGAAGATCCCACGAAATGGATATGAAGTTGATGGTGCCCCGGGTATATAATGCGTCAAGTCGATTAGAAGGATGACGAATATTCCAATGATAGCAGGACGGGGTAAATCTAGGTACGGAGGAGTGAAAGGAGTACACATACAGGGACATGCAGGAACGTTGGTGAGTCGATGCAAGATACATAGTAGTGAGCAGGTATCTATCGGATAGAGGTGAGCTGCCGAGATGGCCATGACCCTGGCGCTGGATCTAGCCTTCCGGAGCTACAGATCGGGTATTATTACTCAATTACTGTCCATAGCTCCACGCTTAACTTATTTGGCCTTCCTTGGCTTCCTTTTTTCGCGTCCAAGATATCGCTCCTTTGCCCCCTTGATCCCGATAGATCGTTCTAGCTAGAAACTTCCTTGGAGCGAGTCGCACCTCCTGAGACTCATGGTTGAGGATCTGGGCAAAAGATGGCTGAAGGAAAATGAAATCGTTGTTCACAGACAGTCGTCCTCGATGAGGCCGCGAGAGCTGGAGAGGCGAAGAGACGAGCGGATATGAAAGGTGAGGGAAAGAGGGAAGGGAGAAAGAGACAACAGCACGGGATGTTGCGACACAATAGGGGGTAAAGCAGCAGGTCGACTGTTCTCCTTATTGAATTGTCAGAGCGCCCAGGTCGCAGACAGGTATTGAGGTCGAGGCGCGTGGTTCTCGAGCAATACGACAACACTGAATGAACAATTGACCTTTGTTGTCTGCTTCCTCTTTGCTGGCTCCATCATCGGCATTATCTTATTTCTTCTGCTCCATACATAAGGAACACCGCCCTTGCCTTCGTTCCTGGTCTTTTTGTTTTGTTTCTTCCTGATAGTCCTGTGCGTGCTTGTCAGAACCTGAGTACCATTGAACAAACAGCACGCCCTTGCTCGCTTGTCTTTTTTTCCTGTTTCAGTCCCTCTTCTCACAAAGACTGCATACTCCCCGGCATGGCATGCGATGCATGCAGTCTTTTGTTTGGCCCCCCCATGAAGCCGATCGGAGAATGACCGAAGGGTGTCCGGTCGAAGGGTGAGCATTGTAGAGCTGAGCTGAGCAATGTGTATATTTTAAAGTTGCGCACCCACCTTGGTTTGATGATGCTCCTGTCGATGGTGGGCGAAGGGCAGAGTGCGAAGGAAGGAGCAAGAAGAAGGTGGAGTTCGATGGAGGAAATGGTGGCAAATTCAAAGAAGGAGAGGACAAGAGGTAATAGTGATGAGGGTGACAAGACACATGCAAAATAAATGTACAGGAAGAGAAGTAAAGAAAGCAAGTGAGGGAGAAGAAGAAAAAAATAGAATAAGTCAACATACCCTTGGAGTTCCTTTTTCAGTCAACTCGTCCCCTTTCAGCCTTATCATGCAGCCTACTTCACGCTCACTGGACACGCACACAAACATGCAGACACTCGACCATTACTATGCATCCATTGAGCTCAGCTGTGAAACGCAGGATGTGATTTATTCTGTTACCAGAGCGGGACCTTGCTCCTGCTATTCTCTGCCCTCACGAAGTGGCCGACACTGTGAACAAAGGCATCAAATGGAACGTCCGAGTGGCGTGCTTGAAAATCAGTCGACGGATCAACGAGATTTCAGGCCCTTGGTTGTCTGTGGTAACCTGTTGCTGCACGGACTGTTGCTGCTGGGTCTGCAGGGACTCTGCATTCCGGACAAGGAGCACATAGTAGCATTGCTCCAACACGGATCCGACATCCTTGGAATCGATCAATGGGAACAGAACTGCTGCCTGGTTGATAGGGTCTGGGATCAGTCCCGTCTAAAAAGGGGAGGAGGAGGGGGGGAGGTGTCAGATACCATCAGCCCCATCAGTCCGATAGAGAATACGGTCGTCTCGTGTGAATAATGGAGAACGCAATCGTTTTTGCACAGTGTTTTCGTATGGAGAAAGGGTATGATTAATAAACATGTTGCATATGCGTGTGCGCGATTACCTGCTCCGCAAGCTGGGCTAGCCAAGTGGTCTCATCCAGCTCCTTTGGATACGCCTTCGATGATGTGCTCTTGCATGCATTCCAATGGGCAATCATACAGCGCAGCATCCCTTGAATCACCGGCAGACAAATTGACGCCGACCGTCTGTCTACTCGAAGTAAAACGTGTAAAGCAAGCAATCAAGGAAAAGATGCTAAAAGGGTTAAAAACACGCGCATGAGAACTAAAGCTCACGTTCAGGAAACACATGCATAGCAAACAAATATGTTAATAGAGTCCGCCTAACCTTGCTCCATTGCCGATACGATGATCCGTCTATACGCTGGGGTTTCCGTCATTAGCCGCAACAAGATTTTGTCCCTATACGTTCGATCAAGAAGGTCACATTAGAGTCCTGCTCCTATCTTCCAACGTTGGCTCGAAACGCGGCACAAAAAACATCTTCCTGTCGCGTATAATTTACCGTTGTTGTGCGGCGTGCTTCATAGCGGCCGATGTAGCGCTCACCATAGCGGTGTCGACTCTCATTCCAAGATGCAATACAAATCTTCTCATCAACTGCTCAATAATGACCGAGTCGTGTCCATCCATGCATCGAGCCACAAGGTCTGCAATCTCAAATTCGCGCACTGACTGAATCCGGCCTTGAGCCTTTTGCTCCTCCTTCCCCCTCAATGACTTTCCGCGGTTGATATAACTTCCATCCTGAAAACTGAATGATCCTGCAAGGCCAGTTGATTTGTAATGGATGGGTTGTCGCTCGCGGTTGATGTCAGTCAACGATATCGTCAGGGCTTTCGACCGCGTCTCGTCTTTGCTATCCTCCTTAATCCATCGGCCGTCCAGGTACTTCAAAATCGTATCCATGGCGAACAGCATGATCTCGGGAGTCTTGCTATATGTCGCCGCTAATGAATGGTAGGTGATGATGGAAAGTGTCAGTAGGCAGTAACTTGGATCGCAATACACAATTGTCATATCGTCACAGGCCACTCCTTCCTTACCCCGAGACTTCAGTTCTTCGATAGAATCGTCCGAGTCGGTGGATTCAAGCCATGTGAATATCCGCTCGAGAGAATTTGTCAACAAAAGTGCCTGGTTCTCAAACGCTCCGTAATCAGTCCCGTCCCGCAGCTTTACGAGCGCATTCAAGACGGACTCGCTATCCCACAGTGGCAAGCCTTGCTGCGCCAATGGCCCGCAGTGAAGCATGTATAAAGTGTCGTGGTGGCTCTGGTACTGGACCATATTCCAGCTCTGTGTGTTGTTGCCTATACTCTCTTCCTGTTTCCTCCGCCGAGAAGCATCCGCTGCAAGCTCCTGTTTCTTTGCCAAGACAGCCACAATCCACTGAATTGCCATCCTATATAATTGTAGAAAGAAAGAAAAGAATGCTTAGTACCTCTTACGCGACATCTATATGCAAAATCGTTCGCATCAAGGCTGTGCGCTTTCTTACTTGTCGATATCTTCCCCCCTCTGCTTTGCTGTTGTCCACAGTCGCCTTGCCATTTCGCCTTTCCGTAAGAGCCCTGGTTTATAGTTGATAACCCACTCTAGCCAACCCGTCGTCTTGGCTGTTGATGACAGCGACGGATATGACTCTCCAGCCTCCAGAGTAAACCGAGCCAGAACCTGAGCAAACAAGGCTGGGTCTGCGCCGACACAGTAGGACTGCAGTTGAAGGAATGCTTTGTCGGATGCCTCGTCGTTTGCCTCACTCGCAAGGTTGATCAGGTCCAAGAACGAGTACAATGGCGGTGTTGGAGGTACATCTCCAGGGTTGGGCAGTCCCTCCAGCATAGGCGCAAAGTCAGGGTAGCCATGCCATTGTGCCCTTGTTGTGTCGGCGATGGTTGTCCTGATGGTCGAGTTTTGCAGCTGAAGAATGTACTCCATGTTGTGGGTTGGTGGAAGAAAAGCTGGAGTTCGTTGGACGGCGTCCTTTTATACCTGGCTGTGACTGTTTTGTCGCTTTGACAAAGAACGCGACAGACAAGTTGTTTGGAGCTTTTTTTTATTTGCGACAATGGTCATGCCCACTACGAGCGAGTGAAGGGGTAGGAATCGGCAAAGGGGTCCTCGCTGGAAACACGGTGCCAGGTGTACTCGATGTACGTCGCGACAGCCTCGGCGTTCTCAGTCGTCGTCAGCTCGGCCAGGATAAAGAGCGCCGCGTCAATTCCTAAAGTTGACCACCAAGATGAATAAAGTTGCGTGAGTACTTCCTTTCTCCACTTTCTGTCCAATGAAGCCTCTCTCTCTTCGTCGCCTTGCTTCTTACCAGCAGAAACTCCCGAGGAGGAGACATATTTTCCATCCTGAACCCAACGGGCCCTCTTTATCCAGTTCACGTTGGGACCCTGGGTCATAGGCCATTCGAAGACCATCTTGTTGGTGCTGTGCATTCACAGAAACAAACAATAATTGGCTGTTAGTTCAGGATCCTGTCGCACGATGGGTGCCATAATTAATCAACAATAACACGCAAAGCAACCCCTTACGTCATGCTGTAACCGTCAACAAGGCTGGTCTTGGCAAGAATTCCAGCGCCAGTGCAAACAGTCATGGTCCAGGTAGACTGCTCCACATGGGCCTTGACATAGCCCATGAGCTCTTCGTTGTTGACATAGCTGCGGGTTCCAATACCTCCGGGGATGAAGAAGAGGTCATACTTCTGGGTGATGTCGCTGACCAAGTACTTGGGGGTGATGGTGACCTGCTGCGAGGACTTGACAGGCTCAAGAGTGGTTGCGACAAAGCAAATCTCAATGTCGAGGGTGTTGGACTCCTCTCCAAAGATGCGCATGGGACCCATGACCTTATTGTTTTGTGACGAGAAGGAATTATGGTGTAAATAAGATACACTTTGACGAAAGGTTCAATTGACTTGCAAGGGTATGGAGATGATGAACACTCACGTCCAAAAGATCGACGCCGTTAAAGACCAAGGCGCCAAGTCTGATCTTGCTGAGACCCTTGGGGATCTTGGGGAGGGGACCATGAGGAGCAACGGTGGGAGACATTTTGGAGGTAATGGTGTGCGTGGGAAGAAATTTTGTTTGGAATAGAGTGGGTGTGTTGAATAAAGAAAAAAAAGAAAAAAGAAAATAAAGCAGTAGGAGTACCGCCATTTAAGCATGAACGAAATAAGGTCTGCGCAATGAGGGGGCTCGGTAACTGTGAGTCACGCACGACTCTTTGCTCCAATCCCCGGGTTGCCACACACTCTAAAAACGATGCTCCCAATTGCCAGTGGTGCCTATATGCCTATGTGTGCGTGTCTATCAGCGCGCCCCTGACTAGGAACTCCAGCGCCATGTTCATTGGTCTTCTGTCGTCCTGTTCTCAGGCACCCTTTTCTCAGCAATCCGTTAATCAAAATATTTTAAGTCCAGAAAACAAACGAAGGGATATACTGGGCCTGAACGACGTTCATAGTAAAAATGGGACGCGGCGGGGAAAATAGGCAAGAGATATCTTTATTTGCACGGGATATATCTCGAAATGATTGAAAATAACATCTATCCTGAGCGGGTGAAGGGGTGGGTATCAGCAAAGGGGTCCTCGCTAGCAACACGGTGCCAGGTGTACTCGATGTGGGTCGCAACGGCGTCGGCAACCTCAACCGACGTAAACTCGGATATGATAAAGAGCGCCGCGTCGATTCCTACAGTTACCAACAAAAGGTATAAAATTGTGAGTACTCTCTACCTTCTACCCATTCTATCACGCTCAAGTCTCTATCAGTTGAGCCTCACCAGCAGATACTCCCGAGGAGGTAACATATTTGCCATCCTGGACCCAGCGGGCTCTCTTGATCCAGTTCACGTTGGGGCCCTGGCTCATGGGCCACTCGAACATCTGCTTGTTGGTGCTACATATTCAAAAAAGATAAGAAAATGTGGTTGTTAGTTCTAAACAGTGTGACAGTTTGGCAGTGGATACCTTGATTAGTGACAAAAATGACATCGAAAGAACCCCCTTACGTGACATTGTAACCGTCGACAAGACCGGTTTTGGCAAGGAGGCCAGCACCAGTGCATACAGTCATGGTCCAGGTAGACTGCTCCACATGAGTCTTGACATAGGCCATGAGCTCTTCTTTTTTGACGTACTCGAGGTTTCCTAAGCCTAGGAGTCACAAAAACAACAAGGAATCGTTAATTCTGAGTTCACAAACGTCTGGGTACGGATACGCTTGTTGCTGGACTCGAGGTAGGCGGTCGTTACCTCCGGGGATAAAGAAAAGGTCGTATTTCTGGGTGGTGTCGCTGACCAGGTACTTGGGGGTAATGGTAACCTGTTGAGAGGTTCTGACAGGCTCGAAAGTGGTTGAGACAAAGCAGATCTCAATGTCGAGGGTGTTGGACTCTTCGCCAAAGATACGCATTGGCCCCATAACCTACATTTGCATTTCAGAGCAAGAACAAACGATGTGAATAAAGCGTGTGCACAAACTGGTCTGTAAGTTATAAAAGAGCGATGAATACATACGTCCAAAAGATCGACCTCGTCAAAGACCAAGGCACCAAGTTTGATTTTGTTGAGACCCTTGGGGATCTTGGGGAGAGGACCATGAGGAGCAACGGTGGGAGACATTGTGGAGGTGGTTGGTTGAGTGTGTGTGGGAAGAAAATGCGGTGGAAGAGAAAAAAATGAAGCAGCAAGGCTGACTATTTATGCATTAGTGAAATGGGTCGCGGCTGCGCAAGGGGTCCAGGGAGCTGTGAGACACAACGCGCAGCTTCAATGCTTCAACCCCGGGTCGGCACACACGTGCTGCTAACGAAAAGATGGCGCGCCTGTGTATTCTTGTTTGCCCAACGCGCCTTATTTGTTTGAATGATTGAAACTCAATTGCTGTTAGTGTCAGCTCAACAGGCAAGAAATCATCACCTGGCGTGAGTTCAAGGGAGCAGTCACGGCAGAGGAGGAGTCCTTGTGTTCACCAAGCACATTGCTGCTCCAAGTATGCAACCCCCCAAACCCACCAACCAACAACATGAGCACCATGAGGGATCTCAGCGGCAAAAACTACAAAGACTATTCCTACTGCCTCACAGGAAAACTCGACTTGAACCTCAGCGTGCGAATGTACGGGAGTGAACACCATCAAAGCGACGCATTGTCATAATGTCATTCTATTTCGTCTCCTTGCAACTCTCTGTCTAACCCTATGGGACTCTCTTTGCCATACTCACAGTAACTCGCTGGAGTGGAAACCCAAACGACCTCAATTGGATGCAACAATTGTCCCATACTCTGCGGAGCGTCGGAGGTAATTCCTCTTTCAGCAATACGGAACAAAACTCTTTCCCCGCACTCTTTGTCAGTCCCCACGCTCACACAATGGCGCAGCTGCTGACTCTCCAGGAACGGTCCTTTCTTTTTGTACCTTTACGCCATCTCTAGTACCTATCCGGACCTATATGTTACATGTCAAGTCTTTGCAGGCGACCAACCATTGACAGTTGTTCTGAAGACATCCTACAAACCAATGTCAAGCAAATTTGCGTAAGGGGGTTGATTGCAATTTAGATTGTCATTTATTTCATTTTTTGTTACCCCGACCGTATCTAACAGAACTCTGTCATCTGTCATATGTCACTTTCAACTCAGGTGGAACGAATGGATCACCCTCCCTATCAAGTACCGGGATCTCCCACTCAACGCCCAATTGGCGTTCACAGTCTGGGATGCGGCATCACCCAGAAAGGTCGAGCCTATTGGAGGGTCGACCTTGAAGCTGTTTGGTCCATTCAAGTAAGTTTATGCTCCGTTGTCATTTATGACAAGCCTATGTCTGGATAACACAACTTGCTTAAGTGACCATTCTAATTATTTATCCTTTATTGTTCTTTCAGTATCATTTTGACGGGTCCACAGAAAGTCCGCATGTGGCCGGAATGCGAAGCTGATGGGAACGACACGTCTAAGACACCCTCAGAAACTGGGGAGAAGGATGAAATGGACCGCTTTGAAAAGGTTGGTTACGTGTTTTCGTACATTCGATCATCGATCAACCCCAGGTACATCATCACGGAGGCCAATTGCTGATTTTTTCCCTACCTCTTAATGAACCCGCGTAGCTTTTGAAAAAACAGGACCGTGGGGACATCCCAAAGATTGAGTGGCTTGACAACCTTGCCTACCGCCAGATTGAACAGATCCACAAAGTAAGGCGCATGCGGAGCAAATACACCGACACGACAAGAAACGTGCCAACTAGGGTCTTTTCTTGTCTAACCAATGCTATATCTATCTTCTGTAGAAACTCTTGGCGCAATCGGACAAAATGCTTCTCAACATCGACTTGCCAAAGTTTGACTTTCCTGTCATTTTTGATGAACATGTAGGGAGGATATCGGGAACTGCAGCCGCTGCTGTCGCTTTTTATTCTTATCACAACATGTCAATAGTTACTTAACGTCCATCCCTCTAACTTGGTAGGAATACGAATCTAAAGTCCATGGATCATTCAACAGCTTCGGCGGATCAGCCTCCAACTCTATCCCTTCTTTCCATACCAACATGCCTGGCAGTTCGGTATTCATCGTGGACGACCCCGAGATTGCGCGCGAGAACCCTGTCGAGGCGAAACACAGGAGACTTGTTCGTAGCCACAGGAACGGTCCTCTGGATAGGCAATTGAAACCCAACCCAAAGATTCGCGACGAACTGGCTGTAAGTTATACTGGAAGGTGGAATAACATGCTGCGCTGAAATCATATTCTTAATTGTAATACTGACCGAGCCATTCCGTTGGATCTCGTGCCAAATAGCAAATTTTGCGGTACCCGCCCTCACATTCGCTCACGGGAGAGGAGAAAGATCTGCTATGGAAGTTCAGATATTACCTGACAAGAGACAAACGGGTAAGCATCGCACGGTTAGCCACTGTACCTGAAGCAAACAACTTCAGAGCTGTACAAATGACTGAATAGGACAACCGTATCTTGTCAATATCAACCAATAGGCACTTACAAAGTTCCTCAAGTCGGTGGTATGGAGTGACCCTGCAGAAGCGAAACAAGCCGTTGACCTTCTCCCAGCGTGGGTTGATATCGACGTTGACGATGCATTGGAATTGCTGGGCTCGTCATTTGAGAACCGAGAAGTTCGGTCATACGCGGTAACGCAGCTGAGAAGCGCGAATGACGATGTAAGTGAATCCGCCACATGCACGATGCAATGTTTGGTTGCACAGATACGAACTGTTGTCTCACACCCTTTTGTTCCACATGGGAATAGGATCTACTGCTGTTCCTTCTGCAGCTTGTGCAAGGTCTCAAGTTTGAGCACATCGACAGCAACTTTGGCGAGTCTAATTTGGTGGCGTTTTTGATCGAGCGTGCTGTGAAGAATCCTATTCTTGGCAACTACTTTCACTGGTATGTCCTAGTCGCGACTTGTGCGCATATGGTTCACCCTCGTACTCTCTATTCATAGCTAACAACCCTTTTGACTCATGGCTGAACTGGATAGGTATTTGATGATCGAATACGAAGATGTCGCTGTCAGTAAGATGTATGGCAAAGTGTCGTATCAGTACATGTCGGCGATGACTGCATCTGGAATCCAACGGAGAGAGAGTTTGAGGAGACAAGGAGAGCTCATCGAGACGCTTGCCAACTTGGCCAAGAGTGTGAAGCAAATGCGCGAATCGCGCCCCAAGAAGGTTAGTGGTTAGTTCTTGCCATTTCTCTATCATCGCACTCGATATCCTGGCCACTATTCTAACCGCCGATATCACTCTTTCACTGCTCCAGATCGAAAAACTGCAAGAGTACATCGCTGATCCGAAGAATGGATTGGTGACTTTCAAGCCACTTGCATTACCTCTGGACCCACGAATAGAAGTGACAGGAATCGTGCCAGGTACTCATACATGCTCTGTTGCTGTTTTATGGATTTAACTTTATCGCCATGATGTCTAACGTCTACTCGTGATTGTGATTGCTGCGATTCTTCCTTAAATAGAGCGGACAGGTATCTTCAAGAGTAACCTGCTTCCTCTTCACCTTACATTCTCCTGTGCGGATGGAAGTCTCTATCAAGCCATTTTCAAGTCAGGGGACGACCTGCGTCAGGACCAGCTTGTGATTCAGCTCATTACCTTGATGGATGACCTACTCAGAAAAGAAAACTTGGATCTAAAGCTGATGCCCTACAAGGTTCTGGCGACAGGAGCAGACCATGGCATGGTTCAGTTTGTTCAGTCTATGTCACTCGCCAACGTCTTGAACGAGAACAACGGCAGTTTGCTGGGGTACTGGAGAAAGAACCACCTGGACGAACAGAGCGCAGAGACGTTTGGAGTCCGACCAGAAGTCATGGATAACTATGTCAAGAGTTGTGGTATGTGTATTAAGGAGAACTTGTACAGATAGATTACTCCAAAACCTGCCTGTTATTGTTTAAATCATGGAACTAACTCTATCTTTTTCTCTCCCTTGCCTTGTCAACTCCTGCATTAGCTGGATATAGCGTGATCATGTACCTTCTTGGAGTTGGAGATCGACACTTGGACAATTTGCTCATGTCACCCAATGGTAAAGCTTGTTTTCTCCCGTCTCGGCCCTTTTCTTGCACCCACTCGCCCCTGTTTGTATTTTTACACTTTTGGACCCTTAGAATTACGTTGCATCTCGCGCAATTACTCAAGCTAACCCCCTTCTTTCTCTCTCCGATTGTTTCTGTAGGAAACATCTTCCATGTCGACTTTGGATTTATCCTTGGTCGAGACCCCAAACCGTTCCCTGCACCAATGAAGATTACCAAAGAGATGGTCGATGCAATGGGAGGGTTCAACTCGGTGCATTATCAGAGTTTCAAGTCGTACTGTGTAACAGCGTACAATATCCTTCGCAAGTCGGCGAACCTGATCCTGAACCTGTTTGGTCTGATGGTAGATGCCAACATTCCAGACATCAAGGCCGAGCCCGACAAGGCCGTTTGGAAGGTAAGGAGCGAGGACTCGTAACAATTTTCGGTGTTGTATTTGTTTATTGTAGGGGCATGACAAACATGGTTGATTTGCTGATTGGTGACACACCGTCCCATCCCCACCTTTAGCCCACCTTCCTTTGCTCCTCCACTCCCATTCGTATTTTATGCTTTTTCTTTCGACTTTGCCCTCCCCTTTCAATCAATCGAATAATTGAAACAAGCTCCCTGTACTCGATGCCTACGTTTTACTAATTATGGACGCTCACTTTCGATCGCCATATTTTTTTTTCTCTCTCCACCTTCAAGGTTGAGGAGCGCTTCCAGTTGAATCTGACAGACGACGAGGCTATCAAGTTCTTCCAGAACCTGATCAACGAGAGTGTCAGTGCCATGATCCCTCAAATTGCAGACGCCATCCATGGATGGGCCCAGCATTGGCGAAAATAAAAACATGAACACTATGAACCACGATCCCATTTTTTTTCCTCCTTCTCTCCCATTGGATGATTTTGTAAGTTTACCCGTTATGCTATACTATCCTTGTTAGTACTTTTTTTCTGAGATTTTATTCCTGGATCTGCATGCAAGAAAAACAAGCAAGGAGAGAGGGGGAAAAAAAATAAAATAAAAAAAAAAGAGATCATAATAATAACCGACAGTTAGCTATCGAATAGTCTCCTTTTTTTTTTTTTTTTTCCTTTGCTTCCTTTGTATCATAACTTGAAACGAAGGGATCAGCGCTCTGCTATTTTGTGTTCCTGACAAAACAAAACAACTTACATAACTCAGTTAAGTTTGACTACGGTGCATGTGTAAACAAAAACAAAAAAAAAAAAACACTTGTTCGAGAAGAGAAGACAATGAGCAAAGAGTAAGTCAAAGGGATCTTATTGTATGTTTGATTTGAATGTCTTTATGTATAGTTAACAAAAACACATTGGTGTAGGGGAGAAAGGTAGCTGTCTATGGATGAAGAGTGGTCTATGGTTTAGGAGGGGGTTGGGGTTTAGGGTTGTACAATTCTAATCTAGGGCGAGAATGTAATTGATCTACAATGGGTGCAAAAAAGAAAGTAATGAACGGCAAAATATTAAAGACGAATAAAAACAATTAAAAGCAAACTGCAAGAAGTAACGAGAACTGCAAACAAAAGGAAGAAAATGGGGGTGCGTCGGGAAGTAAAAAAAAAAAAATAGTTGGACAGGGGGAAAGGGGTAGAGAACGCGAAATGATTGAGTAGGGAGGTTTTGGTAGGCCAGACACTTTGGGGGTGAAACCTGGTGTTGTAGTCGGTGTAGTAGTTTCGGTGTAGTTGGATGGTCAATGCTGGGTTGGTTGGTTGTAGTTGGTCAAAGACGTTCCTGCTCCTTGTCAACAGGACGTCCAGATCAGGGTCCTTGTATTCCTCTCGGCTCAGGAGGCAAAAATTCCTTGGAAGACGGGCTGGTTTTTCTTAGACCATGATTGGGGGCCATGGGGAACGCTTGGGCTCGTAAGCGATCCAGCCATCGGGCTTGGGGACGGTGGTGTCAAAACGGAAGGCGTTCTCTGAATCATCCTTGTGTTGCTTCAGGCAATGTTCTCTGGTCGAATCACGTCGGGCTGAGCTCGATTGGCAGTAGTTGCAGATGTAGGGCTTATAGTCGGGGTAGTGGGTGTCGCGGTGGCGCTTGACGGGATCTGAGCGGGCAGAGTGGTAGTCGCAGGTGGGGAAGTTGCAGAAGTAATGGTAGGTGATAGGTTGTCCGCCCTGGGTGTGGGTTCCGGCGGAGCCATCCATGTTATTGAGCGACGTTGTCGAGAAGGAAGAGGAGCTGGAGCCAGAGTAGGAAGAGTCTGAATCTGAGTCGTCAAATTGGTTCATTCCATCGTGGCCGTAGTTCGTCATGTCGGAGGGGTTACAGGCGGAGCCCATGGAGGCCAAGATCGAAGCTGGGGTAGGAGTGACTTGTGACATGGTGGCGTTTATAATAGTAAGAAGAGGGGCGTAGTATTAGCGAGGGTTGTTGGTGATGGTTGGAATGTGTGACTGGGTTGGGTTGACTGATTGGATGCTGGGGGAGGGCGGCGGAGGAGGTTGAGGTTGATTGGATGGCGATGAGGGCGGATTGTCCTTGGCGGATGATGATGAGTTGCTTGAGTGATTTGCGGTTGATATTCTGAATCGGAAAGAGGAAAGGAGACCATGGCCTTACGTTTATATATGTTGACGGACACGGTGGTTGGTGTAGTAGTTGTGTCAAGGTAAGGGAAGGTGAGGAAGGTTGTTCTTAATTGTTCTTTATTCAATCAATGAACCGACAGTCTGGGCGAAATGGTGGAGTTGAAGGGGTGAGGAAAGGAAAGAGAGAGAGGAAATGTGGACCTAAAAGGGAGAACAAGTGATAGAGAAAGCTATGAGTGAGTGAGAGAGAGAGAGGAGGGAGGGAGGGAGAAAGAGAGAGCAAACGAGACGAGCAATTAGAGATTCAAAGAAAGGTAGACACAGAGAGAGTGAGAGACAGAGAATGCGAGTGTTAATGAGAGAGAAAGGGAAAACAAGGGTCATGAAGGGGGGCATGGAAATAGCCTGGCGACGTACAAAGTGAATACATATTCAATCACAGAGAAGGTCGAAATGAAAGGGACCACCCATCACTATACAAACCCAAAAAGGATCCGAACAGGATGGAACTTCCCTTTGCACAAGGGGAGGAAAGGAGTCAAGCAAGAGACAGAGAGAGAGAGAGAGAGAGAGAAGGAGAGAGAGGGAGAGGAAATCAAGGGAGAAGGAGACTCCAAGGGGGACCACATATCGAATTCTCTTTTGTTTTTGAAGGGGATAAATTATCAAGGGATGCTCGCACAAGTCAAAACAAGCGCTGAAGCAGCAAGGCGAAAAGCTCATCAGTCTGAACGCGCTTCCCGACACACGGGCCTGATGGGAAGTAAATTAGGAGGAAGGAACAACAAACCGTGCAAGGGTGTCGAATTGTAAAACACTAACGAGGAAGGTGAACAAAAACAAGTCAATAAAAGGCCGGTGTTTGCCTCTCTCCTCTCTCTCTTTTTTCTTCTCTTTTTCTCTCTCTCTTTCTGTTACATCTTGAATATAGCTCTCTGCATCTGTGCGTCTATAAATCACGCCGATATATGGATTCTCTTTCTTGCACTTGACGGTTGTAATCAGGTTTGAGCTCTGAATGTCTCGAATGTGTCATCCTTCCCAATCCTGCTCCTTGCAGCAAAAAAAAGATGAGCTAAACAGGCTTGGCCAATGCGCTGTTAGAACACTTACTAAAGAACAAGGAATAACGTAGGAGCGATATTACTACCTTAGCCGGTGCAAAATGGCAAAAGGCACGAAATCGGGTATTGCTTTTGTTGTGTTTGTGTTGGTTGATGCCGATGGGACAAGCAAGCAAAGGCTGCATGTAGAATGAAAAAAACGCGTCTAAATAGACCTTCTTGTCCATAATTGCTTACTCTATTGCCGACGTCTTAGTATTCATCAAACATCATAAAATATAACAGTAGATGATAAGTAAGGGAATAAATGCGTGCACACCAAAGAAGAGAAATGTTAATTGTCTGTCCCCTCTTTTCTTCCTCCTCCTCCTCTTACTCCACGTCTAAAGACGTCCTCAAAGGACAGGCCAGAAAAAGAGGAGAGACGTAGAACATTAAAGGCAGGATGTAAGGGAGCTAGAAAAGGAGCCATTGTCCTAAATAGACACACCTTTTTATTTGCGAGGAGTAAGAGGGAGGTAATGAGCGAGCAAAAGAGAGAGAGAGAGAGAGGCATTGATAGAAAAGAAACGGAGGAAGGGGACGTAGAAAGATTTAGAGAATGAGGAGGGGGTTTTGGGAACACGGACACACACAGGAAATGGAAGAGGATGAGAAAGTAGTATCTAGCTCTATGATAAAGACACCTAGAGGGAATGTGCCCAAGGAGAGATGATACCAAACAACAAAGGTGATCGGGATATAGACAAACAGGAATGATAGCTGCAGGGATGACCGAATAAAGAGACAGAAGATACACAGACGATTGCGAAGAGAGAAAGAGGGAGGGATAATGAGAGGATGTGACAAGAAGAAATCCCGGGGCGGGAATAATATCTCGCTCACGAACGAACACAGCCAGCTTAAATTATGGACCTGGACTCATTCTCATCAGAACCAGGGTCACCAGGAGCTCCCTATCATCGTCATCATCGTCTACTGACAAGTTGAAAAACGACATTGTCAGATCATAATCGCCTTCCCAACTCTCAGCGAACCTTGTCTCGCACTCGCTCATTTGTGCCAGCAGGTGTGAACGGCTACCGGTACCGGCCCGTGTTCTAGTTCTTTTGATTTCGGTATTGTTGCAACTTGCAGTAACTCACTCAAGTTTGAAGCCGTCAGCAAACTGACAAAGCTGAGCAAACGAGAGCATCTATTCATGGACGGCCTCAACACGAAGCACGTAAAATAGATTCCTACAGTTTTAACTCCTTGCTGGCTATTTGTGTGACAGTGGCATTAGATTGGTGCCTTTGCACATGCCGTCGACAGGTTTGCGATTGTGTTCGTCGCACGCGACGCACGCGCGCATGAGTGAAGGGGTCTAGAGGCTTGCCTCAGAGAACGGCCAAACCAGACAAGTAGTGTAACAGTAATTTTTTTTAGGGGGGAGACCTCACTACACCATGCTCCCTAAAATAATATCCCTAATTACATGCAATAGCGGATGTGATAGCTATTCCTGGCGAAGGAGATCGTGCCGCAGATCCAATTAAGTCGCACTGTTGTTGTTTTAGTTGTTGTCCTTCAGAGCTTGCGCTGGGGCCAATCTGGGACGAACAACCCCTTGAAATATGAGTAAGGAGCGTAAGCAAGTCTTCCCATCAATTTTTTGTTTCTGGAGTCTTGTCTGGCTCCTGCATGGATTGATTTGTCTTATAATTCGATGGTGTAACCATGTCCCTTGAACCTTTTTAGTTCAGCAAGAAGCTATACATGGAAAAGGCAAAACGACAGGAGAACACCAACCTTCCTCCTCGTAGGTTTTTTTTTCTCCCTTTGGACATAGATTGGGCCAGTGAGGAAAAAAAACCGAAAAATCAAATGGCTAAAACAGCTCAAGGTGCTTCTCTTGCTCATGTCGTTCTTTTCAAATTCCAAGGGATACTCTGACGCACCGGAAAAATTCAAGGTAGCAGGAGCATTTGAGGACAACGCTACCAATGAGTAAATGAATAATTGAACGAATGAATCAAGTGAACATGTCCAACGCTGCAGAGTCGTTCTTTGAGGGGTGGGTGTTGTATGTCCTATGTCCCACGTCCCACGTCCTATGGTCAAGGTCCACACCTTGTTCATCATTGCAGCTGCACTCGCGCGTATCCTAGAGAACGGATCTCTAGGTGGCATTCTCCACTCCAGAGTGAGAGGCGATGTGTGGATGCAGGGTCTGCAGGGTATGCACTGCTGATTTCTCGAATCACCTGTGAGTTGCGTCCACAAATCAGAGTTAGATTTGCCACCAAAGTCCTCTCTTCTCTTTTCTTCATCCCATCCATTCACTAACAGCCATGTCATCTCAAGACAGACCTTCCGTACAAGGTATACATACACTTGCACATAGATGTATGCTAACCTCGCTATACCTGCAGTCGACCCTCTGTATTGTCTTGCAAAACAAAATGAACCTCATGCTCCATGCTGACTCATTGCAACTATGCACATGCTGATTCTAGATCCGGGACCAAGCACGTCACCCACAGAGTCCGACTTGGTACCAGTCATGGACTCTATTACCACCTCCCCTGATGACAGCAGTATGCCACGACAGGCTGTTTCAACTGGGCACTTGCAACCAAGGCCAGCAGTGGAGACGCAGGACACCAACAGCTTACGCACTGCCCCAGCGACGCCACCAAATTGCTCCATCTCAGAGACACAAAACAGGAGTTCTCCCAACCAATCAGTAAAGCTCACAACGACAACGACAGGTCAAAAACGACCACTACCATCAACAAGACTAAAGGGGTCGATCCACAAACCCTTCAGGTCACCGCTAAGAACTACTCAACCTACAGACACCAAGCCGGCAACAGTGGTAATGAAAAAGAACTCCGAACACGTGCCACGCACCAAAGGAACAACGACAGTGACCCCCACACTGGCATCAACTTTGAAAACGATACCACCCACTCGACAAGCGCCTTCCAAGTCCTCAACAACAAACGCACCTAGTGTTGGTAAACGTGCACCCTTTCGACCGCCTCTCTCGCGTTCACAGCAAGGGCCACCATCGAGCGATACAGCATATGGCCGCCTGATCCAGATCCAAACCCTCCAGGCGCGAGTCACCGAATTGCAGTCGTCGATCCGGAAGGGTCAGCAGATTTTAAAGCAACAGCAGAAGAACGAGGCACCGATCGAAGAGTTAACAGCGAAATGGAAGAAAGCCAGTCAGGAGGGTGCTCAGGTCCTGCTGGGGAAGTATACTGAGCAGCAGAGTGCCTTTGGTGGATGGGGAGACTACGATAGCAACAGGTCAGATGACAGGATGTCTATGAACAGAGGCTTCCATGGTTACGGTTCTCAGCAACTGCCCTGGAGCTACAATACGGACATGCCTATGAATGGGGTGTCCAGTCTGCAGGAACTGGGGCCGGACGGGCTCCAGGCGTTGGAGGAGTATATCGGGCACCAGGACGTGCAGCAGGATTTACCCACGGTTGAGGAGGCGATCAGATCCCGGAGCCGGCCCGAGGTGACTGCTATGACCCACCCGCCTACAAAAATGACCACCATGGAAAAGTTACTTCTAGGGCTGGGGATCGACCTTGACGTCATTGGGTACGACCCAGAGCAGGATACATTCATATCCTAAACGCCTACCTCCACTTGTCTTTTTCTTCTTTTTTACTTTTTCTTGTTTTTCTACATTTTTGCCTGCTTTGCGTGTTGACAATTGCTCTCTGTCATGTCTTGTGCTTGAGGAACTTTACTGTTTTACATTTTGTTAAGAGAATCTTTCCCCCAAAAATGAATAAAGCCAAAAAAATGTGACCTCGTGCCTCAGGGCGGTAAATCGTGCGGGTTGGGGAGGGCAAGTGAACGTCTTTGCAGCCACGTTATGCCTTAACGCGACGAATACACACAAACATGCAGGATGAACAACAGCTCTGCTTTGCGCTGGACATCTTGATTGTTAGCTATTTTCCGCTGTTGGCGACCAATGCCAAACTCAACCACCAGCTGTGGAAGCAATTCTGCCTCAACTTTGCGAGCAAACGAACAAATGACGACGAGCCAAGCAATTGGTGAGAGTATGTCTTGACAGTTCACGCCCCAGCAAACTTTAAAATGGCCCTGAAACTGCTACTATTATTGAATTGGATGACAACAAGGACACACAACGAGAGCAAATAAAATAATGGGTAGGTGGATGTATGGGCAGAGAGTGCACACGGCACTCACAGACAGTTGAAAGTGAACAGTGTAACTGACGCGCCAATGCCTTTCAATCGTGAGTCGTGCTGGTGGTCTGTCTGCTGTTGAGTGGTTCGTCTTGATTTGGCGATTTTCTTCACGTCATTGTGCCGCCCTCTTATTTCCTCTCTAACCTCTTTTCTTCTTTTTTCTTCTTTTTCTTTTTCTTCTTCACAACTCACTCTCTCCCCCACAAACCCTCTCCCTCCCAAGGTAAGCCGCGCATTCCCTTTTCACTTCAAGGCAGATGCAGGATGAACCTTCTGGTTGATGCACCCCTTGACTGGTCATTCTACATGCATCTGTTTCGTTTTCTGTTCGCACACACACACTTCCCATCTTACGCGCGCGCACATCTGCATCAGGATGGAGACATGAAAACGCAAAGAAACCAAATCGCGACATTATACACTTTGCGGAGAGCACGCTCGATTTCATACTCGTTTACACAGCAACGCCATGGGAGCGAAGTGTCTTCAAAGGCACGCAGAGAGACTGCAGGAGTCAAACAAAGGATGGACCTTCTTTTTGGGACAGGATAGTGCTTGTTGATCCTTCCTTCTTGGGCAGCCAAGGATAGACATCACCGCGGTAGCAAGGAGCACAGAAATAGAAAGTGTCGTCGTTGACAACACTCTTGTCTTCACAACGGCGCCTTTTTTTTTCTTGGGAGACAAGAGGACGAGCAACTACACGAACTGCTGAACGGAAGGAGGCGCCTGCATTCCGATTTTTCCCACAGGATTCGACATTTTGGTCTCGTCTCACATCTTTCCCTCTGCACACACCAGAACACTTCCCTCCTTCTCGTCGCTCTCCTTGTCTGTCACTGTTTCTCACTCTTTCTTCCGTCTTCTTCATTTCCCCGCTTTGACTTTAATTCAACTAGAATATACATAATGGCCAGCTACATCCCCGTCCCCTTCGCTGACGTTGGCAAGGCTTCCAACGACTTGCTCGGCAAGGATTTCCCCGTTGGTCAGACCAAGTTCGAGGTCAAGTCCGTTGCCCCCGGCGGTGTCGTAAGTGCTCTCTCTTTTTTTGACCTCAACAAACCATTTTCGACGACGTCCGGCAATCCTAATTCTTCAACCCGACCAGCCAACCCCCCCCCTAACAAGTTCCAGCACCAATTAACACCCTCTATCTTCTGGATATGTGCTCGATAGACCTTCAACGTTCTCGGTAACCAGGACAACAAGTCTGGAGCCATCAACGGTGAGCTCAAGACCAAGTACGTCGACTTCAAGAACGGCTTGACCGTCACCGAGGCCTGGACCACCGGCAACGTCCTCACCACCCAGATCGAGCTCGAGAACAAGGTCGCCAAGGGCTTGAAGTTCGATGTCACCGCAGGCTTCCTTCCCTCCGAGGGCAAGAAGAACGCCAAGGTCGGTGTTCAGTACAAGCAGCTCGGCTTCAACTCGCGCGCCTACGTTGACCTCTTCAAGGGCCCCACCTTCACCAGTGATGTCGTTGTTGGCCGTGATGGCTTCTTGGTCGGAGGAGATGTCGCCTACGATGTCAGTGCCGCTAAGGTCTCCCGCTTCGCCGCCGCTGCCGGCTACACCACCCCCGAGTACTCTGTTGCCCTCCACGCCCAGAACTCGTTCAAGATCTTCTCTGCCTCGTACTACCACCGCATCAACGCTGATCTCGAGGCTGGTGGAAAGGCCGTCTGGGATGCCAAGGCCGAGAAGGGCGCCAAGACCCCCGTTGCCCTCGAGGTCGGTGCCAAGTTCTACCTCGACCGCGATGCCTTTGTCAAGGCCAAGGTCAACAACGCTGGTGTTCTCGGCCTCGGATACACTCAGGCAATCCGCAAGGGCGTCAAGGTCTCCATTGCCGGTCTCTTTGACACCACTAAGTTGGACCAGCCCGCCCACAAGCTCGGTCTCTCCTTCGTCTTTGAGGCATAAGTTGCTTTCCTTTTTGTTCATTTCCCTCCTCTCCTCCTCTCTCGTTTTAATGTAAAAAATCCACACATGTATCTAAAGAAAACGATCCATACGATCGCCCCATCCAAGGGGAAAACAACAGTTTTGTCGACAATTGAATAAAGAAATAGTTAAATCCATCATCCATCTGTGATAGGAATTAAAGGTCCATGGACATTTAAAAACGCAAAGGGATGCTCGTTTTTTTTCTTTTCTTTCATTCTAACATCACAGCACCCTCAAGAAAACCAACCATGAAATCAAAGCTCGGAAACCATGTCATTGCAGGAGAAGGCAGACCGTACGTCCTTATTGTTGGTCATTGTCAATGTGAATCAGCGCCTTGCTTCGTTTTTCTCATTTTCACCGACTGGCCATTTGCTGTGCCTTGTGCCGGTTTATGTTTTTCTTCTGAAGTTTTTTTTTTTTTTATTTTCTCGCACGCTCCTATTAAGGTTGTCGTGCCGCTGAGAAAAATGCAAAGGATGGCTGACGTTTACGATACTGGTTGTTATTTTTTCTCATATAGTCCATGGTACAGGAGCGATGGTCAAAACTGCGACTGCTACATTGTCGGGATTGCCGGTACGAGGAATTGACCTGGCGTTGTTGTTATATACTCTTATGGTCCTGGCAATACAGGGCGCCGACGAAGAGCTTTCAATTGACGTCGTTTTATACCATCATGGCCATTTTTTTTCATAGGTGGAAGTGCTAGTGGAAAGACCAGTGTCGCTCAGAGGATTATCAAGAACTTGAATGTTCCATGGGTTGTCCTGCTGTCGATGGATTCGTTTTACAAGGACTTGACGGCCGAGGAAGTTGAGATTGCCCACAGAAAGTACGTCTCCTTTGACACTTTCCACACTCGAGTATTCGTTCACCGACTTCAGATACTATTTTACTAACTGGGAAAGCACTTGTTTTTGTCACTTGTAGCGATTGGGATTTTGACTCGCCAAACTCGTATGACTACGACCTGCTACTGGAGACTGTTACCAAGCTGAAGGAAGGAAAGCAGGTGGATGTTCCCATTTACGACTTTGAGACCCACAAGAGGTACCCTCACAAGACCATGCGTCGATATGTTCAAAAGGATGCCAATCACCTGTTTGGGCACATTTCATGATAGAGAGATTGCTAATCCTGTGCTGGTTTTAATGTGTTCTGTTGTTGTGAATAGAGTGCCCAATAAGGTCAACACGGTGTACGGTGCCAATGTGATCATCTTTGAGGGAATCTTCGGACTGTACGACAAGAAAGTCCTGGAAATGATGGTAAATGTTCTGGACCCCACCCCTCTCTCTCTCTCTCTCTCTCTCTCTCTCTCTCTCTCTCTCTCCTTCCCCCTTCAGCGAATGTATTCAGGAGAAACGCAAACCCCCCTATTTTTGGATTCGACTGCTGATCGTTAATGCACAAACCTCCCTGGGAAACGAACCAATTACTAGGACTTGAAAGTGTTTGTAGATACCGACGTCGACATCTGCCTTGCCAGACGAAGTAAGTCCTTTCTCCCTTTTGTTCTTTTGTCGTTCAAGCGTGTGAATATATGTGTCGTACAAATGCAACGAAATTTACCAGAGATTGACTGTCTGCGAAAACTTTTTTTTTTGGTACTTTCACAAATAGTCAAGCGTGATGTGGCTGAACGTGGATTCGACGTTACTGGAGTATTGACGCTGTACCAGAGATTTGTCAAGCCCTCTTACGATACTTACGTCTACCCCACCAAGAAGAACGCCGATGTCGTAAGTGTGAACTAATCATGCATGCAAGCCTCATTTGAAATGATTGAAATGATATGTCCTGGGAAAAAACAAAAAGAAGCTCAAGCTAAAAAAGAATGAAACTTTTGTTTATGTGATGCATGCGTGGAATTATATGTAGGTTATTCCTCGTGGACTGGAGAACTTGGTGGCGATCGATCTGTTGACAAAACACATTCAAAGACAGCTGCAGGAGCGCAAGATGCAGTCACGATGGGACATGGCCAGGATATGCCCTCCCCATGAGCTTCCCTCCAACGTCGTCGTCCTCGAAGAGACCAAGCAGATCAAGGCATGTTCTCTTCCTTCTTCTCTGCTGAACATGATATAGAGGTTTGCTTTACTACAGGACGCCATGGTGCACCAGGTCACGTTGTCTTACCTTCTTCTCATCTTGTATTTGCTTATATAGGGTCTGCACACTATTATTCGCGACATTGAGACCTCGCGCCACGACTTTATCTTTTACGCCGATCGTCTTGCCACTCTGGTCATTGAGCGGTAAGCACGTCTGGAAAAAAAACATAAGCTGCGACGGCACAGAAAAACAAGTACTAAGCAAGGACTGACCCCATTTTGGATTATTTGAAATGTGAAATTAGTGCCTTGAATGAGTTGCCATACGAGCCCCGAGTAGTAGAGACGCCCACAAAAAAGACGGTCCACGGCTTGGGACTCAAGGCCAACATCGCCGGCGTCTCGATCCTCCGCGCAGGAGGCACCATGGAGAACGGCCTCCGCCGCGTCATCCGCGACGCCGTCATTGGCAAGATCCTCATCCAAACCGACCCCAACAACGGCGAGCCCCAACTGCACTACTGCAAACTGCCCCCCACCATCCGGGAAGCCAATACGTTTATTTTCCTCATGGATGCGGTTGTGGGTACAGGCGCTGCTGGGTTGATGGCGATTAGGGTGTTGTTGGATCATGCTGTTCCAGAGAACCGGATTGTATTTTTGTGTTTCTTGGCCGCCCCCCAGGGGTTGCACACGATCTCAAGGGCATTCCCGAGGGTGAGGATTGTCACCTCGTATGTCGACCCTGTCCTTAACCCTGATACCCTGTACCTGGAGCCTGGTCTTGGAAACTTTGGAGACCGTTACTTTGGAACCGAGCATGAATAGATTGTGGGTAATTGGGCTTGAAGGGTGCTGCTCTGCTGATAAACACAATGAGCAAGGGCTGCCCAGACAGTTAAATAAAACGAGATTGTGGAGTTGTTGTTTTTTTTTTTTTTTTTTTTTTTGGGTGGTTTATTACACATCATCGTGCTCCGCATTTATGTAAAGTGGCTCGCGGAGATGACAAAGGGAACAAATAGTAAAGAAAGAATGGACAATAGGGAAAAGGCAAAAGGGCAAAGAAGAGGAGAATGGAAGGTGGAGTGGAGTGGGAATGATTTTTTTTTTCTGGTGTGGCGTGAAGAAGATTGAAAAAAAAGATATTAGGCTTTTACTCGGCCTTCTTGGGGTGCTTGATGGTGAAGCACCAGATATCAAAGTAGTCGCAGAGGTCGTTGACGACGTTGATCGCAAAGTGAGCGTAGGCTGCAGCAGAGAAGGCGAGACAGCTCCACAAGTAAATGTCCTCCATATGCGCTCCAAACAACCTCTCGCTAATGTGGCATAAAAGAAAAGCAGAATGATGGTGATTAGTGCCAAGGCACTGACAGTTCACAATTCTAACATGAACGTGTCCAAATGGTTTAGAAGACTTACAAGCCAAAGGCGGGGAGGTTCGCGTTGAAGGCTCCGAACAAGAGGGGGACGAAGGAGATATTGAAGAGAGGGAATGGCTGGTGGGTGACATGGGCAGTGATCATCAAGCCAACAGTGTATCCGAACGAGAGACCAATGTAGAGGGTCCAGGGGACCAAGTGCTCGTTGACAATCTGGGGCGAGGCGTTCAACCAGAAGAAGGCGACCAGCGAGCTGCCAATATAGGGAAGGACACCGACCAGGGCAGGTGCAACGGGCAGGTTCTTGTCCTTGCGCGCCTTGATCACATGCTGGAATCTAGAAATAAAAATTGATAAGGTATGCGGTTGAGCTTAGCGTAAGCGACTTGATTACATGAATGCAAATGCAAACGGTACATACTCTTCAGGTTGGCAAAGTAACCCCTAATCGTCAATCTTGTAGTTGTTTTCGTGGCGTTTCTGTGCTTACCCAGTGAGGATGTTTCCAAGGAGGCCAATGGTGCCAATGGAGACAAAGAAGTGGTTCAGCTGCAAGTCAGGGATCATGGGCAAAAAGTCAGGCGAGAGTCCCAAGTACGAGCGAACGGTGTGGAGCCAGATTCCTGTTCCAAAGAATCCAGTGATGAGGAAGAGGATCACAATCAACAAGATACCCTCGACTGGTCCCGAGAAGGCGCTCAAGTAAAGCGTGCCAGTGTGGTACTCCTCCCATGTGCTCAGGTAGAAGTTTGCAAGGGCTAAAATGAAAAGGTGAGCATTCCATTAGTGGTCCGTACTGCTGTCGTCTCGTTAAAATAACAAAATTCTGTTATAACGACTTCAACTTTTCTTGGTTGCTGACTTACTCAAGAAGTGGGAAAGAATGGTCCACCAGCTCTGGTTCAATTGCAAGGCGTTGGCGGCAAGAATGACTTCAAGCTATGAACAATGAACAGTGATGCATATTTGTGATACCGAGGCGATCAATTAAGAGAGGAAGGGAGGACCGAGGATAAAGCATAAGTAATAAAAATAAAACAAAACCAAAAGAATGCAGCACGGGCTGTTAGTCGTTTTTGTTGTTTCGGGCGAACTTTCACGATCCAAGGTCGAGTAACCTTAAATTCTTTGGGGATTGATTGTTCATGTCTCTGACAGACATGCGCTTGTACCCTTGGCCATTGCGCTCTCAGACAAATCCGTCTGTCCTCCTCGTCACCGTCTATTGTTGTTTGCCGTTGTTTGCCGTTATTTTCTTTGACACACTATCCCGTGCTTGTCGTTCACATTTACTTTGTGGAACTTACAGAAGTGTTCAGTGCGTCGCATCCTATACATCATTGCCAGATAACCACATTCAGGATTCGAGGAGACCAAAGTAAACGTTCATATGACAGGAATGAAAAGGAGAAGAGCGTGCGTCAGAAGGGCGTTTTGGGGGGGGGGGGAAACAGATCAAATGGGTTCAACCCGCGCGGCTTCGGTAATTTTCGTCGTCATCTACAACGTGTCAACGACAAAGAAAACAACAAGAAACGATAACGATGGTATCAAGTTGTGATTGTTTACCGTGGTCAAAGAGTTCTCCCAAGGGTCCTGAGGTTCCAGTTCTTCGTGCCTGCTTGCCGTCAATGGCATCGAGGGACTGGTACACAAACAGACCAATACCGAAGCTAGAAAAGGGTTTTCCAGATCCCAGCAGTGGGAAGAAAAAATGTTAAAAGGGAAAAGAGAAAATATATTCTTGGAATCACTCCAAAAAACCAGCGTGCAGAAAAACGACTGAAAACGACCATCCTGGATCCTCTTTTCCCGCTGTGTTGCTCTTGTTTGTTTTGTTTTGTTTTGTTTATGCGCTCTCCACAGACTGGCCATGTAAGGAAATCAATTGATCCATGGTTGTTGGTTGTGTCCGTTTTATGTGTCTGCGTTCGTTTATATTACCTGTAGTAGGCCCAGGAAGGGCACACGCCGGTCATGTCGGGAGCGAAATAGAACATGGTCAACAAGTTGGCGACAACGCACAAGAAACCGAGACCGGTGATCGTGTTGGGTCTACATGAGAACAAGTCAAAAAAAGGTTGAATCATAATGAGTAACGAGTCCCTTGATCCACATGCAACAAAAACGCGATCAGAATTGAACTGAAGGTGAAAACCGCAAGTGAAGAAATAACAGTGTTGCGTCGGTATTGATTAACAGGATAAGTGGTTTCTTACGCCATGGTGATGGGGAAAAAGGTGACGAGCTTGGTCCAGTATGGTCCGAGGACATATCGCGAGAGGAGGGACTCGTCGATGCCCGAGTACTTGTATTTGCTCAGGTTCTGGCGGTATTCTGTTGGGATGTAGCGATTGAAACTCATCTTTGCGGGTTTCTGTGTCGAGGAAGGGTGAAGGAAGGGATGTTGTCGTTGTGTGTAAAGCTGAAGTAGAAAAGAGGAAGAAAGAAGAAGAAAAGAATAGAAAAAATGAGAGAACAAAGGAAAAAGAGAAAAAGACGAGAGGGCAGAGGCTCCCACAATGCCCAATGACACACTACCCACATGTCCAAACGCACGTCACATTCGCAGACTTTTTTTTTTTTTGTCAAAGTTTGGACACACACACACCAGAATAACGATGATGCGAGGATGCGTCGATAACGGATAGGTTTGGAGTGGTCATTGTTGTTCAATAGCCTATGTTACTATTGTACATTTGCGAATCAATGTGCGAGAGGTGCCTTGTGGTTGTGGCGACGCGAGGACTAGTCCGAGGAAGCAATCGAGATTACCATCTCACCATCGACTCCCGCATCAAACATAATATGGTCCCCAACATGCGATCCTTACGCGTACGGGTCGCGGTCATTCTGCCCCTCCTTCTTGTCGTGGTAGTACTATCGCTATGCTCGTCCGTCCTTCTCCTTTGATCCCGGTATAAAGGCTGCTGCTGTCGCCGTGGGTGTTGCTGTTGGTCTGTTCACAATGGTCTCAGTCTCAATAATGAGAGTGGTGACACGATGAATAACCGTCCAGTACCGAACGATGGAATTCTCGCCGCCAGCCACCCTTTCCTTCCCGCCAACGGAGACGTCTCCTTGCTGCTGCTGCTGGTGATGGGAGTGGTCGTGGGATTGAACGTGTCCCGTGTTGGTCTGGCCGGGGAATGCCTCTGGGGTCGGCATTGCTGGTCCAGCCTTGTACTCGTGTCCGTGGTGCACTGCTGCTGCTGCCTTTGAGACTGTCCGATCGTCGTTTATTCTTTTCCCTCCTCGATCCGATCCGGCCCCGAAGGAGGAGGAAGTAGGTGCCGCAAGGGTGGCAATAGGCTCGGGTGTCGTCGATCCAGACCCGCCAGACTTGTGCAACGAACCTGGAGTGGAGGCGTCATGGCGATGGTGGTGGTATTGGTGGTCGCGGACAGGCAAGATATGAACTTGTTGGTAGTGAGGGTCCAGTTCATCATCGGCAGGAGCAGTCAGTGGAATAGACCTTCTTTCACTAGAAGCAACCTGTTCAATATGGCTACTGTCGTCGTCGGAGAACGTCATGGTTGTGGTGTGCGACTCTGTTGCATCATCGTTCAAATCGACGGAATGACTCCTCTCGCGAGGACTAAAGATAAAGTCGTAATGCGGATTGAGCCCTGCCGCTGCATTGGCTGCGTTGCGATCCATGGGGGCCAATCCGCGGAGGTGTGAATCGGCAGTGATATGGAGATCAGTATAGATGCTGGCGCCGTCGTTTCCTTCGTGAGAGTCGTGGTGGTTGTACTTGCTGGATTCGTGCGAGGATGGGTGGGGCATGTGTTCTGGGATCGGATCTGCAGGCTCTTGGATAATATTGTCTCCTTGATCGTGGCTGTGGCCAGGATGGGCATGATGTTGTTGGTAGTGCCGATGGTTACCTTCAGGGTACTGTGCATTGGCAGTAGGTTGTGGGGGGTGTGCGTGTGAACAAGTGAACTGGATCCGAGGGAACCCTTCGCCGATGGAAGTAACAGCGAGGTAGATGTCCGATCGATGGTGGACACATCCTATGGGGCAAGGCTCCTTGGCGTATTCCTTTTTTCCGGCGAGGATTTCGCTGTCGATGGGGAAGAGTGCTCCAGCCAGGGTTGGGTCATGATGGTGGTTGTGGTCCAGCTGGTGTTGACCTGGTTGGTGTTGTTGCTGAGGAAGGTGTTGATGTCGGTTGTGGGAGAGGAGGTGGTGTGGATGCTTGGCGTAGGTGTTGGCGGCAAGTGCGATCAAAGCGAGAGCGATAGCCAGCGAGCACAACGATGTGAATGTACGAGATAGACGCGGCATAGTGGCGATGAGGATGGGATGAGAGTGAAGAAGAGAGTGGAGGTGGAGGTGTGTTAAGAGTGAGAATAAAAAAGAAAAAAAATTGCTCAAGGGAAAAGTGAAACCATCGATTGTGGGGGACAACAGCAGCGCATGGACCCTGCTCAAGTGTCAATGGTCAAGAGGCCATCTTGAACAACCGTCAGGTTAACAAACACGCACTAATATTTACTTTCATCGCATGGCACATTTACACCATGGATATGCACGAATGTTCTCTCGCTCCTCTTTACCTTACCTCGCTCCGCTCTCTTCTTCCTATCCTTCCGCATCGCTCGGTGTTTGCTCACCTCTCCCCTCTTGTCCTCGCCAGCCAATCATTAGACTTTTCCTTTCCTCTCACACCTTTCCTTCTTTGCTTCCTCCTCCTCCCTTTTCTCCGAACTGCTCAATCTTCGGTCTTTTTACTCCTTCCCTCCCTATGCCTCGGCTCACCCTCTCCTCTTCTACTCCTTTCTTTCATTCCTCATCCATCATCTCTCTCCTTACCACCCGACATCCCACTCTCCCTCGCTCTCTCTTCACCACTATCACCATTCGCCACCCTCCGCCAGTTCTCATTCAACTTCGCTCATTCACAAAAATGACTTTTGACGACATCGACGACGGACAAGTCAAGATCCACTCCAGAGAAAACCCTCAACAACATCAACAAAAGACTCAAGCTGAACTCGAGAAAGAAATATGGCAAGAAGCCCATCGCCAAGCCTGTGAGGTAACCCTTCCTTTTCCCCCCTCCTCCTCTTCAGCTGCCCTTCCTCAAAACACACAAACATATCTCTCGCCCTGGATCATAGCTCCAATCATCTCCCCACATTTACTCACACACTCAACATTCGCACGATTTCATTTTTCATTCAAAAAAAAAGGGAAACCAAAAGAAATACATAGATCCAAAGACAGGCTACTCAGTCATGACAGAGCTCCTCCACAAACGACGAGGATACTGTTGCGGAAACGCATGTCGCCATTGCCCCTACAACAACGAAAACGTAGGTGTCTCTCCCGAGGTCAAGCGGGCCAACATTGCCCGTGGTAAACAACACCGCAAAGAGATCGAGGCCATTGAAGGAAAACCCGTGTGGGCCGATGACAACGATCAAGACTACAGCGATTAATAGTAAATTGATACCCCCCAAGGAAGAATAAAACACAACACCATAGACCTCCATCATAAGGAGCGGAAGGAAAACGATGACAAGAGACTTGAAAGGCCCTGAGAGTGTTTCTTGAATGGCATTGACTTTTATTCATTTTCAGTCTTCTTTATATTGCCCGGTTTGAATAAATGCGCTGTAAGTGCTGTAAGAGGGGGGATAATGGGAGTTTGTTGAAGAAAAAAAAACGGAAAAAAATAAAAGTGTTCGCCTGGTCAAAAAGACGAAATTGACCGCCGTCCTGATCCATTGTCCAAAAAGCCAGTCTGGTTTTCCTTCCGATCGATGCCTATTCAGAACCGATCAATGCAGTGAAGACGCTGCTGAGGCAGAAGATGCCGTGGCACGAGTAATCGTCTTGGCAATGACAAGGTAAGCAAACACCAAAAAGAATGCCAGCCACTTGTGCCAGTGACTCATCGAGAACAAACTCGGCCGCCTAGCTGCCGCTGCTCCTGCTGCTCCTATTCCGTTGGCCCCATGTGCTCCTGCTCCTGCTAATACTGCCTGACCTCCTGCTCCCGTTGCTCCTCTCTGACCATCGACCATCCTGCGCTGAATAGCTCCACTCGGCAAGGCAGGTGCCGTTGTGGTTACTGGTGGTGCCTCCACAACAGGGGCATTGGGGAATGCAATATGAAGAGGAACCTGCTGCAACGCCACCAACTCTGGGAAGATTTCTATAAGGTGGACACACAAATTGGGTACCGTAAGTATACAGCTTCTCTATCGTCCGGTATAAAAAAGATATCCAATGATCTCATCATGTTTACACAAGTTACCTTTGAATTGGGGGTTGGAGATGTTGAATGCGTGAGAGCGAAGAGCCAACAAGGCCCTTTCGTATCGGGAGGTGTTGATGCTTCCTGTTGTCGATTCGTCCTGCGACTGCAATGATCCGGTAATAAAGGATAAACAGGAAAAAAAAGACATTACGTCGTTAGTAAGAGGAATAAAAATATATCACTCGATTCAACTGCAATCAATCAAATGCGAGGGGTTCTTTGTGTATCTCGACAGCTACAAAAACTGAACCAAAAACTGGTTATTACCATAAAGCTCAAAAGTCCGTTGAGGATGGTCGACACACTCCAGCTTGGGTTCCAGGTTCCTGGATGGAAATCCGACATGCTCAGGCAGAGTCGAGTGTTGACCTGGAAACGTCCGTTAGGTGTAATCATCCTGATCGATGGAGGTTTGAAGGGATAATCCGCCGGGAAGACAAGTTTCCCTACATGAATAAAATGAACAGGGAGAGAGAGTGAGAGAGAGAGGGATAGATATGCAATAGATGAGTTAGTAATGTAAAAAGCGGGTGCGATTGAGAGGTGTAACAGAAATAGGAATCTCTTATTCATTGCTTTGCTTCTCCTCCCCCTCCGTCAGTCTGACTCCTTGAACTAGAGATAACAGCATTGAACAGCTCAAAAACGTGCTCAGGGGGGGTTGTATGCGTATATGCGTCTGTGTGTCTGTGTGTCTGTGTTTGTGATAGGTGTACAAAGATAGAGAAAGACGACAACAACAAAGGGGCCTTGGGCTCAGGTCAAGTTGAGAAAAGATGCTTTACCGTGGTATTCGCCTCCAAAGTAAGGGGTCTCAGGTGGGCCTTTAAGAACATAGTGCCTATCTCACCCGCAGAAAAAGGTGATGGAAGTAAAAAAGCAAAGTCGACTGTCAGTGTATTGTTCATTTCAAAGTTGAAGCTCTTTCCATCAAGAACGTATATGTATAAAAGCCCATGCGCTCCATGGAACAAAATAGAAACGTTGTTCTATGTGTGCGTTGTTTGCCCCTCTTCCCTGCTTTCCTTCCCAAAAATAGAGCCATAGCAACCTCTCTCTATATGACAAATGATAAAAGGTCATCTTTGTCATGTGTCCACTGTTAATTACCATTCCAAGATGTTGGTTTCAAGTGGCCGGGCAAAGAGGTAGGCTGGGGGGCTCTTCTGGATGTTGATGTACTCCTTGGTCAATCGCTTGTATGCTCCTTTGGTGGCCATTACTGAGAGGGGTGGAAGGTGTGGGTGAGAGAAAGTGGGGGAGGAAGAGAAAACTGTTGGAGAGCTTGCTGTCGACGACTAGATGGAACTAAAGAGGACTGTGCTGCTGCTTAGTGTGTGCTGAGAAGTGTGTCCGGCGATGCAGGGTCTTTTTGTTCTATTGTGTTCGACTGTGTCTGTGTCGATGGGTTGTCGTCGTTTGCAAGAGTGAGTGAGTTGAGGCTGTGGAGTGTCTTCGTCTTTGTCGATGATACTGGCTGACTTTATTGTCGGTCAGTCGGTTCAAGTCAGTGAGGTTGTCGGCGAGTGGAGGAAAGGGAGAGAACACACTCAACCTCACAGCTCTGCTCCTTTTCTCTTTGTTGCTCTCGTCGTCTTGGCTCAGTTGTCCAGCCCTCCATCTCGTGGTCACGTTGTTCATCTCCCGATCAGGAAGTTAAGGGGTGTGGAAGACATTTTACGTCCTCACTGCCACTGTCTAGGTGGTATCTATCTTGAACTACGCGTGCTCGACAAGCAGGGTCGCAGGACTAGACGTTGCTTGTGTCATCATCCGACTCCCACCCAATGCTGTCTTCTTATTACTCTTCAGCAAACCACCATCGCCGCCTCTCACAGACTGCGACAAAAAGTCCTCGTTGTCCGTATCGCTCCCGTCCTCAAACTCGTCTACAGAACCACTCCGTTGCTCTTCCCTCTCCCGTCCATACAACTGGCTTTCCATCTCCAATCCCCCCCTCTGCTGCCGGTGCTGCTGTCTCGTCTCTCTATCACCACTTGTAGTATCCTCATCCTCGTCTTCATAATCCGTGAAACTCGAGTCTGACTGCCCTGGACGAAGCCCCCGTGGCAAGAGATCGATATCATCATCATCGTTCACAAAGTTACGGCCGCCCAAATGTCCAACCCCACTACTACCACCTCCACTACCACCTCCATCTCCACCGCCACGGACACTCGCATACTGCCCTCGACCGTCCCACTTGTGTCGTGTCAAGTAACCAGCAATCAGACCACCGACTCCAATGATACCAACAAACGCGTACAATGTCCGACGGACGGTGGAGGCAACTTGTTCCTCCGAATCTGCCTCAAATCCTAAGCTCTCTGCGTGTGCCGGGTTCAAGCCTTCATGATGATCTGTCGTGGGAAGGTTCTCTTTGCCCTTGTTGCCTATCTTATTGGGTACAGTCGGGTCCTGGTCCACGATCACCTTGCTCTCAGAGGCCGATTTGTCCGCGGGTGGCTTTGAATGCTGAGATGCTGGTCCTTCCTCCTCTGGCACATCGTTGGACTTAGGGTTATGACTCTCATCGCCGGACTGTGTTTGACTCAGGAGCTTGTCTCCCTCATCCCCTGTAGAAGTAGGCGTCAATGGCTTGGCTTTGATATTAGCCACCTCACGCTTGGTCTCTCCCCAGAACTGAATCCTCCAGTCCACAAACTTCCCGCCGAACTCCGGGTTGTTTTGATCGCGCACCGTCAACTTCCATTCGCCCACTGGGTTCTCGTCCCTAAATAACCCATCAAAAAGATATAAAAAAAAAACCAATGTGAGCAAGTGTGGTAGGAGAATTTTAAAACAGACATGTTGGCTCAACTCAACAGAAGGCATTTTACCAGTGCTTGACGGTCATAAAAGTCCAGTTGGGGAACCCGGTCGTCGCAGCATCATACCGCCGCCTGACACCAAGTCTCGACTCGATACCATTCGGACTCGTCAAAACAACCTCCACATCTCCACGCCGTTCATGCTCAATATTCACCGTCACCGTGATATGCTCCAACGTCCCCAATCGAACCCCCTCCGCCAAAAGATCCTCCTGCGACACTTTCAACACAGAAATCACACCCTTGGCATTTTGTGGGATCTTGCGACCGACAGGGATTGCAGCCGGGTGGAAGGATGTCTGGGGTCCTAGGGATTGGAACGTCTTTGCGGCTTCGACGAGTGCGTAGGCGTCTAAGCTTCCGTAGCCAAACTTATGGTTGAACATTCGGCCGGCTGCGGTCTTTGTCCAGTCAGGGTCGTCGACTGACACGGGGATGGCGGTTGTCATGACGAGGTATTGGACGTCTCTCCAGCTGAGATCTGGACGCACTGAGAGGACAAGGGCGATCATTCCCGCTGCAATGGGAGCTGCCGCGCTAGTACCGCCGTGTTGATCAAAGCACCTGCGCTCTCCTACATCGCATGTATACTATTTCGACAACAAGAAAAACGATACGAGTTAAAGGTTAGCTCTATACCTCGGAGCTGAAGAGGATAGGGTATGGACCAAGAAAGAAAAAGATACTTACGATGGCACTACCGCCTCCGTTGCTATAGGTGACAGCCAGCTGTGCAGAGCAAGCCTCTGAGTAATAAGGATGTCTCCCCGCCCGGTCGATGGCTCCAATACTGACAGTATACAAACTGTTCGTATACCCATCAAAGTTACAATCATCGTCCTGACTCCCACCATTCCCCGTCGCAAAGACAAAGATACTCCCCAGTCCTGACCGCCCATTCTTGATCCCATTCTTCATCGCGTCCAGTACCACTCCCTTGGGCGCATCCATACTCTGGCCATCGTCGGGTGGACCCCAGCTACAGGAATAGATGTGGTTATCCTGGAACCGATAGTTGAGCGCGGCGGCTTCATCGACATCTGTGATTTGGCCAGAGAGGATCCTTAGCCCGGCTACTTTTGCGCCGTAGGCTACGCCCAGTCCGCAGAGATCGTTCTTGGCGGCTGCGATTTCCCCTGCGCAGCGAGTTCCGTGTTGGTCGTCTACGAGTCTTGGCATCGGGAGTGCGGTCCGATCATTAAAGTCCCATGATCCCTCCTTGAACTGTTGTTCACATAGAAGTTACAGTTGAGTTTTTCGTCATGCTAGATGAAACTGCGACTTTTCAAGCAAAAAGTGGACAAGTTACTTACAAAGTTGGGTGCAAGATCCTCGCTCGTCAAGTCCAGACCGTCGTCAATGATAGCCACATTCACTCCCGTGCCATTAATGCCTATGCAATTGTCAGATGGATTGAAGTGTCAGTATGCCTTTCTCTCGAGGTACAAACTCGCTGTTCTGTATTGAATTTGTATCAGTACGAGCGCCATAGAAAAATGAAGTCGTCCAGTATTCCGGCAGATCTTCGTCAGTTACCTTGCTCCCAAACTCCAGTAACATTGATATCGTGTCTATCCTTGGTATTATGCTTTTCATTGCACACGCACGCAACAATAAAAAAAAGATAGAAAGGTATCAACATCTCCACCCTTCGCCGTCCAAGCTCAAACAGTAACCACCTCAAGTAAAAACAAAAAGCAGACAACTTACCAGGTGCCATTGGAATCGAAAACCAGGATCGCCAATATCAAACTTTTGCGCAAACCCGTCCTCGGGCTGTTCTTCTCCTGCAGGCTGGTACTCGGCCTTGGGGTCACCCTCTGGATCCAACTCTCCCTCTCCCTCTTCCCCTTCTTCCTGGGTCTCCTCAGATCCTTCACTTCCTTCATCCTGTTCCGTGCTCTCTTCTCCTACTTGCCCCTCACCCCCTTCATCATCCGACGCTGACTCTCCCTGTCCCTGCTCTTCTTCAGCAACCTCCTCCTCCTCAGCAGCACTCTCGACCTCCTCCTCTTCCTGTTCCTGTTCCTGTTCACTACCACTGGGTCGTCCAGGTCTATTATTTCCACCACCCCGACGAACTGGACTTTTCGCCTCTCCCCCTCTCTGTACCCTCCCTTTCGGCGATGAGTGTTGTAAGCTGGGATCAGAATCAGGAAGCGGAGCCCTCTTCTTATTGCGCCGTCGAAGCTTTTGTCGTTCAATGGTTCCCATGGTTTGGACAATATCTGCCTGCAGATCGTTGCGCTTTGCCTTCCGGAGTGATACCATTTCTGTTCCTGCTCCTCCTGCCTCTTCCTGACGTTTGGTGTATTCTAGCTTCAGGGCATGGAACCGCTCGACGATTGGGTCTGTTTCTGCAACCTGTACGGCTTCAAGCTCTGGTTCTGGCCTTGAATCTATACTTGGCGTGAACTGCAAGGCATGACCGCCAAACTCTGGTGGGATAACTGACCTCTTCGTCAACCCACCACCACCACCACCTCTTCCTCCTTCTGCCCGCTTCTGCTTCTGTGGCGCACTGTTGGACGACTGTCCATCAACAAACCGCTTCGGAGCGCTGTAAAGAAAATAATCCGGCAACTGCCCTACCGCAGCCTCAAACCGCAGTCCCAACAAGTCGCCGATCCCCCGCTGCTGGTCCTCGTGTAGCGTCCACGCATAGTCGTCTGGTTCTGCTCCAGTTCCTAGCCTGTGGTGGTGGCGATGATGGTGTTGTTGTTGTTGGTGGTGAGGCGATTGTGCACGGATAAGATAATAGTCTCGGGCATCATGGTCATAGTCTGGAATAAAATCTGTCCGACCGCCGTAGGCGTAGGCATGAGAGTGGGTGTTGGTGAAGAAGGCTAGGAGGACTGCAGTCAGGCCGATGATACAGGATGTCTTGATGAGACGTGTTGTTGACGTGGTGGTGGTGGTGGTTCGTGCGCTCATTTTTTTTTTTAGCGGACCTTTTTTTTTTTTTGGGAGGTTATGTCAGTGTGCTGTGTTTTTGAGCTCGGATGTGTAGAGAACTGGTGCTGGTCGAAGAAGGTAGTTGAGCAAGGAAAGTGAAGAGAAGAAAAGATGGAGAGGAAGGAGAGAGAAAGAAAGAGCGGAAGGAGAGAGAAAGAGTGGAAGAGAGAGAAAAAGTAGTGGACGTCGAAATAATGGAGCGAGAAGAAAATTAAGGAATTGAAGAATGGAATGCGAGATAGAAACGTGTTCGCTCAGTCGAGCCTGGCCTGTCCTTTGTTCTTTGTTGAGTCGAATCGCAAAAAACAAACAAAAAAGAAAAAAAAAGACACCTCCTCCCTGGGTCCTTGTAAGGGCTAGGAGAAGGGAGATACCACGAAGTAATTGAAAGGCGAAAAGGGTGCAAGAGGAAGGAACGATCAAACCTCAAACAAGGGCCAACATGTCAGGTCTAAAAAAAGTGTAAAAGGGGGGGGCAAGAATAGTGAGATGAGGAGGTGAGGAAAAGGGTTGCTGGATTGGTAGAGAGCAAGAACGAGGAGGATGAGAGTAAAAGTGAGAGTGAGAGTGCGACGAGGAAGAAGAAGAGGAATAAGAAAAGTAAAGAAGGCAGATGGGTCCATTGCTCTTCGCTTCTCGACAGAATCAAATCCGACATAACCACCCCAAAACATACCCTTGACAAACACTGCCTTCTGCCCATTCCAATACACTCTTGAACCAGGGGTCTGCATGCATGCCTCCCCTTCCTATCCCTTTTCTTCCCTTGTATTCAATGTAAAAGGGGGGTGCAAATTGCAAGAATAGTATCAAATTAACAAAATGCAAAGAGTGAATTTTCTTTTTCTTGAATAATCTCTATGGGGATATCAGATGCTCCTTAGCGAGCATCCTTCGATTTCACAAGCGTGCTAAACTCGTCCCAGCTGTCACCCTTGACCTTGGACCCAGCTCCACCAGGATGGTCCTTAAAGTCATCCTCGTCGTCATCATCATCGTCCTCCTCCTCCTCCTCCTCTGCCTCCTCAAAACTGCTCTCACGTCCAATTTCCTCTCCGCTCGATAATGGACTAGTCACCTCGCGCTGGATAGCCTTGACCTCCTTTATCTCTCCCTCATTGTCAGAGTCACCGAGGTTGCTTCTGTCAAACACAATCCGACGTCCATCAGGGTCCTGCCTCTCGTCCTCGTCAGAATCCTCATCCGAGTCGCCCAGCTCATGAGTTGGAAGCTCGTCAAACTCATAGTCTCCACGGCGACCAAGCAATCCGCCACGCTGTCCGGACTCTTCGTCCTCGTTGATGCCAGATCCAAACACGCTCCTAGGGTTGGTCCTCTGACGGTACATCAAGAAGAGCGCTGCTCCAATGGCAACAAACATTCCGGCAAACATGACAAAAATGAATGGGCTGATCTTGATAGTTGTTTGTCCTTCGCCAGCGTTCGCGTTACCGGCATCCTCCGTCTTGGTGGGGAGAGCTGCTGACGTTGTAGGCGATGCCGGTGGTGGTGGTGGTGGTGGTGCAGGTTTGGCTGGAGGGGTGGCTGCACGACCGTTTACGACCTCACCATACAATCCCAGCTTCCAATTCAAAAAGGTGCCGGTGTTAGTGGCATTAACGCGATCGTAGACTGTCAGCGTCCAAGGTCCAATGGGGTCCTCCTCCCTATTGTGATAAGTGTCGCGCAATATAGAAAAAAATGAGTCACTCAACCCTATAGCCTACATACAACGTAATTGCAACCACAATTGGCATGACAACGACAACAACGTACCAGTGCTTGACGGTGGTGAAGGTCCAGTCCTCGAATCCAGTAGTAGTGTTATCGTGGGGTCGCTGAGGTGCCAGGATGGAGATGATGCTATCAGGGCTTCGGAGCTCGACTTCAACTTCGCCACGGTAATGATGAGCAATGTTGACAGTGACGGTGACATGCTCGAGGCTTCCAAACTTGACAGCCTCCAAGGCTTCCTTTGTCACCACAAATACTGAGGGCAAGCCGATGTTACCCGTCACTCCAGTGTTGTCGTCCGTGCCTGAAGGGATGTCGCCGTTCACATGGATGACGGGGGACTCGTAGGCGACCTGAGGACCGACAGAGGCCCAGGTCTTGGCATATTCCACAATAGCATAGGCGTCCAGACTTCCGTATCCATACTTGTGGTTGAACAACCGTCCCGTTGAAGTTTCCTGCCAGTCTGGATCGTTTTCATCCACTACAACGGCAGTGTGCACTGTCAGATATTGGATATCACGCCAATTCAAAAGAGGGCTATGACAAGGTAATAAAGTAGGCAGCTAGCGTCAGTGCATTGTATTCGTGGACACATCCCTGAGTAGATATACATCTCCAACACCGTTGATTGCTGTTGATTGTATCATACTTGACTTCCAGGACAAGGGCATAAATACCGGCAGCAATAGGCGCAGCAGCAGATGTTCCGCTGTGTCTCTCAAAGCAGTTTCTCTTGCCGCGGTCGCAAGTGTACTATTCGGCAAAACATAAAGTATTAGCTCAATGAACAGACTTTGGATATTGCTTTGAAAACGTTTTGCCGTAAAAAAAATCAAACAACACTTACGATGTAGCTGGCGTCACCAGAGCTATAAGTCACGGCCAATTGTGCAGAGCAAGACTCAGAGTAATCAGGGTGATGGTTCTCCCGAGATATGGCGCCGATGGAGATGGTGTAGCGACTGTTGGTATATCCGTCAAAGTTGCAATTGTCGCCATCCCGTCCTCCGTTGCCAGTGGCAAAGACGTAGATGCTACCCAGACCGCCTCGTCCCTGGGTCACACCGTTGACAAAGGCCTCCATGAGGAGTCCAGTGGGTCCTGCCATTTCGATACCGTTGTCGGTGGGGCCCCAACTGCAGGAGTAGATCTGAGTCTCCTGGTAATTATAGTTGAGTGCCTCTGCCTCCTGGACATCGGTAATAGGTCCTGAGAGGATGCGGACGCCTGCCACCTTTGCATCCCATGCGATTCCGACTCCACAGAGGTCGTTTCTGGCAGATGCGATTTCTCCGGCACAGCGTGTTCCATGGTTATCATCCCAGAGTCGAGGAAGTGGAATATCGACATTGTCGTTGAAATCATGTGATCCCTTTGCGTACTACAGAGAGGAGATAACAGATATGTGTTACAAAGTGTGTCAGTTCATATTGTCTCCTTGTCTGAGAATAATGAATGCATTGATCAGTTTGAACAACCCAACCATCAGTTATTCTGCTTATCTCTCTCTCTCTCCACAAGTCTCACTTACAAAGTTCACGGCCAAGTCTTCGCTCTCTGCATCGAGACCATCGTCAATGATAGACACAATAGCTCCTTTCCCTGTGATGTTTTGCTGCCAGACTCCTGTCACATTGATATCGTTGCCAGGCTGAAGCGTATTGTGCTAATACAAGATAACAATAACAAACGGATACCAGTTAGCCTCTGGATGAAACCAATTGCAATTGTTTGTAATCAAGCTGTCCCTTGCGGCCCAGACCCGTAGACCGGTTCAACTTGAACGGCATCGGTCGCACAACATTCAACAAAGTCGGAGAATAACACAAACACAAGTGAAAAGAGACAACTGAGCCCTTCTCCATATCCTGTCCCTGAAAGCACCCTGCGATGTAGCCACTCACCAAGTGCCACTGATATTGGAAGCCCGGATCCTTGATTCCAAAGCGTTCCGCCGTGCCATCCTGAGGTTGCGTCTCTCCCTTGACGTGCTCGTCTCGACGGTCAACATTAATAACCAACTCACGCTTGACCCGTCGCCTCAGGACCTGCTTGTCGATAGGTCCCAATGGATGCAGGCTCATCACGCCCGGTAAGTTATGTTGCTCTCCTCCTGCTCCTGCTTCTCCACGTTTGCTCAACTGGCTGGCATAAGTCCTCTGCAACAACTCCCTGAGAAACGTCTTGGACCCCTTGAGTTGCTGGTATCTCTGAAGCACAATATCATGGCTAGTGGAGTTGAACTGTTGTTCCCCGTAGACCTCTCCGACATCAGCTCGCTTCTCATGGGTCGTCTTTTCATAGCTGAAGAGATGGTATTGTTTAAGCTCGCCGACCTGACCGACATACTCGACTCCAAGATGGCGGGCAATCTCCTGGGGCGAGGTGACGTCCAGGTTGTTGATCTTGACGGTGTAGTAGTGATGGTTGGTTGCGTCGTAGGGTAGTGGGGGCTTGGCTGCCTGTGTTTGTGGAGGGGCGGTGGCGATGAAGGCCAAGGCGCCCAACAAGAGGAGGACGGGCTTCATCACTGTAGAGGAAGGGGGGAAAAGGGGGGTAAGGGTGTCCTGCTCTGTTCTGTCGGAGGTTTTTTTGTAGATGTCAGAAGGAGAATGGAGAGCAGGGAGTGGAGAGGGGAGAGGGGAGAGGGGTGGAGGAAGGAAGGAGCGAAGAGAAAAAGGAAAGGAAAGTAAAAGTGGGTAAAAGAGATGATGTCTGATGGAGAAAGTAGAACAAAGGAAAGGGCAGTACAGACAAAAAAAAAAAAAAAAAAGTAAAAAATACAGGAGAGCTGCAACGACGGATAAAAGGGGGGGGGGTACAAATTGCATCGCCGCACTTATATTTTTAGTGTTTGTGTGCCATGGAACCAACAGACGTGGCATTATTGACCCGACTCCGGCAAGAGGGAGGAGCTCCACGTTGAAATAGTCAAGGTCTAGGATCGACACATAAGATACATCCTCGTTGGTTGTATTGAACACACAACGTCAACATTGGAAAGTGATAAGCAACATTAGATATTAATACTATTAAAGGTGAGTGAAAAAGGTATTCAACAAGACTACGGAGCTAATAAAACAGAAAGCTACCACCGGTGGCTCCTGACCTTTGCAACAAGCACCAGCCAGGCAAGGAGACGATACACAATCACAACAGTGACAAACAGACCCATGTACAGGTTCCAGTCCTGGTCCTGGAAGTTGAACAACCTGAGCACATCCTCGCCCGTCTGGTAAGGACACGCTCCTGTCTGAATTTGTTCAGGCGAGCAATCAAACACCTTGTGCTCAAACTCATTGCGCGTCAGAAGCAACGATCCGTACTTGAACAGCGAGATATGGTTAATGTATGCCAACCACTTGGGGATGTTGAGAGACATGAATCCCGTCATGAACGAGAACACGCTGATCTGTTTCGTTGAAAGGAGATGATAATAATAAGAACATAGGTGCGGTTAGTGAGTCTCCATCATGCATTGCTTGGCCATTGAATAACCCCATAGTGATAAACAAGAACAAGAACGAAAGAAAGTACAACTAGAACAGCAAGAAGAGAAGACTTACAACGGCACTCATGATGGTGATGTTGAAGCCGGCATGGGTAGCAAAGGTCGAAAAGGCCATGCCGACACTCTCGCCCGTGTTGATATAACCAAACATGATGACCCAGAACGAAAAGAACGTCAACACTGTCGTCCTCATCTGCGTGATCACAAGCATGAACACTGTCACTCCCAACGACCCAAAGATCTCAAGAGGGAGTTCGTTAACCAGGAACGAAAAGAAGAACGATGTTGGACTGTATCCTCCGTCAGAGATCTCACGGTATGCAATGTCTCGCTAAAATATGAGCATGCAGTGAAAAGGAGAAAGGTGTGTTAGCAAACACTGACAACTACCTCCGCTCATTGTCTAGAAACGCATGAAGGAAAAGGGTGCAGTACTTACCTCAAAAGGGTACATGGCGACGTTGTTGAGCATGCCTGAAAAGACGATGGGAGTCGTTTGTTGCAACAAACCAAAGCGACTGATGACATCGCTGGGCTGGTTGCCCAATGGTGTAAAGAAGATGGTCATGATGATGGCGACAATAACAGGTTGGAAGACCCTGTTGAAGTACAGGCCCTTCTGGCGGAACGTGTTGACAAACGAACGACGCGTCAGGATCGGGAAAGCCTTGCCAAAGTGAGCATACTGAGGGTTGATTTTGGGCAGCTGGCCGAGCGAGTGAGAGAGAAGCTGTGATGCCAGCATCTCCTTCTTGTTGGCGTTGAATCGATTCACAAGATCATCTACGACCTTTCTAGTGTCCTCTTCCAGTTGAGTGGACCGAAGATTGACAGAGGCAGTGTCCAAAATGAAATCTACCGACATGAAAAGAGACAGAGCGCGTTAGTAAGCCATACTTTCCAGTGACACGTCCATGTGCGATTCGTTAATCACCATATCCTGAATAGTACCTGGAACGTTGGTGAAGGCAGGGGCGACGTGTCCGGCTTCCTCAAAATAGTCAACGACCCTATCGGCGCGTCCAGAGTAAGCAGCACATCCTCCTGTCACAAGCAGGACAACGTTGTCGAAGACATGCCAAATGTCGGCGCGGGGCTGATGGATAGTGCAGATAACCGTTCTGCCACTGGCTGCGATCTGCTTGAGGGTCAAAACCACTGCTTTGGCTGTCGAATTAGGAGTATGAGAAGAAACATTAAAACATGTTAATGTCAAGCATAACCAGCAGTCATCTACCACCTACATTTCGCTATATTAACACACATAGTCCTTACCTGTCAATGCATCCAAACCACTTGTAGGCTCATCCAAGAACAGGCACGAGGGTTCGGTGACAAGTTGAATACCGATCGAGACGCGACGGCGCTGACCGCCTGAGCATCCCTTGACAGCGGCACTTCCGATGATCACATCAGCGCACTCTCGGAGTCCAAGGAGATCGATAATGTCCTCAACCTTGGCGTACTTGTCCGCTCTTGGAATGGACTCGTCCATTTGCAGCTCGGCGGCATACTGCAGAGTCTCTCGAACAGTCAAATGGGAGAGCAAGAAGTTGTCGTCCTGGCGAACGTACGAAGTCACCGCGTTGATAGTTCGCAAAGAGGGGTTTTTGGTGTCATTGTAGTAAATGGCTCCCGTCATCTTGAGGTTGTCAGGCGTCCGATGCAACAATGCATTCAACAAACTCGTCTATTTCACAAATTAGTATTTTGCGTTGGTCATTAACAATCGTTCGTCTGTTGAGGCGCCTTGAAACTTGAAGAACTTGTGAAGGAAGGTAGCTTTACCTTTCCGGCACCACTTCCACCCAGAATGGCGGTCAATTCTCCAGCTGGGAAAACGACATCAACCTCTCTCAAGAGCTTCTTTTCCCTCGTCTCCTTCTTCAATGCACTCAAGAAACCTCGGAAGCTCCACTCCGACGTTGACAAGAAGACAGAGAGGCTCAAGGCTTCAACACGTATGGTAACAGGATCGCGTCGGTCCAGTCCCTTCGAAAAGACATCCAAGCGAGTCTCTCCCAGCTTGGCCGTCTCCAAATCCACACTTGTATCGGACGAAGCGCTCGAATCAGACTGGCGAACAGTAACTTTCTTCTTGCGCGAGAACATCTTGACAGCCTGGTTGATGAAGATGTCCATGAGCGTGGGACCAGATCCCATCGAGGTTGGGTTGACAATTTGGACCGTCAGAGCGAACCAAGCAATAAAGAGAAAGGCGATGAAATAGTAGATCAGCTGGACAATAGGGCCAGGATAGTGGTTAGTCTTGAGGTCCAATTGGTTGAGAAGGACGTTGTTGCCATCATATGGGCCGCACATGAGCAGATCTCTGGCGCCAGTAGGTGTAACATATGGACAGGTGAAAAGGCGGTCAGTGAGCTCGTTACTGGCCAGGATGGAGTAGCACAAGTTGGGATAAGCCAGGTACTTGATCCAGCGCAACCAGACAGGAATAGAACTGGTCACGATGAAGAACCCAGTAGATAGTCCTAATATACCCATTGGTTCAAATATACGTTGTGTTAATAAACAGATCGCGTCAAAAGAGTACTTCATTGAAACCGGTACTCACCAAAGAAAGCGAAGATAGCGTTGCCGAAGAGTGATGCGGACGAGAAGCCTCGAACGATCGAGGAACAGCACACAGCAAATGCAAACCTATAAAACAAATAACAAAACGCATATTAAGTAAACGTTCTTGATAGGGCTCCTTGACACAAGCAATCATTGGCGGCAGGCATTGAGCTTACGTAACAAACTGCATAGCAACATTGACAAGAGTCCACCATCCAAAATGGCTCAACGAATCCGTTCGCAATCCAGCCATGTAGTACACAATTGCCGAGAATACTATGAACGTGTCAATTGAATACAACGGATTAGTACCATGCAGTAGAATGAAACCTACTTGCAGCCGCTCCACCCTGTCTCTGTCATATTATTAATTAGGCCTATTCGAACTTGAATAGGCCTATTGCAAATGCAAAATCTTACCAACAGGGTACACAATGTTGGGAATAGCCGAGAACAGAACACTACTGACGAGATGGGGCAGTGGTCCATACCAACGGTCCATTCTCTCGCGATCGTAAACGACAATCTCCTGTGACAGTCGATAGATCAAGATCATGAGCATCAAGTACGCCTGGATAGCGCCCACAGAGTAGACCAAACTCGTACGAGAGCGGATGCCCTCGAGCGAATCGTCCAGCTGGTAAAAGATGCAGCCAACGGCCAAACCAATGACGATACACTCTCCAATACAGCCCCAGAGCACAATGCTATCGCGGACTTGGTTGCGCCATCCTCTAGAAGTTAGAACCTGAATCTGACTCAACAGAGATGGACCAGAACCGCCAGGAATAATATCGACAGCCAAAGAAACAAACGACGAAAGGTTGCTTTGAAGGGTAGATGATTCGCCGCCATTGTCAGCCCAACTGGTCAGAGTGGCGAACTTTGGGTTCCTCTTCCTATCAGCCCAGGCTTGAACAAGGAGTTCGCGCCTCACAGCCGTGGCTTTTTCGATAGCCTCGCTGGCAAAGTCGACCATGCTCAGGTCCAAGAGGTAGTCAAAGGGATTGACACCCGAGGGACAGACACCGACGCCAGTTGACTCGATCCAGGGGAGGACGGAGCGAACAGGTCCACTGTAGACAACATCACCTCTCGACAGGAGGACCATCTGACCATCAGACTCGGATAGGAGCTTGAAAATCTCCGAGCGAGGTTGGTGGATTGAGATTATGATGGTCTTTTGAGAGGAGCGAGCGAGCTTTGTCAGGGTCTTCATGACCTCGAAGGACGAAAAGGCGTCCAGTCCTGTGAATGTGGATGTAGAGTCGAAAGTAAGTGGGGGTGCGAGCACGCGCCAGCATGCATCAAAACTGATATGGAATACACACACACGCAAAAAAAAAAAAAAAAAAAAAAAGACGCGACTTGCCTGAAGTGACCTCGTCACAGAGAAGCATTTTGGGGTTTGTCAATAACTGGATACCGGCTGACACACGACGACGCTCTCCTCCACTGATGCCTCGGATACCACCACTGCCACTCTCTCCACCACCTGGATCACCTACCCTGGTGTCAGCACAGTCCTTCAGGCCGAGTTCAAGGAGCACGAGCTCGACTAGTTCTTGCCTCTTGTGTTTAGTCATGGTCCTTGGCAGACGCAGATGTGCGGCATAGGTCAGAGTCTCTCGCACGCTATCAACAAACAAACAAATAAATAAACAAGGAAACGTACAATAGATAAATCAACATGCATGTTAGTTTTCAGAGCAACAAATCGAAAAGGGGTGAGAGGATGAAGAAGCCGTTATTTTTCTTTGCCACCTACGTCAGGAACGGCATCAGAAAGTCGTGTTGCTGGAGGTATCCTACGCTGCCGTCGTTCCAGAACTTTTTGGCCTTTTGCCCATTGCATCTAATGTCGCCGGAAGTTGTCACCTCAGGACCAGTCATACGGCCGGCGATGGTGTTCAGCAGAGTTGTCTTGCCTGAGCCGGAGCCACCCAGGATGATGCATACTGCTCGACATGCAGGGACCGATTCATTTGCCGATCGAGGAGAATAAGTAAAGGAGGAAAGAGGAGGAGGAGGAATATAACTGGTTAGTAAAAGAGCAAGGGAGAGAGAGGAAAGTAGAATCGAGTACAGTACACAACTTTGTTGATCGATCTACACAATTTTTCCTTCATTGTTGTTGAACTCAGGAACAAAGAGAAGGGAATAAGAAAGGAGTGTTCAAGCGGGCAGAGGAGAGAAGGGGTAGATTGGTTCTACATTGAATGCAGGGTTAATACGGAAAAATGATGACGAACCTTGGCCAGGCTTGACCGTGAGATCGACATCCCGGAAAATGTTGATCCCAACATGCCTCAGGTCCCGGTCGGACCTCTGGGCGGAGCCAGGCGTATTGACCACCGTGTGGACTGGCGACTGGCTGTCAATCGGGTTGCCCTCGTCGCCATCATCGAGCGCCGTCAGGTTGGTGTTGACATTTTGAGTTGGCTGTTGTTGCTGTTGATTTTCTGGGTTGGGCGCGAGTTTTAATTTGCGAGCGACGCGGGTGAGGATCGATGGCGGGGGAATGACAGAGAGGGAGAGGTTGCGCAGAGTGACCTCAATACCGTTTTCAGATTGTTGTTGCTTTTCTTGGTGCGGTTGAGTCAGCGAGGGTTGCTTTGTTGAGGCGGAGGTCGAAGCGATTGCAAGGACCTCTCGCTGAGGGGTATCCATTGAGAATTATGTATATGAGTATGGAGAATTAGGCGCAGAGAAGAGGAAGCGGAGAATGTAGCGGTGGGAGGTGGTATTATTGCTATTCGAAAATAACTTTAAAGAGGCCGAATACCACGACTGAGCAGATGAGGGAATGAGAGGTTTGAGGGTTTTAGCGGGAAGAGACGGTCATTGATGAGGAGTGGAGATGATGGACTCGTCGAGGAATGGTGAGAGGGATGGTGGAAGTGTAGAGGAGTGTGAGTCGAGGGAAGGAAGGGGGTGAAGACGGAAGGAAGAAGGCCAAAGGCCAAAAAGAAGGAAAGGGTTAAAGTAAAGAGAGGGAAGGGAAGAGGTGAAGAAAACGAAAAGAGAAAAGGGAAGACAAGAAAAGAAAAGACAATTGAAAGAGAAGAAAGAGAGAGGGCGTCAAGAAGCCTCCTGTCCGCTTGGTGTTGTAAAACAAACAATACAAAGGCAAACCGGTAGGATGGGAACTGAGCGTGAAGGGAAGCGATCGAGGGGGAAGAAAAATTGCGATTCGCCCCACGAACCACCCTTCGTCCCCCCGATCGCGCTTATTCCTTGCAACCAATTGGGGACACACAGAAAAGCTGGCAAGTTGCGAATCGAGAGAAGCAGAACAATAGTCTGTTGTGCGGTGTGCTCGTTCAATTGCTACATACAACAGAATGTGCGCTATGTTGTTCCTTCCTGTCATTCCAATCGACCCACTTCACATCCATGTGAAATGAACCCAACGAATGCATTTCAGCTAGCACGAATTTTTATTCTTTAATTTTTGAGTAGGAGATTTACAAAGGACTGGCCAAGGCGACCAACAGTGGTTCAATCATCCCATTCTCTCCTATCGAACAAACAAAGAAGATAATCAAAACAAGACGGAAAAAAGGTTCGTTTATCTAGTATAATAATAAACATTCGCATGCATCGCTGCAACCTGCTGGGTAGGGTACAAAGGGTGTATGTAGGGTATCCTCCAATACCACCCAACGAATCAAAGCGATGGTACAACAAACGATTGCGATCGATGGGCATCTCCGAAGCGAACAAAGGAGTGCAGTATGAAAGGACAATTAGGAAAGTGGGAGAAAGAGAAAGAGAAAGAGAGAAGGAGAAAATGAGGAGATGCGGGATGTATGGATTATGAGGATGTTCCTGTCAATTGAGCATTTCGCTTCATTTCTATTTGTACCTTAAATCAGAGTCCCCATCTCCCTTCCTCTTTACTACTCCGAACGAGGGTTCTGTCTCCTCCCTTGACCTCTTGTATATTTTCTCTCCATAGGGCAATGTCTTTTTTTTCTGTAGATACCACCTCCTACTCCACTCTTTACTGTGATGATTGATTCATGACAGCCTGCACGCAGATATCTAATCGTGCGTATATGTACATTATCACGACCTTCTTCTTCCACATTCGCTCACTTAACAAAAAAAGAAACATGGCGCCCTTTGGCCTTCTTGCACGCCGCTCCCTTTCCCATCCCATCGATAACCTGTTGTTCACAACAAAAAAAGAAAGAAAATCGATCGAGAGCAACAAAGCCCAAGTAGCCTATTTTCTCTTCTTCCTTTATGCATACTCTTACGCGTCCCCCTTCCCTGATGTGTTACTGACCGATCAATTTTCTACTCTGTTTAGTACCCCCCTGGATCGTGCTGTGCCTGAATTTTAAAAAAAACAGGAAACTCTCGAAAAACACAGTCACATTTGTTCAAGTAACGCTTTGCGAAACAACTGCTGTTGAATCACGCCTACACACGCACAACAGCGACATGTGGAACGATCCTGATCTCGACTCGACAAGTGGACAGACGGCTGCCTCAGGGGTACCACTCAACTACAGAGACAGGAAAGCCAATGCCATAAAGAACGAACTGTCAGCCTTTGGTTACGAGGCACTCCTCTTCCAGGCCGACAGCGTGGCTGAGGCCATCGAGCAAGGCCAATGGCTCATCACCTGGCAAGGGGATGATCCCTCTAGCGAATACGCGCTCTGGCTCGACAGGTAATACAAATTCAATTGTGGAGAAACAGAAAGGGAGAGAGAAGTAAAAAAAAAGAAACCAGGGAATTGTCTTAATCCTCCCACATGCCTGGTACAGGAAACAAACAAGGACATATAGCCTCCTTATGGAGCTCCTCTCCTCTTACTGCACCTGCTTGGTTCCTATCCAACGAACAGTATTGCCGATACTTGTTATAACTCCCAGGAGTCAAGTCTAAAGGGGAAGAAGCGTGTGTCCCAATTGACATCTTCATGTAATCACCTCCGTGCTGCTATGTCCTTTCGGCAACTGCTCAAAACGACCATCGTTCGCTTTACTGACTTCGTACTGATGTATCTTAATTGTCTACGCTGGACCCATACAAAACAGATATGATGTTCGGAACCTACTCGACGATCAGAGACTGTTCACAGGACCGCGAGAAATTTACGATAATTACTTCCTGAACGATTCTGATGAACTCGACGAGGAGCGCTTTGAGGATCTGGATTCTGACGAGGAATTACTGTTCGATATGGACGAGGACGAGCGGAAAGACTACTTGGGTAAGGCGGGACGGCGTAATAATGCTGGCCTACTCTCCTTCTACTGCTTGGCTCATTAATAGCTCGAATAACCATTGTCATGTTTTATTTGATAGTTCGAAAACAGGAGCAGCAAGAAGGATCTAGTTACAGAGGAGTCCACTATGATTATGATGACAGCCAGGAAGACCAAGTTCTCGAGCCAATATTTCACTTGCACTTTGATGTACCCGAAGGGATGGCCGTGGTAAGCTTCGGAGGAGGAAAAAAAATCAAGATCGATGGAAGCATAAATCGAAAGCGCCACTAATTAATTGTACTCATTTGCAACCTAATGCGTGCATACATAGCCGGAGAACGAGAAAACGCTTGCGCTGATCGAGCGGACGGCCAAGTTTGTCAACAGCAGCACAGAGTCAACTATGGAGATTATCCTTCAAGCAAAGCAGGCATCCAACCCTAACTTTGCCTTCATGAGCAAACGGCACCACCTCTTCCAGTTCTACAAGCACGTCCGATGGCTGATGCAGACAGGGCTCTATGAGTATGCCGAGGAGGTTCGGCAACGGGAAGAGGAGGAAGCGAGGGCGGAGCAAGAAGAGTTGGCACGGAAAGCCGCTGCACTTGCCGAGAAGGAGCTGTAAGTATTTAAATTTTCTATCATCTGAAGATTGTTGCTGGCGGCGTCAGATTCATTGTCTGACCATAATTTGTTGTTTCCCATGCCTTTTAACATATGAAGACGACTTCGTTTGGATCTGGTGAAGGTGATTGAAAAGACGATCGAATTTCTAAAGGAACACCAAGACGATCCCGTATACGAAAAGAAGCTGCTATCAATCACCGACATTCGATTCGAGTTCATGAGGCCTGGACATGCATGGCATGACTATTACACGACCATGAAACGCGAGATCTTCGACAGCCACATTATCCAGACCTCACACTCGGAATCCGACGCCAGCCTAATTACAGAGCAGTCGGCGACACTTTCGGAAACTGAGAAACGTTCAGATGAGGACTCGGCTATGGGGATATCGGAGGCGACGACTGTCGACGGCACTAAAGAGATGACGTCCTCTGCTGCTGGTCATGATACGTTACATGCCAGCCTAGTGAGCGAGGCATCATCCATCAGCAGCGGCAGGACGGACGAGATGCGCCGATTAGATCGCCTTCAGAGAATCAAGGAGCTGTTTAGGCAGAAACAGAGGAAAGGTTCGGATGAAGGAGTAGACCAAGTGCTAGTGCAAGCGCTAGTGCCAGCACAGGAGCAAGAAGATCAGGGTGCAGCAGCAACAAGCGACGTTGAAATGACTGAGGCTGCGGATGCTGTGGATGATAGTGTTGCACGTCCCTCGTCGAGATCAAGGTCTAGGTCTAGGTCCCCGCCGGCGAGGTCACAATCGCCCGATACTTTTTCTTCGTCTCTTCGGAAACGTACACGCCTACTGCAGGAAAGAGATGAATGTCAGTAAATGAAATAGGCAAAACCCCTCCCCCAAACGCAAACGCGTCGAAAAATAAATTCCCATGCGATAAAAACAAACAAACAAAACAACAAAAAAAAAAAAAAAAAAAAAAAAAAAGCTTTGGGAAAGCAGTGCAAAATGGCGCCATTGCCCATTGCCAAGAAAAAGCAAGGCACGGCAGAGGAGGAGAGAGCGTGGGACGTGTGAATATGTTTGTATCGACCCTCGCTCTTTTTTTATCTCTCAGCCAGGACTGAAAAGAAGTATCATCTTACCGCTCTTTCAGTTTTTTCTTTGTGGGCATGATTGCCTTTATCGTAAAAATGCGATGCATAACTAAGTTCAAAGCCAGGTCCACTCGACTCATTCTCTGGAGTCTGGAGGGTGTGGGCCTGTCTGAGCGTCTGAGACAAAGGTCGTGTGTGAGTTACGTGGAAATAAGAAATAAGAAACAAGAAACAAGTGCGTGTGCACAAAGTGAAAAGAGTTTACAAAAAAACGGGTGAGAAAAAAAAAAAGAGGTGAAAAATGAGGATTAAAACAAAAACGAGTTATGTGTAGTTTTTCTTTCGCTTCCCTCCCTTTCTTCGCTTACTCCCACCCTTCCTTCCTTCTTATCCTATCCCGCTTACCTTTTGTCCCACCCTGGGAGTTACTATTCTGGTTTTTTCTTTTTCAGCTTTCCCAATCCATGCTCCTTGCCTGTCCGTCTGCCTGCTGTACGCTATACGTTGTGATTCTTTGTGAAAGGAAGAAAAACGACCCCCAAAGAACGTGTTTTTGATAAAAATGCAAACGAAAAAAGTCTGGGCGCGGGATGGATAAGACGAAGAAGGACGAAAGAAGGAGCATCAGGCATGAGGATGAGCATTTTCAGCTTCTGTGGATTGTATTGTTGTACTCTTGCATGGGACAATGCGTAAAAACAACAAACAATAACTACAAGGAAGAAAGGACATGGGTCTGCGACTTTTTTCTCAGTGCGGAGAATGATTATCTTGAACGACTGTTCCCTGACCCTGTAGTTGTAGCTGCAGTGTTGTCGCGGGTACGATTTTTTAGTTCCCTTCTTACTAACCTCAGGATGAGTATCTGTGGGCGCGACCCCAGCCGAGACGAGTCGGAACCCCTGCTCCCTCCGCCCCTTCTTCGCAATAGTTTTAGAACGGGCCACATCTCCTCCTTGCTTTTCTATCGCTTCATTTGGCGCGCGCGGACTTAAAGAAGATTGAAAATAGATGTTGAGAAACGTTAGTCAGGGCCTAACAAGAGCAAAGGAAAGCAAAAGTGTGGTTAATCGATAATTGGGACGGGTGCATACCCAAGCAGGACTGGGCTTGGACCAGGCACATCTATATTTTTTTCTCTTTCATGCACTCCTGGCTGAGTGGCGAAAACAGAAGGGGGCGCGGAGGAGCAGGGAGGGAGACACCAAGTAGGAGCCCGGTCCATGTCCCTGGGTCTAATGGGAGGTGGTCGTGTTCGTTCTTATTCTTATTCGACGAATAGTACAGAACAATTGGTTCCTTCCTTCATTGCTCAACAAACATCTTTTTCTTTATTGTTGTTGCTTGCTGGTCCATGGTTGGAGTTCGGGTGTATCTATATGCCCATGAATGGATGGATGGGTCATCAACACACACACAACTCCGACCCATTTCATGCTTTTTCAACCATGTCCCCAGTCGGCCGGCCAGCCAGCTAGCCAACAAACCAGAAAGCTAACAAACCAAGTAGCCAAACATAGTAAAATGAGATTTCTTCCCATTTCTTAGGCAATGTATCTTTTTTTCCAGTGTCTGATGCTGTGCGCAATATTGGGCGCCCTCCACCATCACCCATTGTCCGCCCGTCCGCCCCAATTCACCCTGAAGGAAAAATGGGAGGAAGAAAACCGTTGCCGTTGTTGGTTTTTTTTATTGTTGTTGTTTGTCGTTACTATTGCGGTTATTTTCCATTATTTTTTTCTCCTTGTCAATCAAACAAAACCGTTGCACAAAGGACCTCAGCTTCCTATCGGCCCTTCCTCTATCCTCGCTTGTTTGTCGCACCATTTTTTGGTTGTTGTTTTTCATTTCTGTTTCCTTTCTCTTTTTTTTTTTTAGCGATATGAGTTAGTATGGGTCTGGACAAGAACTCGTATATCCCCAAGGAGTTGTTATCTTTGCGTATTTTCGCCTCTTCTTTCTGCACCTAGAGTGTGTGCCTCACTTCCCTTCCTTCTGCCTTCCAATGGTAAGGCGATGCGCCAGCAATGTAAACAAACAACCACTAGGCAAACAATCATGAAAAAGGTCAATGGGACGAAGGGATGGTTTATTTTCGCTTCTCAATTCAAAATAAAAAAAATAATGCAGGGATGGAGAAGGGAGAAGGATGCAAGCAAAGCTGCAATGAATGGGGTGAACACACGCACCGTATCTCGCTTTTGTCCCTCTCCCCTCCTCTCTTCCTTTCTTCCTCACTTCCCGCGGCACAAACTACAAATGCCGAGGACAATTGGGAAGAAAGAAGCCCAAAGAAACGACGAATATCATTCACTCATTCATTCATTCATTGATTGTTCTGCTATGTCTCTGTCTACTTCATTTCAATCATATCTGCCATCTCTTTTTTCTTTTCCAAGTGCTCACCTTGTCCATGGTTCAGGACTATTACCTTTATTCCTCCTTCTTTCTCTCTTTCTTTTCTTCTTTCTTTCTTTATCCCTCTTCGCCTTCTCCTTCCCTCACTTCTTCTTTTTGTCCTTTCCCCCGCACTTCGCTTATATCCTTCAATTGCTCAACACGCACACACCATCCCTTGCCATACCATACTATCCATCCACCAGAACATTCTCCCCTCGCTCTCCCACTTCTTCCGTCCCAAGCTTAAAATACACCCCATACACCCCTCCATATTCCAACCATGGTAACGGCAACTCCAACCGCACCGAACTCCTTTAACAACAACAAGGCCCGAACAACCGCCACCCAGCTGGCCAAGTTGCGCTCACAACCCATCATCGTCGACCTCGATGCTATCCCCCCACCCACTTCCCCTTTACCCATCCCCAACGCTCCTTTATCTCCCATTATTCCGGTTGCCCGCACAGCTCCTCGCAAGTTATCCCAAGACAAAATATTCGCATCTCCCGCGCCCGCGCCTTGCTCGGGCTCGGGCTCGCTGCGGCCGCCACCAAGACCACGTTCTATCGTCTCTCACATGTCCCTCAGCAACCCTCCCTTAGAGAGCCTCCCGCCTGTGCCTGTCCTCCTCCACTCCAATGACAGCTATCTATCAAGCACTCCCACTAGTCCTACCAGTCCGACGGGTCCTTCGTTCTTTTCGGCGATATCCCCTCGTCTTGAAGGTATCCAGTGCTGCTCTCTCCCCTCTAGTGTGCTTCGGTCCGCAAGCATGGGTCGCGTATCTGAAACCGTCAAGTACAGGCCCGGCAGAAAGACCCGCACTGCCTCCAACATAGCCACCACCGGAGACAACATCCCCATTCAGAGCGAGAGGCAACGCGCGCGTATCGCTTCTGAAATGGCCGAGTCATTGGCAGTACCAGTACCCTGTGATAGCAGCTTGATGGTCAGCCTAGAGGAGCCAGTGAACAGAGTCGTTTCACCCATACCCATCGCTCGGGAAGAGAGCAAGGAGGCAGATGCCACCACAGTTAGTTTCACGGCACTTCCAGAACGTCCTATGTGCTGGACGGCGACCAGGTATTATGGTATCGAGTCGAGCATGCGTTGGCGCGAGGGAGTCGACCCGATCCAGAAGCGGTTCTCGTCCTCGAACGGTTCGTGGCGGTGTCAAGACCGGTTTGCGGTGTTTTTCCGTCCTGGAGATGACATTGGACCAGACCAGGTTGTGAAGAAGACCTTTTGGAGCGAAGCCTGGCCATATCCCATCGAGACCATCCTGTACGGTACCACAGCAACGACATCCACCCCATCCTCCACAACAACAGCTTCCACCACAGCCATCGCCGCCAGTAGCAGCAAGAACGGTGGGCTGAATCGGTATTCTTCAACGAGGGGCATGGAGACGAGTGAAGGAGAGCGGACAGGTGGTTATCGGTCAGACCATGAGGGTGACCGGCAGATCTCGCGTGGAAGGACGGGTTCTCGCCAGTACTCGGCCGGCGAGAATGTGCTGAAGACGGCGGCGTCGTTCCCTTCGAGTGGCCGCAGCCGCGATCCGCGGTATATTACGTCGGAGGGCGTCTCGAAGATTGCCAAGGTGACGATTCCGATGCCGGATGTGGCGATTGACCAGATGGAGTTGGTCAAGGCGCCGGTCAAGGTTGAGCTGTGTATCTATATTCTCGAATCCCCTCTCCGCGTGAACGCGACCGCGACGCTCCTGGGCAGGACTGTTGAAGGCACGACGGAGCTCTACGTTTAGTTTTTTTGTCAAAATAAATATAGGCAAAGACACGAGTAAGTAAGAGTGTATCATACAAGCTGTACTTAAAGTGCACTAAGTCAAAGAGAGAGGAGAGAAGGGACATCGTTAGTGTGCATTGCCCAGCAGCAAAAAAACACCATGAGATGAGCGGAGATGGGGTGTTTCCCACGGTGCTCTCTGAAAACGAGGGGCGGTCTTGGCGTCTCTCTGTCTCGTGTCTCCCTTTCTTTTCTGTTGTTCATTTTCTTCTTTCGTTTCTATTTCTTCGACTTTTTTCTCCTCTACTCCACCCTTCAAACCCCCATACCATGGACCCCCACGCAGGAACAGGACGCGTAGTCCTCCCAACAAACGTCCGACCAACCCACTACGATCTTACCCTCACCCCGGACCTGACCACTTTCAACTTTTACGGACATGTCCTCATCAACCTCGACATCAACAAACCCACCACCGCCATCACCCTCAACTCCAACGAGCTCGACCTCATCTCTGCAAAACTCACCAACCTCGCCCTCAAAACCGAATCCAGGTAAAAACTTTACTTTCATATTCTGTTTTGCTCTCTGGCACTCCTGTTTGTTATTTCATGGGTCGACGGCTGACTCGCCATTTACGTCTGCGCGTCGTTTGTTATTGTTGCGCCGATATATAGCCAGAATGCGACGGACATTACGCTTGACAAGGACAACGAGACGGCGACGTTGGTGTTTGCGGACGAGCTCCAGCCTGGATCGACCGCAGTGTTGCACATCGTCTTCAAGGGTGTTCTGAACGAGAGCATGAACGGATTCTACCGAAGCTCGTTCAAGGACGATGCTGGCAAGACCCACTACATTGCCACTACCCAGTTCGAAGCCACAGATGCTCGCAAGGCATTCCCTTGCTGGGACGAGGTACCTTGAGCGAGAGATAGGGCTCTTTCGGGGTTGAGTGTGGTTTTTTTTTTGTATCTATGCCGACATCTGTTGGGGATAATGGACTAATATGGACCTGTTTTCTCTTTGTTTTTGCTCATGTTTAGCCTGCTATCAAGGCTACGTTTGATGTGACCCTGCGCGTGCCTACAGACCTTGTTGCCCTTTCGAACATGAACGTCATCTCGGAGAAGGATGTTAGACACAGTGGAAATGTTAAAGGCGACTCGACCCAGAAAGGAGACGTTCCTTCAGCTCAAAAGGGCGACGCCCCTTCCGCACAGAAAGGGGATGTGCCTTCCGCACAGAAAGGAGATGTGCCGTCCGCACAGAAAGGAGATGTTCCTTCGACACAAAAAGGAGATGTTCCTTCGACACAGAAGGGTGACGTGCCTTCCACACAGAAAGGAGACGTGCCCTCAACCCAGAAGGGAGACGTGCCCTCAACCCAGAAAGGAGACGTGCCTTCAACACAAAAGGGAGACGTTCCCTCTGCACAGAAGGGCGACGTTCCTTCAACCCAGAAGGGCGACGTTCCTTCAACCCAGAAGGGCGACGTTCCTTCAACCCAGAAGGGCGACGTTCCTTCAACCCAGAAGGGCGACACTGTCGACAGCTCATTGAGACCACTCAAGGAAGTCAAGTTTGCTACCACGCCAGTGATGAGCACCTACGTAAGTCCCTTGGTTCCAGATTGACCACCGACGTCGATGCACTGACCCACTTTTTTTTCAAGCAAACGTCAACTGACCCTTGACTTTTTCTTTGGCATGATAGCTGGTGGCGTTTATTGTCGGTAAGTTTGAGTACATCGAGACCGTGACCAAGAACTTGCCCAAGCCCATTACCTGCCGTGTTTATGTTCTGCCAGGGAAAACCGAGGAGGCCGAGTTTGCCCTGTCAGTGACCCCTCTTGCACTCGAGTACTTTACCGAGCTGTTTGGTGTGGCCTATCCTCTGCCCAAGATGGATCTTATCACCATCCCTGACTTTGAATCAGGCGCCATGGAGAACTGGGGTCTTGTCACCTATCGCTCCATCCGCCTCCTGTTCAACGAAAAGACCAGCGATCTCAGCTACAAGCGCCACATTGCCGTAAGTTAAAAACACCCTAAAAAAATGAGTGGCTATCTAAGGATGCAAGAAAATGATATCTAACCGGTTATTCGTCTTGTTGACAATATGCCATACATATAGTACACTATTTGCCACGAGATTGCTCATCAGTGGTTTGGAAACCTGGTCACGATGGATTGGTGGGATTACCTCTGGCTGAACGAAGGGTTCGCCACCTGGGTCGGCAACTTGGCTGTGTCAAAGTTCTTCCCCGAGTGGGACAACTGGTCCTACTTTATTGCCGATGGATTCCAGATGGGTTTGGCTTTGGACGGACTCAGGAGCAGCCACCCCATTGAGGTCCCCTGCAAGCACCCACATGAGATCCACCAGATCTTTGACGCCATCAGCTACTACAAGGGAGCCTCTTGCATCCGTATGCTGAGCTCGTATCTTGGTCTGGATGTGTTCCTGGAGGGCATTCGCATCTACATCAAGAAGCACGCCTACAAGAACACCAGCACTGAGGACCTCTGGGCAGCTTTGAGTGAGGCTTCGGGTGTCAATGTTGGCCAGTTCATGAATGCATGGATCAAGCAAGTCGGCGTAAGTTGGAGACCTTCGCAATAGTACTAACAGGATCACTATCGAACGTCTTTCACCTTGATTTTATGAGCTTAAATCAATAGGCTGACTTGTATTCAATTGTCTTTCTCATTAGTACCCTGTTGTTGATGTCGAGGAGGATGCTGATGCCAGCACGTTGACCTTCAAGCAGTCCAGATACCTGTCGTCGGGAGATCTTTCGGCGGATGAGAACACCTCGCGCTGGACCATTCCCCTGGGAATCGAGCCCGCCCCAACTGACAGCAAGACTAAATCGGCCATGTTGACAGACGAGTCGGTCACTTTTAAGCTGGAGAAAGGTGGACACTACAAGGTCAACTCCAAGTACAATGGATTCTTCCGCACCGCCTACCCTGCTGCTGCTTTGACCCGCATCAGCCAGTCCATCAAGGCCAAGGACCCTCTCTTCACTTCGGATGACCGTGTTGGTCTTTTGGCTGATTTGGGTGCATTGAGTAAGAGTGGCCATATCAAGACAAGCTCTCTTTTGGAACTGTTGGAGTCGTTTGAGGATGAGGATCAGTATGTCGTCTGGGTGGCTATTGCCGAGCGCGTCAACGTCCTGTCGTCGGTCTTTTACCAACAACCCGAAGATTTCCAGCAGGCGCTTCAAAAGTTCCAACGCAAGCTGTTCTCCAGGGCGGCTGCAAGGTTAGGATGGGAGACACAGGCATCAGATGACTACCGCTCGACTCTTCTTCGCAAGCTTGTGGTCACCAATGCTGGATGTGCTGGAGATGATGCTGTGGTGAAGGAGGCTCAGAAGCGATTTGCATTGTATGTTGGCGGAGACGCCAAGGCTCTTAACCAGAACCTGCAGAGCGCCGCCTTTGAGATTGTGGTTTTGCACGGAGAGGAAGCCGACTTTGAGAAGGTGCTGAAGTGCTGGCGCGAGGCGACTGCTACGGATCAGAAACTGGGAGCCATTGGAGCCTTGGCAACTGTCCGTCACCCTGCCCTTGTCCAGCAGTTGCTTAAGCTTGCGACTTCTGAGGAAGTCAGGCCCCAGGATATCACCTATGTCTTGGCCGGGTAAGAAATAAGATGGAAGTTCTTTGAATGTTGGAATGATGAATGTAAATCGATGTATCGCTAACAATGTGTTTATCTTTCCTTGTAATAGATTGTCGCGTAACACTACGAGTCGCCATGCGCTGTGGGACTTTATCAAGGAGAATTGGGACATGTTGACCAAGAGATATGTGGGCTCGATGGCGTTGCTGGGCAATATTGTGAAGGCAGGAGTGGGTCGATTCGCGAGTGAGGAGATGGCGCAGGATTGCGAAAAGTTCTTTGAGGGCAAGAATGTCAATGATATTTCGCGTCCTATTGCGCAGAGTCTTGAGGTGATCCGGTCGAATGCCAAGTGGGTTGCCCGCGATGCTGAGGATGTGCGTGAATGGTTCTCGTCCAAGGGTTACCTTGCCTAAAGCGGGTGGAGTGCAATGTCTGTCTATATTGGAACAACAAGGTATTCATAAATAAAAACAAATAGCTGTACTAAACATGGGGTACATATGTTTTCTTCTTTATGTTTCTCTGTCTCTTTCTCCCTCTTCCTTCTCTTTCTTCTTCTTCTCCCTTTCGCCACTTCCCTTTCGTCCTTTACTGCCAACATACACTCCATATACGTCCTGACTTGATTTGAGGCTGTCTGTCCGTTTATTCCTCTACCTGCCTGTTTGTCCCTGTCCCGAGATACGCCACCGCATCATATTGGACAAGCCCACCCCGCCCATCCCATCCTATCCCATCCATCCCATCCCCCTTCACGCCTTCACTCCGTGGGTCTGGTGGGGCTGTTTGCTGTTTCTTTGTTGCACAACCATTCAAAACGAGAACCCTTCTCTGCCCTTTTTTTTTTATTTATTTGCCGTTTCTTCCCTTTTTCTCGATTCCATCTTCCTTACACAAAGTCTCCGCCAACAGACAATCACCCTCGTTTTCCTCCCCAGAGCTCATATTTCACACTCCACATTCATTCATTTACACCTGACAAACACCAAATCAACCATGGATGCCCTCGACCACCTCCTGGCCGAGTTCTTCGCGCCAACTACACAGCCCGACCGAAAAAAGACTATCGGTAAGCACAATAAACACAACGCACTCAGACTCATCAGGGTCTACACTCGCACTTGCCCATCTTGAAATGTCAATGCCTTTTTTTTTGGCTCTCCCTTCTTTTCTCCTTTCGATCTCCAGGCTGACCATGAAACCCATAATATTACGCTCTATTCTTACAACCCCACCCTCTCACCCGCAAAAATAACGTGGGTATTTTATTTTGCTCTCTTCATTGACTCGTTAGAGGCCCAGCTGGACTCTCAACGGCTATCCTTGGATGATTGTCGATACATGCTCACAAATGCCCGGTCGGATTACCTCGCCTGGTTTGCTGCATCCCAGTTTCAAAAGAGAATCCAGGAAGACTGGGCTGCCCTCGACCCCGCTCTCCAGCATGCCAATCGATCTTTCTTGCTCCAATTCCTGCAACAGCACTTTGGACCAAGGACTGGCTCCAATCTCTCGTCCGGGCTAGGAGGAGGCATCGGAATGAAATCAGCTTCAGGAGGACAAGGAGGACAAGGAGGAGGAGGAGACATACCAACTTCAGGGGTAGGAGCAACAGCACCCACACACAGCTTCTCGCCCTTTGTCCTCAATAAGGTTGTCCAGCTCGTCACCGATGTTGCCATTCTGGACTGGCCAGATCGGTTTCAGGACCTGTTCTCAGAGATCCACAGACTCATCCAAAGCAAGAACAACAACCATGCCCTCCTCGGATGGACTCTGCTCGAGGCTGTCGTTCAGGAATTCGAGGGCACCTGTCCTTCACGCTCATCTCACCGGACCCATCTGACACTCTCTCAACACAGGCGATATCTCTGGGAACACTTCAAGGAGCAAGTGCCGGATCTCTTAACCCTCATCGTCCAACACCTCGACGCATGCTACAACAAGACATTGGTCGCACCTCTTTCGACAGAGGCACCCGCGCCCTCCCCTGTGGAACATTCTATTTGGGGCACATCTAGTTTTGGGAGACGACCCAGCACCGTTGCTGCTTCACACCTACTGTCGCCACTCGTGCAAATGAATGGCTCTTTCCAAAACTCGCTTTCAGGATCAAGGGCAGTCCCGGGATCCATGAGCAGTGGCTTCATGTCTTCAACCCCTCACGGGGGCCCCACTGACCAAAGTGCATCGCACTCTTACGGAAAATCGCCCACCACCGTGCTGCGCAAGTCGCTGAACCAGTTCCTGGGCGATCCCACCAACAACTCAACTTCGCATCCCCACAGCCAGGACCCCAGCAACCAATGGAGCTCGGCGCAGTCACCTGTTGGATCCAGCCTTTTCTTGAACCATGCACGGCAAAGGATGGGCTCCATCAGTGAGTTGGGACAGATGGCCATGAGGAGGAGCTCCATCAATGCTGCGGCGAGGATGGAGAGCAGACGGGGTTCGATGGAAACCACGTTTGTCAGCGGGAGCAAGATGGACTCTCACACACGCAAGACATGTATGTTGGCGCTCAAGAGTCTTACAATACTGCTATCGTGTCCTGGACTGGATCCTCGTCAACTGTCGTTCTCAGCATCTATCACGATGGTTCTCAAGTTTTCGACCCTACATCAGAACAAGACGGTCGATTTGGGCATCTTGGCGCTGAGTTGTTTGAACGGATTGGTAGCTAGACCAGGATTTCTAGCAGTCAACCAGGAAGCACTTACGATGGCCGTGAGAACCATCGCCGACCTTATCCGATACTTTAACGAGGTCAAGGATGGAATCGACGATATTGATGAGAGGTATGCGAAACAAACTGTGGCGTCTTTTTGATACTTCAAGGGTGATTATTTTGTTCTGACCAAACAACGTGCATCCGTTTCCTTCCATTTCAATAGCTACCTCCAAATGTTTATGCACTTTGTATCCTTGTTTTGCACACTGTCGCACTTGGAACGAGCCGAAACTGTTCTAGGGCTCTCTGTGCCAGATTTCCTCCTGTCATTTGCACGATTCACCTTGGAAAAGGTAACCAGCGCGTACCAGGCTTGACTCGATCAACTATGCCGTACCTTCTTCAAGAATGTTAATGAACCTCCTCCTTCTTTTCCTTTGCTCTGTGAATAGGTCTCTGTTGATTATTTAAAGTCGTGCATGGATATCTGGAAATCACTCTTGGACGCCATTATTCACGCTGCATCGGACATTCCTCGACCTATACCCGCTCAAAACCCTCTGCGTCGGATGCAAGGACCGACACTGTATTTTATGTCCGCATTGGTAGAAAAGTTTTACAAAATGAAAGGAGCGACGCGGTCCGAAGACGCGTTTTCTACATTCGAAGTCGAAGACGAGGAAGACTTGGAAGAGTTAACAGAGCTTGTTGAGAGCTTTGTTGGCCTTGTCGGCGAAGTCTTCACCGAGGAAGTCATCGAGATGCTGGTAAGCTGCGGCTCTTGATATTTGATCGACCTTTTCCATGTTGTTGCCACGATGCTGACATTGATTTATACTTCTTGTTTCTAGGATCCTTTACTCAAATCGCAACTTGGATTGTATGCAGAGCGGGAAATCGACGAATGCAAAACGGTATGCATTCACGCTTGGACCATTACACGTTGACAGTCTTTCAAGCAAGTTTGGTTCGCGCTGCTAACGTTAATCATTTTGTATCTTCTAGCTGCCAGTGACGTTAGGGATCTTATCAAGGGTGGCGTACAACTTTTTGCAGAACTTTGAGCCAAGACGTGAATACACGTCTAATCTTATGATCTATCTGACAAGGATGACCAAGCTATCGATCGAACATTACATTGTTGCCATCGGAGGAGCAGCACGTCCAGGAAAAGACGAAGTGGAACTCACAGGCTCAATGTAAGGACTATATCTCTCTCGATGTCGCGCAAATGACAGCTGAGGACATGAAGCTCTTTTACGTTTTCACTTACAACGTCCCTGCTATTCCAACTTTACTTAGAACGCTGGCGTTGTTCGATTGCCTGTTGCCACTGATACCTTGGCTGGATCTCCTCTGGAAGGCAGAAGTCAGACCCATTGCAGAAGGTGGATCACCACCCAGAGCACTCATTGCAAAGGAAATATACCAGGAGCTGGCGCAAATCTCGGAGCAACTCTTCCAGTCCTTACTCCCCGCGACACCTTCAACCAACCCGAACCAGTCATCTCCAGTGCCCGGCGGCACATTCCTCGGACCTGGCTCCATGTCATTCTCAGTCATGGACCGACGGCTACTTTTGACTTCCGTCAACACTCTATCGACGCTTACGAGACAAGTCAAGGTTCCTGTCGGTGCTATGACACCTGGTGTGCCTTTGTTCTGGCAGCTGAACTCAACGTTAGAAATGGCGTCCTGTCTCAGCCAAAATGCCTTGTCAACCAGCAGCTTCATGGGTGCTGATTTTCCCGCTTCAAAAGGACCCGATACCGATGTGGACGAAAGGCGGCAAGGAATGACACCCAACGACGAACTCTTTTGTGTGGCATTTGTGGCGCTTAGTAACGGCGTCATGCAAGAGCAGAAATCAGGCCAGGAACAGCAGGTACATACCAATATGTATACTTTTGCTGTAGCAATTGCTTGTCTTTCAATCGCCAGCTTCATCGCTAACATCCTTCACAAACACTTTTGGATTATAGATCTTTGACAGCCTGGTTGCCCAAGTCATATATCCTTTACAGACCGCCCTGCAGGAATCGAGATCCGGCCAAAGTAGTGGTCTCACAGCAGGCGAAGGTATTCAAACCAACAATATCTCGCGCTGATCTACCTTGTAATACCAGGAACCAAGGTTGTCCAATCTTATTAACCCGCTCTCTCCGTTATTTGCAACCCCTTAGCTAAACTTCGAGTGCACAGGTCATTAACGATTCTGCGAGCACTAATCAACTCTGTGGATGAAGCTTCGGTGCTATCCAGGACAATTGTCTTTGAAGGACTGAAGCCAGCACTTCCTCTCGTCCAAGAGTTCTTTGAAGTGTACTTTGAGGACCATGGTAAGCCACCGACATATTTCTTTGTATATACAAGACAATGACCTTTGTAGCTCAATTGACTGACCAATTGCAACTTCCATACCACTAGTGCTGTCGATGGATATTCTGCGATACTTCAAAGCGACAATCAAGTGTCTTTATCGCCAGCTGGGGACAAGTCACTGCATGGAGATCACGCGAGTGTTGATGGACCGTTTGACAAGCCCCGCTCTACTGGACGCCGCTTTCCCAGTCTCTACAAACGGAACACCCCAACATCTGCATCAAGGATCGATTGCCCAGCAACAGCGCCAGATTATTGAGCGGATCCGGATGTCGCTCTCGATTCTGGACACTGTGATGGGTCTTCCTGGCAAGGAGATCTCGCGTTTCCTGGCCGAATTTATGCAGTTTTTGTTCTCTCAGCTCGGACCAAGGCTGTTTGGCGATCAGGGACAAGGTTCTATGGCCAACGCCTTGGGTGCGCAGGCACAGCCTGGGCAGCTGAGTCGGGAGAATGGTCAGGAGAATGGTGCGATTGATCTAATGACAGCTTTTCTCTCGACCATCAAGACATTGATGTCACAGCACTCTCGATACTTTTTCAAGGCGCAGAGTCAGAATGGACTTCTTACGGCTTCGATTGAGGATGATAACCTTCGGAATCAGGCATTACAGAGCTGTATGGAATATGTGGCGCGTGGACTCTGCCGGCCGGAACCTGATCTTGTCCGCCACTCGATCGAGATCCTTGTATCTCTGCAGGACCACAACCTCTGTCGACTGTTTGATCGCCTCGAGTTCCAGTCAACGTATCGAAACGAGTTTTTGAAGATTGTTTTTGGCCTGGCGCTGAACCATGAGCAGGATCTCTTGCTGGAGGACCTGGCGAGTCTTGTTCACAAGATGGTCAATAGTGATCGGGATGGCGGTAGCGGCGGCACAGAAAAGTTCTTGGAGGTCTGGCATGGTGATCTCAAGAGGTTTGTCGCTGCTATGGAACCCTCGCAAGTCACGGTTACCTCGTCTCTGTCATCGACAGCTTCTGTCAATGGGAATGGAAGGGGCACTCCTGGGGGTCACTCACCTGCACCTGGAGGACTTGCCAGTAGCAGATCTCCTCGCTCCTTGACTGAGGTACAGTTCTCGGATGCGATGAAGGAGACTTTGTGGATGGATCTGGCGCGCATTGGAGATGCTAGCGAGTATCGGGATGGGTTGTATGACTTTGTGAACGATGCTCGAGTCTATGCACAAAGCCTTGTTCATTAGGCATTTTTCTTCTTGTATTTACCACTCCTTGTCAAATAAACCAGCACCCATCAAAGCATTCACCCTTTGTACGACTGGATATTTTGAAGGTATTTGTTTGAATGACTTCTTCAGCACCACACATTTGCTGTATTACGATCCAACCTCAGCATAAATACCAAGAACGCTGAGAAGAAAAGTATTCTACTGAGACTCTGTATCCAGGCTGGAGAGTGAGGCACGACACCTTTTTTTTTTGTACACAACTTTATGTCTCTGACAAACAATACAGTTGGAAATAAAGGGTTACAGACCAAACTCTTCAGTGCGCCACCCATCAGTTGCAGTCCGGTCCGAGACTTGACTCTGTATAACAATTGTTGCTGCTCCATAGCTTAAACGGAAGAAAATAAAACTAGATACGAATGAAGGGGATTCTTCCCATCCTCTCCATTATTGACAACCTCCTCCTTCCTAACAAACTCTCCAACAACCGCTCGTCAGCAGCGCGTGGGTCCTTGGTCGCTCCAGGGCACCTTCCTTCACAATGTGTGGCTATTTTTTTTTTTTTTTCGTACACAATTTTATTTCTCTAACAAACAGCATAGAGAAGTTATTTGGAAGTAAAAGGGAACTACAGACCAAACTCTTCAGTGCACCATCCACCAGTCGCAGTCCGGTCCAGAACCTGGCTCTGCGCAACAATTGTCGCTGCTCTTCACAGCTTAAACGGAAGAAAATAAAACTAGATACGAATGAAGGGGATTCTTCCCATCCTCTCCATCATTGACAACCTCCTCCTTCCTAACAAACTCTCCAACAACCGCTCGTCAGCAGCGCGTGGGTCCTTGGTCGCCCCAGGGCACCTTCCTTCACAATGTGTGGCTAGCGAAGCGCCACACGGACAGAAACCATCGTGCGTGATGTAACCGTATCCTTGACTCCAGTCACCTCGGGGGCCTGTGTACTTGGATGTCTTGTTCTTGGCAGAGATACCCTGGGTCTGCTCCCACGCGATCGTCGCGGAGCACCGAGGTTTCCAGATCAGCTCCGAGGCCTGCGCCTCCAGGTAGCCAACAAACTTGTGAAGGACTGTCTTGGCGATGGACATTGGGGTCCGGAAAACCGCGGACCATTCAGTCAACATGCTCAAGGGGGTGATGCCGCGGAGGAGATCCGACACATTCCACATCGGTTTCTCGTCTCGATCGAGAGCTGGACTACCGCTGTGCACGGCTCGAGCTCCACCGATGGAGGAAAATCCTCGCACATGATCCGCATCCGAAGGGGGCCACCAGTGTATGGGTACTGGCCTCGGTACCTGACGACCTCTGTCCACCGCGCGTTTGTATTCTCGCTTCCTGGCTGCGTTGTAGCTGTTTGTCGCCTGCACACCCCACTCATTAATCTTGCCCATGGCCTCCTTCCAGATCTCAGTGGTGGTCTCAGCTGCCGAAGGGCATTTCCAGACGTGATCGTTATCCTCATTCTCGAGCTCGCATCGTCGGCACACGCATGTTGGGTACAGGTTGGGCTTGCGAGCCTGCATGGAGTTCAGAGTGGGCAGCATTCCATGCAGCTTTTTGATATGATGTGTGCGTTGGTGAGAGTCCTTGCTGTTGCTGTAAAAGGTGAAGACTGCGTGCCTGTCGTGGACATAAGCCAAGGTCGAGTTCCATTCCACGTCATCGATGTCAGGGATCGCCCTCTTGACCCGCCTCTGTGACGTCCAGGCCTGATGGTGACGGATTGTCGATTGTTGTTTGAGGAGCTGACGTAGATCGATTTCAACAATCCCGCCGTAACAATGTGCAAAGGTCGTGATATCCGTCTGTTGAGTGAGATCCACCATCCAGGGCTGTGGCTAGCGAAGCGCCACACGGGCGTTTTTTGGCCACTTTTTTTTTTTTTTTTTTTTTTTTTTCCAATTTTTTTTGGCCCATGATCCCAGCATGCTCCTTTGGGGCCATAACAATGAGTTTGGGCTAAGAATCAGGTTTCACAAGAAGCTCATTCCTTGGTAGTATAGTGGTGAGTATCTCCGCCTGTCACGCGGAAGACCGGGGTTCAATTCCCCGCCAGGGAGCTTATCTTTTTGCACTTTTTGGTTACCTGGGGCCAGTCCTCTCCTTTTTGCCGCTTTCGAGTTGGCATCGCTGCTGGGTGAATGAGCTGACTAGTTGTGAACAGGGCGGTGGCTACGAAGTCGTAGATTTCTTTTGTTTTATATGCGCGTTGTATGGACGCAAAGCGATTAATCATTAATGGTCCACAACCAAGAAATGATATCTGATTTTTTTGGTTGATGGTCGCTAAAGACATTGTGGTGCACACTCACTCACTCTTCATTTCCACTCTCAGGCGCTATGTCCAGTACTGTACCAATAGCGTTGTCGTAAGTGACACCGAAGAACAAAAGAAGCAAGGCACAAGCCAGGGAGAAAGCACAATAAGCACGAGCAAAAGACAAAAAGAAAAAATGTCAAAACAGGCTCCTCTTCGTTTTTTTTTGGATTTTTTTTTCGACTCTCTTGATTGTCCGGGTAGGATGCAATCAAAAAAAAGGTTACGGTGTTCTAAGCAGCTGTAGAAGTCAGTGTGCCCGCCTTTTGCCTCTACCCGTAAAGTGTAATCCCAGCGCCGACCCCTACTAGGAAAAAAAGATGAAGGTGATGTGCTTTGTCAAACCCGCTTCCCACAGCAAGGCTACATGTTCAATCGATGGGACAAAAAAATGAATGATTTATCTATTTGACAATCAGCCGCACGACATGCAATTACACACATCCATGGAGATATTTTTTTCTAGCATCTATCCACAACAAGGATTATTCGCCACATATCACATATTGCACCTAGTATCCTGGTATATGGCAACCCAGTTGGTAGATGAAGATGAGCGGAAAGGTTGTCAGATAGATAGACCAAAAAAGAAAAAATGCAACCGCACAGTAAGAACCAAAACGGACGGAACTCAAGGGGCCTAGGAGAGGGTTACTATGAAGTGCAAAAAGATAAGCTCCCTGGCGGGGAATTGAACCCCGGTCTTCCGCGTGACAGGCGGAGATACTCACCACTATACTACCAAGGAATGAGCTTCTTGTGAAACCTGATTCTTAGCCCAAACTCATTGTTATGGCCCCAAAGGAGCATGCTGGGATCATGGGCCAAAAAAAATTGGAAAAAAAACAAAAAAAAAAAAAAAAAAAGTGGCCAAAAAACGCCCGTGTGGCGCTTCGCTAGCCACACATTGTGAAGGAAGGTGCCCTGGAGCGACCAAGGACCCACGCGCTGCTGACGAGCGGTTGTTGGAGAGTTTGTTAGGAAGGAGGAGGTTGTCAATGATGGAGATGATGGGAAGAATCCCCTTCATTCGTATCTAGTTTTATTTTCTTCCGTTTAAGCTGTGAAGAGCAGCGACAATTGTTGCACAGAGCCAGGTTCTGGACCGGACTGCGACTGGTGGATGGTGCACTGAAGAGTTTGGTCTGTAGTTCCTTTTTACTTCCAAATAACTTCTCTATGCTGTTTGTCAGGGAAATAAAATTGTGTACGAAAAAAAAAAAAAAAAAAAAAAAAAAAAAAAAAAACGCCTGTTTCTTGGCCCGCTCCGGAACCCAGTGTCCATCGCCAAGACGGCTCTGTACAAGTTTAATGGATACCTGGAAACGCAAAAGCTTCGGAGTTGATCTAGAAACCTCGGTGCACCGCGACGATCTCGTGGAAGCAAACCCAAGGCCATCTCTTCCAAGGACAAGACATCCAAATACACAAGCCCCCCGAGGTGACTAGAGTCAAGAATACGGTTACATCACCTGTGATGGCTTCTGCCACTGTGGCGCTTCGCTAGCCACACATGAGGATGGGATCTGTCCTGGGGCGACCAAGAACCCACGCGCGACTGACGAGCGGCTGTTGGAGAGTTTGTTTGGAAGGAGGAGGTTGACAATAATGGAAAGGATGGGAAGACCTCTTGTCTTCCGTTTAAGCTAAATAGAGCAGCAGCAATTGCTATACAGAGTTAGATCCTGGATCGGACTTCAACTGATGGGTGGCGCACTGAAGAGTTTGGTCTGTAGTCTCCTTTACTTCCAAGTGTCTTCTTTGTGTTATTTGTTGAAGAAATAAAATTGTGCCTGAAAAAAAGCTCTTTTTTTTTCAACGCCCCGACCAGGATACCCTGGGTACCCAGTGTCCAGGGTATTAAATACATTACATGGTCGAACAGTGCTAAGAACCAAGGTTTTTGTGGGGGGAAAAAGAGTGCGAACGGGCTCAAAGACACACGGATGCGTTCCCCTTTTTTTTTGTTCTTTGAGTGTCTTCATTGATGTTGATCCATTACGTTGTTTATTAAGGCTGAAAGTCCTCAGATGGCTTATCTGTAGTGTAGTAACCATTCGACAGTAGATAGCATTGAATAACAAACGGCGGAAGAATCAAGCAGTATGCAATTGAGTGGAAAGAGATATCATGAACGTTTTTAAATCGGAATGTAATATGGTTATATCTAGATCATATAGCGCCACCTCTCATCATTTAGAGAACAGCGGGGAGGACAGCAAAGACCATGGCAGATCCAACCATCAAGACCGCAGAAACCGCTGATCCCCTAGCAGCAGAGTTGTTGACAATGGTAGGTGCACCACTCGACGTGCTTGCACCAGCCGTGGCAGTACCGGTGCTACCGCCAGCAGCAGCAGTGCCAGTGTGAGTTCCAGAAGCAGCGGACGAAGATGCAGCGGCGGCGGGCGAGCCGTTGAGGGAGAAGGTACCGGCACCTTCCTTGTAGGGCTTGGCGTCACCCAGGCAGCGGGCGATAGGCATCATCTTGAGGGCCGTGTCTGCGTACGCGATGGGGAGGATACCGTCGATCGACACGTTCACCTCTGCAGGGAACACTATGAGGATAGAGAACAAAAAATAGAGAAAAATAATGAGAAAGGGTCGGTAGTTAGTAGATTGAAGTGGTTGATTGTTAAACTCCCTTTTTGTTTTCAACAGCAAAGAGTAAAGAGAATACAAAACTTACAATCGTGCTCGAGAACGATGAATCCGTTGGGCATGGTGGGGATCTTGGTCAACCAAGACTGGAAGGTAGCTACGACCGACTGAGGAGTAGCAGTGCCTGCAGGGATGTTCCACTATTGGGGGGGGGGGGGGGGGGGGGCAAGGAGATGGCAAGAAAAAAAATGAAAAGGTGGGCGAATTAGCATTTTGCACAACTCGGAGAGGTGTCATTCACGTCGCAACACAGGCACATTTTCCCCTAAAAATAGTTCATACGTCGTTGGTATCAAAACCATCGGTCCAGATGGAAGTCTTGTATCCCAACTGGGTCGCAATGGCACGGACACGGTTATCGACATCACCATAAGGAGGTCTCCAGTAGATAGGAGTGACACCAATGACGCTAACAATGGCCTTTTCGGTCCACTTCAACTCAGCGACGATCTGCTCGTTCGAGAGCGAGGTCATCGAGGGGTGAGACCAGGTGTGGATGGCAATCTGGTGACCTGCAGTGTAGGCGCGCTTCAAGGTTGCGGGGTAGCTGATGGCGCGGGATCCGACAATGAAGAGGGTTGCTTGGGTGTTGTGGGCCTCGAGGGCGTCGTACAGACGGGGCGAGTCAGGCGATGGACCGTCTATTATTATTATTATAAAAAAAGGAGGGAAATTGATAATTGCGGTTGGTTGTGAGTTAGTCAGTCGGCCATATATGATGCAGTGTCTGGAATCATTTCTTTGTTCCTTTTTCTTCGGAAAAATAAAAAGAATGAACACTTCTCGACGGAAATTATCCAGGAGCAAAGAGAGAAACAGGCAACTCCTCCTTTTTATCCATCTACACCAACACACTTGCACATAACCTACCATCATAAGTCAAACCCCAGGTCTCAGTCTGAGGGCAGAAAGTAACATCATCAGGGGCAGTACACTTCTGGCACGTCCACCAGCACTGGCCCGCAGGGAGCACAGTAGTTGCAGGAGGGCAAACACCATCGTTCGAGAGAGCGTAAACAGGGACCTTGGTCATATCGACCAACTTGAGCCATGCCTGGACCTGGGGGTCTTGGGGGTATGGGATGCAGTCCAAGGTGGGCCAGGCACCTGCGGCGACGGCGGCGTAGGCGGGGCAGCCAGTAGGCTCAGGAGCAGCGGTGCCACGCTTCTCGAGACTGTGGACGCTATGGCCGGCCTGGTGTTTGTGTCCGAGGACGACTGAGAGGGTGGCGGAGAGGGCCACAAGGGTGGAGATGATCTTGACCATTGTTGTGTTCAAAAAGAAGTGGTAGATGTAGTCGTAAAGGAGGAATGTGTTTGAGAGTTATGATTGAGGAATGGGGGAGGATGCGTATTATAAAGGAAAGTAGTAATGGAGGTGGCGGTGTGATATTTTTTTTGCTTTGAAGTGCAGGGAAGGGCCTCTCTTGATATAAGAAAGGAAAGGAGAGTGAGAGAGGGGTGTGTGTGTGCGGAAAAGAAGAGAGAGAAGAAGGATAAAGACAAGACTCCCACAAAGACAAAGCTATTTATGTCAATCAGGGGAGGATAACAAAGACTATGAGGCAGGGGCAAAGAAGAAGACATCACTGCCACTGTACATGTACCTCGGGTGAACACAACCGGACTAATCAGGCAAATGTTGTCCAACCACCCACTTCATCCTCCTTCCATATTCAAAAATAGAGTTTCTTCCTTGCTTATTGTCCGCGTGCAAGGAGGGAGATAGAGAGAGCACTGTTTCTTTTGGCTCTTGTGCGAAACGGAAAAAGCAACGGAAAAAGAAAATAAGAAACAACAACGTATGCAATAAAATAGCCACACAGTGAAGTCAAAAGGAGTGGAGGGCAAAGTATTTTTACACACAGCATGACGCCCAACCTGATGTCTATTTAGACTGCACTACAACCTGTGCACCTAGCCAAGCGACATAAGTAGAGTGTGTCAAGCATCCAATTGCTTGACCCTAATGCGAATATGGAAACAGTAACAAAGTACGGAAGCGTGGACAAAAAAAAAAAGGTTTGGTCCCCCTAGCCACAACTACACCTGCGGTAGAGCAAGACAGAGTGAAGGTACAGGGCAGGGATAAACACAATACAAGGGACCTAATTTGATTTTATGGTGTTGCTCTTCTCATAATCAACAGAAAGTTCATCCGGGGGATGGTGGCAAATAAACAAACGCAAAGGCATACACTCACAAACACAAACAATCAGGGCGAGGTGTTATTAATAATTATTAGAAAGCCACACCTATCCTATCATCTATCGTTTAATTATGAAGATCTACAAGAGGTTCAAAGGTTCAAGATAAAGGTAACAAGAAATGTCATGGCACTGGCCACCACAACCCCATGTCCTCCGCGGGCACCACCGAATCCAGTTGCAGAGTTCTTATCAGGGCTAGTTCCAGACAACAACTTGAATGTGCCGGCACCCTCCTTGTAAGGCTTGCCATCACTGAGGCACTGAGCAATGGGCTGCATCAACAGACCCTTGGTCGCATAGGCCAAAGGCAGCACTCCATTAATCGACACATTCACCTCCGCAGGGAACACTATCGTTTCATTTCATCGACAGAAAAAAAAGGTTGGTCAGTGGAGCGTAGTACTAAGCATACTTCTTTTAGTCATGCTTGGTTCCTGGTCGATATCTTACAATCGTGTTCGAGGACAATGAATCCGTGTGGCATGGAGGGGATTTTAACCAGCCAACCCTTGAAAGTATCCACGACCGACTGGGGTGTAGCAGCTCCTGCAGGAATGTTCCACTATTTCCCCCGTAAATGGTGGCAAAAGGATAAGTGAGTAAACAAACAGAAAGGTTAAACATTGGAGGAAAAGGATTGCAATGTAAACAAAGTGGAGAACAAATGACAAACAAGAGAGGAGGTGCTTACGTCGTTGGTGTCGAAATCTTGTGTCCAGATCGAGGTTTTATACCCAAGTTGAGTGGCAATGTTGCGAACACGAGCATCGACATCGCCTGTTGAGAGCACAAATCGTCAGAAAAAAAAGAGACCATCTCACATAGTTAGTAGTCTATATAATATGTTTTCTCTTCACTACGAACAAAAAAAAAGTCCAACAATAACGTAGCCAAGCTAATACAGTAGAGACAAGTTACCAAAAGGGGGTCGCCAATAGATAGGAGTAACGCCAATGGTATCAAAGATAGCCTTCTCGGTCCACTTCAACTCTGCAACGATCTGCTCGTTCGAGAGCGAGGTCATCGAGGGGTGAGACCAGGTGTGGATGGCAATCTGGTGGCCCTCGTTATAGGCGCGCTTCAGGGTTGCTGGGAAGCTGATGGCGCGAGAGCCAACGATGAAGAGGGTTGCTTTTTGGTTGTGTTCGAGGAGGTTGTCGTACAGTCGAGGTGAATCGGGGGAAGGTCCGTCTGGGTTGATCGGTCGTTAGGTCGGTCGGGATGCGAATGAGTGAGATAAGAGAAAAGGCGTAAAAGTTACGATATGAAAATAAACGAGTATTAACACAAAACACTGCAGAGAGGGGGTGAGCGAATTAAGGGGTACGATAACTTTTCGCTCTAATCCCATGTAAAGCGATCGAGCGAGGGTCAAAACAATCGGGTCGCACCCCATGTCGCTAGCGCAGCCCATGAATACAGCACGACAACCACTCAACTCCTCCGTTCCATCCCTTTCCCCCTTAACCTGATTGTCATTCAAGCCCGCAAGAATAAATGGAGGAAGGTACACATCCGTCGCCATCACTCATCAAACCAAACAAAAAAAAAACCTGTCTCCTTACCGTCAAAGGTCAATCCCCAAGTCCCAGTAGTGGGACAAGACGTAATATCATCAGGCGCATCGCACTTTTGACAGGTCCACCAACACTGATCCTTAGGGATCGATGTCGTATCCGTGGGGCACACGCCCTTTTGAGAGGGAGGGAAGACAGGCGTCTTTGAGAAATCGACCAATTTCAACCACGTCTGGACTTGAGGATCCTGTGTGAAGGGAACACAGTCGATCACTGGGTATGCTCCTGTGGCGATGGGGGCATAGGTTGTGCTGCAACTTGGTACTGTTGCTGGTGCTTGTCGTTTCTGGAGGGCGTGAGAGGCATGGCCGGATGAGGATTCGATGAGGGGGATGTGGGCAGAGACCAATGTCAATGCAGAGGAAAGTGAGACAGCAATAACGGTAGCTGCTGTTGTGATACAATTGATGCGGACCATGGTTGTGATGGGAAGGGACAAGGATGCTATGAGATGGATTTGGGGCGAGATAGTGTTTTGCAATTGAAGAGAGAGAGGAGAGGGGATGGAATGGAATATGTGTTGTTTTTGCTTATTGTTTGAGGGAAAGACGGTGTGAGGTAAGGAAGAAAGAGTCGGTTAACCTGGGTGCCCTTTTATCCTCTCACTTTTCTCCCTCTCCCTCATTGTTTACCGAGCACTCGAAGCCTTACTTCATTGCAGCCACCGCTATCTTTCTGTCACGTAATGCTAGTTACGCTGTCCAGGAACCACGAACAAAAAAAAGGGTCGACGGGTCGTTTATTATTAGACAAGCTAAAACGATCTAAATGGCCATAGCGTCCTTCGTCAATCCCCGTTTTTTAGCGTCAACAGCCTCATCAAGTGCACTCTTATTGTTACTGGCGTGTATGGTTTATTGTTCATTACAAAAATGGTGAAGGGGAGGGCGGATGGACCGAGGGAAGTAAGGTCCCTGACCACTTTTAGCGCCTGCGCCATCTTATTTTTATATGAATACTACAATACTATTTTTTTTAGACGTACCAGTTGCCAGTTGGATATGTGCCTCTCTACTCCACCCATCCGAATTCCTCTTTTAAAAAAAAACGAGGGTGTGCGTTTTATGTGGTCGGCTGGACAATAGATTTGTTCCTCTATCTCGAAATTGGGTTAGGTTCAACTCTTTTTTCTTCTTCTCACAGCCCAAGGTCGTACAGTTGGCGTCTGGCGTAGTCTATGGGCAGCGTACTCTACATATACGTACCTCTCCGCGCGAAATATTTATTGGCAGTAATATCCATCCCATTTCCCAATGATGGCTAACGCCTAGTCTTTTTTTCCCTATTACCAACCCATATCTCGTTCCCAATTGTTAGCAATAAGAGGCGCACGCGTTAAAATGTTTTGAGTACCGTACCAAGGACATGTCTTTTGTTGAATGGGACCCACTTTTTAAACAAAATGAACCACTCATTTTTATTAAGGATTAAGATGTATTAAGATACGACAAAAAGTGTATAATGGCCAAGGAAAGAGAAAGGGCTAAAAAATTGAAAAATAAGCGTATGCTAAAAAGCTTTCAGCAGATACGACTCCTCAAAAAAAAGATATTATTTTCCAGGGCAGGGAGAGGGGGGAGTAACGAGGAGGGGGAGGGGTAACCAAGCGGAAGGCGCGACGATTTAAACAATCATGGCGAGGGCAGCGGCCAAACCGGCGGCGGCGACCATGGCACCGTTGGCGGCCATGGAGTTGGCGGCAGACTTGCCGGGGCTGGGGGTAGTGGTGGTGCTGGGGCTGGTGGTGTTGGCGGCGGGGCCGGTGGGCTTGGGGACGGTAGTGGTAGTGGTGGCAGTGCCGTTAACGTGGGTAGCGGAGGGAATGGTAGAGGTGGTGGTGGCGGTGGAGGTGGAGGTGGTGGTGGTGGTGGTGGCCTCGGGGGCGGCAATGACAACGGCGGCGAAGGCGAGGACGGCGACAGCGGTGAACTTCATGTTGAAAAGAATGTTTGGGGGTTTGGGGGTTGGTTTGGGAGAAGGGTGGGTTTGAGTGTTTTTTTTTGTTTGGAGTGGATGTGGAAGACAACTGTGTTGATGATGAGGAATAAAAATTGAGAAATGTAGGAATCCAGCTCAGGTTTTATAGAAACGAGGAGGGGTAGGGGGTAGTAGTGGGTTTTACCAAGATGGTTGGGCATTAATGGTAGGGTATGAAGGAAAACCCGATACGACAGGATACTATTAGCGAAAGAGTATAGAGAAAAGAAAAGAGACACGAAGAGGATAGCCCAACGGCCACTCAACCACTAGATTGGACCAATCGAACGCAATGTTGAACCATCGACTTCTTTGCTCGCAATTTCCCCAATTGTCTTCTTTTTCTTCGTGTGTATCAAATACAATGCCCTATCCTTCATTCAGCTATTCTTTGTCCTCTATTGTTCTGTACAAATAATACCAACAAAATTGTCGAGAAGAACGCCCACTTACCATTGCACCACAATTGGAATTAAGGTCCAAAAAAAGAGGCTGTTGTCTTTTTCGTTTTGTATTTTATTTCTTGGTGTGATTTCCCTGTGTTCGTCTAACCTGAAAAAAGAATGATGATACGGAGTAATAGAAAAAGCACGATCTTAACAGTACTTTCCCTCTTCTCCCTCGCCCAGTTTGTGCATACCTGCGTGGTTCGAATCCAATTTAAAGTAAAATGATGGAGGCGAGGGGTAGAAGAAAAAGAGGCATTTCGTCGTGCAGACAACAGCCCACTGAACACTAAAAAAAAGTGGTCACAATACATGAGCATGAGCGCCTTTCATCCATCTTTACGTGTAATACGTGATACGATCCTACCTACACCTTCCTCCTGCTCGTCTTGCTTGTCCTCGGTATGCATCCCCGATAATATTATGAGCCTTGGAAGAGTCCAAGAAAATAGTGGACGCGAGAGAAAAAAGAAAAAGAGAAAGAAAACTGGGCTGTAGCAGTGCCAGATGCATTCACTCCCTCACTCCATAAGTCACACCATCGCTCTATCAATTCCACACCACACAGGCACATGTACAAGAAAAAAAAAACAAATCCATGGACATTGCCTGCTCTCAACGGACGCCATCCACAAAAGAAGGGTTATAGATATCTTGGCATTTTTTTTCTTCTCATTCTTTTCATCAATCGATAGGATGTGTGTTTTTTTTCATTTTTCGCTGTTTGCTTACAGAGCCGAATGGACAAAGATGCGCCCTTTTCGTGTACAATATACGTTCATAACCTTTTCTCTATCGCTCTATCCCCCCTATCCTCTCACTCTCTTTCTTCATTCTCTATTGACTCCTTGACTTCTAGAGAGAAATGACCAGCACAAGACGCGTCTTTTCATTGTATTCAAAGAATGATTGGTACAATATTTAGTTGGCTATTTTTTTTTCTTCTTCGTCTCTTAGATTGACATCATCGTGATTTCTCATTACATTGACTCGATCATATCTTCACACATTATTTACACATGTATTTTATTCATTCTATTGGTCTCTGTCAACAATAACAACACACAACAAGTATATAACCAACAGAATGCACGCCGCAACCTGTCTTGACCTTTCATTAGCCCTTGCCTCCTGTCCTTGGTGTTTTGGTAGTGTATCTTTTTTCAAGGGTAACTCACGTGCAGCTTAACGGTCGCGTCGAGGAAACGAAACGAGACGAAAAGAGGAATCGAATGCTAACGGCCGGGCGAGACGAAACATGAGCACGAGCTCAGTTTGAAGTTCAGCCTAAAGATTGTGCTCGCGAGAACGGATAAAAAGAGGCAGGGAGGAGAGAGTGGAAGAGAAAGGAAACGAACGCCTAACGGTCGGGCAGTCGGCCAGTCAGTTTTCATTTCTCACTAGGAGACTTAATCCAGGTATGAGTGTGCGTGATAACTAATAAATAGCAGGATATGGCGGGAAGGAGGAGAAGGAGAAGGAAAAGGGGCAACGAAACGCCAATGGTCGGACGAAATGAAAACTTGAGCTCGAGCTCCAACTCCAATCTGAGTATGTGCGTAGGGGAAGGAGGTTCAACGGTCGCGCAGGGACAGAAAGGAAAACATAACGGTCGGTCACGTTTCATTCATGTCGTTCGAGTTCGGCGTATGATAACGAAAAATGATGAGGAAGGAAAGGAAGAAGGTAGTAGGCACGAAGGCATGTGCTGGCGTGACCTTCCGATAAAAGTGTGGGAACGAAGAATGGGCGTTACGGAATGGAAAGGAATAAAGGCTGTAGCGTCTTTCTCTTTCCGAACGCTATTTCTGAATCAATCGAAAAAACAAGAAATAAATAATGGGCAGATGGACAATAAGATCCACAGCGCCACCTATTTTCTTTTCTCTTTCTTTGTATAGCCCAAATTGTTGTCTCTGTTTTCGTGACTAAGTGATCGGGCTTTTTTTCGTGCTTGATCGACTGAGCTTTGGTGAACCGGCTTCTTTGGCTATAAGCTTTAACTATGACTCTCTACTTGTTCTTCTGCGACCGGTTTATGATGGCGACGACGATGCCAGAAAGAAGGGCACAGAAAACAGTTACCAATTCACCAAGGGACAGACAATAAAATGGACGGCATTTGCTTGACTGCATACAAAACGATATGATAAAAATCAAGTTAGGCTGTTGTGTCTTTTTTTTCTTTCCCTGACCTTTCTGAGAGCAAGTGCTCACTACACACTTTCTCTCATCCCTTAACCAGATCTTCCTCCAATGTTTTTGGTGGCGCAAGTACAGCACATACTTCGAAAGTCCACGTGCCAGGTTGGAAGGGGTGATTTATTATTGGTACCATTTCAATTTCATTCTACCTATGGATCTATCTAGCTAAGCGAAAAGGAAAACAAGGGGGGAGGGAGGAGAGGTATGGAGTGGCGAGGTTGAAGATGGCAAAGGACGACATGGATGATAAAGGAGATAATGAAAGTGAGGTTAGGTAGAGTGGAGTGGAGAGGTGGATGTCATGAGAGAAGAGGGAAAAAAAATGAAATGATAAGAACGGGGGGGGCACTGTGGAAAATGTTATTAGGCAAAGTGAAACGTAGGCAGGCTGTCGTCTGTAAGGGTAGTGATTGGCTGCAAGTCCCTCAAGGGTCATGACCTTGGCGCAGGGTTCATATGGGCATCCGTTGCGTCGGTTCGGATCTCATCCACAAAGCTCCAGTCCTCGTCATCCAAAAAGTCCAGCTGTAGATGGTCCAGACCGGGCATCGATTGCTGCAGCTGCTGTAGCTGCATCTGCTCCTGCTCCATCAACTGGAGTTGAAGCTTCTGCTCTTCCTCTATGCCCTCACGGAACCGACGGCGAAGGCTCAACCGCTGCTCCATCTGAAGGGCCAGTTGCTGCTGTTGCTGCTGCTGCTGCTTCAGAAGGCTGTCTTGAGAGAACTGCTGCTGCTGTTGCTGCTGGAGTTGTTGCAGTTGCAGTTGCTGCTGTTGCTGCTCAAAGGAAGGGGACGTCGATGGACTGCCGTTGGATCGCTGGCCTTGCATCGCGAGCAAACTCATGGTCTGGGGCATGGACGACGGGTGAGCAAAGTTGGCCATGTTCATGTTGTTGAGGTCCATGTCCAGGTTCATGTTCATAACCATGTTGAGGGGGACGGGTATGTTGATGCTGAGGCCGAGATCGGACGAGGTACCACCGACATCACCGTTGAGTGCACTCTCAAAATCCAGGTCATCCTTCATCATCCGTCCCTGAGACTCGCTCACAAACTGGCACATGTCCCGGAAGCACTCTGAACAATCTACCGTAGGGCGACCGCAGCCGCAGCCGCAGATCAAGACACCGTTGTCCCCGAGGAGAGTCGGATGCTGCATCTTGGCCTCCTCCAGACCGGACAGTCCATTGAATTGTCGCTTGACAGTCTGGCGCGCGTCAAAGTCCGACTTGGCCTGGACCAGATTCAAGGCGGCGCTGAGATTGAAGGCCTCGGCTTGCAGGTTGTTGAGGGCCAGACCGTTGTTGTTGTTGTTGCCACTGATGTTACTGTTGTTGTTGTTGTTGTTGTTGTTGTTGTTGGTGGTGGTGGTGGTGGGGTCATTATTGTTGTTATCGCTCAGAGTAGTACCGTTCATTAAAGTGGCGCCGGTCTTGTTGGAGCCGCAGCAGCCAGAGGTCTGGGAAGGACCGGCGGGGGTCGATCGAAAGTCAATGTCGAGGCTGGGGTCCAAGATGTTCTGGTTGTTGGGGTAGGCGAGACAACCAGGGCAAGCGCAGCGCTCACCACAACAGCACATGTTGGGGGAGATGGCGCAACCGCAACCGTCCATCTTGGAGGCCATTTCCTCGTCACCAATGTCGCTTCTGCCAGCAGGAGGCGAATGGGATGGAGTCGATGCCATGGTGGAGGGAGCAGTCTCAGACCGATTCCCTGAGCCACAGCAGCCAGACTTGGGAGCTAAAGCCGACGGAGCAGGGAGCGACGATGGGATCGAGCTGGTGCCCGAAGGGACAGGCGAGGAGTACGATCGAGAGGGAGGCGTCAGCACGGCGGAGGGCGAAGCGGTATCAAAGCTAGACAGGGCCGAGTAGAGCATGCGAATCTCATCGGCGGAAGCACTTTCCATAGGGTTCAAAGCGGTCGTTCCGTTCATAATGCCATCCATAATAGTCTTGGGGTCAGCGTTGGCCAACATGTCCATGTCCTCCAAGTCATCCGAAGCATTGCTCACAGGGTAGCTGGTCATGGTCTCGGGAAAATACGAATACGACGTGGTGGGATAGTGGTCGCTATCGTAGTCGGACGAGCTGGCGTAGTCAAAGCACAAATGGGATTGCATTTGACCGCTCTGGTGGCTACCGAGGGAGGAAGTCGAGGGCGAATTGTCGCAACCCGAGCTGCTGGAGGGAGAGAGCGTCTGGGCAAACAGGGGCGAAGCACTGGAGGCGAAGATACCCGCGTTGGCCTTTCCTTGACTGCCAAAGCTGTCGGGACTCTGGACGACCTGGTTGTTCTGCCCATGGGGGACAAAGGGGAGAGGTGACGAGGTGTCTCGAGGGAACAACAACATGCCAGACTTGCCGAGGTCCAAGGAAGCGGCGCTACGCTGGCGGTTGGCGGGGTAATTCTTAAAGGTAGAACTGTTGGCATGGGCAGAACCCTTGCTTGGCTTGACGACGACATGGCCAGTGCGGTCGCGACAGCAAGTGCAGACTCTACCATCTAGGCAACCGCAGTGGGAGACACCTGGAAAAGTAGAACAGATGTGTTAAGTAACCGAATGCTCGATGATGCACATACCATATCAGACAGGCATTGTCACTGACATCATTATTCAAGAGGGAGGAGAAGGGGAAGAGGGAAAAGGGAAAGGGGATGCAGGCCTGGTTCCACCTCTCGGCCGTGTGTTGCAGATAGGGCAACAAAGGCAAAGGCGTAGGGAGGAGAGACTCAGGTGCGAAGAAAGAGCATTGTTGGGATTGAAAGTCTACCTCCGGTGGACGATTGAGCGTCCGAAGAAGAGTCCTGAGGGCTTTGGCCATGGGTCGCGACGGATCGGAGGAGTTCCTCGCCGCCGATTGCCGGGATAGTGAGACGTCCGTCATGGCTGAGAGACTTTGCTCGTTTCAGGCCATTGGCAACGGCAGCTGCACCTAAGACGTATAAATGGAGGAGAAAAAAATGTGTTATGTAACGAACCCTACTGTGAATGGATGTGTCGCAAATGGATGATGCTAATGTGCGGCGTCAACAAGTCCAAAATGAGTCTTGAGCGGAACATCGATGTTCAGGGGAGGGAATGGGGAAGTAAGGCAAAAGTGATATCGGTGTATAGTTACTGTGGCATTGACTATTTACCTTCCTCGCGACCACAGATGCAGCGGACGCTGACCTGCTTGGCTTTACGCAACTCCTTGCAGTGGGGGCATTGGGTCGAAGGACGGCCTTTCTTCTTGATCTCGTGCAAGGGTCGTTCACTATTACGATACGTGTTTGTAATGAAACGAAGGGAAGAGTAGGTCAAAATGTTTGATTGGGCAGATAAAAGATGTATTGGACGATGGACTCAACCGAGACAATGAGAAAGGGGACGAGTGCAGGAAGGAAGCAACAGGTAAGAAACAAGAAACAAGAAGCAAGAATAATAGGAGAACAATGAAGGGGCGCATAGGTATGGCAAGTAAGCAGGCAACGAAGGGGTGGCTATATAGATGTGTGTAATTACCCGTGGTTGCAGGTGGTCGACCGATGGCCCTTGATACAAGTGGCACTACAAAGAGACGAAAAAGCAAACAGGCAAACGCAAAGAGCGGACAAAGTGGAGCAACACAGACACACAAATAAAGCCAAAAAAAAAGTCAGTTATATTAGTATGAGGGTCAAATATACACATGTACACAGTACGCCCCGAGGCAGAGAGTGCTTGGAATCAAACAACCAAAAAAACCCCGCCCTGATCCTCTTGAAGAGAGAGTACTCTGACCCACTTACCATGCAAACTTTTGTCCATTCAAAAAGACCATGATGGATAAACGGGGTGTTGGCTTCTTGTTTGCTTGGTGACGGTGGTTGTTGGTGGGTTTGGTTGAGCTGGGTTGAACTCTTTTTTTTTTTTTCAATTTTTTTCTTTTAAGATTTCGTTGTGTGATCTGAATCGGAAACGACTTGATTCAAGAACATTCAATAGACGTCCGGGTGTAACTTTTTGCGGGTTATGTCGACAACGAAGAGTGTGGCGGTATTAGGAGTGGTGTTGTGCTGAGAGACTGGGTCGAACGGTTGAGCTGAAGGTGTTTCTTTTTGTCTTTTTTGTTGAACAACAAAAGGGTACGTGAACAAAGGGCGGGGGCGGGGGGGCAAACGGTTATAGATTTGACAGAAGCATATGAAATACTGTTGCAAAGAGGGTAATAAAAGGTGGTGCTGGTGGTGGTGGGAGTAGACGGGTGGGTAGGCGAAAGAAAAGGCGACCGGCTGTTGTTGCGAGAGAGAGTAAAAGAGCTATTGTTGATTGCTGTTGTGGTTGCTGTTGGTTGTTGAAAGTTGTAGGTTGTTGTTGCTGTTGTTGTTGTTGTTGAGTGGGAGACAGTGCCGAGAAGACCGAGCAGAAGGCTCAAGTGGCTAAAACTGAGTGAGAGAAGAAGAAACCCGAGATGCAGACAACAAAACGGGGGGTTGGCCCTGGGACAGGCACCAACGAAGCGAGAGTTGTGTTATAGGAGGAAGAGAGATGAAGAGCTTGGCGTAGTTCTTCGGTGGGGTGTGTGTGATCAGGATGGAGAATGGAAGGCCCAAAAGGAAACTCAAAAACAGGGTGTTGAATAAAGAGAATAGGGTGGGTGAGAGTCTTTTAGGACGGGTGAGAGGGGGCTGGAAGGTATGAAGAGAAAGAGTGGAAGAGAAGAGAAGAAGAAGGGAAGAAGAGAGAGAGAGAGAGAGAGAGAAGAGGAGGAGGGAAGAAAAGAGAGGGAAGAGAAGGGAGAGAATTGACTGTGAACAGACTATTCAATTAGAGAATGGGAGGATGTCACAGGCTGAGCGGAGCAGAGAAACGAAGAAAAAAAAATATAAAAAAATGAGTGTAGTAAGTGTGTGTGTGGCACGCTTATTGACGACAGATAGGAAGACAAGAAAAGCGCCGAAGCAAAAAAGCAGAGAGGTGAAGGAAGAGGGGCAGGCAGGGCAACAAAGGGAGCATGAATAAAGGGTAATCATACAGACGGACATGTTCTCTCCATCACATATTATTTCATTATTAGTTTCTTTGAAGACAACAAAGACATCGAGGAAAAGATGGAATGGATGGCCACAAGGAAGGGGTGACAGGATGTCTATCAAAAGTAGACGGACAAGGAACGGAAGAGATTGTCCACATGATGAGCTTGTGTTGTGATTGACTAGCAAAATAAAGGCCAAACAAAATGGCAACAAGAGAGGGAGAGAGTGGAGGTGGTATGAGTGGGTGAGCACAACACAACAGAAACAACGAGCATCAAAGAATCGACAGCAACAATCGCAACGAACCAACAAACAACAAGAGAGTGTGTGGCACTGACTGGCTGGTTGCCTCGCTATTAGCATTATTTCGCTGCTCTCTGAAAAAAAAGAGCGGACCTTTGTCAATTCAAACAACAACAGACTAACTACATCACTACATGTCATCAACATCCTGCTGCTCACTCGCTCGCTCGCCAAGGCAGGCTGAAAAGGAGAGAAAAGTGTGTGAACAGATGATGGACACACGAAACAACAGTGCATTACAGATTGCCATTGGGACTTGGGAACGTGATGTATGTCTGCACTCGTATATCTTTTTTTTCTTTTCTTTTTCTTGAACGGATTACTCGCATTGGCATGGACGAAACACACAAGAGAAACAAAGGAAGCAAACGGGTGTCCCCTCCTTCTTCCGCCTCTCACAAACAACGAACGAGGAAAAGGAGGAGGAGGTACAATCATGTTTTCCTTGCAGCTCGGTATCTTGCATAGTGGGCGCTGCTCTCTCACCCTTCTTTCTCTCCTGATGTAAGAAAAAAAATGGAGTTCTGTGGGTCGTCGTCGTCCATCGTACATCGTTCCTGGAACCCATAAAAAAAGAGCACTACCACCATCCCGTCGTTTCTTTTGGACGATTCTTTACCGTCCAAACAACACCACCGCCAACAGTAAAGCGGCCATTGTGTAAGAAAGATAGCAATTGGACCACAAGTTTATTATCGGTTCAGGGCCACCCAAACTATACCCTCTTTCCTTCATCTCCCTTATGATGCCATCTATTTTGACCTGTGCTGTACACGAACATTTAGTATGGCTCTTCCTTTCATCCTCTCATCCTCACCCTTCTCCGCCACTTCTATCCGCGCTTCATACGACCTTAAGCAAAAAAAGCCCGCGGGCATATTATCTAAGAGGAGACAATCGAGCAAAAGCAGGAGGACGAAGACGAGCAAAAAGGAGGACGAGCTGTGTGTAAATGCGCGTTGATCGTTTTGGCGTATTTAATTTGGTCGCTATTTTATGCCCTCCACCATTTGCATCTTTTTTTATGTTCTCGTCTGTCCACAAAAAGACACACACACACACACCAAGCGAGTACCTCTTCGTCCTTCCGCCTGTCCATCTATCTGTCCAACCTTCCTTGTCAGCCAGTCATTTTATTTTTGCTCGTCGTGCACTCTCGTGATCCTTTCCACCTTGCATGTTCCATCAAGCATGGAGCGAACACTCTCCCTAAACCCTGTAAGCAAAGTATGCTGATGCCATTTTTCAATTCGGCTCTCATCCCACACAAGTCGCATAACGACCTCTTCACATTCCAAGGAGAAATAAAAGAACAAAGATAAACAATCAAGCACATTGAGCATGGTGACACTCTGAGTTGAGCGAACGAATAAGTTGAGCATGTAATTATGGAACGAACAGAGTCGAAAGAGAATGAGGGGGGGGGGGGGGGGGTGCATGATAGATTGGGGCGCACCGCACCAAAAGCCTGAAAGAGTGTGAGAAAGTAAGAGAGTAGCCAGGCATGACATCGAAAGTCCGAACGAACAAGCAACTGTAATAAAACGTCCGAACGATGAGCGAGGAATGAGGAGAAAGGAAAAAAAACGTCCAAGAGAAAATAATTGTTCCCAGTGAACAAAGGACAGGCAGGCGGCAGCGATTAGTTTTGTTTTCTTTGTTGATCGAGTTTCCGACCCCACGGTTGCCATAGCCGCGCGGAGTGAGAAAAAAACTTCTTCGGTTTTTTTTTGGCGCTCAGCTGAGAAAAACATGTATACTTGGTTTCTTCAGGCGCTAGCATTTCCCTAGGACAAGGGTAAGCGAAAGAAAAAAGTGGGTACATCTGAAGGGAGGGACAGTATCAGCATTGACGACATGAGCAGGACCGTCGATCAAAGGGCAATCAAGGATATTCAACATTTCGTTTGGCCTCTGGCGCGTTGCATTTTTACGCGTTTCGTTTTTCAAGCAATGGAGGTTGGGAGATGGATTCTTCAGGACAGGGGCAAGTGTGCCATGAATCCAAAAAGAACTTTCCAACTCTTTGCATCCTTGGACAGTATTTATACCCTTTTTCATTCCTCTCCTCCCCCCTTGATTTAAATATTCACCATCTTGCGGGGTTATTTTTCGTATTTTCAATCATTGATCAAAATGTCGCATTTTTATCCCTCCGCCTTCACCACAGCATTGACAAAGTTGCATCTGAGCTCAAGAAGAGGCAACCAATGGATAGCAAAGAGCAATAGTTGATAAAACAGCAGATAAACTGAAGGCAGTAATCAGGATCGAGTTTCGAGCGACCTTTTTGAGGGATTATTTTGGAAACCTCCATCGCTTTCATCACCACCCAGGTACACAATCGTACTCTCTCTTCTTTCCTTTCTTCTTTTCCTTTCTTCTTTTCCTTTCTATTGAAATGTGAGCGCCGTAATAAAGAAGAAAAAAACCCCCTCTTCAATTTAGGGCAACACATTACAACCAACAAGCGAAGGAAGTGTAGTTAAAAAACACTAAAGTCGTGTAACCTTCTTGATTGTCAAGTTCTCTCAGCCAACCCCGCCCTGTTTTTTTCACCCAACCAGTAAGAAAAATCGCGCCTCCCTCTCCTCTCCCTTTCTCCTTTCTTTCATATATTCCTTCCTTCCCAGTCTCCCACTTTCAATTCAAGGGTCAGGGAAGAAAGAGGGGACGAAAGGATCAGGGCAAGAGCAGGGATCAGGACAGGACAGGACAAGACAAAGATATCTCAATAAAAACAAGACAAAGGGACATTGGACATTGGATATCAGGCGGGAAAAATCCAATATTTACTCCCCTCCGAACCCACGAAAATAAAAATAAAACATAATAAAAAGGGAGCACACCAAAAAAAAAAAAAAAAAAGAGAGAAGGTCCAACAAGCACCAGCGGGATACTTCCTATCCATACTCTATCACGCTCAAACTGTCCTTGTTTTCTCGTTATTTGTTTTTTCTTTTCTCTTTGTGCCACAACAACAAAAATGCAAAGGGCGCAAACAAAGGGGGTTAATTCGATGAAAAGAAAAAAAGAAAAAAGTGTAAAAGAAATGCCTCATTCGAAGGTTTCTTTTGACTCTTTTATTTTCCTTTGTGCGCTTTTTTTTTTTTTTTTTTCCTCCTTTGTACTTCACTCCCATGTGCCACTGCTGCTGAGTAAAAAAAAAAAAAAGATAAACAGGAACAAGCTCGCTTGCTCGCATAATAGGAGATGTTGTCTGTTCGCAGTATTCACGTCGTGGTTCATGCTGTGGTTCATTCGGCCCGTTCAAGAAGGGAAAAAAAAAAGATCAGCAAAGGAGAAAAACAATTCCGTCAGGGACAAACACAAAAAAGGGAGACCGATGATGTCAACGTGCATCTCGTGGTCCCCTAACGTTATTTGACTAGTGTTGTCTCTCACACTCAATTCGTCCGCAAATGCGTCTTTTTGCAATCATACATTTTTCACCCTTTGCCTCATCTCAATCTTCCATCTCCACCTGTTCATCCACTTAAATGGAGTTGAACGCCTGTCGAAAATCATCGCCACACAGAATCTATATTGGGGGCACTGCTCCTTCTATCTCTTCAAAAATTCGCTCATTGTTTGTGTGTGTCTATTGGTCTCCAGTCCTTTGACGAGAGACCATGCAATCGATCGGCGGTCATTTGACCGATAGCGAATTTCTACGCATAGAGCAACCACGCCTCCTACAACAAACAAGGGTCAAGGCGTCTCACGTTGTTGTAGAAAGTTGTAATCAACATAGTGTCGCTCGCTTGGACACCTAAAAAGCACCATTCATTTATTGTGTTTGTACCTATTGTTGAACGTCGCAAATAGAAAATAGAGGAATATATTTACAAAGATGAGAACACTATTAGAACGATGTAGATAGGATATCTACAACTGGCGACCCACCACCACTCTCACCCGCCACTGCACCCGCCGCCGTCGCCCTCTTTTCCTGCTCCTCTCGTTCCTTGTCTTTCTTGTCCTTATCCAACTCATTCACAAGCGCCATCAACGCTGGATGGTTAACCGGGTTCGACGATCGGAGTGATCGTTTCCGAGTACTTCCACCACCACTTCCTCCAACACTCGTGGTGCTCCCACTACTCGCCCCTCGTCCATGTCCACCACCACCACCGCTAGGTTTCCGCCGCACGCTTCGTGGAGACGCATGACCCTCCGTAGAGTCCAATCCATTCGATGCTGCCACCGTAGAAGAAGACGGCATTCGATGCACAATCGTCGTCTTCACAACTCTCGTCGCCATAGACCCATCAACCGCCTGATCCAGCTCAATCGCCGATCCAGAGTTTCGATACTCCTTGTTCCTCTGACTTCTCGACCTCGAACCTCGTGAGCTGGTTCGACGCAAAATATCCGGTGGGTCACTGCTATCCTTACTGTAGCTGCCACCGCCACCCCCTCCAAGAGTGCCAAATCCAAACGTCGTAAAGTCGTACATCCTCCTCGCAATCGCCAACTTGCTGCGGACAGCACCGAGCAAGTCGTCGACCAGAGTCTCGCCCATACGCGACCAGTTTTGGCTGCTGTAAGGTTGGTGGTGGACTCGGACGGTGTTGGAAGGAGTGTTATTTGCAGTCGACGACCTTGTTGGCGCTCTTGCTCCAGTTCCTGCTCCAGTTCCAGGCGGCGTTGTTGTTGGTGTTGATGACGATGATGGTGGAGCTGAGGTGAAAGTAGTCGATGTAGGAGCCTGAAATGTATCACCGCTCAGAGCGGCTCTTCCTTTGGACTTGCTGGCCGATTCGCCCTGTCTGTCCTGAAAAGTGCCTCGAAGACTGCTGCCCGACCCAGTAGTTGACGATGACGATAGTGACCCAGTGTGGTAACCGTCCATCCGGTTCTGCAACTTGGAGATCGACTGAGGCGTCTCCAGTTTCTTGGAGTGCTCCGGGGAGGGGAAGAACGATAGCAGACCTGCAGGAACAGTCACAACTTCTTGGCGCCGCTGGGTCCATTCCGGGTCACCTGTCTCATATCTCTCTGACGGCTGCGATCCATGTCCGCTTTGCCCTCCTCCTGGCCGCATGTCGTCCGACTCGTAGATGTGTTGTTGATGGCCAAAAGTGACAAACTCCTCGTTCTTGGTCCCCATATCTTCCGACTCTTCCTCAATGGCTGGGTTGTCTCCAAGGGTTCCAGGCGACCCTTGCTCATGTTGACCAAAACTCGATCCTCTCCTACTTAAAAGACCACCTGAACTGCTCATCGCATCCTCACTCACACTAAGGTCGACCGATGTCCGCCTTGACCCTGCAGCGGACGAAGCAATCGAGTTACGGCCAGAATCCAATTGTTGCTGTTGCTGCTGTTTCTGTTGGTGTTGTTGGAGATGCGCGTATTGTCGAAGATCGATTGTCCTGTGACGATGATGGATCGGGTTCGTCCGAAGCTCCTGATCTGCCGACAGTGTCTTTCGTTGATGCTGCTCACTCGACACAAACTCCATCTCCTTGAACCGCGCAGCCAATGCCTCATGTGTCATGGACGGGGAAACAACCATGGTGTTTGGAAGGTCCTCCGAGAACACTATCGCATCCGATCCCCGAGAAGCGCCTGTAAACGATGATGAGGCGATAGTACTCCTGCGTGGTGAGAGTGAGCGGGCCTGTAGACTGTTGTTCGATTTGGGCGTAGTGGTCGTCGTAGTAGGGGACGAAATTGGTGGCGCGACCATCGATTTAGGCTCGTTCCAGGTACCGAGACGCGGGGATACTGATGAGGTTGGAATGGATCGTGAAGGTCCCGAGGATGACGGTAACATCCCTGCTGCTACCGCCGAGATTGCAGGCGGTGACAATCCATTGTTGGGCATTGGTCCTGAAGGATCAGATTGATCAGATGGTAGATAGGTGTGGTCTCCGGGGCTTGGTCCATGCTCAGAAAGCGGCGAGCCTGCTCTGTGGAAGGGGGTCCCAGGAAGTGATGATCCAGCGCGCTCGTGAGCTGGTTGAATTCTTTGCGGAAGCATGATTGACTGACTGGTCTCATCCATGACAACTCCAGGCTGACGCGCCACCGAACATTCCTCGAAGGGTATATATAAGTATTTTCGAGTGTGAATGGAGTCGTTGGTCCACAGCTTGTTTGATTTCTTCAAAATCGACACCTAATATGCAGCCACAATGAAAATATATTCATCAGCTTACTGTTGTGGTATACATAGTGTCGGATGATCGCAAGTCATCCCATTCGTACAAGCATCAGCCCTGACACTCACCTGGATCCCATAATTCAGTGCAATGCCAGCCAGCGTATCGGTGGTGGTGACCTGATGGATGATGACTCGTTTCCCCCCAGGCTCTAGCCCCCTGCTCTGCTTCAAGTCCTTGTCCTTGTCCGTATGAGATGTCCAACTCCTCTCCTCTGCTCCCTTTGGCCCATTCCGCCTCCTGCGCGCATTCGATCCTGATGCATAGAAAGAGATCTCTGAACTTTGAAGCGGCGTTGGTTCCTGAGTAGTGCTCAAACTCAGTGTGTGTCCTTTGTGCCGCGACGCTGTTGAGTAATCATGATAACTATTGTCATCAATGGACTCTGGCTCTGCGGTGTAGTCGAACAACAGCGGATGATCGCCACTCCATGACGAACCCTCGACCCCATGATCGGTATCTGTACGTCCTTGGCCGGTCAATGTTGCGACAGTCGAGTTGGATGACAATGTGCTAACCCCCGATACCAATGTCGATGTTGAAGGATCACGAAGGAACGGATCAGTCACAGAGTCGGATGGCAATATCCTGCGGACATTGTTGATAGCGGGGCCTGTTAGCGGATCCTGGTTCAAGTCAACGCCAGAGTCGATCCCACACCCCATCTCAAGAGGACCCATATCGGATAGATGTTCCAATGGACTCTGTTTTGTTGTTGTGCGGTTTGAAGAAGAGGAGGAAGAGGGTGGTGCCGTTGGAGAGCGCTTGGAGGAGGACGACAACTGGGGCCATCGATCGGAGTCCACAGGTTGCAGTAATGGATCGAATGAGCGTGCGACTGCTCTTTCTGAGGGCTGCGGTGGTTGACTGCTTTCCATGGTGCCAGTGGCTGCTGTTGCATCCTGTTTCCAGGACTTTTGCGATAAGGGCTTGGTCTTGGATATAGCGCGAGTGAAGTCGTTTATGAGATCATTGCTGCTGCTGCTTTCGCTCGATCCTTGGAGAAGAGTGTTGGTGTTGTCGTTATTGTTAACTGTCGAAAGGGGATCATGATCGAGCACTAGTCCGTCGGCGACCCGGGTAGCGGACCTGCTGTTATGCAGTTGTTGTGGGTGGTATTGGTGTATCCTGTCAGGGGTGTTGTTACTGACTCTCCTTAGTGGAGTAGTTGCATCATCATGGTCAAGGTTGTCAGGTGGAGGACCATGGTCAGCTGTGATACCTAGGGGATGGTGCATAAGATCCTCCTTGTCCTTCTTGGTCTGGTGAATGGGACTGACAGGTGTAATAGGGGAAGGGGAAGAAGAGGGTAGGATGACGTTCCTGCGGTCGATCCCTGGCCCTAGCCCTGTTCCTGTTCGGTCAGAGTTTTTGGCAGCAAGATTGTTGAGGTAGCCGTTGAGATCGGGGTTGTGGTGGCTGGTAGTATTGTGTACTTGAAGCATTGGATCGCCGGGATTGAGAGGAGCCTGCTGTTGTTGCTGGCCGAGAGGGAGAACAAGGTGCGGTGGGGAAGTGTTGCTGGAAAGAGGAGGAGAAGGAGGAGGAGAGGTCTGGAGGGGATCGCTTCTGACAGGACGAAGACTCGTTTTTGTTATTATTGTTGTTGTGCCTTTAGAAGGAGGAAGAGGATGAGAATGCTTATCGACAAGAGTCTCGTGCAGGAGGAGCTGTGACCTTGTGGTGGTGTCCATAGCTGGTCCTTCTGGAATTCAGCGAATGGAATCGAGTCGTGTTCCTTCTTGGTGCAGAACGGGACCCTTTGCAATGAGACGAGGGGAAAGCGAGAGAGGTGGACAGAGACAGACAGACAGACAGAGGAGAATAAAGAAACAGAAGGAGACAGAGTGAGAAGTAATGGCGAGGAACGAAAGGGGAAGAGGCAAAGAGGAATAATAAGAGGAAAGGGAATGAGGGAAGAGGCAGCTGAGAAAGGATAAAAAAGGGGGAAGGACAGAGAAGGGATGGTGTGTCTGCGAAGTAGGGAGAGCGTGATTAGCTTCTTCTTGTGCTTGACGAGTGATGTGATGTGATGAGGCAGAGAAACGATGGTGGTGACTTTGTTGGTTGCTTGGTGGTTAGCTCTTGGATATTAAAATGAAGAGCCATGGTCCATATACTTCACAGCCCGCTCATTGTTCAATAAAGGTTGTTGGCTGTTCTGTGGTAGCCATTCCTGGACAATCGACAACTGTATTCAGCTGGCAAAGTGGCAAGAGGCAATTGCAACCTTGCTTGCTTGCTTGCTATTTTGCTTGCACACAACCACACATAAACATAAGCACTTCGCTTCTCTTCTCTTTGCTGTTCTTTCTTTGTCACACGCTTAGCACAGACACACACGAACACGAAACAACATGGGCCTGCGCAACCAAGAAATGGAGTATTTTTTCGCCACTTTGCCACTTTGGTCGTGGTCGTTTAAGTGTTTTTATTCAAAGAAAAAAGAAAGGCTGTAAAAGTACAATGGGTTCGCTCTCTCGTGAAAGAAAAAAAAGTTGCCGTCATTCCCTACTTCATCGAAGAAGTGTAGTAAAAATGAGGACAAGCTGGGTATCGGAGAAGCGCAAAAGGGAGGAGATAAAAAACCCCTGGTGGAAGTGAAAAGAGTGAACAGACAAAAAAAAAAAAGAATGAGACTCACCACCTCTACAAACAACACACTGATAACTAAAAACGTGCTTGAGAAGCAAAGGTTGCTTTTACAACTTGGCGGCGGGGATAGCGGTGACAAAGCCAACGCCCTTGGTAATGTTGCCCTTGAGCTCACCAATAGCAATCTTGACCAACGCGTCCTCCTCGGCCGACAGATCCGGCAACGCCAACACATTGGCAACACCCTCAGGGCCCAACTCGACATCTTGAGCAAAATACTCCAACCCAGTCGAGCGTGCGTTCCACTCTGCACCCGCGTTGCCCTTCAAGTGGATGTAAGTTGACTCGACCAGACCGCGTTTGCCACTGACAGAGGCCTCAAGGAGAGAAATAGTAAAGCGTGCGCCGGCATGGGCCATCGAGAGAGTGGCGGATCCTGCGCCGTCCTTGGCCTTGACAACCTCGTCACCTCCGAATTGGATACGGTTGGTGAGGGCCTTGATCTCCGCGGGTGTGAAGGTGACCTGCTTGATCTGGGAGAGGAGAGGGACGATGGTCGCGCCACTGTGTCCGCCGACGACGGTGATCCTGTTGGACTGGGGCTCGAATTGGGGCTTGATGTGGTTGACAAAGGTTGATGACCGGACGACATCGAGAGTCGTAACACCAAATACTCTAAAGAGAGGAAGAGGAGGAGGAAGTGTAAGTGAGAGCATTCAATTGGTTCATCGTGGTCACTCACTGACGCGTACTGGCCAAAAAAACATTTCCTCCACATTAGCACATGTGGACACATGAGCAGTCCAACGAATGAAAAGGTGTGTAATGTGGTAATGTGTGGTAAAAGGGAAGAACAGAGAATAGATGAGCCGTGAATCTTGTTGATATCTCATAGTGAAAACACATACTTTCTTGGGTCAAAAACTCCGGCCTTCTTGAAGACCTCACACACAATGGGCACAGTCGAGTTGACAGGGTTCGAGATGACGAGAATAAAGGCCTTTGGGCAATGTTTCGCGCAAGCCTCCGCAAGATCGCGCACAATCCCGGCATTGACCTATTGTTGTTCGTAACGTTCGGAAAAAATGCGGAAATCGTTAATGAAAGGGTTTTGGTTGAAGCGGGGAAGGGAGACGAGGAAAAAAATATTAATTGGGTGTTCTGGTAAGGTGTAGTGTGTTGTTTAAGACGACGTGTGTCTCCAAGAGAACACGAACCGTACGCACCATCTCCTTCTTCTTCCAGCCTTCATCTCCCTGCTTCCTGTTTCTGATTGACATATGTTATCACCAAATAAATGTTTACCTTGAAGAGATCATCTCGGGTCATGCCAGGCTTACGGGGAACTCCAGCAGGGATGACAACAGTATGGGCACCACTGAGGGCTTCTGCCAAGGCATCCTTGCCCACATGTCCTGTTACTTTAGATGGAGTGTTGATATGGGACAGATCCGCGGCCACTCCGGCAGCATTGACGATATCGTAGAGAGCCAAGTGCGTGATCAAGTCCGACTGCTTCAGCAACAGCGACAAGGGCTGGCCGATTCCACCAGCAGCACCACAAACAACGACTATTTGTTCGATTATTTCAGAAAGTTGTGAAAGTGAAAGCGGTTAGAAATGAACAATGAAAATGGTTCTTTCAACGGACAGGATGTTCATATCGGCAACAACAAAGAAGCAAAAGAGAATCGGACGATACAACTGCAAAAAAGCGAGCGTATGAGATAATAATAATAAACGAGAAACAATGCTTGGCAGATGACAGCATTTCTCGTTTTCATGCAGGCACACGCGGAGAGATAGGGGGTGGGAAAGAGAGAGAAAGAGAGAGAAAGAGGGCATACCTTTGACCATTTTTGTATGAATGAAGAGTATGTATGTAAGGAAGGAAGGTGTTATGTCCTGTTGAAGTAGAAAGAAGTGAAGATGTAAAAGTGGAAGGAGTGAGAGTGAGAGTGAAGAAAAGAGAGAGTTGATAAAGAGATAACGAGGAAAAGAAAATAAAGAAAGGAAACCAAAACAAGGGGGGCTTTTATGTGGGTTGGGTGAGAGAACGAATTGAATGCTCTCAATCACAAAATGAGGAAAGCCACGCAAACGAAGAATCAACACCCTTTTTGATGTGGATAACCCATTCGAATGAGTTACCCCGCCTCGGCTGCCTACCTGGGTCTCGTCTTCCCATGGACACTCTCTCTTCTTGCATGTTTCTCTCTCTCCAGTCTGGCGCATATATCTCTCCTCCTTCTAATCTGACTTTGTTGTTCTCTTCCCCTTACATACCCCTGCAAATGTATCCATGTGAGCATTGTCAGCGAAAAAGATAAACAGAAGCGGTGTACAACTTGTACACGTATTATCCACACCGTGCAAAAACGTTCTACTTTAGATGCACGATGATCGTCCACAACAAAACAACAAACACACTTTGCGCGTTCGGATTTTTTTGTCTTTTTCAGTTTTCATATGAAAGCTAAACAATGGACCGAATCAAATCTGTGATCCTGGGGGTAGTTTGTTGGTCGTGAGAAATGATCGATGGTTTGATATTGCTAGAGGAGTTCGTTAAACACGACTTTCTTTAGCCCTTAACCTCGTTCGGTCCCTCTCACATCAATGACCTGCGCAGTGATATATACCCGCACCCGCCAATCCTAAACGCTGTACTTCTCCGCCCCACCATCATCCATGCATTCCCTTGGTCATTGACATCATCGCTCACACGCCTAGGAAAACGTGGTGTCGGCTCCATCCCAATTGGGATGAATCTGATTCTCCCGCTCCTCGGCAAAGGCAATTACCCCTCTCCCCTCCATATCTCATATCACGTTGCGAACCAGAGGGGGAGGAAAACGAGGGGATAGACGCATCATTCTTGTTCTCGCATTGGCTCCATCCCCCCCCCACACCGAACAAACACCCCCCACCCTTTTTTATTATGCTCTGACCGTTGATATGCATGGAAAATAAACAAGGTCCATATGTCGCTCTGTTTTCTGACAGGATCGGCTGATCCATTGTCCATTCGTTATTCAGTACATGATTTATGAAACTGGAATCCCTCTGTTCGACCGACCGTCGGTCATTTCGTTCGTTCAAGGTTGGTCGTCGATCGGTCGGCTACTTGTCGATTGTCGGTCGGTCGGTTACTTGTCGATTGTCGGTCGTCGGGTATATTTTTGTGTTTGTTCGATCGGGGGAAAAAAGAGAGCAAGGGGTCTGCTGGCCTAAAGACAACCCACGAAACTTTGCACAAGAAAAGTTGGATCTCAGACACTCTTTTCTCTCCCATGAGCCGGTTCACTGATAAGAAAGGGTTCATTTTTCAAGGAACGACATTCATCTCAACAGACGCATGAAAGGTAACAAAAGGGTTATCGGAGACGCGTCGTTTCATTCGTGTACTGTACATCCAAATGAACAATAAGAATTTTCGCGATTAGATGAATGAGAAGAAGGACATTTTTTTGCGGTTTTTAATTGACGAGGAGAAAAGGAAGAAAAAAAGTAGTAATGAAGAATGATGATGGAGTATTGTACAAATCAATTAATGGTATGCGCTTGTTTCGTTCATTGTGTGCAATGGCTTGTTGGTTGGTTTGGCTGCTTGTTGCTGTTGGTTGCTGACCTCTTGACTTATCAAGCGCGCAAAACACAGGCACACACATGCACACAAATGTAAGGGATGGTTTAAAGTATGCACCATGACCCATCTCACAAAAAGTAGTCTGGAGGTCCCTCTCTCTGAGGGGTTGTTCGTGAATTCATCGAGCTTCGGTCCGAGTCCTTAAAGATCGTGTATTCCCTGTTTAAATTTGAATCCACCTCCAGAATAGCTGCCACATTTCCGCATCTACGTTGTACATGAAAGTAGCACATCTATCAGTATACACTTCCCGATCCAAAAGACAGCCCCAGCACAAATGAAAAAAAAGAAGAGAAAGTCCGTACCTGTAACAGTAGTTGGGTGCAGACCAGACAGTGACAACCTGTTCGTCAAACATCAACTTGTAACCCTCCATGACCAATTGATGTGCACGTGCAATGAGCTCCAGTCCGTTATTGTGTAAAAACTAGATTGGTAGGCAGAAAGGCAGAAAGGATCAATATTCACGTTCTCAACAGAACGTAAGTCATGATGCCGCAAACGTAGTAGAAAATCAAATGGTGCTTACTGGTTTTGCAACACTCTCGCCAAAAAGAAATCCAGCCCCACGAGGACTCAAGCCCCATCCAGTGCACGAGTCAGGATCGGGATCAGACCACAAAAGATCGCACATAGCTCCGTTGTGAGGGACCTCCTGCATCCTGTCGATTGTCCGTATCTAGTAGTTTGAGTAGAGCGTACATTTTCACAATGTTAGCATGCCATCCTATTTCGGCTGTTATTTCAAGGAAATATAGCCAGGCACAAGTTCGACGGAAGACTGGACGAACCTGGTCAATGGTGTTGATGGACGGCGAGAGTCCTCCGTGTACACAAAAGATACGATCGTCGATAATGGCAGACAAACTCAGATAGTCAAAGATCTCACAGCAATATCTCCAGACGTTGGCAGAGCCAAACTTCTGGAAACACTCGTCGTAAAATCCATAGACCTTTGTAATCTGTCGCGATTCGTGGTTGCCGCGAATAAGAGTGATCCTGTCTGGGTATCTGACCTATTGTCCCGTAAAAAGAATATGAATTGAGGATGGTTGTGAGTACTGATGTCGACTTCACGCCTTTCCATATCCTATGAAGGTTTCCTTCTGTCTGTTTGTCCAAAAATATGCGCATGTAGCTCAGCGCACCTTAAGAGCGAGAAGAAGCAGAAATGTCTCTACACTGTGATGTCCTCTGTCAACAAAGTCGCCTATATCGCGTAATTCATAGGAAGGTAAGATAAAGAAGCGTAAGCCAGGTATTCAACGTAGGTCAATGTCAATTGACAACGCAATAAAATGGTACAAAACGGAAAAAAGGTTCCATACCCATGAACAAGTAGTTGGTCTTCGGACACTCGCCACCGACTTTAAACAGCTCCTTGAGGTCATGGAACTGGCCGTGAATGTCTCCGCAGACCTAGAAAAAGAAAAAGAGGAAAAATTAACTGACTAATTGTTTCGTTGAGGTAGAAAATGAAGCATCCCTTATGATAAAAATGATCTAAGCGCACAGCGGCGAAGTTGCGGTGTCTTTATCAGTGCTGTGCAACAAACAAACGAACAACCATTTTGTCACCAAAAAACACGAGATGATGACAAAGGGGTTGCATGCGTGAACAAAAGACCGCAATGAAAAAGCTGATAGGTAAAAGGGAAAACGTACGGTGACGGGTGCATCGACGCGCTGGACGTTGCTCTCTTCGACAAGGATCTCCCTCGCCTTCAAGCACAGGTCCTTGACCTCAGCTTCTGTGATGATTTTGCATTGAAGCAAGGTCTGGATCTGTCGATCTAAGTCAGATCCCATAAAGAAGGTATTTGTAGTTGACGAACGGTCGAGGACTGGAAGGGTGAGACTGGGAAGGGTGCGAAGGTGATGAATCGTTAGGGAGGTGGAGAGAGCGAAGGAGGTAATGGTGGCGGCAAACACCCAAAGCTACTAAGGCGCTTGGCTCGCCCGTTCCAGTGACGTCACTTACCATGTATATCACGTGATATATTGGTGGCGCACATGGATCGCCAAGCGAGTGAGAGATTTGAAAAAACTCTAAACGTTCCGCATAAAAGTGTTTCCCCGGTGCATCGGCGTTGGACGAGAGGGCCTTTATCACCCAGACAGTGCGCCAATGACGCAGCAGCATGTGTTAGCTACGACGGAACAGACATGATTCAGAAACAAAGGGTTGAGGCAGGCAGCCAGCTTGCTAGGGGCTATTTATTTTTCAACTGCGACGTTGTGTCGGTCCATCAGGCGAAGCGCAGCGTCAGTCATCTGTATTTGTTTTTATATATCTCATGTAGTTTGCTTACAACACGATCTGGTCCAATATAAAAGAGGCCTCTTTTCCCTATGTTCTTTTTCTTCCTTTTTACTAATCACTTTCTTCGTCAGCAATCTTTGTATAGTCTTTACTCTATCCCATCCGCATTTCGCGCCTTTTCCTTCCTTTCTCTCCATATCTCCACTCGCTTCTCCTTTCGCTCGACACACCCTCTCCACTCCCTCTTTTGCTTTCATACCTCTTTCCCGGTTTCCTTTCATTCATCATTTCCAACAACCTCAACGTCAACACCTTCACCGTCGCCGCCCCATTGCCTTCATTTTCGATCGTGTCGCATTTATAATAACCAACCTAGCGGAAAATCAATCATGATCACCTCTTCATCATACGACTCCCTCAACAACTCGACGTTGACAAATGTACAATCCCTCGGATTCTGGGGTCATCCTACTTCCTCAGGTAAGGCGACTAGGCATAAGCAATTAAAAAGAAAAAACAATAGCCGTGCCAATATTTCTTTTCGGCGTCTGCGCGCGATTGGCTATCCAAGGAAGGGCTTTCATGGACTAACTCCCACTTCTCTTCCTCTCCTTCATTGTTAATAGTCGGTAAGTTGTGATTTAGGCTATTTCTCCTTGTCGGACGAGGGGACTGGCTACCCAAGCGTGGATCCAAACCCATCAATCGTTCACCCATTCACTCCCTTTACTCCTTTCATGGCCTGTGTTCTCTTTGTCCTCTCTTTGTCCGAGAGCCAATCCGCAGCTCCAATTGGTGTCAATTGCGCTCGTCAATGCAAGGTTTTTCTTTCTTTTCTTCGTTCTTTTCTTTCCCTCCTTCACTCACTTTCTTTATGACATTTCGGTGCCAAGACAGAAAGCCTGCACTGAAGTGACATTTTCTTCCTGGTCCTGCTAACTAAGACATTTACCGACTCCAGTCTCGGGGCATTTTTTCTTGACATTTTTCTTTTGACACCGTTTATGTTGCGCAGATACATATTTTTTGTCCGTGTGAGAGCAAGGGTGTTGAGGGCGTGGGTGTGTTGCATTGACCAAGTCCCCTATTATTTTTATGACGCTCTGCTCACACCCCTCCTTGTGTGATATCGAAGTTACCTTAGTCTTCTATTTTTTTGTCTGTCTTGACAGACAGAAACACATGTGCGTTTTGATGCATGTGTTGTCGCGGCACGCTTGGGTTTCTTGTCACGCTTGGGGCACAGGGATTATTGTCCAATGTCCAGTGGGATAAACAAACGGGTCAATGGATCATCGGGAGCATGGCTTAAACGAGAGGAGAGAAGTCATCGCTATTGGGTTTGACATAATAGTGCAACGATAAGAGGATACATAGAAAGAGTCATGCAGCAGACCCATCGTCGTCGACAGCATGTCGAACAGCTTGTCAACGACATCATAGTAATTCTCCCTCCTCCCTCACTTCATAATCAGACCCCTTCTGCCGTCTTCACAACAACACCCCCTGTATATTTGTATTTCTTTCTCCACAATTCATGGACCCTTATGACCCTTTTTTCTATCCCTCTCGTTCTCGGACATACTCAAACAAACGAACCCCCCCCAATGTATTATCGATCGTGTGCGAGTTGTCTGCGTGCACAATCAATTACCCATCCTCACAAAAACTGACCACACCATCCTTTTCTCTCTCTCTCTCTACGGTCTACCTTCAACCCGTAAAATAGACTGGTGTGAGAGCAACTATGTCAAATCCCACTACGTCGCCGAGTTCTTCAACTCCCTCTCCTCCCTCTCCATGATCCTCGTCGGCCTCGCAGGCGTCTATCTCCACTCAACCTTCGAGAAGCGCTTCCTCCTCGCCTTTGGTTCCATCATCGTCGTTGGCATCGGTTCCATCGCCTTCCATGGGACCCTTCTCTTCCCCCTCCAGATGCTCGATGAAGTCCCCATGGTCTACTGTGTCCTCGTCATTGTCTACTGTTGCGCCGAGAACAAATCCTACAGGCGCTATGGTGCTTGGTTTCCCATTGGGTTGACTCTCTATGGACTCTTGACGACTGTCATCATGCTTTATGCCGGGCCTGAGAACCATCTGTTGGAGTTTGTTGTCTTCCAGTCGTCGTTTATCTTTGTCGTGCTCGTGGTCGCCTCTCATATCACAAAGATCTATGCCCGTCTGACGGATCAGTCGATCAAGCGGCTGTGGGGCACCACTGTGGCGACGGGATTGACGGCGTACGCCTACTGGAATATTGACTTTAGGATGTGCGATGTCATGCAAAACTTGCCTTTTGGACTGTGGAACCCTCAATTCCATGCCTGGTGGCATGTCGGTGCTTCGATCTGTTCGTACATGATCTGTCTGTTGATCTGTTATGACCGTGCAGAGAACTTGGATCGCAAACCAAGAGTCGAGTGGAAGGGTGGTGTACTCCCTTTTGTCGTCGTTGACAAGATGAACATCAAGATAAAGTCGTGCTAAGCACTGGATACTCAGAAAAATAAAACAAATTCATTATATTTTACATGTGGGTGAATGTTATAGGGGAGTGCTAGAAGTTATTGAGGAGTGCTAGAAGTTGTAGTCGTTGTTGAAGTCCTGACAACATTCATCTCCTGAGCATTCAAAGGTGAACCCGACGCTCTCGAAGGCGATCGTGTCACAACTGAAGAAACCATCGTAGACGAAGTGACAGTTGTTGTCGTCGACAGATCTCCTCCAGAAAGACTGCTCCGAGGATGATGACTGACTTCCCGAGTAGTGTTGGACCGACTACTGCTCGATTTGCTGCCATTGCTCCGGTGATGACGCTCATGACGCTCCTGTCGCTCATGTCGTTCATGGTGATGGTGATGTCCAGCAAACTTTGTGGTCGAAAGTGTCAACAACGACGACGACTCTGTATGATCTCCGCCCAAATGATCCGTCATCTCCACCTCTCTATCCAATTCCTCCAGCTGTCCTAGTACAAGACCCACAAGATGGTCTTGGCGCTCAACATCCCAGCTGGCTCTCTCTAACTCAAAACGGCTCTTGCGACGAGCCTCCATCAGACGATCCTCGTCCTGTCGCAGCTTTTTAGCCTCTTCCCGATACCTCTGCACCTCCAGCTCGATTTCTGGCGCCCATGAAAGCTTGGTAACATCGACCACTGCACTCATGATCTGCTGCTGTTGCTGTTGAAGGAGCTGATGTGCAGTTGGTTGTGTTGGGAGTCCAGTGGGGCCGGGACCAGAGTTGACAGGACCGTTCTGGTTGTTGTTTTGGTTGTTATTGCTGTTATTACTGCTGTTGTTGTTGTTGCTGTTGTTGCTGTTGTTGTTGTTATTGTTGTTGTTGTTGCTGTTGTTATTGTTATTGTTGCTGTACGATGAAGATGGGGCCTGATGGGGAGTGCTCGACGCTGACTTGTAGGGACCCGAGCTATAGCTGTGGTTCGCAGGTCCACTGGGCAGGTTGGCGGAGGGATGAGGTACTGGAAGGGACGATGCTGGAGCCATGGGAATGGGCGGTCCAGCAGAGTGTCGGCTCTGGTATGGTCCTCCAGGGACGCCACTTCCGCTTCTACTCATGCCAGATGACTCGCGTTCCCGTTCCCTCTCTCTCTCACGGTCTCTGTCTCGCTCCCTTTCGCGCTCTCGGATTTCTCTCTCTCGCTCACGTTCACGCTCACGCTCGCGTTCGCGTTCCCTGTCCCGTTCGCGTTGTTCACGTTCCCGTTCTCGGTCTCTGTCACGTTCCCTGTCTCGATCTCTTTCCCGCTCCCGCTCCCGTTCTCTCTCCCTCTCCCTGTCACGGTCCCGATCCCGCTCACGGTGGTCGATTTCATACTCTGGGATCTGTCCTGGTTCTGGACCTGGTGAAAAGGTCCTGGGAGCCACGGCGGGCCGATCCGATGACTGCGCCGCAGGTCCGTCCTTCCTTGAAGAGTCCAGAGATGGGGATGCAACTCTAGAGGCCGATGACGGCCGACCCGATGCTGCGCCGGAAGACGAAGGTGGTGGCGGAAGTTGATGTGCAGTAGGTCGTCGTGCAGGTGGAGGTGGCGGGTGCGCATGAGGAAGTCGAAGCTGATTGTGAGGCGAGGGTGACTGATAGGAGGACGACGAAGAACCATAGTGCAAAGAAGGGTGTCGACTGGGTGGAACACCATGACCCATATGTCCGGGTGAGTTTGAGCTTCCGTGTCTAGACCTTGGTGGCGGTGGCGAAGGGCGATAGGGGTGGTAGGGCTCATTGCTGCCTCCTCTGGAATAATAGTCTCTCTCGTTTCGGTAATAAGGGTGATGCTCTCTTGAAGAGTAGTAGGACGAGGGCATGTGGGGTGGCGACCGATGAGAACTGCTGCCGCGGTAGTGTCCGTCGAGATGATAGGATGGGTCGCCTGGGGATCGAGATCGGGCGCGAGAGGCTCCTCCACTACTTGATGCACCGTTGGCATTGTTTGGGTTGTTGCTGGATCCTCCTCCTCCGCCACTTGAGCCTGATGCTGTGGGTGGGCCGCTGTAGCGTTCAGTTGAGGATCCGCGACGGTGTTCTCCTGATGACCGTGAGTAGGAGTGTCGATCCATGGAGGGCACTTTCCGCAGTTGTGCGTGTGTTCGTTATTATTGTAGTTGTTGTCGTTGTTGTTTGTTGTTGTTGTAAGAGATGTTGGAGATCGACGTTTAACTTTGTCGAGTGAGGTGGAGGGCACGATACAAAATGTGCAGGTTGTGCGATCAAATAATCTTCCTGTTCGCTGTGACTGACATTGGGCGTGGTCTCTCTCTTCTGGTTGGTGTGGCCGCTGTTGATCCACTAAGCCTTGCTTTGCCGTCTTGATGGATCTATGGTCGACTTACTTCTTTCTTTCCTTGGCTCTCACTCGTTAGGAGACATATTACTGAACGCAATGGTCATGATGAGCATCTGGGGTCACCGGATCTGCCTCGTACGATGACTTGTACTTTTTTTTGTTTATCTTGCAATTGCTTTTGCAAAATATTCAGTTCTTCGTAAAACTTTACGCTGCCTTCCCTGCTGGTTTCTGTGGTCACATCATATTACCTTTAGCTGAGGTCTGGTAGCATGGTTGGTTGAACACTTCCCCCACAGTTGTTCACCTAATCATGTCAGGCTGATTGTTCCTCTTTCTCTTTTTTTCACACTTCAAAAATTCCACGCGGTTTCACTTTTCAGGCACAACACACTTTTCTTCCCTTGTCATCATCAATTGGAAATGAGGAACAAAGAACACCAATGATGGGTGCCACGCGAGAGTAGGGTCTTAATTGGAGTAAAGACGGAGGCATGCAAGCATTGTGCAACATGGCTAGCTGGGAAGAAAGAGGAGCTGGTGTCTATGGTCGTCCTCCGACCATGGGTCCCAAGGAAGTAATCCGCTTGTCTTTTTATTTTTACTTTTTCTTCCCGTTGCGCTAGTTGGATGGTGTTTATCGACCGTATCCTTACCACACAGACAGGAAAAAAAATAGAAAGAAAAAAAACGTGCTTTTTGTGTACAAATGTTTAAGTACCTCTCCCGTCAATCGGTCAAACCGACCATTGCACAATGTAGACAAAGGGAGACGATGGGATACAAAACACACGGACATGCACGATCAGGACGGGGGAACCCTTCTTCAAGGTGCGACAAGAGACCATCCAAAGGGTCAACCCTCATCCATTCAAACTCTAAAATGATCCCTTCTCCCTTCCAACCAACTCCACTTTCCAACATGTGTCCACCTTGTCCTCCCTTCAGGTTGTCCCCCCTGTTGGGTGTTGAGTTGAACCACAAAAAAAGGTTTAACAAGAAATAAGCTCAGCCAGCAACCAACGTTTTTCTTCTTGTTCCCTACCCGTTGCACACACACAAACAGACTTATCTTTCTTCTCTCTTCTCTTCATCCTCCTTTTCCCTTTCCTTTCCTTTTTCTGCTTCCCCCTATCCCACCCTACCCTGCTTCTCTCTCTTTCTTTCTTTGCTCTTTTTCTTCCTTTCCTTCCTTCTTTTTCCTTTCCTTCTTTCCAATTCTCTTTGTACCCTTTACCCATTATCCTTCTTCTTGTCCTCCCATTCCTTTCCTCTCCTCCTCTCCTTTTTGTAACGATATATATACTCGACCACGGTGGACATGGATACCCTGACCCAAGACGAACAATCTCTCCCTTCTCCCGCCCCCTCCCCTTCCCCCGCCACAGCCGCCACCACCAAGGCCTCTCTCCCCTTCTCTACCTCCTGTAAGTGCCTCCTCATTTTCTCCTTAACCAATGTCCGATTCATCACGAACAAGCAATGCAAGGCAGAAGGCAAAGCAAGATGAGCATATGCATAAAAAGGGAAGCGTCAGTGTTGTGAATATTGACACAACAAAAAACATAGTGTCTCCCTTGTATGGTTACATCGTGCCACCATCCTCTCACAACAACAATAACATTGACAAAGCACAAGCATCGCTTTCTCTATGCTGTTGTCGTCTTGTTGGTTCAGCTCTCATCTCCCTCGTACTCTTTTACTCGCACACTATCACTTCATCAGACCGAGTTCGCCATCGTCATCATGAGATCTTTTCAGTGACTATGTGCGAGTGTGTGATCCGATTCGCTGGGTTGGAGGGTACTGCAATCAACCCAGACACAAAAGGCTGAAAGAAAAAAAGAGAGTCGGCTTTTATTCTCGTGGCTCTAGCCCAAAGCAAGGCTGCGGTTTCTCCTCCCCTTTTTGATGCCCTTTTTTATCAATACGATCCTATGAACAAATCTCCCATGCCCATGGTCAATTGAAACCCCATAAAAACTAGGCCTCATTCACACACACATCCATACCATGCCATTCATATACAACCATGTCACCTAGCGTTATTTGCTGGTAATAATCGATACAAACAACAACAAACCACACCAATGAATGAGTGATGAACAATCGATATTGGTGTGTGTATTGAAGTAGTACGATACTACTCGTTCTTTACCTTCTCTTTTTCCCATTATTATTGTGCTCTCATTTCGTGTGTCAGGCGGTGACCCAGTCCAAGCGGGCAATGCCTCTCTCTCTTTCTCTCGTCTCCCTTTTGCTTTCTCTTCCCTTCTTCCTCCCTCGCACACTCGTCCGCTCTCTTTTTCAACACTTTCATAATCGACTGATCAGCTTCGCCATCATCTCTCTCTCACTTCATCATCCTTTTCTTCAAAAAACTACTCTCCACCCTCTCCTTCCTCTTTCAACGACTGCTCCCTTATCAATTGCTTCACCCATACCCCACTACCATACACCCTATCCCTTCTTCCCTCTCCTGCCGTGTGCACTTTTACCGTACTTGTAAACGGAAAAAAAGATACAAAATAATCTTAAACGCGTCCAGCCACTCTTGTTCGACTGGAACATCGACGACCCAAGGTACCCAAGCCATGCTCCCCTTCTTCCCAGAAAGAGAGTGAGGGAGAAGAGTGGACGGAGTTGAGTTGAGTTGATTCAACTGACTTGCCTGGTTGCTGGGTTATCTTTTTTGAGTTCAAAAGATCGGATCCCTTTCGCCTATCCTCCCATCCTGCTCCTCCCTTTTGCTGTTCCTCCCTTTTGTCCCTTCTTTTCCCTTCCTTCTCTTCTCTTCCTTTGTCCCTTTCCCGCGGGGCCATATCGTTCGTTATCATCCATTGGCTTTGCTTGGGAGTAATCCGCCGCCAGCCGACCCAAAGTGGCGGCCCAGAACGAGAGAGTGCCAGCCATAAAAACCAATGGTTGGTCAAAGTAGAGGAAAAAGAGAATAACAGACAGATAGAGAGGGGGGACAGACAAAGAGGGAAAGGGCAACGTAGGAGACAGGGCAGGATGGCATCAGGAAACAAAAAGATTGCCAAGGGGGTGAAGGGCACAACGGGAGGGGACAGATGGTGCATCCAAGGGCAAGGGCAAAGGGCCACCTCTTTTTTTTTTTTTTTTTTTTTTTACTGAAAGGGGACATCTTGCCCTTCCTTTCTTAAGGCACATGGCGCACACTTCCAAACAGCCAACACACTCTTCTCTTATTATTTTCTCCTCTCACCAATTTTTCACTTTTCTCGTCGACAATAATAGACCTTCAAAAGACAACCGCCGAAGAGGAGGACCACGTTGCCTCGTTTAAAAGAATGCTCGACGATATCCTCGACAACGCCTCGTCCGAATCTCTCACACATGGATTAGAGTCCAGTCTTAATAGCAGGATCGGAGGCAGCTCCTCTTCCTTCCTCTCCTCTCCTTCCGCTGCCGCTAGCAGAGCTCGTTTGAACAGCAACACCACCTTGGGTTTCTTGCTGCCCCAGCCCAAAGGCCACTTTTCCAAGATCAAGGGCGCACACGCACGGCCAGACCTCTCCGCTGAAAACGCCGTCGACATCGAACTTCTTCACAAGCTGGAGGAGCAGAACAGCTTATTGCCACCACAGGTATTTACTCGTCAATCACACACCAGATCAAATTTATTCACACTTTTTTTCTCGCCTCTGAATGTGGCAGTAATTGGCACAAGGTGGCGAGACGATGAACTTTTTTAAAATATCCCTTCACGACACTAACACCCATGCGTTTTTGTTCATTGACATTTGTTCTATTCATAGGATTCGACTTCATTTTTGCTTGCTCGTCTCGAGCGACAAAACGGCCTCTTGGACACTGATCCAAAGTCAATCTGTATCGAATCCAACATTCTCAAGGGTAACCTCAACACCCTGCATCGCCTCATTGCCGACTCAACCACACTCAACAGCCCCAACTCAGAGACAGTTGACCCCATGTCCTCACTGGCCTCAGTGTTGGAGCCTCAGGCAGGAGACGAAGAGATCGACTGGGAGTTTTGGGGAATGCTTGTCCAGGATTACAACGCCGTGGCAAGCAAATTGCCCCATCTTCTCTCGGCTAGAGTGCGCCAGGGTCTTCCCTCAAAGTTGCGTGGTTTGATCTGGCAGTCCATGTCTCAAGCGTCCTCGACCTATCTCGAAACCATGTATACCCAGCTCCTCAAGGAGCACTCGCCCTACGAGCGCATCATCCAGCGCGATCTCGCCAGGACATTCCCCCAGGTCGACATGTTCAAGGAAGAAGGCGGCAAAGGACAAGAGATGCTCTTCAACATCCTCAAGGCATACTCTCTCTATGATCCCCATGTCGGTTACTGCCAAGGTCTCGGATTCTTGGTTGGGCCACTTCTCATGAACGTAAGTGATATCGCCCTTTTTGATAATTTTCTTCCTCTCTAACTGTTACTACCAATAGTAATCCCCGAGCGACTGTATTGTAGCGCATATCCCACACACAGCACACTCAATGGAATATTTCTTAAATTTTAACTACATAGATGGACGAAAAGGAGGCGTTCTGTGTCTTTGTCCGCCTGATGGAGACCTATGATATGCGAACCATGTTTACGTTGAACATGGAGGGTCTTCAGTTGCGCCTTTACCAGTTCTCGGCTCTGTTGTCGGAACATCTGCCCATGTTGCACGCCCATCTCTCGTTCCACTCTATCCAGGCTGCCATGTACGCATCCCAGTGGTTCCTCTCCTTGTTCGCTTACACATACCCCCTGCCACTGGTTCTCCGTGTCTATGATGTCGTCTTTACCGAGGGTGCCCCCGAGACCATTATGCGTGTCGCCGTAGCATTCTTGAAGAAGAACGAGGAGAAGCTGATGCAGTTGCAAGAGTTTGAGGACTTGCTCGAGGTCTTGTCGTCCAAGCTCTACGATGTCTACGAGGACAATGCAGGAAGCGTGATCAAGGACGCCATGGCCCTCTCTTCCGAGATTTCCAAGGACAAGCTGGATGCGCTCGCCATGGCCTACTTGGCCGAGTTGGAGGATCAGCAGAAGCGTGCCGGTGAGGTGACCAGCAAACGGTTCAAGGATCGCTTCGGTTCATCCAAGGCCAAGACAGAGGAGGTCAAAGCCGCGCCTGCCGCCCCCAAGCCCAAGACTACCCCTCCATTGAAGCGCGGTGGCAGCCGTCTTTCGATCGCTGCCTCGTTCGGATCCACAGCCAGCCTCGCTGGCTTGGGCGACGGAGATGACGACGAGTCTGTGGAGACTTCGAGCATCAGCAGGTCAAACACCGACGCCATGTTGATGGAGCAGATTCAGGATTTGGCCAAGGCTCTGTCAACACTCCAGAGGGATCATGTCGATGTGACGGAGGCGCTTGTCGTCTCCAAGATGGAGAAGATGCAGTTCATGGAGGAGACCGAGAACCTTCGCAAGAAGATCGCCGACATGGAGCGTCAACAGAACCGTGCTTCGATGATGAGCGCCGTTTCTCCCTCGGTGATGAGCCAAAGTGACGCTGCCTCCTCTATGGCCATGTCCACCCACTCGCGGGATGAGGATTTGGAGGAATGCTTGGATACCAAGGCTTCTTCGATCGCTTCCTCGACCAACGGCCAGGATGAGCTTTCTCAGCGTCTCTCTGTGGTTGAGCGCGAGCTTGCGCATGTCACTGGCGAGCTCGTTCACGCCAAGGTCTCTGTAATGGAGGCAATGAACGAGGTCGAGTCTCTGCGTCAAAAGAACCACAACTTGGATAAGGTTCTGATGGACTCCAAGGAGGCGGTCATGATGCTCCAGGAACAGCAGGTGGTCCTCCAGTCAACCAAGATGGCCATGGCGATGGAAATAGACGGTTTGCGCCATGAGCGGGATACCTCTGAGAAGGAGATCAACGTGATGCGCCAGCAGTTCGAGGAGACGAAGCGTCTGTGGTTGGAAGGTCAGGTCGAGCGTCACACCCTGCAGGAGAAGGTCAAGGAGCTGGAGATGAACGCCGCCTTTACCGCATCTACCAACAGCCTGGGACGAGGTCGCACTGTCCGCAAGTCCCTTGGAGAGGTCGCGATGATGAGCATGATCAACTCGAGAAGCGGTTCGCCCTCGCCCAGAACCTCGACCCAGATGACAGCCCTCTCGGAGGACGGCATGCAGACTCTGAACGGAGAGAATGCTCGTCGGGGGTCTGGAGATTCGCAAGAGAGCTCTGGCCGACAAACTCTGCCCCGTGGCAGTACCGATACCTTGGGCTCGACCCAGTCTGGACGCGAGTCGATGTCGAGCTCCAGACCTCCAGCGCTTGTTCGTAAGGGATGGCCAAGTGAGAAGGCAGCGAGTGCAGGAGTTGTGCCTACATCGCCAACGTCGAGCGGGTTCGGAACGCGCAAGTTTATGGTGGCTGAGGGCGAGACGAAGCTCAAGCGCAGCCAGTCGACACGTAACAGCATGTTTGGCGGTCTTAGTTTCCGCCGCTCCAACAGCGAGGTCAACTAAGGAGGGGAGAACAGTTATATTTCCCCTCGTGAGCTACTTGTATAATCCTTATTTTTTCTCCTGTTACATATTTTGCTTTTTCTTTTGCGTTTTTTATTCGTTTTCTAGTGTGACCTTTCTTTCTTTTTTGTTTGCTAACTTACATCGTCCGTTTGACCGTGATACCACGATCTTCTGTGCCACCATTAAAAATATTCCTATTCGTTTGTAAACGGCTTCTTGTTTTCTGCTTGCTTGCTTGTTCTGCCGATTTTTGCATGCTTGTCCGCCATGGAGTGAGGGGAATAATATTCACTAATGAAAAATCATTCCTTGGGGTTGATATTCATTCGCGGGGTTTCCTATCACTCATCGGTCGCATTCCATTTGTGATGAAAACAGCCAGGGTCCCCCTTTTTCCACCTTGTGTTCGTACCCTGTTTCCACTTGGCGGGCGTGTGGTTGTACCAAATCCACTTGACAAGCCAACCGCCGAGTCCATCTGACTGAAGATGTGTGCACAAATGCAAAAAATGCGATAAAACGACCTTCCTTCCTTCCCTTCCTCCTTTTAAAAAAAAAGAACCCACGCTCTGAAGGCAACCCCACAACTTCGAAATCACCTGTCCATCTCCTCATTCATCACACACCCACTCGACTATCCAATTACGAGCACATCCCTCCTGGAAGAAGTACAACCGACTCCTACTCATCCCCTCCTCATTCCCCACCACCACTACCACCACAACCACATACCCGATGGTGATGACGAGGGGTCCCACGGCAAGGATGACACACCAAACCACCTCCGCCGCTGTCGCCGCCGCTCGGATGACCATCGCCAGAACCAGAACCAGAACACCTCTCGCGATGTCCAGCCTATGCCGACAACAACACCAATACCAATACCACGGTCAGGGCGGGCCTTCGTTTTCTAGAACATTGGACAAGGTTTCTACGAGTGCGACTAGGACAATGTTTGGAGCTACGAAACGAGGGGCAGCGACGGACTCTGGTTTTGCTGGTTCATTCGTAGTCTCAGTCCAATGTCCGCCAGGGCCAGCGGGAAGAGGAGGAAGTTCGAGAAGAGTAGGTGTTGGGTTCCATACACATTCATCTCAGTCAGGCGCTACAGTGTCCGCAGCATCTCCATCAGCGACCGCCGCTATCCAAACGCAACAATACCAACAACATCACTACTCACAATTGCAACAACAGCGGAGCCAGCAGCAGGCTGGGATGTTTTTCATGTCTTCGCCACCTATGATGACTCGGCAGACTGAGTGTGGACCGGGAAGACGAGGTGTGCACCGGCATATGTCGACACAGCAAGAGCTCGATAACGTCGTTTCGTTTTATGATGACCAGGTGACCCTTGTAAGTCTTTCTCTTTTTTCCTTGGGACCCTTGCCTATCTTACCCAATGTCATACATATCACATGTCCTACGCCCCATGTTTCGTTAGGCTATGTTTGTAAAGGGTCCTGTTCGGTTTTGTTAACTGTGGAGGGGCTGTGTTTATTTTCTTTTTGGCGACGTGTTTGACATTGTGTTCGGGATAGTACGCCGACCAAGAGATCCAGACTGTCACGCTGAAGGCGCTCCTAGGCAGGCGGGCCAAGAAGGCCGGGGCTGAGGAGGCAGCGCTACCAACAACAACAGCAGCAGTCGACGGAGACGACCACGACCATCACCAACAGGATCTAGAAGTCAACTTACAGATGGCTCGGTATGCACGCAAGGAGTTACCAGTCCGGCTAGCTCGACGGGTCAAATCGATCCAGAACCTACCCTTTATTATCGGGACCAACCCGTATATCAAGCGAGTGTATCGGCTTTACTACGATTCCTTCCAGGCCCTGACGGCGTTCCAGGAAGATATTCGAGATAAGGAGGATTTGGACCGGTTTGCGGAGGTCTTGCGAGGCTTGGTTGAGTCTCATACGGATGTTATTCCTATGCTCTCCCAAGGTAACGTATTCAATTCATTGGAAACAATAGGTTCTTCAACGAAACAGAAAATATCGAACCCCCTGACTGACTGACGTATTTTTCAATATCGACATATTTATTGCATGCGACATCCAGGTTTTCTGGAATGCAAAAAATATATGAACACTACCGACATTCAAACTTTCCTCGACGAGATGATTAGGTCGCGTATCGGAATCCGACTGATTGCTGAACAGGTTATCGCTCTTCGGGCGCAAAGGACGGACATACTCAAGTGTGACGACAACGAGGAATCTACTCAAGATAGCTGCAGCACCATCACTACAGACCAATCGAATGCCGATAGCAAAGTCATTGGTGTCGTCCATACACAACTCAGGCCGGCAGAACTGGTCAAGGACTGCGCATCGTTTGTCCAGGAACTGTGTAACGTCAACTATGGATCGAGTCCCGATGTGGTGATCAACGGTCAGACGGACGCGACGTTCACCTATGTGCCTGTCCATCTCGAGTACATTCTCTGCGAACTTCTCAAAAACTCTCTGCGAGCAACGGTTGAGCACTCGGCCAAGATTGGGCGGTCTGTTCCACGACGAGAGACCAGCATCTTTGACGAGCCCTCAGAGGAGGAAGGGTCAATTGATCATGCCGAGGTCCGACAAGTTCGTCAGGTGGACAAAGGAGGATCATTGTCATCATCGTCGCCAACACGGAAAGAGAAGGGAGGCGAGGAGCTAGATATTACCAAACGGCCGAACGAGTTTGGACACCCACCGGTGGAGGTGACGATTGCGCAGAGCGAGCATGAGATTACAATCCGGATCCGTGACCAGGGCGGTGGAGTGTCACAGGAGGACCTGGACCACATCTTTGATTACTCGTTCACGACCGTCAAGGATGAGAACGAGACCTCTTCCTCATCCTCCTCCGCGGCGGCTAGTGGTGGTCCGTTGGATGGTGGTAGTCCTAGCAACGAATCTGAGAGCATCTTTACGGGAGTCAGTCGGTTGGCGATGCAGGCTGGACTTGGAGGCCCAATTGCTGGTCTAGGTTTTGGGTAAGCTGGGATTTTTGGTTCTGTTACTGCCTATGTCTCTCTGGTGTTGGTTTTTTGATGCCCTGGTGGTGTGTTTGCTATCGGGGTGGCAGTATACGCTCCTTTGCTCATGCGCATGTATTTTGCGCGCTGATCCTGTTTGTTAATTGAGGAAAAAGGGACAAACGCGAAATAATAACTAAACCACTAACCCAATTTCTCTCTCTGTCTCCTTCCCTTGCCCTACCTTCTCACTTTCCCTCTCCCGCACATTTCTTGCTCTCCCTCACACCCTTTTCAACTCTCTAACGCATTTCTCACTCCTTCTCTCTCTCTCTCTCTCACACACCCACGCCGTACTCACTCTCACACACACATATCTCGCTTGATCTCTTCACCTTTTCACCCTTGCATAACAATCTCGGCATGTTTGTTTGTTTGTTGCATTCTGTTTGATTGTTTGTTGTTTCGCTACCTTGTCGCGTCTTTGTGTTTTGTGATATGTTGGGTTCAATTTGGCTTTGGCTTTGAATCTTTTTAGTCTGCCTTTGACAAGAATCTATGCACAATACTTTGGCGGACGTATGCACCTCGTGTCCATGCAAGGCCATGGCGTCGACGTCTATTTAAAACTCAAGCAGCTCCAACATGTTGAAGACCTGCAAATCTGAATACACATACACATTTGAACTCCAATTGCAAACCGTAAGCCGTTTATTTTGTATGTAGCTTTTTGTTAACGCAATTACGAGTAATATTAAAGATGCACAATCGCGAAAAAAAAAGTGAGCTTGATCTGATAATGAGGCAGTGCGAGGGAGGGCGAAGATGATTGATGAAAAAAGGCAGAAGGAAGGATGACGAAAAGGGAATGAGGCTGTGAACTGTGAACCGAAACCTCTTGTTACACATATTTTTCGACTTTTTTCACTCGATTCCCATCGCCATCAAATATAGTATTCCATCATCGGGGGGGGGGGGGGGGGCATAGCGATGAGGCAGTGCCAATGCGCATGTGTGGAGAAAAGCAAAGTAATCCAAGCAAAACGGAGGAAAACTACAAAAGTAAGGCAAAAAGGAAGGTGATGAACTCGAAACCTCTTATCACACCTGTTTTTCGAACTTCTCCTGCATGCTTACCTTCCATCGTGGGTCGCATTGGGATGAGGCAGTGCAAGAGCAACGGTAATGTGGAAGGCAGGAAGGTAAGAAAGAAAGACAAGGATCAAATGAAAAGACGCCTAACACAGCTTTTATTACTCACTCTTCGACTTTGCCCCTGCATCACTTGGCTCCGGTTCCTTGATTTTTGTCTTGCAGGCTATCGTCATCGCCACTAGACACGATTGTGATCATCTGGGGTCGCATGGGCAAGGGAAGAAAAAAAAAGGTCACCCATTTTTTCTGCCTTTCCTACACACACCACCTGGTTACACCATCGGGGTCGTATGGCTCTCGTCAGTCGTTGAAGAAGGAGAACGCGAAGGAGAGTGGAAGTTTACACGCAATCTGGTCTCACACAACCGAAAACGGCCATACCTTGACCTTCCAGAAAGAAAAGAAAAAGAGGAGCCAAGGAAAGACATTGGTTAAAGTTGACCTTCGTCATCGCACATCATCTCAACCTTATCCCCAGCTCCTCTGCACATCTGTGTTTGGAATAGAGTTACGAGACCAAGCCCCGAAGAGGAGAGAAGACTCTTTATTGTCTTGATAGAAGCGCAAGAAAGGAACACAGGAAAAGTTCGCGAGAAAAGTGTGTATGTGTGTGGAGACGTTTTTTGTTCGTTCTCTCCGTGGTTTCATGAAACCGAAGGGCCGTTTGCTTCCCCCCAAGGTCGTTAGGAAACTTTGTTCGCGAACTTTCTGTTGTGTTTGGTTCTTGCGGCTGTTCATTTCGTCTTGTTCACAAATTATTTTTGCTTCATTCGTTGTGTGCTCTGTGATACAATAACAGCGGAATGAATCTTACAAAGATGGTACCTGGCAAACCTTCAAATACCCTTGATAACGGATGATGGACACTCAAATTCTTTTGGGCTCCCGAGACCCGGCCAACCAGAAAAGCCCTCGCAGGGGTTCTGGGCCAAAAATATGAGTACAATTTTATCGCTGATTGGCTGCTTTGTAGTAGAATAACGGACCTCTTTTTTGTTTGAATTGAGTGAACAGCTACTTCATAAAAAGAGTGGGAATCATGCACTACACTCCAGGGGGCACCGCTCTGCAAAGAAGAAAGGGGAACCCCCAGAAGATATTGTGGAGGTGTTTGTGAATTGCCAAGACGAGGTTGTGGTCGCCACTGTTGATTTTTTTTTTCATTGGGTCAGACACGTGTTGTTTCGCAACACAGCACAAAATGGCCCAGGAAAAAGAGACAACCAACCTAGAAACCATACAAAGTCATACAAAAAAAGTGGGCGGGGCAGACAAACTGTGTCTGACGAATGTTTGGGATGCGACCTGAAATAAATCAACAATACAGAAAGATACATTCAGTCGGTTTCCTCCCTTGGGTTCCCAGAATGACGACAATGGGGGGTGGGGGTGAACACCAGCTTGTTGATAGAAAAAGAAAAAAAGAAGGAAGGAAGGGCCTGAGGAAATAACATATGAAGTAGATTATCTTTATATCCATTTGACACCGCCTCTCTGTCGTTTAAACTTATTTTTTCTCATGCCGTTTTCGGAAGGAGTGGAAGCGAACAAACACAGAAACACCAATGTAGACACGTATGTGGTGTATATGGGCAGCAAGAGGTCTGGCAGAGATAATGCCGGATGGTCCTTTTCTTTTTCTTCTTTCTGTTCTCCTGTCTTCTCTTCCTCGGAGTAATTCAGAGTTGATCCTGCTTGTTCAAAGTTCTTTCCCCCTTTTTTTTCCTTTTTTTCTCCTTGGTTGATGCTGCAGCCTCCTAACAAACAAACCACGTCAAAAAAGGAGGAGGGGACAAGGGAGAGAGAGACATAATAGGGAGAAGGAGGAGGGGTGTTGTTCCATTTCACTTGAGGTTGATTATTCAACGAACAAAAACACACTTCATCGAATTTTTCAACACTTGTCGCTCTTTAGCCCATATACAATTGAATAAAGTAAAAGAGACAACACAACACAAATCAACACAAAGAGAACACAAAAAAATTAAACTGTCGGATGGTCGGATGGTCGGACAGCCAGTCAGTCAGTCAGTCAGTCAGTCAGTCAGTCAGTCAGTTAGCCTGTGCAGTTATTTCAACTAGTTATTCATTCAGTTATTCAGATGGTAAGCAAACATAATAAATAAACATACAACTGGAGTGCGACCAGGGAGGTTGTCAAGGAAGGAAGTATGATTTCCGTCCTTTGCTTCCTTTCTTATATTTCCCTTTTCTTTTTCTACTTCATCATCTCTCTTTCCTCTTTATTTTATTTGCCCTTGTTCTTTTTTTTTTCTCTTTTTCTCGATCATATCCTCGCCCTTGTGTCGTTCTTCATTTTCTTCAGCTCTTCTTTCGCATTTTTGTACCTTAATCTTCCGTATCATTGTTCTCTCTCTTTCTCTTTCTTCTTTCCTTCATTCATTCTTTATCTGCTTGTAGTACATGTATCTGTGCACCTAATCATTGTCATCGTCAATATCACCATCATCCCCTTCTCCCCACTCTATTCACATCTTACTTACCTCAATCATCCACTCCATTCTTCAAGCTTCATTCAAATCTACATCCACCCCTTTTTTCGACTCATATAAACAATTACATCACCCGCCCTTCGACCCACCACATTGACCAGAGTTCGACCTCTCACGTCTATTACTTCCCTCTAGTCATCTCATATAGCCTTTTCACTCTCGGGAGCTGTGCTCAGAACCGTTTCTTTCATTCAACCCATGCTTCGTTGACGATCCCTCGTCCTTCACCACCTTTCCTCTCTTTTTTCAAGGACCAATTTCAATCGTCCCAGTCAAAAGCCCACAATAAGGAACAACAAATAACCTCCATCGAAACGTAAGTGAACCAACCAAACAATTTTCCCTTGCGCCAGTTTTTTTACCCATTTTTTCCCACTTTTTTTTTTTTTTTTTTTTTTTTTTCTGTGAAAGTTCTTTCGGTTTGTTTGTTCATTCTCTGCATGGCCCGCAGCTCTGTTTAAAGCTGCTTCTACCCAATCTATGTACCTTTCGAAAGGCCGCTCTAAACCTTTCTCAAGCATGGTCCCATCCATCTATCCCATCACTCCCTCTCTCTTTCTCTCTCTCTTTCTTTCTCTCTCTCTTTCTTTCTCTCTCTCTTTTTCTCTCTCTCTCTCTTTCTCTCTCCCCCTTTTTATATCTTTTCCCGCAACATGCATTCGCTTACTCAAGCATACACAAAAGAACTATTCCTCAACCTCTGGAACAGTTTCTCTAATTGCACACGTAGCCCCTCCTACTTCCTTACTCACTTCCGTTTATTCAACTTCGCCCCTTTATTGCAAACAACTGAGAGATACACACAAACAAAACATTTCTCTCATTCCCGCGCTCAAAAGACGACAAAAAAGGGAAGCTCTATCTCATCCAACAGAACCCTTTACGGCCACCATCGCGATGCCCCATTCGTGCAATCAAACTGGTGGCCGTCCCTACTTTTCCCTTTGTCTGTCTCTCTTCCTAGTTCTCTTTCCCTCTATATCTTATTTTTGCGTCGCTATTTCTTCATTGCCTTCTTTCATTTGCTCACCATCCAGGTACTCGGGATTCAGATACATCGACCGCTCTCCCGTTACACATGTTTTCTCCACTCATTTATCTTTTTGCACCTGTGTGATTTATTTCCCACTGAACCCTCTGACCTTCTGACTGGAATTATTTCATCATTTTGTTTTCTCTTTTGTTTGTGTCCCATGGATACGAGCGTGTAAAACTCTCCACGCACAAACACCATCGCCATGATGTCTGCATTTTCTTTTTCGCCATTGCCGTACCTTTCATATGGCGATGGCAAACTTCCGTGAACCCCCTTCATTTATTTTGTCCGCTTCAGTCTAAGCAAACTATGGGAGAGAGATGAGGGACATATATACTGTCACTAGCAGGTTTTTTTATGATGTACGCTCGTTTGGATCTGGTCCGGTTGATGTGGGTCCTTACTGGACAAATGGAAGTGCTCTATTGTAAAAAAAAGATGATCTTCAGAGCGAGCCCTTCGCCCATTGGATTGTAGGCAATTGAGAAGGAGGAGAGCCGTAACTCTCTTTCTTTGTTTGCACGGTTAGATTGTGTTTAATGTGTTGTCTGTCTGCTTGCTCGACCATCTGTCACTTTTTCTGCTGTGATGTTTGTTATTCTTTACGTTTGGGGCATTGCATTTGAGATGGAGAGACAGGGACTGACAAAAAAGAGAATGGAATGGCTAACCTTTCAATACCGCGAGATTGATGCTCTCTCACACGCACATACTCTCATTTGCCCTCCTGCGCCCTTTGTCAAAGTTAGCTTAGCGGGCAGATGCCTTTGTTGTATTGGAGTTTTGCAGGGCAAACCTTCATTTTACCTTATATTTATATTTATTATTTACGTTTGATATCCGAAGAGTCTGGAAAGAAGATGGTAAGGGAAGGGAATAGAGGAGGAAGGGAAGGGACTAAGTAGTAGATGGACTGAAGAAGAAGATGAGTAAGAAGTGGAAAACGATTTGTATGTTTTTATTTGTAAGCGTACAATGAACGGGCGCTATGGATATCGTACGTGCATGTTTGCAAAAGAGAGGTGGATCCTTGCCAGCAGAACAAAAGGGAATTGAAAGCAGAGGGAATGCAGTCGACTTCCATTCTCTTTCTTTTTCATGCTTATCCTCTTTTTCTTTTGCCACTTTTTTTACACTTTTCGTCCATCGATGGGGGACTGATAACGTTGGATGCTCTTGTGTGCTCTACAAGAAAGGCTTGCTAGGCAGGCGGTTGGGGGTTTTTTTTTGTTTGTCTCTTACCTTCTTACATTCGCACTCTTATTCCTCTCCAGCCGGCTTGATTTCCAAAAAAAAACATACAACAACGCAATCGCCGTCGAGATCCTTTTATAGTTTCGGTTTTTGTTTTCGTTTCCTTGCTTGCTTGCTTGTTTGTTTTTTGTTATGGTTGAGGTTGTTGATGTTTGTTTATTTTGGTTTCTTTTTCAATTGTACTCTTTTTATTACTTAGGCCTCTGCCCTTTCGTTTTTACTGTCCCTTGTTTGCCTCCATTTCAACTCTCCCTTCCTTTTTGTCTCCTCTCCAACCCTGCTCCCTGCTCTCTTTCTCTTTCTCTGACTCCCAGCCTCCCTCTCTCTCTCTTTCTCTCCCGTCCACTCACACGCTCCCTTTCCATTCCCATTCTCCATCATCAACCGACAGTCTTTTTTTTTTTTTTTTTTTTACTTTTGCCAATCTGCAGTTGCGAATTCGCCAATGTACAGTTCGGGTTTGCAAACTCTGACCCTCGAATTATTTTTCTGTTTATCTTTGTTCGCCGCTCCTTTTACTCTCACCTAACACACATACAACCCCCTTTTTGGGATGTGACCAATCCACCCTATGCTTCTCTGCATAGCCTTCTTCCTTTCCACTGTCATTCATCCTGCCTATCTGAAACGGCATTCAGCCATCCTCCCTTCACCACCACAACTACAACTACAGCTTCAATTGCAACATCAACTAAAACAACCGCAACAACGCCTGCTACAGCCACCCCACATGGACCATCTTGAGGCAGCAGCACTTGCAGCCGCCGCCAGCGCTACTACCACTGCCGTCAATCCCGATATCAAAATCAACTCGCTCGACTCTTCCCACATCCCTGGAAGCTTTCGCGACGACATCTTCCTGAAGGTGTCCATGGTCCGGTCTCGATCTGGTTCCTCCAGCAGCGTAAAAATGTCTACCGATCTTCAGCAAGGTAACAATTCGACCCGAACGACCGACTGCTTGGTTGCCACTTTTTTCATGTCTTCTATGTTTTTTTTTCTCCGTTCTTTCCTCGCCCTCCTTTCAGAGACGTATGTCCACGCGCCCCCAGAAAAAAAATCTCCGCCGCTCTTTTCTACTCTTTTTTAGCTTTCTCTTTTTCTCCCTCCTCTCTCCTTCCTCTCTCTCTCTCTTCCTCTCTTTCGTGTTGCTTCTTCTGACTTACTACATTCACCCTTTCATGGCCATGGCGCATTCACACACACACCAATGGAGAGTGTAAAAAAACAAGCGTGCATACAAAATATGGATTGAGGGTAAGAAGGGAGGTGGACAGGATAGGGAGATGAGGACAGCAATTGAAAACGATGCACATGTGTATGATGCGGTGTCGTTGTGTCTGTGTGTTTGGGTGTGGGATGTGTACAAAGAACTCTCGACAGGGGAAAAATGAGCAAACGGAACAAGAGGCGGGGGTCAACAAACAAACAAACAAACAAACAAACAATGGGAAGGAGAAAGAAAGAGAGACGAAGTGGTTGATAACCACGCTTGCATGCATCGCATTCTAACAAATAGAATAGAGAGGTTGTTATTTATTATTATTATTATACGTTTCGTTTTCTCAATCCTTCCTCTTCTTTTCTTCCTTCTTTCCCACTGCTTCGTCCTCCTTTCTTCCCACTCATTTCCCTCTTCTTCCTTCCGTCGCTCTTTCATCTTTACCCCATCCACCATTCACCTATCTATACCTACACCATACCTCCACTATTCACCCATCCATACCTCCACCATTCATCCATCCATACCTCCGCCATTCACCTATCCATACCTCCACCATTTCCTTCGTTCATTTCCTCCACTGCTCTTGCATATTTTCATCTTCATTGATACGTTCTTGAGAATACGTCGCTCCCGCTCTTCTCAATCATCCCCTGCTTCTTTCTTCCCTGACCAACCTCCTCACGTCGGTCGCACCACAGCAATTCATAAACCCCCTTCATTCGCCGCCCTCTCCTCGCCGTCTCCCCTTCACTTCCTCTTCCTCTCTTCTTTGCTTCCTTCTCCTCTTCTTCCCTCGTCCTACAAATAGGAGCATCTCACACCCTCATTTTTCTCCGCTCTTGCCCCTTCGCTTTCTTTCATTCTTCTTTTCCTTTCTTTGCATTGTAAGCTTCGTTCGTTAGTCATTATCACCATCGCAGTTGACATCGCAGACATCGTCGATATAGTGCCTTCATTCGTTCCTTTCCCTCTCCCATTTTCCCCTATTGTTCGATTCACTTCCTCGGCTCACCTTGAACCTCGAACTCGCTGTGTTTAGTTCCATTTTCTTCCAATCAACATCAAAACCTCACCTTTCTTTCCTGCCACTTCCACACACGTCACCTTTCGACGTTTTTGGACCTGTCTCTTTTCTTTTCAAGAAGCTACCATTATTTTGGTTTTATTATTTGGCTTCAACTCTTAACTCCCGCCAATATTTGGGAACTGGCACAACACGGAGAAAGGGACCGAAAGTGCGCTCCGAAGCGAGCTCATGATGCTCAACTTTGTAAAAAGAACAAAACCCTCTTTTTAACCCAAGTAGAATAAGAGATCGTTCCAGAGCGGGGGTAATAGGAGTTTAAGAAAACAAAAGTATATTGTTGTTATTTTCAATCCGATAAAATAAGATGTGGTTCACAGTCCCTTTGGGTCAAACGCATAAACCTCTTTGTCGTCGACCTTTTTTGCGTTTTTTTTTCTTCGCCACTGTCCCAAAACACCACCGACGGATGGAGTGACTTTATTTTGGTTGCGCAATTTCCATGCTAACGTTATTTTTTGTTGCCTTTGTCCTTTCTTTTTCTTCCTTTTCTCTCTCTTTCTCTGTCTTCTTTCCTTCTCCTCCTCCTCCCAGGATTGGCAGCATCTAGTATAGGCCAAAACCTCCGACGAGGATCCTCGACCTTCCGCCATCGATCCCCTCACGCCTCTCAAGAGCGCTATATGCCTTATAGCGCCACCTCTCCCCGCTCACCTCACTCACCACTCTCACCACAAGCATCGACGTCCCCTTTCCTCGTTCACTCTCCTCCACCATCAACCTCGCCTAGCTCCATTAGCAACTTTTTGTCCGCACCGCTATTGTCTTCGTCACCCTCATACGCCTCTTACAACGTGCTCCCTTCTGGTTCGCCTTCCGTTCAATTAGGCCCAGCAAGATCTCCTCAACACCTCCAATCCACCAACCGGCACGAGCAACAAACGTCGCAACAGCAACAACAACAGGAACAAGCAACTGTTGGACGTTACCTCCATCGCCACAACTCTAGCGAAGGCGTCCCCGCGTCAGAGAGTTGGACAGGGCGCAGCTTAAGTTCAGAATCCTCCGGAAGGTCGCCATCCTCCTACCCACTATCATCCCACTTTCCTCCTTCCTGGTCCTTGACCTCAAGACAAGAGTCATACCACGATCACTCCAACTCCCATCTCGACAGCAAGCACCTTCATCTTCATCGACACGAGCCAAACCCACACCACCATCACCACCCAGCTTCTCAATACCACTCATCAACTTTGAGCGACCGACAAGAAGCTGAGCACAGCACTAGAATGTCGCAAGACTACCCAGAACGGATAGGATCCCATCAAGAGGATGAGACTTCCCGTCAGCACCAACAGCGCCAGCAGCAGCATGTTCGCCATTCGTCTCAACAGCACCATCGCCACCAGCACCAACCACAGCATTCACAACATCACACAGACTCGGGCAGACCGCAGGATCGGTACCAGGATCCCCGCTCAGAACACCCAGTTGATCAGTACTTCCATACTTCGAACATCCCAAAGGCTCCGACAAGCATACATATCCATCACAGTTCGCCGTCATCAGCAGCGCATAATGCATTTGCATCACTCTCCCAACCGCTGCGTCGGTCCTCGCGCCATCTTCATTCTCACGGCCAGGAGCACCATCCACAGCAGCAGCAGCAGCATTTGTATACCTCGCATCCCTCCCGCCACCACTCTATGACATCCGACCATGCAGAGCGCACATCGGTTTCATCACATGCCAACGCAGGCGAACCATCCTCGTCGAGTCCCTTTGCAGTATCGAGAACTTCTTCGTCTTCTCGCCTGCCACCCCATTCCTCCTTCTCCATAGTATCGTCGGCGTCCGTCTCTGGATCAAAGTCAGTCCATGCTTCATCGTCGACCTTTGCAGCAGGAGCAGGATCGGCCGTTCGGCCTGTTCCTGCAGGATCAACCACATCGCCTGTCGCAGTGACAACCACACCATCAGGCGAAATCAAGACGACGCGCAGGAGACGTCGACCCAACGAGTCCTACTCGACCATTATTATCAAGGCCATTCGCAACTCTCCCCTCCAGCGACTGAAGCTCTCAGAGATTTATGATTATGTCAGTCGCGAGATCCCCACCATGGATGGCAACGACAAGGGTTGGCAGGTAAGTTTTTTATGCTTTATGCTTTATGCATTGTCGTTTGCTCGTTTTTTTTATTTACTTTACTGTTTCGCATACTCTGCTTTGGCAACTGGGCCCCTTTTTTTTCCTTCTTTGCGCACATGCCCTTTATTATATCCTTTTCTCATCCCCTCCCCCTGCTTCTTGGACCGATTGGAATAACCCCAATTAATTCTTTATGTTTGTTGTCATTCTCTTAGAACACGGTTCGCCACAACCTTAGCCACAACAAGTGCTTCCGCCGGATTGTTATCAAGGACGAAGACCTGCCCTCAGGATCGGCCGATGATGACGATGGTGATTCGAAACCCAGTAACGGGGGAAAGTCCAAGCAGGTCAAGCGTGGCAAGGGAGGATGTTGGGTCTTGGTTCCCGAGAACCTGGAAGAGCACATGTCCTCGTCTCGACCCAAGAAAAGCTCAACCGACCAAGTGCACAGTCCTGCGGTACCAGGAATTGGGAACGGTGGTCTAACTTCGTCAACCAGCCCAAAGAGTCATGCTCATCACACTGTTGGCAGTTCAGGAGGCGCTATCATACCCAAGGCAATGACCAGCTCAACAGAAGGAGCATACTTATCAGCCCAGTTGCCAAAAGATTGTGCGCCTTCTCATCCACATTCGACCGTGATGGATATCGACTGCAATGTGGCCTCGATGATGATTGCAGAGCAACAACTACAACAGTCTGGACGCCACCATGGTCCCCATATGCATCCTTCCCACTATACTCCTCTTCACCCACACTCTCGTCAAAATTCTCAGTACTCATCTCAATCAGATCACCGTCATCCTCACCACCAGCAACAACACCACGACGCTTCGTACCCATACCTCCCACCTCACTATCCTTCATCCTCTCCATCATCATCGACGATGATGATGAACCAACCAACATCGTCCAGTGCCGCCTATCAGTCCTTTACTACCACCACACGCCCAAGTCAACACAACTACAACAGCAGTGGAGACGAATGGGACCATGACAGTGAGAGTGATGACGGCCAGAGCGAACACTCTGTTCTATCGGCCGACCGTGAGAACGACGATGACGACGATTATGAGGGAGATGAGGCTATGGACGCGAAGGAGGAGGACGACACCATCTCGCACTATTCCTCCTCTCGTCCGTCCCCCTCCCGCTCCCCTTCAGCATCGACTTTGTCTATAACCTCGTCGCCTATGGAAATCGAAGAGGCGGATGGTGGGAATGGCGGAGAGTCGTTTTCGTCCTTACCGACCACCGGTCGTCGTCGTCCTGGCATGTCGATCCAAAACATGCTCAACTAATGTTTCTATCTCGTTAATTTCCTTTCTTTTCCGCTTGTTTCCCTTCACCTCCTTACTTTCGATACGAGCAACACATACACCAAAAAAAAGTCGATCGACACCTCCCTTCCTAGTCTACGACACCCTTTGTACAATAGCCCTTTCTTTCCCTTCCTTAACACCTCCTCCCCTTCCCCTCCCCATCTAATTCCCTCCATTAATACAACACGACAAGGCATGAAAGGGGCCAAAAATTGAGATGCATACACAAACATACAGAAACATGTGCATGCCTCTACCTACATTAATTTAGAACCAAAATAATGGTGGATTGCTGCTAGGCTTGTGGACAAGCCTTTGTTTGACATTTCGTCATTTTCTCCTTGTTTTTTCTCTCAAAGTGCCAGTTTTTTGCCTTGATTCAGCATTTAAGGCTTTGATGTACATTTTTTTCTTCTCAAGGGATCTCGACAAAAGCCCTTCTTGAGTAAGGGGGTGAGGTGGAGGAGATATAGGATAAAAATGCAGAGAAATAAATGATTGGAACATCCTCTTTTCTATCCTATAATGTGTTCTTCCTTTGTAACATTTCATTGATAGGTGTGTTGTAAAGGGCTGTCATGTAAGGAGATGAGAAAGAATGTTTAACATATTAAATAATAAGTATCAGCAAGGAGACAAAGATAGACAAAATAACGAAGGAGAACGGTGTGGTTGCTGTCCATACTCTACCCCCTTCTCTCTACCAAAAGTTCACCGATTGACCTCCCTGCACCCTCCACCAACCTTCTAGCCTTTCTAGAGCTCAACCCCCCTACGCTCCCTTGCTTCCTTTTCTCACGATCCCCTCCTAGTCATGTTTTAGCAGATCTAAAAGTATACGCCACCAAACTATATCGTGTAGAAATGATCAAACGCGAAAAAATGTTTTGATCACAACCAATCCGCACGGGCCAATCTCGATGATTCTTCTGAGAGAACATTGAAATGTTTTGTTCTTTCCATCAATTGGTTTTCGTTCTGTCGATCATTCCTTCTCAGGTGTCTATCCCCCCCCTCCCTCTCCACATTCCCTGCTCCATCTCCGACAGAGACAAACAACACTCCAATCACGACCACTCCAACCTGGCAAAAATAACGTAAGCTCAAGAACCTGAAATGAAGTAGAGAATGAATTTTTTTGTTTTTAATATTGAAGTGATTTTTTTGCTAATTGCTTTTGGTAAAGAGGAGTGGTTTTTTTGGTGTGAACGAAATTAACTAAAGGAAAGGAGACTACTGCCTTTTTTATAGTGGCAGGAACTGTGTGTGTGTGGGGGGGGGGGGGGGGGGGGGCGTGAGAGGGGTTATATGAAAACCCCTCTCGTCTCTATCATTTTGGGTGCCCAAGAGTCATGAAAGTGGAAAGAAAAAACGCAAAGTAAAGGGAAAAGCAAAGAAACGGAAAAGGACAACAAACATAAGAAAAGCAAACTGAAAACTAGAAAAATAATCTCGTGAGGTGGGTAAGGGGGATGGAACCCTCCGGGGTGTGGTGGTCGTTCAATGCAACATGTTCGGGCGTGGTGTTAATGTTGTTTTTACAGGGTAGCTTCCTCGCGCTGGCGACGCTCCTGCTGGATGCAATCCTGGATAGGATCGAAGCGGTACTTTGTGGGCGTGGCGGGTGTCGACTGGGGCGAGAGAGGAGTTGAGCTGGCAGCGGTCATCGACATAGCCGCCATGGCAGCGCTGGTCAACGAACCTGTGCGTCCGCCACTGTTACTGCTCGACATCATGGGTCGGTCCAAAGACGAATGGGTGTGCTGAGAGTGGCTGTAAGAGTACGCGCGTGGATGCAACTCAGCCGCGGACGAGGTCGACGACGAGGTCAGAGTAGGAGAACCCAAAGACCGGCTTCCGCTGCCATGGAGGCTGGAAGATCCATGACCGCCATGATGGTGGTGGCGGTGGCTATGATCACGCTCGCGGTGGTCTCCACTTGCGCTGCTGCTACTGCCAGCACCAGAGTGCGACAGATGATGGGCGGTCGCATGGTAGTGTCCACTGGCTGCTGCTGCGGCGGCGGCGGCAGTAGCCTTGGCCTCCTGCTGTCGCTGCTTCTTGAGTTGCTGGCGTTGTTGGTACTCCTGCTGGTACTGCTGTTGGTACTGCTGCTGCTGTCGGTAGTAGAACAGCTGCTGGTCTCGGGTAGATGCTACGTCCTCCATGCGCTCGACGACCTGCGTCATGGGCGATGTAGGAGAATCTGGGACCGACCATGGTTGGGGACCTCCATCCTGTGCGCCGCTCTGGTGATGATGGTGATGGTGATGGTGCTCTCCACGCTCACGCTCACGATGGTGAGAGGTGGTTGACGTAGGGAGGGGTGGCGGGTAAGCTACAGCAGACTGCGATCCATGAGTCTTTGGCGAATCCTGTGAGTGCTGTCGGGATGCAGGGCGATCGAGTTGGTCATCACAGTCCATACCCTCTCCTCCATGTTGCTGCTGTTGCTGCTGCACATCGGATGAGAACGAGCGAGGTGGCGAGTTATGTCTGGACCCATGACGAGAAGATCCAGTAGGTGGGAGCGCCGCCGCCGCTACCGAGGGAGAGTTGTTGTTATCCTGGGAAGGCGAAGCAAGATATTCAGCCGACTCAAACTCGCTTCCTTCAACGCCGCCGGCCTCAGGGTCCTGAGGGTCGTACTTCTTGGAGCCTCCACGACGCGACTTGGGCGAGATGTGAGTGCGGTAATGTTGCATCATGTTATCCTGTCTCGAGAACTTGCTTGGGCAACCAGGCATCAAGCATGCAAAGTTGCGTTCGCCCGTGTGGATACGGTTGTGGCGGGCCAAATGTCCACTATAAATAATTGTGGAATAGGGAGATAATTGTATGTCAGCTTTTGTTTTGATTTGTTTGTTTGTGTTTGTTTTGTTTGTTTACTCGCTGCTTGTTTGTTTGTTTCGTCAGGCAGGGGTAAAGAGGAAAAGTGGCATTGCTATGCAATGCAGGGAGCAAGGCAGGGGAGTACACAAAAAGAACACAAGACTAGGGCGTATTGTTGATGTTGTTTGTGTGCCGTAAGCAGCAATGACAACAGGCATAATCAAGTCGATTCATAAGCGCCATGTTATGTACCTTGTCGTGAAGCGCTTATTACATCCGGGGTGTGTGCATGAATACTTGCGCTTGGAGAAGCTTGGACCGGCAATGAGACCCTCAGGCAAGCCTGGGTGGCCCATATATCCGCGGTAGCCATCATGATCGTCTTGAGAGACATCTTCGGAGAAGGCGCGCATGAAAAAGGGCAGAGGAGATGAGCCAGGAGGAGGCACAAACGCAGGGGAGGAAGGGTAGGGCCCGTTGCTGTAAGGGTATAATTGAGCACCGCTGCTCAAGCTGCGGCTTCTCTGAGAGTTGGCCAGTGCGTCTTGGCCTCGTGTATCGAACCCAGACCGAAAAGGGGTGGCCGCATTGGTCAAGGATGTCGAACGGCCGGTCTCGTAGCTCTCTGAGCGGTGGCGGTTAGACTTGTGGGAGGAAGAGGACGAGGAAGGGTAGTAATAAGGGTCCCGGCGCTCCTCTGAGAAGTAATCGCGCACACCAGCGCGGTCGCGGAAGTGCGGGGATCGAGGTGACCGCACGGACGCCGAATGCTGTCCATGCAGCTCTGAGGCGTGTGGCGATCTCAGATCAGCCTGCTGTGCACTACCGTCTGGGTTAGAAGAGGCACCCCCGAGTTCTGAAGGGCTGTCGTTCAAGATGCTGACCTTGGTACCTGAAGAGTTGGTGATTGACAATCCAGCCAATTGCTTGGATTGTTGGTAGATTGCATGATCAGTCATTGAGTCGTCGATAGGGGAAGTGGCTCGTTGGTGCTGGTGGTGATGTTGTTGATGTTGATGATGATGCAATGGTGGGTAGGAAGCGAGGTCAGAAGGGCGGCTGGTGTTTCCGCCCTGAGAGTCTTTGCGATGGAAAGTTGAATGGGGTCGCGATGGTGGTTGTTGGTGTTGATATTGTTGTTGATGCTGCTGTTGTTGTCGTTGGTGTGACGATGATGATGAAGGTGGTGGTGGCGGTACTTCGGATCTGGGAGAGGCGAGCGGTGTGTGTGTAGAGGATGGGTGTTGGGTTGTGGAGGGGTTGTGGGGGCTGTAGAGCGATTGGTAGAATTGAGAAGGGTAGCTTGAGGTGGTGGTGGACATGGCAGAGGGTGGTGGTGGTGGGTCCTTGAGTATTTATATGAAATGGGGTTCCAGTCTTGAAGAGGGGTTGTTCAGTGGCCGACGGGATCGTACGCGCATTCAACCGTTGGTGAGAGAATTCAAGGGAGGAGGATTAAAAGAGTAAAATGAAAAAGGCCTGCTAGATGAAATTGAAAAATGGGACAATAGTATTAAAGCAAGGTTCAAGGGATCCAGGGCCAGGCAAAGGTCAAGTAAGGCTCACTCAGGTCCAGGTTCAAGCCGAGAGTGAGAATGGAAGGGGAGACAGACAAGAAAGGAGCAAGTACGTGGGGATTGTGATCTCTTTTCGCTGAAATTAAAAAATGGGGGGAATCAACGATGGGATGGATGGGTCTGTAGTGGCGAGATGACAAAGGAGGACGGGTACGAAGGAGAAGGGATGGAAAAAATATGAGCGCGCCAAGGCAGAAAAATGAAAAAGGATGGATGATGGCAGGAGGAATTGGCACACAAGGAGAAGGAGAGAGACAGAGAGAATGAAAAAGAGGGACAGAGAGAAAGAGAGAGAGAAGGACACGGATAGAGAGAGAAGAGAAGGAGTAGGAGACGGAGGGAAAGGGAGCACACGAGAAATGGACACGGAGGGGTAAAAGGAAGGATGTGATGCCGTTGAAAAGGAAATCACGGATCGAGGGAAAAAAAAAGGACAGCAAGCAGCTCTTTCGAAGTCGTCCTCCTGGTGGCGGCTCCAAGCTATTGCAAGAGAGCTTTTTTATCGGGTCGAGAGAGAGAGAGAGCAAGGATAGAACGGAGGGGGAGGAGGAAGAAGGAAAGAAGGGAGGGGAGAGATGACAGCTTGCTTGCTAGCCAACTAGCTAGCTAGTTATCTGGGTGGGGCTGTTTGGATGGGACTGGACCTTCGTCTACTTTCTTTCATATCGATACTGTATCCGATTCATTAAGAGTCGATTGTCCGGTGGTCATTCAATGCGACTAATTCAAGGCTTACCTTCTTGTTTGAACTAGAAATGGTTATGTGCCAACGTATGTAATTCGATTCGACGAAAGGTAGGAAAGTACACAAAGGCAGAGAAGGATAGTTGGAGTAACGCGTCGACCAATTGAAAGGGTAGTCGTTTCTTGTTGTCGCTGTTGTTGTTAGATGTTGTAGATGCTGTTGTTCTTGTAGTAAGTAAGGTCGTCGAGGTCGAGTAGCCGAAACTAGATTGGTAGAATAGAAAAAAAATGAAAAAAGATGGATGATGATGATGAAGGGGACAGAGAGAGAACAGCGAAAGAGAAGGGGGAAAGAAGAAAAAAAGAGATGGTTAGCATGCGAGGGTCAATATTTTTTTTTTTTCATTTCTGTTGAACATTCTTCTGGTGGAGTAGAGAAATGTATCCGCAACAAACATATTTGCTTAGATAGACAATTGAACGATAGGCCGGGCAAGATAGGTGCGGCGATGCGTTCACTCGCAAGCATGGACATTAACACGTTAGAAAAGTCCCTTGCAATGACGACAATGGGGATGGAAAACAAAACCATCCAACCACCAAGAACACAAAGTAGTAAAGGGTGTTCTGGCCCTCTTCCTCTTCTCCTTCTTCCTTGTCATTTGGAGAGAGGATCACTCATTCTTGATGGACTTGTTTGTTTGGTGTCTCTCTCGCACCCCTTTCAAACCTTGGCTGCACACCGACTGGCATCCAACTCTCAACCTATTTCGGCTCTAACTCTACTCCAACTTCAACCAACTTTACCCAATGTCTACATCATCGACATCGCGGCCACATCTTACTACTCTCTTCAAGAGACAAAGTATAGCGTAGAAAAGCAACTGCCTGTCATCATTCTCTCTTGCAATGCACAAAAGGGGAAACTGGAGGTCGAACCAACGAAGTGGTCCTGGTTGGAAGGGGGAGGGGGAAGGATAGCGTAAAAGAGAACACAGGATCACAAATGTGGGATATTGAACGAACGGCACTCAACAAGAACGGGATGACAAGAACGAGAAACAACGAACCGCCCCCTTTCTTCATCCCTATGTCCCTTGGATGTGCGCTCGAACGGAACGAGAAAATACACATCGATACATGCATACTGCATGCACAACAACAGTAAACACTCATTGCACCAAACAAACACGCGCATACATCCCCGAGCATTGGCTCAAGGGTGGATTGGCATTTGGTTTGTTCACTTTTCCGCTACTCTTCTTTTTTTTGAATACCAATGTTCAACAAGCCAACCAAAACAAAATAAACGTTATTTTTTTTTCTTCCACAATCCTCTCCCCTTTATCAAGAGCTCTCTCCATCTTTCCTGAGCAAGCACACACGCACGCGCGAACGCACGAACGCACAAAATAACACAGGAGTGAAAAGGAATATCGGTCAAAGGGGTTTTTGGATTGACGGAGGGGGCGAGGGACAAGAAAAGAAAAGAAAGGGACAAAGGGGTAAAGCCTGCCTGTTTGTCTGTCTGCCTGCCTCAGTAAGGGAAGAAAACGTGGTCTTTCAAGGAGAGAAAGAGAAAAAAAACGAAAGCTAAACAACGTCCACACCCACACCGGATGTAGGAACGCGCTAAAATTGCACCAACAAACAAAAACAAACTGAGAGCACAGAGGATAAACACCATATCACGGAGACGCAACGAAAATACCAACAAAGAAAAGAGAAAAAAAAAAAAAGACGTAAGGGCGAAGAACACCGTTTCCGGCGGTAGAATGATCCAAAAATGAGAATGCTCGCTTATTTTCCCCTCTCGATGTCATTCTTCGTCCTTTCCAATTCTGCACGACATACACATTCACGCTCACGTCCATGCTTTGCACCGCGATTCCATATGAATTCTTTGATATTATCCGACCTTTTTTTCTTTGAAAGAACGAGAGAGAAAGAGAGAACAAAAACAAAGGCAACTTCGGGGGCGAGTTATTTTTGGAAATCAAGGAAGGTAAAAAGGGACAAAAGGAAAGGGGAAGAATGAGAAAAAAAGGGAAAGGGACGAAGAAAAAGCCAAAAGGAATATAGAGATATGGCAGGGTCATAAGGAGTACATGATGGGTAATTCAAGGGGGTTATGTCGATGACTGAGTAGGAGTGTATGCGTGTGAGTATCTGCGTGTGAATGTGTATGTGAAAAAGGCACACCAATGTCAACCTGTCCCCCAACCATTGAATCATCATCATCATCATCATCAACAGCATCACCATCGTCCGAACACAATAGTCAAACCCGCAATATCGGAAATTAACTCGTTCAACTCGCTCTCATTGCCACTCTCTCTCTCTTGCACTCGCTCACTCTCGTTCATTCGGTCTGTTTTTGATGCGCCTTTCTGGGCCTTATTTACCCAGGAAACGAATGCAGGAACAACAAGAACAGCAAACAACACCAAAGTTCACAATAGAATCATCAGGTCATTGAACACACCGGTTCGCTGTTCTTTTTTTACGCCCATCGTGATGGTGCAATTAGTGAGCGATGGTGCCTGTCTGATGACCAGCAGCAACCTCACACAAACACTCCCTTCGAATAGGTTGGGAGGCTCTCGTTTTTTGTTCACCCTCTCTCTCTCTCTCTCTCTCGCTCCTTCGCTCTTTTTCTTCAGGAACAGGGATGAACAATGGATGAGCCGTAGCTTCAACTAGAAAACAAGTCCAGGGTAAAAAAAGGGGAATGGCGAAAGAAACTAGGGAAAAGGGAAGGGAAGAGCAAGGCGCGGCCTCTAGGTTTGATGATAATGTGCGTGTGTGTTTGTGGGGGTTTGTGTATGTGGCTGCATATTTCGGTTGGGTTTCCATCCTACGTATCTGAGCAGGAGAATAGCAGTGAAATGGTGAACCCCACTATGTCAACATCCACCATCCCAAAAAAAAACGAGGGGGTGAAATAACAAAAAAAATATGACGGGGGTACGAAAAACAAGCAAGCAGGGATGAGCGTCAATTGTGTGTGCAGTACACAATAAAAGAACGGAGAACATGGCATCATGGCGCAGTGCGGGTCAATTATCCTTGCTTTTTTTGTTTGCATATACCCTAATGCCATGCGCCCATTTCTGTGGAACAACAAAATAAAATTATCCAACGGTCAAGAAAGGGTAAATGGAAGAAAAGGTAGAGCGAGAACCCGTCTGAATTCCCAAGAAAAAAGCGAAAGGAATGGGAATCAGAGAAGGGAGCAACGAGGGAAGGAGGGTACAGGAAAACATGCCTGGACGGATTGCAGGGGCCACACAAGGCAGAGCAAAAAGAGACTGTGGGCAATGGTTTTTGCATGAATGTCGACGCGTCATGCTCAATTCCAAACAGACAAAAAACACGCCACCCTGTTGAACGACAAAAGGGAATAGGAAAAAGGCAAGGCAAGATGGCAGGGGCAGGCCAAAGGCTTGAGCGTCTCTGAAGATGGACAGGGGAGAGACAAAGGAAAAGAAAAGGGGAGAGGGGAGGGAGAGAAGAGGGAAGTGGAGGTTGGAATAGAGAGAGCAGTAAAAAATGCCTTGCTGTTCTCCCTCTTATTATTACTTTTCAGGGCAAGCACGTATCAATCTCACCGTGTGTCTCAGGGATAACACGCACCCTCACCTCGCATTCTTCAGCATCGCTCTTGGCATATCTCTTTCAGTCTTTCACCCTGAAAT